AGATGTCGGAGTGAATTGCCGAGACCTACACCGTTTGAAACGTTACAGAATGAAATTTTAACACCGCAGGTTTCACCTTTTTTGGAGTCAAATTGCGCCCGTTACGGGCCGAACACTTTGATATTATACTAGGCACCGGTTTAAAAAAAAGTGAATTGGAGATGTCGGAGTGAATTGCCGAGACCTACACCATTTGAAACGTTACAGAATGAAATTTTGGCACCGCAAGTTTCACCTTTTTTGGAATCAAATTGCGCCCGTTACGGGCCGAACACTTTGATATTATACTAGGCACCGGTTTAAAAAAAAGTGAATTAGAGATGTCGGAGTGAATTGCCGAGACCTACACCATTTGAAACGCTACAGAATGAAATTTTAGCACCGCAAGTTTCACCTTTTTTGGAATCAAATTGCGCCCGTTACGGGCCGAACACTTTGATATTATACTAGACACCGGTTTAAAAAAAAGTGAATTGGAGATGTCGGAGTGAATTGCCGAGGCCTACACTATTTTAAATGTTACAGAATGAAGTTTTAACACCGCAAGTTTCACCTTTTTTGGAGTCAAATTGCGCCCGTTACGGGCCGAACACTTTGATATTATACTAGGCACCGGTTTAAAAAAAAGTGAATTAGAGATGTCGGAGTGAATTGCCGAGACCTACACCATTTGAAAAGGTACAGAATGAAATTTTAACACCGCAAGTTTCACCTTTTTTGGAGTCAAATTGCGCCCGTTACGGGCCGAACACTTTGATATTATACTAGGCACCGGTTTAAAAAAAGTGAATTAGAGATGTCGGAGTGAATTGCCGAGACCTACACCATTTGAAAAGGTACAGAATGAAGTTTTAACACCGCAAGTTTCACCTTTTTTGGAGTCAAATTGCGCCCGTTACGGGCCGAACACTTTGATATTATACTAGGCACCGGTTTAAAAAAAAGTGAATTAGAGATGTCGGAGTGAATTGCCGAGGCCTACACCATTTGAAACGGTACAGAATGAAATTTTAACACCGCAAGTTTCACCTTTTTTGGAGTCAAATTGCGCCCGTTACGGGCCGAACACTTTGATATTATACTAGGCACCGGTTTAAAAAAAAGTGAATTAGAGATGTCGGAGTGAATTGCCGAGACCTACACCATTTGAAAAGGTACAGAATGAAATTTTAACACCGCAAGTTTCACCTTTTTTGGAGTCAAATTGCGCCCGTTACGGGCCGAACACTTTGATATTATACTAGGCACCGGTTTAAAAAAAAGTGAATTGGAGATGTCGGAGTGAATTGCCGAGACCTACACCATTTGAAACGTTACAGAATGAAATTTTAGCACCGCAAGTTTCACCTTTTTTGGAATCAAATTGCGCCCGTTACGGGCCGAACACTTTGATATTATACTAGGCACCGGTTTAAAAAAAAGTGAATTAGAGATGTCGGAGTGAATTGCCGAGACCTACACCATTTGAAACGTTACAGAATGAAATTTTAGCACCGCAAGTTTCACCTTTTTTGGAATCAAATTGCGCCCGTTACGGGCCGAACACTTTGATATTATACTAGGCACCGGTTTAAAAAAAAGTGAATTGGAGATGTCGGAGTGAATTGCCGAGACCTACACCATTTGAAACGTTACAGAATGAAATTTTAACACCGCAAGTTTCACCTTTTTTGGAGTCAAATTGCGCCCGTTACGGGCCGAACACTTTGATATTATACTAGGCACCGGTTTAAAAAAAAGTGAATTAGAGATGTCGGAGTGAATTGCCGAGACCTACACCATTTGAAACGGTACAGAATGAAATTTTAACACCGCAAGTTTCACCTTTTTTGGTGTCAAATTGCGCCCGTTACGGGCCGAACACTTTGATATTATACTAGGCACCGGTTTAAAAAAAGTGAATTGGAGATGTCGGAGTGAATTGCCGAGACCTACACCATTTGAAACGGTACAGAATGAAATTTTAACACCGCAAGTTTCACCTTTTTTGGAGTCAAATTGCGCCCGTTACGGGCCGAACACTTTGATATTATACTAGGCACCGGTTTAAAAAAAGTGAATTGGAGATGTCGGAGTGAATAGCCGAGACCTACACCATTTGAAACGTTACAGAATGAAATTTTAACACCGCAAGTTTCACCTTTTTTGGAGTCAAATTGCGCCCGTTACGGGCCGAACACTTTGATATTATACTAGGCACCGGTTTAAAAAAAAGTGAATTGGAGATGTCGGAGTGAATTGCCGAGACCTACACCATTTGAAACGTTACAGAATGAAATTTTAACACCGCAAGTTTCACCTTTTTTGGAGTCAAATTGCGCCCGTTACGGGCCGAACACTTTGATATTATACTAGGCACCGGTTTAAAAAAAAGTGAATTGGAGATGTCGGAGTGAATAGCCGAGACCTACACCATTTGAAACGTTACAGAATGAAATTTTAATACCGCAAGTTTCACCTTTTTTGGAGTCAAATTGCGCCCGTTACGGGCCGAACACTTTGATATCATACTAGGCACCGGTTTAAAAAAAGTGAATTGGAGATGTCGGAGTGAATTGCCGAGACCTACACCATTTGAAACGTTACAGAATGAAATTTTAACACCGCAAGTTTCACCTTTTTTGGAATCAAATTGCGCCCGTTACGGGCCGAACACTTTGATATTATACTAGGCACCGGTTTAAAAAAAAGTGAATTGGAGATGTCGGAGTGAATTGCCGAGACCTACACCATTTGAAACGTTACAGAATGAAATTTTGGCACCGCAAGTTTCACCTTTTTTGGAATCAAATTGCGCCCGTTACGGGCCGAACACTTTGATATTATACTAGGCACCGGTTTAAAAAAAGTGAATTGGAGACGTCGGAGTGAATTGCCGAGACCTACACCATTTGAAACGTTACAGAATGAAATTTTAACACCGCAAGTTTCACCTTTTTGGAGTCAAATTGCGCCCGTTACGGGCCGAACACTTTGATATTATACTAGGCACCGGTTTAAAAAAAGTGAATTAGAGATGTCGGAGTGAATTGCCGAGACCTACACCATTTGAAACGTTACAGAATGAAATTTTAACACCGCAAGTTTCACCTTTTTTGGAGTCAAATTGCGCCCGTTACGGGCCGAACACTTTGATATTATACTAGGAACCGGTTTAAAAAAAAGTGAATTAGAGATGTCGGAGTGAATTGCCGAGACCTACACCATTTGAAACGCTACAGAATGAAATTTTAACACCGCAAGTTTCACCTTTTTTGGAGTCAAATTGCGCCCGTTACGGGCCGAACACTTTGATATTATACTAGGAACCGGTTTAAAAAAAAGTGAATTAGAGATGTCGGAGTGAATTGCCGAGACCTACACCATTTGAAACGTTACAGAATGAAATTTTAACACCGCAAGTTTCACCTTTTTTGGAGTCAAATTGCGCCCGTTACGGGCCGAACACTTTGATATTATACTAGGCACCGGTTTAAAAAAAAGTGAATTGGAGACGTCGGAGTGAATTGCCGAGACCTACACCATTTGAAACGTTACAGAATGAAATTTTAACACCGCAAGTTTCACCTTTTTTGGAGTCAAATTGCCCCCGTTACGGGCCGAACACTTTGATATTATACTAGGCACCGGTTTAAAAAAAAGTGAATTAGAGATGTCGGAGTGAATTGCCGAGACCTACACCATTTGAAACGTTACAGAATGAAATTTTAACACCGCAAGTTTCACCTTTTTTGGAGTCAAATTGCGCCCGTTACGGGCCGAACACTTTGATATTATACTAGGCACCGGTTTAAAAAAAGTGAATTAGAGATGTCGGAGTGAATTGCCGAGACCTACACCATTTGAAACGTTACAGAATGAAATTTTAACACCGCAAGTTTCACCTTTTTTGGAGTCAAATTGCGCCCGTTACGGGCCGAACACTTTGATATTATACTAGGCACCGGTTTAAAAAAAGTGAATTGGAGATGTCGGAGTGAATTGCCGAGACCTACACCATTTGAAACGTTACAGAATGAAATTTTAACACCGCAAGTTCCACCTTTTTTGGAGTCAAATTGCGCCCGTTACGGGCCGAACACTTTGATATTATACTAGGCACCGGTTTAAAAAAAAGTGAATTAGAGATGTCGGAGTGAATTGCCGAGACCTACACCATTTGAAACGTTACAGAATGAAATTTTAACACCGCAAGTTTCACCTTTTTTGGAGTCAAATTGCGCCCGTTACGGGCCGAACACTTTGATATTATACTAGGCACCGGTTTAAAAAAAGTGAATTGGAGACGTCGGAGTGAATTGCCGAGACCTACACCATTTGAAACGTTACAGAATGAAATTTTAACACCGCAAGTTCCACCTTTTTTGGAGTCAAATTGCGCCCGTTACGGGCCGAACACTTTGATATTATACTAGGCACCGGTTTAAAAAAAAGTGAATTAGAGATGTCGGAGTGAATTGCCGAGACCTACACCATTTGAAACGTTACAGAATGAAATTTTAACACCGCAAGTTTCACCTTTTTTGGAGTCAAATTGCGCCCGTTACGGGCCGAACACTTTGATATTATACTAGGAACCGGTTTAAAAAAAAGTGAATTGGAGATGTCGGAGTGAATTGGTGAGACCTATGATTTTTTTTGTCAAGCGCTCTCTTGTCATTGGTAAAACACAATCCACTATGGTCAAAATTTTGCCATATTTTTTTCAACATTGATGTCACTTGGCTATGCAAATTTAATTTTTCGCACATTTTATGTCAAAATCATCAAAAATTTTACTATTTTCGCATGCCTCTTGTAAGTTCATATAACAAATTTACTGTAATCATGTCTATGATGTCTTTACCACCTCTTCGTTTTCAGTCCATCAAAATCTTCGTATTATCCATGATAAAATCACCGATTTGCTTGTTCACCGAAAGCGTCAAGGATCCACACAAATCAGATAAACCCTCGGATCAGCGACAAATTTGCATAAATCTCGGGCACTCCAAAGGGAAATGGCGAGATCTCCCTATAAATTTCTTCTCTTTGTAAGTGTTTCTGTGTTTGCCCTCAGGCATTTTATAAATCTCCCTTCTTCCGAAGAGATTGTCACCACTGAAGAAGCGATCTTTGATTCCTACAATCAAATAAAAAGTTATGAAAATCCAGTGCAAATTGGGAGTCTGGAAACTGTACCGTAAGAAGTTGAAAAGAAAAAAACTTTTTAACATTACTTTGTATCACTTTTCAGCTATAAACCCGGGTTTTGCGTTTTTTACAATTTTTTCAAATCAAATCCAAAATTGAGCGACAAGATTGGACTGGCCTTACATTCGACTCCAAATCTGCTTACTTTTATTGTAAAGCAGTTACAAACTTTTGATTCTATCATCTCTTTATCGCTGTTTGTTCCCTATGAAATTGAGGAAATCCACAAAATTGAGGTCAGTTGGAAGTAAAATACACAACTAGTGTTGTTCTTGTTTCGTATGACTTGTTTCAGCTGTTATTTAACGCCTTGGAAGGTCTGCGAATGTCCTATGACACCTCAAAGTTGTCGATTCACATTGTTATGTCCGCCAAAAGCCCTCGATGTCCGCTGATTACTTATCGAAAATGGGGAAATCTGTTGTTGGGGAATAGAAATTTTGTGGATACCATGGTAAGAAATGTAGTCTTATTTTGACCAATAGAAGTCTCATTTTAATCTTAAGATGCCGCCATTTGAAATGTTTTTTTTCAGCTCTCAGACCTTTCCAACGTCCCCTCCATCTCCAAAGTAATATATCCCATAAACATGCTGCGTAACATCGCTAGGATCCCCCTGAAAACGAAATATTTTATCAGCGGAGATATTGAGAATATATTCAGCGACAATTACCTGAAATTCCTCAACAAAAACGTTGATGAATTGATGATGAAGGAGAAGAAAACGGTCCTAATCCATCGACGATTCGAATTTGACCATACATTTGTTCAAGAAAACATCCCCAACAACTTTTGGACTCTAAAAATGTTGTTTTTCCGTCGCTGGGCCCGAGTTTTCCATCAACGCGTCAACGAAAAAGGCCATTCCATCGACGGATTGGAGGATTGGCTAAGGAATGGGGAGAATTTTGGAGTTCAAATGGTAAAATTTTGGGCGTTTTGGTCGTATTTTAGGACTTGAAATACAACAATTCGATGTGGGAACCACAATTTGTCGCTTGGAATGTCGCGACAGTCCCATTTCACGATGAAAATTTTATCTATCGCCTCAGGTCCAACGTCGAATGGGTGAGATTTTCGTTGAATAGAAATGCCCTTAGGGCATCTTATCGTGCCTTAAATGATTAATCGCCGATCTTCCAGGTCTACGAACTCTGTCGCGCCGGCTTCAGATTCCGTGTCCTGAATTCGGTGTTCACCGTGCACCGTGGCTTCAAAACTTCGGAGAATCCAGACTTTGTCGCCCTAATCCGTCGCTCCGTCCAATCCGGCCAATTCTCCCGAATAATCCGCGATTTTCGCTTGAGACTCGACCGCGGGTACCCTTCCAGCACCCATCGCTGTCCAGTTTTTGCCCCCGAAATCGAATAAATCGCAGTTTCCGTTCCAATTCCGTATTTGTCGCGCACCCCGCCTCTTTTTTTGCCCCAACGGCGATGGAATTTCCGTCGCAAACATTTTTGGTCCGTTCGAGTCGAGATGGCGACGATCGGAATTCCAAAAAAATGTTTTTTTTTCTTTTCGGGAATTCGGCTTTTGTCCCCCGAGGCGATTTGTCTAGCGAAGAAGCGCACTGTGCGTTCGAACAAGTTTAATGCACAGTGCATCGTTTGGTGGGTTGGGTTCATTGCACGGTGCAGTTAGGAGAGGCTCTGTCTGTGCACAGTGCAAGTCTTCAATGTCATCGCAAGAGCTTTTCAACCTTCTTTGGTCCGCACCGTGCAGAGACTCTGACACATTTCCCGCACTGTGCATTCTTTATCGCACATTTGATCTGCACTGTGCGGTCTGTTCATTCATTCGTTTTCCCAGAGAATCGCAGAAATTGCAGGGTGCGGTTCTTCGTGAGAACACGTGAGATCTTTTGTTTTGTCGCTGATTTCTTCCGCTTTTGTCGCTCATCTTTTCCCATCGCTCCCTTTCGATTGTTTTGGCCAATCTTGCTTGGAATGCGACATCGTGGGAACGGGGATCCCATTGGCGACGGCCCAATTGATTCGAAATTCCTTTCGGCCGTCGCAAATCTCATTTCTTGTCGCAATCACCCCTCCCGTCTTGTCGCTGGCTTCTTTTCGAACTCTTGTCGCTTTTTCTTCCCTCCAAATTGGAGGGCAAAGAAAGCGATCGCTGACATTCCAATCGGCCGTTTGGCAGCGACGCACCGCGACGGGTTTGTCGCTCCTCCCTCCGGGCCTCGTTCTCTCCTCGCTTCTCTCGAATGCTTCGAATTCCGATCTCGCGGCGACAGCAAATTCCATTTTGTGCGTTCGGAAAGCCAAAGAAAAAAGGGTGCAGTCGCTTTTGTGCATTCAGGCGTTCCGCGACAACTTTCTTCCCTTCCCCCCGGCTTTTCGCTTCTCCAAATCGGAATGCAAACTGGCGCATCCCTTTCCGTCGCGCCTTCCGAAGCTCTGAACGACATTTTTTTTGCAGGTGACAATGTTCGGCGCTGGCTCGTCGCAGAATTCGCTTCTTTTGTCTTCACTGATCAACGATTCCCTTGCTCAGATGACCCCCGCTGCGACAAGAGCAGCGGCAATGCAATCCAACTCATCGGCGACAACCGTGTTCCCTGCCAATCCAATGTCGCCACCTTTTGCCGCATCCGCACTGTTCCCTCTTCAATCGGCGTTGTCGCTGAATGCTGACATTTTGAGGCTCAATGGAGTTCATTTGAACGACGAGGAAACAGAATTGCGACAGAGTACAGAAATCGACGAACAGGTCAGTCGTTGCATCGGCACCGTGCAGACTCTCTTTTTGCAACGCGACAACTCCGCTTGCACTGTGCAAATTGGTTCATGTTCACTGCACAGTGCAGTCATCAGCTCATCGCCAAAGTTTGCATTGCACTGTGCAATTCGCTTCCTTTTGATGTCTGAAAACGCACTGTGCATTTCCTTCTGCATCTTTCGAAATCTTTTGCACAGTGCACTCTGCCTTTTGTTTTTGTCGCAATTTCATAACCAATTTCGGCGATTTCCCAATTGGCACAGTGCGCTGAATCATTCAGGAGGATGTTTTGAAACTGTCTGCACAGTGCAAGAAAAACAAGAAAATTAGGCAAAAGTTTATTGCACTGTGCAAAAAGACCTCTTTGTGATTTTGCACAGTGCGGAAAAAATTAAAATTGATTGCACAGTGCGGGAAAGAGATTAGAGTGCATAGTGCATTTTTCTTAATGTAAATTTTATTCAAGTGAATTTGAATACTTTCAGCCGTTGGATTTGTCGACGAAAAAGACGCCCCGGTGCACTCCCGAGCCCTCTTCTTCGAACCGTGTGTCCGTGATCAAAGGTAACCCCAAACAACCCCCTTATCACCCTTTTATTATTCTTTATAGCCCCCGGCGTTGGCGTCAAACGCTCCACTTCCTCCGTTTCTTATCGCTCCGCTCCAGAATCCGATGTTTCCGAGCATTTCCGCCGTTCTCTGAGCGGGAAATGGCCCCGCCGAGTCCAATATTCCTACAGCGGAGGGGATTCGGAGGGCCCCTCGAGAAGACCCTCGGCTTCCAGCACTCCCACGGCCATCAGATCGCCCATTTTGAGTCGGAAACAGCGATCGTCCAAGATCATAATCAACGAGGGCGAAGTGGATGACCATTTCAGGAAGGCCCTGGGGGAGGAAGCCTTTAATTTATTCAAATTAGGACAGACAAAACCGCGCTCCAATTCGGCCAGATGAAGCGGGACCTCATCCTCGTTGTAATTACATGTACATAGTAGTTTTTAGCCATTTAGATAAACTTTTATCTAAAGTTTTCAATTTTTTTAATATAATTTCTTCTTCATTCTTACCGTAATGCGTCTCAAATGACCCCAGAATACTTGTAAATCTTTCTGCAGCGGTAATTGCAGCTACTGTAAATGCCCGGCGGTCATAAAATGGTTTTATTTCCGAAGAATTTTGGGCGGAAGCGATTCATCAACGGAAAAAAAACATTCCATCGATGCCCGGAGGCGATGATAGACGGAGATTGCGTCAGTTGATGTTGCGAAATGTCACGGAGAATATCCGAATTCAGAGATGTTACAGTTTTTGATTTATGTTGTTATTTCTCCTATTACTGCCCAGGATTTCCCTTTGTTTTATGCCGAAATGTGATCTCTGCGACGTCCCCAGACATCTTATCCATCAAATTTCCTGTTTGGTGTTGAATCCGGAAACGTATTTTAGTTACGACTCGTGTCTTTCTCCAAAATTTACATTTTTTTTATAAAACGGTCGCAAAACAGGAAATGAAAAAAGATTAAATGTAAAGTCACACCCGTCGATGTAATCGCAAAAGTCCCTTAGAATTACTTTTCAAGGGTTTGAAGAGTTAATTGAATCAAAAAGTACAGTAATCCCCCTCTAATTGGGGAGCGAGAAATGAAAAGAATTCGGTATCGGAATTCGATGCAGCAAAATAAAATAAAGACCGTTTAATTTATCGCGAAAAAGAAAACATTTTTCACCGACCGCACCCTTTCCTTTCCATCGACGAAAAAAGGTCACATCCGGTCACATGAGACTGGGGAAGAGACCATCCGGCTACACCCAAACATAGTCGGGAAAACAGAAGATACGGTACGGGAGTCATGACAAACAATTACAGAGTAATTTGCGGAATCATTTGCAAAATATCAACCATTTCTCGAACTCTGATTCATCAAATTCCAGTAAACTTTGATGATTCTCCGTTTCTAAGGACTTTCGTTAAAATTGTTTGGACTGGATTTACCTCATATTAAGGGATGATGACTTTTAACTTTTTTACACACTCGTTGTCGGCGTCAATGGTGATATCCGGCGATTAGTTGAGAGTCATTCATTTCAGACAGATCCGATTTATTCAAGGACCTCCAACAAATCCAACATCAAACACATGGGCACTTAAAGTAGACCTTCCAAAAGATCTAAGCTCCTTTCCCAACTTTCCTGTGTCACCATCTTTCTAATTCTTTCACACGTCAGGAGTGATGATGAAATAGGGATTACATCAGATTTATTTTTAGAAATCGTAAAAACGATCCGAGTTCGAGGTAATTACTGACGTCCACATCCGCGACGACATCGTTTTTTCTGGCCTTCTGAACTTTATTCATTGGGGAAAATGAAAGTAGATGCACCCAAAGGGCGATAAAATATTGGTAAAAATCAGAGTGATCTGCATGAAGATACATTGTTTTGACGTCTATGTTGCAATTGCTGAGCTTTAAAAATATTTTTTTGATTTATACGTAATTATGATATAATACATCGTCAAGATTTTTACTTTGTCCCTAAAAATCTTGTTTTTAGTGCAAAGTGATGAAAGATTAACAGAAGTCGGTCTGTATGGATGACAACGACCACGATCTCGCCTTTGGTTCATCTCCACCAGCCTGAAATCCAATCCCAAGCCTAGAATTGCATGTAAATTACTTCTTTACACCCGCGGGTGTGAGTGTTTTTACCCGAATTCGAGTGCTTATCACTGCTAATCCCTAAGGGCATCGGCGTCACAGGAATCCTCAGTCATTATCTTTTATGTAAATAGCAGTAAAATAGCCGTAGTTAGTCGGTCATTTAGCCGTCTTAGCAGCCGGCACTCTCCCTCTCCCCATGTGTTATTTGACTTCCTAATATAATATACAAAAAGTGGAGTATATATCGAGTATCTGAGGTTGTTATTCCTGCCTAATGAGATCTTTTTTAGCCCCGTATCTTGCGTCATGAATAAACTCTCGGAGGACTCATTCCGCGACCTCTAACCGGCATCATTTCTACCTCTATATAAGCCCTGCCACGCAGCAATAATTTTCAACATTTACCGCAAATTCCTCGCCGTCAACGGCATGTCCGATGACAAGGGAATCAGGGATGAGAAAGAGAAGGAAGAGGCGAAAGAAAGGGCCCGAGGAGAAGGAGAACAAGGCAATGGGGACGGAGAAAACGGCGATTTGAATGGAGATGATCTCGAAGGTGGGTTCAAGTTTAAGACATTTAGATATAATCTGTCATCGTAGGGATTTAATATATCTAGAATTTTAATTATCAACTTTTAATTGCTATACATTTGTATGGCAACTCTGTTAAGTGTCTTTAACTTTTTCAGAGCCGCGTTAATACCCTAACAATGGCGGTATTTCTCGTATGATATTTCAAAATTTGATACCTCGTTTATGGCAAAGAATCTCGTCTGCAAAATAATGCGAAGACATTCTTTTATGGCCAGACATAAACAACGTAGGAATACAAAAATAAAATAATCTGCGAATACAATCAGACGACTGTCAACAACTTGTTTAGACTGTCCATATTGCAATGATTATTAACCGATCAAAATGTTTCTATGACGTCATAATTTTTAGACATCGATGTCCCGCCAACGCCCACACTCTTGGTCAGCGACGATGCAACGGAGGACGCTGAGGAGGATGTAAAGTCTTTGGAACAAGAATTGAGTAAGCGCTCGCCTTATCAGAGGATGTGGAGATTAGAGATTTCGTTAATCTCCCATCCGGATTAAGTTTTGTCTCTTTGATTGTGGTCGTATAAAGTGGAGGGGACAGTTGGGTTGTTGTCATGTACTCGGCCATGCTGAAACAAGACGACGCTAACGACCCCAAGCCCGAGATGACCAAGATGGAGAAACGTAAGGCCTCTCTGTCTGTCTACCGAGCTGTCTCTCTGCTCATGTTCGTATCTTTTCCTTTGTCCATGTCACATATACATCCCTATGACATAAAGGGTTCGGATTTGTGAATACAAACCGCCCGAGGGCATGTCCATTTGTCTGATTGCCTTCCTCTGATCTTCTTAACTCTGGGACGTTACATATTTACATCGCTGTCTTCGTATCTTCTGCCCCATTTGCGTCGCTCTTCTTTGTTTTGTTTGTTCAGAAAATGCATCCAAAAATCGATTACGGTACAGTTTACCTTACAGTAATTTACTTCAATTTTTAGGCGCGTTAACGGTCGCTGAAGCCAGTCGTTTGACCCCGAGAAAGTGTGAGATCTTATTGGAGACATTTACGGCGTTAAAACGACATCTTGTCCATAACATCCAGACCTTGTTCATTCGGTAAGTTAGGCATCTTTCATTGAAAAAAAGTACATTACAAGAAAATGACGGGTGCTATAAGTAATGAAACAGGAACGTTGGACAGGGTCCGGAAGTCCGGAGTTATTTAGATTAATTTTTTGTAATTAAAAAATGGGATTTATCACGACGATTTGTGATACCAAAAACTTGTTGATGCCTCAGCTACAGCCCATCTAAAATGTATTGTTTACAGTCTGTTCTCCGAGTACCCCACTTACAAGGATATATGGCCACAATTCCGTGCCATCCCGGACAGTTCGTTGATGTATTCAAATGAACTCAAAAAGCATGTTCATGTGTTCTGCAAGGGGCTGACGATGATTATAAATTCGTTGAACACCGAGAAGGAGTTGTATGTGGTCCTGAGGAAGTTGGCCAAGGCCCATGCCAGGAAGAATGTCTACAAAAATCATATCATGGTAAGGGGTTACCAATGAAATTTTTACAATTTTTTGCCGTTTTTTCGACATACGATGACTCAATAGAAACAAAATTTACATTACGCTTTCTCGAATTTTCAGAACATGCTTCCCGAGCTCTTAAACGTGATGAAGAGCAATGGAATTGATGTGAACGATGATGTGAAGGAAGCCTGGACCACTCTCTTTGACGTACTCGGCAACTTGGTTGACCCTTTGAAGACGGACAATCTCAACTCCGCATAATATTTCTTGACTAATCTTCGTGAATAAATCTTACATTTTTTTGTGCATTAAATGTGCACAAATTGCGTCGTTCTCATTTCTGTTATTCTTTACAGGAATGGGAGATGAGGATGCCAGATAAGAATGCCAAATCTTATTTTCAAGTTCCGAGTCACAACACACTGATGGTCGCAAAATTTATTTGTCTTTTTGTAATCAATTGACGGGTGGGGTGGATCTTACCAGTTCGTCGGGAAAATTGTTTGAATATTGATTTCTGCGATTGGCACTGTGCAGAAAAATCAGGGTGACACCAGAAAAAAGCCTTTTGCACGGTGCAAAAAGCAAGAAATTGCAGAGTTCAAGGTGCACTTTCGTAGTCGTAAAAATCATTCCTTGCAAACGGACCGGTATTTGGACATCCAAATACTCAACAATGTGTATCTTGAAGTTTCCTCTTGTAAGATTCACCACCTGGAACACGATTATCTACCAATTTACCGCATAAAAGTTGATCCCTTCGAGAGGATTGCAAGAATAATTACTGTTTTTTAGAGTGGCTCTGACCACAGTAATTGCAGAGAGAACACCTTCTTATGTTGAAGTTCTGGGTGGTAAGAGGTCATTTTAAGCCCAGAAATTTATTGCGAAACCCTGCAGCAATGCTGCAGATTCTGAAGACTCAGGCATCAATATCCCCTAATCTAAAGGCTTCAATCAACAGAACAAACAAAATTTCGCTGACAAACTCTTGAATAGAAAGCTGCCATTCTTGTTCGTATAGATAGTATAACCCTGCAATGGATTGTTTCCAAGTGCACGCAAACTTGTGGAACATGTCATTACAATGACTAGTAATCATAACAATAACCTCAAAAGATATGCGGTAATTAAAACGTATAATTAATTGCAGAGAAACGTGATTAATTACAGAGACTACATTCCCCGGTTTTATTCATTCGTGATATAATTTGCGTTGTAGGAGAGCAGACCATTGCATGATTTACATCAGTTCCAACACGATTAATTACCATGTTCCGGGTTCATTTGTCGAGTTCATTCCGATTCCCAGACTTATGTCATCCGAAACCCCTAAGGGCATAATTTATTCATGCGAGTTTACAGGAATAAAACAAAGGAACAATAGATTTTACAATAGACCCATTTGTATAACAAGTATGAGAAGTCGTCGTTGAGTATTCGAGGAATCGAGATTCGTTGTGCCTAAGCCGAGAAGTGCTCGTATTCAGGGGGTTTAGATACACACGGTGCATTGCTAATATATATATATGTTGGAGACAGCTCTTCCAATCTTCATGTCTACCCATTAAATACTACGAAAAAGAAGACTCTACCATGAGATATTTGTAAGCGAAATTATACAGTAATCGCTGGTTACGGTATCTTGTTTTGAAACACAATTGACATAAGATACCCAAAAGGGATTAGAGATTAATTTACAATCTATATGAGCATCAGATATTGTAGTGGACAGTAGACGAAGGCGCCGCGCACATTCCTGACCTTCACCTTCTGGTCCTCCCTTAATGAATCGGCTTGTGCAAACACCACTTGGTCCCTGTACAACCGCATCTTGGCTTCGGGGATATGAATATTCTGGACCAGTTTCATTGGCTGCTCGTTGTTGTGGATGGCCGCAACACAAGTCGCCGGGAATGACAACAATTTCTGCAATCGGTCGTTGATTCTGAAGCCATGAAGCCAATCGGGATCGCCATTATCCACAATATGAAGCCGGTCGCCAATGTAAAGCCCGTTATTTGGGTCGGAACAGGATGGTGGGATGTAATCGTGTGTCACAATGTGGGTACTCACTACTGAAAAGGCGTCATTTAGAGGGAAAAGAGGACATAAACAAGGCCGGATCATGTTTCCGGGTATGCCCTCAGGCGATATCATGCGTGCAAGAGGAGGCGGAAGTGGCTACGCAACCAAAACATACGTATTAACATGTAATACGCAATGAAAAGCGTTCTATGCCCAAGTCAAAATGTAACATTTACCTTGCTTCGGCGGGGTCCCGGCTTGCACTGGCTGAGCCGGCAACTTTCTCGGCGATGGTGCCTTAGGCGACACACTTCTTCCCCAATCACTGGTCTCTCCTGAGGCGTATCCTCGGGCTGATCGAACGGCTTTGTTCTCTGAATGTCCTGTCCATTTATACCCATATATACATATCACACTTACTGTAGGTAGATCTCATCTGTGTCGAGACCGGAGGCGGCATTTCCGCGCAATCCAAAGACAGCGACTTCATCTGTTTGTTGAGTTTTGGAGCCCGTGGGCGACCAGTGCCGCTGGGGTTGGCTGAAATTTTAAATAATATTTTTGATTTGAAAGGCGGAAAGGTGTCCTGGTTACAGTCCCAATGAGTAATTTCAGGTGTCGCAAAAGGCATGATGAAAGTTTGAGGAGCCTCCGTACAGTGAAAACAATAGCCCGAGGACAATGAGTCACTGGGCCCTGTCCCGGTCGTCCTTAACAACTTACCCTGAGTTCCCGGAGGAGGTTGGCTGGCCTGATGTAATTGCGGGGTCGATCCTAGCAATTGACCTCTCGAACCAGTGGTCTCTGCATATCCGGAGTCTTGCAACGAGACCTGGGACAAGTGTTGTGGAGAGGGGGTTGCAGAGTCGAACTGATTCGACGATCCGCGACGACTCCCGTACTTCCCCTTGGCCTCTTTGAGGGCCAGGTAGATTGGATCCACCACCGGTTCCTCATCTGAAACACCTGAGTTTATTTATTATTCCCCAGACATGCCCTTAGGCATTCCACAAGGTTGTTTGTGTAAAAATAATTGGATGGTGACATTTAGGGTCACTTTTAATTTAATGTTTTAATGATTTTGAATTACAGATTTCTGCAGAATCCTTATCTCAAAACAGTGTTCTTATATGCATATCTTTTCCTTTTACTTCCTTTATTAATATTAATGATTTTTTTCTGGTCTCAGATGACAACAATGCCTTGAGGCATAAAGGGAAAGGCTCGGTAAGGTCATGGAAAATACTTTTAACACCCGATGTAATCTCAAATACTAAGCCTGGCTGAATCCATATGTCCCAACTAATACACTAAAATCAATCACAAGTTGCAATAGTTGTATATAAATATGCAAAGCAGCCTGCTAATTTCGAATTTGTACTTGCAAATTTCCTCCAAATGTCATTTATTCAGGCCATGAATAATGTAAAACCAAGAATCCAGTGGAGCGAAATGCCCCCGGAAATACCATAAATCAGTTGGGAATGACATGTGCAACATATCACGGCCGTGTGCAATTATGCATTAGTTACGCATAAATTACGATGGGTTTTGATCTGCGGACGGGTCTCTGAAGGGGGCTGCCAAAAGCGTGTTGAAATGTGTGAAATTTATACGGCCCTTCCTTGGTAAATGCGACGCCATAAATTAATTTAATTCCGTGCCGTCTTCGGAATCCTCCAGAGACGTCAGAACTCATCAACGTCCCCAAACAATTAACGCATAATTTTCTTTGGGACCCTACTGTACCAGTTTCCGGAAAAGTAATTTATTTTTACAGCCCAAAATTCTCCCAAAAAAGTTTTTTTTTCATGTAAAACGACCCTAATTGCGCATACGAACACGTCTTCGGCCGCGATTATCTCCTCCTTTCATATTCATGGCCAATCTCGAAACCGAAGGAACTCTCGCAGGCCAAGAAAGTCATTCGAACGGAAATTACATTTGTTTTTAGGCACGACCCAAGTCTCAAATTGATGGCCAGAGATTGGAAAGCACTTAAATAGCAACTGTTTTCCTTAAGGAGTGGTAACTGTTTTGGTTAATCGTCGACGGAAGGATTAGTCACAAATCCCTTCAGTTTACAAAATATCTAGTGATGACCAGACACGGCATTGGCCAAATATTGTAAATAATTCAAGACAAATCCCTCGGCCGTTTAATGACGTCCTCAGTGCCTGCGGCTATCAGTTTCGGAACCTACGCGGAATAAAAATAAAAATATTTGGGGAAACTTTCGCTAAAAATAAATCCCCGCAGGATTTGGAGCAAGGAAGTGGAGGGATCTGCATTATTTATAAATTACTGGACATCCCAAAACGTCATAATTAATAAAAATGGTCTTTTGATGTGAGGAAACATCATTCGAAATGATCAAAAATGAAAGGAAGAAAACTCACCGTCTGGTCGATATTCGGAAGGGTATTGACTGGACTGGCCTTCGAGGTGCTGTCTCTGTAATCGATAAGCTAAGTCAGATTGGGGAGCCCGCTTCAGAATCCTCCGTTCTGAAGCCGACGCCACGGGGAATCGCCTTTGCATGGTCGGAGAGCCAGGAGAATTGGGATAAGAGTTCTGGAGAATGGCCCCGAACTGATTGGAAGTCATCGCTCGGGCTGGTCGATGATGCATTCGAGGAGACGCTGATCCGGGCGGAGTGTGTCTGGCCATCGGCGATGACTTCCTCGCCTCAACGCGTATCCTTTCGCCCGTGAAGAGCATCGGCTGGGAATGACGCAACGTGGAGTCGGGATTCATGACGCTTTCTTCGAAGGTGCAGAGAAGGGATGGCTGGGAACGTCGATGATAGCGCGCCGGATGGTTTTCGGGCAGGTGTGGCCGGCCGTAAGAAGAAGGGGGCGGTGGTTGAAAGGGAGGCGGTGGCTCATAGCCGGGTGTTAAAAGCGTCCGTCGTTGTGCAGCGAGTGATGGTTGCGAGCCGAGCCGGTATGATCGTTGCAGCGCCGATTCGGCCAACAAAGCCCGCTCCAACACCGTGTCCTGATACGACCCGACTTCAGGGCCATAGGGTCGAGCATGGCCACTCAGAAGACCTCCACTTTGCAGAGGGTACTGTAAGGAAGACCGTCGGCTCATACGCTCCAAGAACTCGACGTACCCGACCGGATGGGGCAACGGCAAAGAATCGGTGCTGGGTTGGCGAAGTCGGAACGGCGGGACTTGAAGTGGCGGGTCCAGGACTACGGGGCGGACTGGGAAAGGGTCACAAAGGAAATGGAGCGCAATTCCTCTTTAAGAGAATAATAAACTTGGCTTGAAGAACACCTCCAAACAGGAGGCTTCAAAGTCTTCGGAGGGCCGTGGGAAGCAGCGGACAGCCCGAAACTTTCTCCTCCACTCCGAAAATGGGTTGGGGAATTGGTGCTCTAACTTATCAAGGAGAAGAACCCGCGGCCGCGCGATGACTTCAGGAAGACGAGCTGAAAGGCATCCAATGCCTGGGGCGACGTCTCATTTATTACTACCACAAAACAAGTCCCGCCTTGCTTGTCTTGTCTCCGGCCCCAAAGTGTTGTTTTCTCGCTGACTTCGGAGTCGACCGGATCCATTGGAGCCGGTAATTGTCTTCATGAAAGCCCTCGGGGCTCAACTCTTGGGTCCCTATTCTCCTGCTCTCGACGACCTTTAGCCAGGTGATTCCAGATTGACATATTCGTCATGGGATACAGTAATATCTGATATTCACAATCAAAACGTAAAACTTACATGCTTTGCCGGGAGATTCTTGAATCTGGTCATCGCGTGGACAACTTTCAGAGCAGAGGACCATTTCCTGCGTGGGTGGCCGGGGATTCGCTTTTCCGCCGAATCCTCCGCCGGCGTCAAAGATGGCTCACGGGAGCGACGCATGGTTTATTCTCTGGAATAAATATATGAGCTTGAAGATATGTAAAGTAATCACGAATCGACGAAATAAATCAAAACATCAGGTGTAAAGTTCAGAGGCGGATTCACGCATAATACATCAAAATCGACAATGGAAAGAGCCATATTTCACTTGCGTGATGACAATATAGTAATAACAAGAATATTCTGACCACATCGCACTTATTTCTCCTATTTATCGCGGCTTCGTGACGTGTAATCAAGCATAAATTTGACCACTTAACTTCCCACAAATCGAAGAAAGGCCGCAGAATTTGTAAATTGAGCTGATTTAGAAAGTGCAACCGAGTAATAGAAGCCCACCCAAACGTCAATCGAAAAACGAGTAATCCCAAAGAAAAACAATTACTGCAAAAGAAGGGTTGTAATAACAGCTGAAGGAGTCCTCGGATCTGGTAAGGCGATCCGAGACAGATGACGCAACAAAAGGCGGTGAGGGTGGGGTGGGGGTGGGGGCTCATGCCTCGGGCCAGAAACAATCGATCAAGACACCTGCGGCCCCAAATATATGGCCGGATGAGTCGGTCATGTCGTCCATCACAATTAATTATCGCCCATTGCAGAGGACATGGCTGCAGGTCGGGGGTTCCCGATGTCAACTGTTTTTTGGATATCAACTTAATGGGCCCTTGGGTTTTATTAGACACAATATTAGTCATGAAGACTACGAAATAATGGATTTGGAACTTTACGAACAAAAAAACGACCCAAGACTTCATGAACAAGATCAAAATACAAGCGAATGAAAGAAAAAGCTACTTCAAAATCAGACAGGGATTAACTCCGGAAGGTCTCGGCCAAGGGCGACCTGCCCTATTACGCCGTCCCTTTTCAATTAATCCGCTTAGGCTAACAGTTAGACGGTAAACATACAAAAAAGAAGGTTAGAGTCAGCAAAATAAAGAAAAATTACGTAAAAAATTCAAAACAAATTCAATTAGAACAAAATAACAGGCATTCACTATATGGAATAAAGTAAAGAGCACTCTATTGTCAACAAATCTGAAAAAATACACAAATATAATGCACTATACATCTCCGATGTAAGACAACAGTAACACAAGAAAACGTCAAGCACAGGGATGAGAACTGAAATAGGGCGAATAATTTTCTACTTTATGACATCCCATAAAACCCCGGCTGTAAAATACGTTAATTCCGTAATGTTAAAGTCAGCGGGGTCGTGTTTAAGTCGAGCCTTCAGCCGTCTTCTCCACATCAGATGTCATTTCTTTTGGGTTTGGCGATAAACAAAGGTTAAAATATGAGATGTCTCGGCAGGAATTGGAGTATGACATCGGCCCCAACAATTGTACTCAAAACAAAATCGCAGAAAAGCAAACAGAACTTTGCCCCAGGTCAAATGTCAGATCAGCAAAACAAAGATTTGAGGAATGAGGATATTCGAAATAATTTCAGAGAGTAATGACTACTGGTTGAGAGGGAGGGGGTTGGATTACGACATCAGGAAACACGGGGTCAATTTCAAGCAATGTAATTCCGACATATTAATGTATCAAGTAACAATAATCTGTGTTAGACCCACCCAACTGAAGAGCTTATGAGTGATGACATCTTCTATTTCCAAACCTTTCGTCCATCTGAATGCATCCAAATCCAAGTATAACATGCCGTTTCAATGAAAGGAATAATAAAAATAAATGTTTGGAGAAAGTCGGGAATTAAACCCTCCGGCAATCCCCTCTGAACCTCCTCAGATTTGATATCGGATATCCGATCACACAAATCCAATTGAGCTATAGCCTCGGGCCGAACAAAAGACAAGATATTCAATAAAATTCATGGCTCAAATCGGCTCAACTTCCGGTCCAAATGCCCTTTGGCTATGACGGTTGGGGTCAAATTTAATGGGAACAGAAAACGAAGCGAAAGTTCAGCTCTTCTTAATGATCGCCACCAATTAGAAGACAGTATTGTAGGCCTGATGGATCATAAAATGGAATTGGAAGGCGGGGGAGGGGGATTAGGCCATTTGATGGTGATTACCGGCCCCATTTTAATGCTAATACCCGTTTCGCGACACACCCATATTAGGGTCGGAAATTACATTTACAAACGGAGCAACATCACGATTGTCTAAAACAGTACCGTAAGGAGGACTTAGAAATGAATGGCCTTCTTTCCTTAACTTTTCAAAGACCAAGACTCTTTGTGCCCTGAGGGCGGAAGATAAAGCGGAGCCGATCCATAACCGTTTCATTCCGGAGATTTCCGGCCGAGAAAAGTTCGGCCACAAACATTTATAGGGTCACGTAAATGCGTCTGGAGGCGTAATTAGGGCGATTAATTAGAGCCCAGTGATTAGACACATCAGATGGCCTCAGGGCCTTCAGACGGGACAGGTTTCAAAGCAAAAGTTTTGACTAAAAAAAGATTAATTGAGACATCTGAAGGGTAAAAGGCCATTCATTAAAATGGGAGTTAAATATAAACCCACAAGTAGTTTGCAAAAGACATAAGTAATAAATAATAGACCCGAAAAGAGTAGAGTACAACTGCACGGTGCACTTATCTCGAGATGACGGCAACACTTTGGCCAAGAATCAAGAAAAAAGTTTGGGGAAATTCGTTTAATTGCGCTGCAGCTCAACTTAAGGGCTCAAGAAAACCCAGCTCATTTGGAGTACCATAAAGATAAGATGACTCAAGTCACTTGAGAACTCTTCGCTTTTTTAAAAAAAAACTACAAATTAGGGCTCAACGGACTCTTGTGGGGGAGGGCTGCAAGGAAGATGAGCCCAAGGAAGGAGGTGTTCTACCGTTGTTATGGTGTCTTCAGATGCCCTCTCCGGGATCCCTTTTCCCCCGGAAGATCCCTTGGCCCTCAGGGTCTACACTTTTAAATCCGGCACTTATCAAGTGAGGGATTAAACACCTCCAAAGGATGATGAGATAATCGCGATATTCACTTCTAGAATAATCATTCCCGAAGTAAAAATTAGTACGTTAACAGAAGGCAATAACAAGTAGAGGGAAATTTGGGGTTTATTATACTCGTTAATCGCTCTTATTGACAAAATGTTGGAGTAAAACGAGAGTGTTTAGTGCTGTAAGTGTGAAACGTAAGGATATCTTCGTAGGGGAGATGCTTAAAGTCCGGAAGATTCCATAAAATTAAACATGAATTTTATGATTGGGGCACCTGTCCATGGTTAAAAATTTAATCGTATCCTTTCGAAATATATTCAAAATGCTAGCAAACGGTAAAACATAATGAAACATAGCCACCGCAGCGATCAAAAGCGACTCGGATCGACTTTATCCTTTGGCGAATGCAAGTCCTAGGCCTGCTTGAATGAAGAAGAAGAGCACAATCTTCCAAGACACTTTATGACCCAAGTTCAGACATTCAGTTAGTAATTCACCTATTCAACAAACAAAGAACCCGATTTCCGGTCTTCGGAGTCTATTTTGGTTGTTTCTACGGCACACTAACAATAATTTAAAATCGCAGAAAGACTCAGCTACGTGTGTCCTTAAAACCTCGTAGGTTTCTCTGAAATTTACCCTTTTATTAATATTTTTTTTGAAAAAAACTCGATCATACGTAGTATACCTAAATAAAGAACAGCCGGATTTGATTATAAACTTCCCCAACACTTGACCTACTAGAAATTTTAATGCTGATACCCGTTTCCCCTTATAATAAAACTTATAAAAAGTATCATAAAAGTTGTGCAAATGCAGATCCCCCGCTCCCACCCGCCAAGAATCCCATAAAATTACTTTTAAAATGTAGAGTTACATCACTCCCACCCTCTCTTTATGAGTCCGGCTCATTTCCTGGACCCATTTCCACTTCCCTGGGAGTTATTTCCCTTTTCCGGACTTTAAATTGTGAGAAACCGGCCAAAGTTTCTTTCGCCAAATCAAAAACCTCAAGAAATGCACGGATTTAAAGGAGCAAAACCAAAAATTCTGGAAATAATGGGATACGTTTTTATGGACAGGCAGATTACTGGTTTTCGGGGGATAAAATAAGACTCTACGTGTGATTTTTGGAGAAAAAAATAAAAATAAATGAAACAAAGCGATGGAAAATATGAAAAAGTGAATAAACAAGGGACGACAAGACATAACAAAGCTAAATTGAATAGTTACTGCGCCAAAAATATCGACACATGAGAAGCCGGTCGTCTCGAATACTTCCGGAAATCCAATTCCAGATTCTCGGCGTCATGTTATTCCAGAATTATTAATGAGTAATCGAAGAAGTTGTTCGAGAACGCCCTGAGAGGCTGGGAACGCGTACTTTGGGACTTATGGAAAGCTAGCCATTTCTGGACACAATTCATCAAGGGTAATATAAAAATGAAATGAAAAGAGATCTCATCAATGCTCAAGAATAAACGGAAGAAAATATTTTTAGATAAGGGAGACTCTCAAACTTGGAAAACAAAAGTGAGGGTTACTGTAATCCGAGAAAAAATGCGCGAAAAATAAAAATTGGGATAAAAAGGTCGGATTTCCCGGGACGATACCGCATCCTTATCCCCGTCCTTATACTCCCACAGAAGAGGATTTGTTTGCCCACTTGATCGATATTCAAAAAAGCCCTCTGGCCCATTAATTTGAGTACTCAAAGGACGGGAAAAAGGTTAAGGGCCACATTTTGTGACTCATGAGAAAACACAAAGGAATTTACTGTAAAAAAGAAAGAAAACTGATGTCAGACAGGGGCAAAAGAACTGATGAGACAACTAGACCAAGGCGGGGCCATCCAAGGGGACTGGGATCGGCTGGATCGGCTGGCATTTCCCTTCTCTCCGGGTGTATCCGAACTGACAGACACATCTGAAGCTTCCCATTGTGTTCAGGCATTCCTCGAAGGCTGAAAAAGGGGGAACGACTTTAGTGGGATGCAATTCATGTGAATGGAAAACTTATTTATCAGGTCGAGTGTCAAAAAGTTTCACTTGTTCTATCAAAGAACCAAATTTTTTTAAAAATTTTGTATCAAATCTACGACAGGGTCTAAAATAAGGTCGTAATCGCTTGGACAAACGAATTTTTGGATTAAAAATAATCTCCAACGACGTACTTTACCCGTAATTCATCTCCAATCCGTCTGCAAAATAAAATCGGTCAAAAAAGAGTGGCCGGACAGATGACCCTGTCCAAAAAACCCCTTTCCCTTAGGGTCAAATGTCCAAAGAGGCCGGTACTCGAAGGACGGACGGCCCGCTTTCTTTGACCAGGCCCTTGGCCGCTTTCAGGTGGCCATAAAGAATATTTTCGAAAGCAATTACCACCTATATATAAACTACTATAACATTCCCCCACAGATAATCTTATCGCAAATCTTGGAATCAAATTAGATGCCCTGAGGGTGCGGCCTCAGACAACGCGGCGGGAGATGAAATTGGACAAAAGGTTACTGTAAGTCGAGGGAAAAGGGCGGAAATTGACAATTTAAAAGTCACAAATTGGATTCAAACACTTTACAGAAACTACAAAATTTAAAAAAAGTAACATTTACACTGTCGTTACAGTAGTTCTCGAACAAAATATTGTCCAAATTCTCCCAAAAAGGATAGTAAGAAAAATTGTTTTTGTGCCCGAGAAAATAATGGCCTTTGTCGCTGCGATTACCGTGAATGACGACAATAAAACTACTTTATACTACTCCCAGCACACAAACCCTCAGGCAAGGAGGGACGATAATCCTCCAGAAACAGAGTGACTAACACTTTTTTTGATTTGTCATACTATCTAATGCCACAAATCGGTGTAAAAAGCAGCAAAAACGTGAGATTTCGAAAGCCTTTCCAGTTAAATATTAAACATTAATGAGTTATGAGGTAAAATACACTAGGGATTTCTGAATTCATAGGCTTCCCACAGTAAAATACGATAAGAATTAGATAGTAGACCCCCGCTTTCTCTAGATTACCACGTAACCTTACTCATTAACAGACAAAAACCTTAAGAAAAAGGCGATAACACGCAATGAAAACAATATTACACTCGCCCGGATCTATTGTTCGAGTGTTCCAGGGGCAAATATGACGTCATTTTAACAGTAACCCTCTAAAACCAGTGTAAAAGGCAGTTTTAGGGCAAAAATTGTCAATTTTTATATTGTACTAAACAAAATCTATTATTTTTGGCATTTTTAAGGGGTTATAATGCTCTCATCACCCTTCAAAACCAAAAAGAAATTAAATTTTTATGTCATCCATGACTTTTTCTCCCGGAAATTGATATTATTTTGGATAAATCATCAACTTTTTCCCTCCTCCTTACCTCCCTCACACTTGATTCTCTTGCATTCATCAAAATCCACACACTGTTCCGTGTCAAATCGATAATAATACCCATCTTCGGGGCAATCGCAGGTCACATTCCAGTTGTTGGCGACCAATCCGAGGATATTGTCATTCAGATCTGATTTCATTTCACAAGAAGCCTTCGAATTCACCGATTTACAGATGGGACTCGAGCAGGAGCCATTATTATGGAAGCCACAGCAAGGATTCGGGCAGAAACTGGAAGGAAACGATACAAAATTACATAAATTTATATTACTTTAGGCAAAATTTTGATAAAAATTTGGAAAAAAATGACTGAAACGAGAAAATTAAGCGACTAAGACCCTGAACTCTGAGTAATCCAAGCAAATGGAGGGCAAAAGAGTAAAATAAACGGACCCCACCTGATATCAGCACACAGGAAATCGTTCATGAAGGAGATGTCGTCCATCACTTCGGTGTTCTGATCGCTGATTTCTTTCAGAAATTTGTTCTCGCGATATCGAGAGGCTGGGAACTAAATTCAAGAGATCTCGTTACAACTGACTGTAAAAAAGATGACTCACAGTCCGATTGGAACGCTCATCACCTCCATACTGGCAGAAAGGCAAAGACCTGAGGGCATTTACTTTGTTTTTGGTCATCCAGCACATCACATACGCTATTGAGACGTCGAATTGAAACGTATTATCATCCACAAATTGCTTGAACTCTTCGCCTCTGAAAATAAAAAATGCACAGTGCAGAGGATCGAACTGTTCCCGAAGAAGTAAAAACGCACCGTGCAAAAATTTTTTGTAAGACGCACAGTGCAGCAATTGCGACTGCACAGTGCAGAACAAATCAATAAATGCACAGTGCACAAAACCTCTTCCGCACAGTGCATCCTAAGAAAAAAAAAAGATTGTGCAATTGCACAGTGCATTTTGCGGTAATCGCAGCCAAAAATCAACTCGTCCGAAAATTTTGCTTTCACATCGTCGCAAAAAAATTTTCGCATTTGTCGCAAAAAATCTTCGTTCCAAAAGCATTTCCATTTCGCGACAACCGAAGATCTCCGCGACAACCTCAATTTTCGCGACAAATTTGCAAACAGATCGCACGATCGAGAGCGACAAAATTAGTCGACGGAGGTTTGTCGCAGATTTTCAAGCGATGGAAGCAGCGTGTCGCAAATTTCTGCTCGCCGCGGCAACTCCAAATTCCACGCCTTGCGACAAAGCCGTTTCTTTCGACTGCACAGTGCAACGACTGAACTGGTTCGTCTTCAAGTTTGGATGCACTGTGCGTTCAATGGCCAAAAAACATTGAGTGCAAATGGGGCTGCACTGTGCGGAATGATTTTGTTTATCCAAAAAACATGCCAGAGGCAGAAAAGAGAGGAGGGAAATGTCATTTTGGCCATACTTAGTGCTTAGAAAGTGCTGAATTTTAATAGTAACACCACCATTTGACTTACTCGATGATAAAATCATCAACTGCGTTTTCTGTGGGAAAAATTGTAGGGAATCGTTTGTAAAGATCGTCCATTATAAAATTCACGCACGTCTAAAAACAAAAAAAAAAACTTTTCGTAAGATGATCTTCAAAATCTCAAAAAGATTACTGCACTTTTTTACCATAAAATTAGATATTTACCTCGAGATTTTTATAACAATGAACCAGCACTTGTTTGTCAAGAGCTAGCTCGGGTTTGGGGAAAAAATATTCGAATTCGACTTCACCAGTGACCGGCGACGGGATAAAGCGGCGATAAAGTCGCGTGAACAGGGCGATCTTGCCCAACTGCTGGATTATGATCGCCCTTTCGTTCGCGTAAATCCCTCGCCATTGGCTGAAATTAAACGGAACTTACAAAGTAACACTATTTATTTTACAAACTCAAAAAGGTAATGTAATTTTACAATTGAACCCTGAATCAATTTAATTTACCTCTCGAATTCCCTGAGAAGATCCTGAGTCAAAAGTTCCGGCTTTAATCGCGACGTCTCGAGGGAAATGGGCGATGTCTGAAATAAAAGTCAAATAAAATTACTGAGAACAATTGGGTGCCCTTAGGGGATGTTTGCAAGACTTACAAGTGCAATCGAATTCAAGAGAATGATGATATGAAAAATGGAATAAATACGACCGGTCGGCATGTTGGAAATAACTTTTAACATTCGATTGTAATGTTTTGTAAACGATGAGAAGAAAGGCGAAATAAGGAGTCGAAAGAAAGGGTATTTCGTGTAATACGATGAAAACAAATTGTCAGTCACAACGACATTTCGTATCCCGCTTCTGACTTTTATGGCCATTGTCCTCAATATTGTTTCATATACATTTAATGTAATGTAAATACATGTGTAAATACATATACATGTATGTAAATACCCCTTTATTTTTTATGCTTATCTTTTGTAGGCTTCGAATTTTTTATGAATCTATCCATTTCTAGGCTTTGCTGTATGATCTGTGTTTCCCTTCAACATTTTGTTTTCCGAAGAGTTTATCAAATAAATTATGAGTCAAAAAAAGGATTGGCATCCAAGTTCATGAATAGAAACTCTGAGAAAATGTGGATTTTAATCTTATTTCTTATTGATTTTGTGGTCCTAATAGAAGTCGAATATAAAGGAGGTAAATTGAGAATTAGGATTGTGATTAGTCGTATTAGACATTCCACTTCTGCCAATTTCATTCGAACCAAATGGCCAGATCTACAACGCAAAAATAGCGATCAACTATCCGTCTTATTTTTTGTTGGGTCCGGATTGTAAGCAGACCAATCGTTGTACTGTAGATCCACCGAGCAATGTTTTTGATCCCAGGTAGACACAAAAACGGACTCTATTACTTTTTAGTCATTATAAGGTAAAAAAGATTGGAAGTTTTACTCAACGATACAATGCTGATACAGTAACTGGCATTAAATATCAAGGGTATCTTGGAAGCACAGTATTTTTTGTAAACGATACCACCAAGATGCCTGCCGCTCGAGCGAGCGAGGAGGCAATTAATCTGCCTCATATTGGAGTGTTCGGCCTTGGCTTTGGAAGTCGACTGGATGACGATTCTATTATTAGGAAGGTGTTCCAGAGTTCAGAGACACATCTGATGATATTCAGGAGAGGTCCTTTTTCGCATTACTTGGTAGTGGTTCTACAGATCTAATCATCTTGTTTCCTTGTTTAGAGAGAAAGGTACATCCCCGACGATCAAATCAAAGGAAGATACAGTACTGGGGAGGAAAGGATGGCTGGATGCGGAGAGTTTAAATATTTCCCAACAAAACTCGGACTGGGATGGACTTTGGGGGGAAAGTAAGTCCAGAATTTAATTTTTGATCGGTTTTGTATTCACATAACAAGTAGTTGCTTTACAGGGTTCAAATTGGAACAGAAACATACTCGAATTACAATGTGATACTCGAATTGGGCGAGGCCATGAGAGTTCCCGAAGATCTTTACAATAAACATTTCAAACATGTCAAAAGACAACAAGATATTCCTCAATTCAGCTTTCATCCGGATCCAAAAACGAAGCTTCAAATATCCACAGAATTACTGTCACAGTACTACGAGAAGAGCAAGTTTGAGTTGGACATCAAACCAATCAGTGCGAATCAAATTATTCTCGGAAGGAACTTCTTATCGCAATATTGTGTCGGTTTAAAAGCCGATGAACAAATGGAAAATATGGAGATTGGGATAGCCCAAATCAATGAAATAGAGGATGATGCAAAGTACAAAAAGAGGGAGGAAGAAAATAATGGTGATAATGATGATGAAGGGAAAGATAAAGAAAAAGAATCGGATGGAGGCAAGAGTAAAGAAGAAGGGGAAGGAAACAGAGACGGTAAAGATGACGATGAGGGTCACAGGCAGAACAATATGTCATCGGCTGACAGTAGTAGGGCTCTAACTGTAATTGCGTTGTCTCTTTTGAACAAATTAGTGTTTCAGATACTTTGATTTTATTTATTATCTCAAGAGAATAAAAAATGGGTGAATTTGATCAATCGACTGGTTCTTTTCAAAACGACCGTTGGTTAGAAAAGCATAGATCTTTAAAAGCGAATCACATCACTTTGACTCATAAACCAAAGAAAGAAAGCTTGAACGGCTACGTGATTGGTCTTCGGTTACGAGATCAAAGCGTTGAGGCTGACATGGGTGTGATATAGTACAAAAGCGACATGACATAGCCGGCAAACTTATGCCCTTTTAACAATTCAATCATCTCTTTTCAATTTATATCACGCATAAACACCCATATGTACATAAATTAATCTTCCATGGATTCTTCCTTGATTCCCTTTTTCTCTTCTTCCTTTTCTTCGTCATTGAGATCATCTTTTTCATCTTCATCATCCGATTTGTTGTCATCACTATCTCTTTTATCCTCTTCTGGAGAGGATATTGGTTCTTCCAGTTCCGTTTTAACTAAAATCAAGCAATAAGTCAATCAAAATTCACCTGCCTTCAGGCTTCCTTCCCCTAAATTCATCAATGAGAACATTTAATTCCTGCACTCGAGTCCTCTTGTCAGCCAATTTTTGTTCCAATTCCTTCTGAGTTTCGTGGAGATCACTGAGAGAAGCATGTAATTTCTCCAGATTCTCAGTGGTCTCTTCTCTCGAAGGTTTTTCAACGATCTTCCTGGCAATATCATCGTATTCTTGTTTATTCTTCCGAACCAATTTTGCCTCTTCTAATTCTTTTTTGACACTATCAATCTGAGCTTTCAATTGGTCGATTTTTCCATCTAAAATTGCTTAATTCAATAACAAAAAGTTAAAAACTCAATCTTATACTAGGTAAAACACTTACAAATTTCCATATTCAAATTTTTTAAAACCTGAGTTTCATTGTAGATGAGATCGGAGAGGACATTTTGCTTTTCCAGACTGTATTCGACGAGCCCCAATGTGTTCTCCACCCTGATTACTTCTCTAAACAATCAAATAAAGGTAAAAAATAACCCTCACTTACTCCGAATTATCCTCCGCTTCTGGGTTAAGATTCCTGAGTTGAATAAAAAGAGTCTGTAACCTCTTATCCTCCCCAAACCCATCTCCATCTGCCACGAATTTCCTTAGAATTGCTTCTTCACTCATTCTACAATTTGTCAAGCATACTTACTAGCACCGTCAAGATACATTACCTTGCTCAAAACAACTATTTTTATAATTCGGAACCCCAAACAATATTTATTATGATTTAAAAATTTACAAAACAATATAGTAATGAACAACAAGTTTTCATGAACAGGGATAGGGGAATTAAAGCCGCCAGGTCACCACAATCTCATAACAATAAGCTTCAACGCATTTATTGAGCACCAAGGATAAGTTTAACCTGAAATCGGCATATTAAAACAGCAAAGATTTAGATTCAAAGCAAAGAAATTCCAAAATGCAATGAGAAGGACTCACCTCAACCTGCTCATCTCTGATCTCGGACTTGCTTGAGGCCACCACCTTTCCTTTGGTATCCTCATTCAACTTCACGGTAGTTCCAGTAGACTTAGAGATAGTCTCGAGATAGGCCTTGGCCGTTTTCAAAAGATGGCCGTCAACTGGTTCGAAGGTACAATAAGCACTGGCAACATCATCAGGCTGAAGCTTCGCTTCTTTTCTCAATTTTTGGATTCGGTTGATGATCTCTCTGCTCAATCCTTCTTCCAAAAGTTGCTGATCTTCAGTGCAATCCAGAAGAACGACAGTTTGATTTCCAGCTTGGGTTTCCCAATTTCCTCCGGATCCAGAATCACACGTAAAGGCGACTCCCACTTCTTCCGAGGTCAATTCATAGCCAAGGACGGTGATCTTACAGTTAGCGATCAGCTCTTCCAATTCGGTTTCAGTCACGGTGTTCCTCAAATAATCAGCGACCTTCTTCTGATCTCCTCTCAATCTTTTTCCCAACAATTTGAAGTTTGGTTCGGCCTTCAATTGGACCCCGTATTTGGCCTTGTCTTGGGATACGGTAACCTCCTTCACATTGAGTTCACTTTGAATATAAGTCTTCAAGCTGAGCACATCGTCGAGGAATTGTTGGGAGCGGTTTACAACGATCACTTCTCTCAGCGGGTACTGTAACAAAAATTATCATAACATCTGACAATATAACAAGACCCCTTACTCGAGTGCTGATTCCCTTTCGTTCTCTCAGCGTCCTTGTAATGTCAATAACCTCTCTCATGGCGCTGACCCTTCTCTCCACATCTGCATCAATCCATTCAATGTGTGGTTCAGGGATGTCAGTGAAGTGAACAGAACCCTTATCTGACCCAATGACAGTCTTCAGATGATCCCAAAGATATTCAGAGAAGAATGGAGTGAATGGGGCCATCAATCTGACTACAGTGACCAGAACATGAGCAAGAGTGGACAGGGCGATACGACGATCTTCATCGTCCTCATTCTCGGGCTTGAAGCGATTCCTGTTCAATCTGATGTAGATGTTGGTCAAGGTATCAAAGTATTTTGTAAGAGGATTCACGACGGCATAAAGATGGTACAGCTCCATCTCTTTGCGGACATATTGGACCAGACTGTTGGTGAAGGAAACGATCCATCGATCCATTACATTAACCGCATTTCCAGTGTGGAAATCGAACTTGGCCTTGGCATCCTAAAATAAACAGATCAATGTCAAAGAAAACCTTTAATAAAACATAAAAAGATTGTGTTTACCAATTCAAACAGTCTCAAATTAGCAGCCAAAATACGGAAAGCGTTGAACCAAGGTAAGAACACATCCTTGAGGACTTCTCTGACCCCATCTTCTTTGAACTTGAGAGTCTCTCCTCTAACAACTGGACTGTTGATCAAATAAAGCCTCAGGGCATCAGCTCCGTACTTGTTGACAACTTCCAATGGATCCGGGTAGTTCTTCTTGCTCTTTGACATCTTGTTTCCATCAGAGGCAAGGATAAGTCCATTACAGATCAGGTTCTTAAACGGAGGCTTGTCAAAAAGAGCGGTTGACAACACCAACAAAGTGTAGAACCATCCTCGAGTCTGATCAATTCCCTCGGCAATAAAATCAGCGGGGAAATTCTCTTCAAATCTCTGTTTGTTCTCGAAAGGATAATGCTGCTGGGCATAAGGCATGGAGCCGGATTCGAACCAGCAATCGAAGACCTCGGAAGTTCTCTTCAGGATATTCCCAGACTTCGACTTGATAGTCAGATCATCGACACTCTCTCGATGGATATCCGTGATCTTCTTTCCGGTCAACTCTTCCAATTCTTTGATGGAAGATGGGCAAACGATCTCACTGTAATCATCGCTGACCCAAAGATTAATGGGAGTTCCCCAGAAACGGTTTCGGCTTACGGCCCAATCTCTGGCATCCCGAAGCCAGTTAGCGAATCTCTTTTCCTTGACGAAGGTTGGAACCCTGAACAATAAAAAATACATTCGAAACTTTACTTACCAATACGTCTTATCGTTATTTTCCAAAAGTTTTGAGACGATGCTCTCTACTCTGATAAACCAAGACGGCACGGCCTTGTATAACAGCGGAGTGTCAGACCGCCAGCAGAATGGATAACTGTGCTGACAAGTGGCTTGTTTAACCAAATGTCCGGATTGTTGTAGAGCTTTCAGAATGGCCTTATCCGCGTCCTTGACATACTGGCCTTTATAATCAGCAACTTCAGCAGTGAAGAGACCCTTTTCATCAACGGGACAGACTAAATCTCCATCTTTAGTGATGACACCATTTTCCAAGCATGTAGCGAAATCGATCTAAACCCAATTCGTATGTTATACATATCAAAATTCAGCATGTGTTGCCAAAACGAAAAACAAAAGTATAAAAACGCTTACCTCTCCAAAGTAAGGAGCTTGATGAACACACCCGGTACCTTGATCAGTAGTGATGAAAGTACCCAAAAGAACTCGGAAAGCCCCACTTTCTCTTCGATGAGCAAAGTAAGGAAAGACTGGTTCGTACTCCAAGCCACCAAGAGCCTTTCCTAGGAAAGTCTCGAGGATTTCGTATTGATCAGGCTTCTTCCACAACTCAGTTAGCCGGCTTTTCAACAGAACATATTCTTTATCACCTCCTTTCGGTTTGACAGCCACATACTCAAGGTCTGGGTGGACAGCGATAGCCAGATTACTGGGCAAAGTCCATGGAGTAGTGGTCCAAATGATGAGAGATCTCTTCGGGTTGTCCTTCAATTGAAAACCGACAAATGCTAAACAAAAAAGATAAAGGTGTTTCTAAACATATCTAAAATAATACAATTTAACCTCTTACCAGCAGGATCTTGAACGTCTTTGTAGTTTTGACCGGCTTCGAAGTTACTCAATGGAGTGGAGCATCCAGTAGAGAAAGGCATAACCTTCACACCACGATATACCATATCTTTTTTGTAGAGTTCGGAGAAGACCCACCAAACGGATTCCATAAACCAAGGATACAGAGTCTTATAATCATTGTCGAAGTCAATCCAACGACCCATTCTCTGCACAGTATGCCTCCATTCGTTTGAATACCTCATAACGATGCTTCGACAATGGTTGTTGTAGACTCCGATACCCATTTCATGAACATCACCGGGTCCTTTGATACCCAAGGTTTTATCAACCTCAAATTCAACTGGAAGACCGTGGGTATCCCAACCAAAGCGCCTTTCGACATGATGGCCAGTTTGCGCAGCCCATCTGGTCACAACATCCTTGATGGTTCCTGCTAGGATGTGGCCATAATGAGGAAGACCGGTAGCAAATGGAGGGCCGTCATAGAAAGTAAAATGAGGTCGATCCTTGGATAATCTAAAGAAGGAATGAAACAACAACTTGACAACCCACTCTAGCGATTTTTTGAAGGTGCTTTCCTTATCCCAATGCTCGAGGATTTTCTTCTCTTCGGCCGGGAAGTTGATGGTATCCGGTACTGATCCCAAGCTCGACATCTTTGCGACAAAACTTTACAGTTTTCCCAATAACAATTACACCCTATTCTGATTGACACAAAATAGTTGAAGTGATGTAATACTAGGCTCGAATTAAAATTTCCCCACCTTTTTAGCCTGAAACGGAATGCCAAGAATTTTCAGTTCATTGCCAATTGGGAGGAGGACTTTTTTTTCAAAATAATTCTTCCGCAATTTTGTCGAGATTTGCGGAGAATCTAATGTAAGGAAACCCGAGGACAGTCGAAAAAAGCAAAGGAATAAGTATTTTCAGTTGCCAAGTATTTATTTGTTTTACCAACATACAAATAGATAATGTAATTTAGTTGCGAAGACGTCTCTTCTTCTTGTAAGCCCCGGTCCGTCCGGCTTCGGCGTTCAAAACCGGAGCGGCTGGCTTGGCTGGGCCAGCTGGAGCACTGCCAGGACCACCGCTGCTGCGAGATGGGCATGGGCAATATTCGGCGTCCTTTCCAGCGGCTCCTGGACCTCCGTTGGTCCCAGGTTTTCCGTCGAGTCCATTCTTTCCTGGGGCTCCTGGAGCTCCCTCTGGTCCTGGTTCTCCAGGCTCTCCGGGTTGTGGGGCTTCTCCCTTTTCTCCAGCAGGTCCTCGGGGTCCGACCAATCCAATAGATCCCTTGGGGCCGGGTGGAGAGACAGCTTTGCGGCCGTCCATTCCGGGATGTCCAACTGATCCAGGTTCTCCAGGTGGTCCTTGTGGTCCGGCATCTCCGAGAGGGCCCAATGGTCCTGGGAATCCGTCGTTTCCTGGGTATCCTTTTTGTCCTGGGAGACCTGGCTGACCAATTGGACCGGGCTTTCCGATTGGTCCTGGTCTTCCTGGAGGTCCTCCTGGGCAAGTAATGCAGCCTCCCTTTCTGTTGGGGCCAAGAAGGGCGATTCCAGGGGCTCCGGGCTTTCCATTCTCTCCATTTGGTCCCTCTTCTCCCTTCTCTCCTGGCTGTCCGGCTGGGCCTGGTGGTCCAGCTGGGCAGTTGTTGGCCTTGCGGGCACATTCACATTGGGTGGAACGCTTGTTTCTTCCAATGAGTTGGGCGAAAGTCTCGGTTTTTGGTTCTCCTTCGGGGGTGGAGACGGCCATCATTCCGTGCCAAGCATCGTTGGCGGCTGATTTGAAGTCTCTCATGTCAACCATGACCTCATCGTAAAGGGAGTTGATGTCCTGGAAGACCATGCCAACGGAAATGAGGGCTCCGAGGATGAAGACGGCCGAGACCGCGGAGGTCGCGACTACAAGGAATTTCGCACTCATTGGCTGAAAGCAAAATTTATTTACTAACGACAAATAAACGATTCAAATTAACAAGAAAATAGAGGTAAAAGAAGTGGATACCTTTGAAGCTGAGTAAACCTGAAGCCTGGGATGAGTGTTCCAGTCCAGACGGGCCTTTTATACCAGGCGGAACACTTTTTTGCACTGACCCCATTGTTGTTTATCATCGCTCCGTATCATCATTTCTATCCCTCGGGTTCCATCACTCTCGCGCGACATTTTTTGTTCACTGAAACAAAGACGCTCCCTTAAGGCGTTGGCTGAGGCATTGTCGCTGGAGGAAGGGAACCCATCAATCGGGCGCTAATGAGCCCAGAAACTTTTAAATTGGGTTAAAAAACTTGGAACAACGAGAACTAAGTAACAATCGAAAAAGTATCCGAATTCAGTCAATTCATTTATTTCAGTTAAGGTTAAGAGTTCAGTCGTCGCCGACGGTCTAAGCCTGGCGTTGACGTTGACGGCGGAGCTTTCTGCGGCGGTAGCCGGAAGCAGCTGGGGCTGGAGCGGCCGTGGTGACATCTGGCTGGGCAGCTGGGGCGGCAGCTTCATACGATTGCGCAGCGGCTGGAGCGGCAGCAACTGGGGCCTCACCAGTACGGGCTGGGCAAGGACAGTAAGCAGCATCAGCTCCTGGGACTCCTGGGCCTCCAGCAGCGCCTGGCTGACCGTCGGGACCGGGGTTTCCTGGCTGGCCGACTGGTCCAACTGGGCCGGGTGGTCCTTGTGGGCCTGGTGGTGGGGCGGCTCCGGCATCTCCTGGGGCTCCTGGAGCTCCAGCTGGTCCGACAGGTCCCTTGGGTCCGGGAATGGGGTTGGCGCGTTGTCCATCCTGTCCTGGGTTTCCTGGAGGTCCGTTGGTTCCTGGGTTTCCGGCTGGTCCTTGGTCTCCGCTTGGGCCTGGTGGTCCAGCAACTCCTGGTTGTCCGTCTGGGCCTGGGTTTCCGTTCTGACCGTCTGGGCCTGGTGGGCCAGCTGGTCCATCTGGGCCTGGAGGTCCAGCGGGGCCAGCTGGGCAGGTAATGCAGGCACCTTTGAGGCCGGGGAGGTCGAGTTGAGAGACTCCAGTGCGGCCAGGCTGTCCAGCTTGTCCTGGGGTACCATCGTCACCGGGAATACCTGGGGTTCCTGGTGGTCCAGGTGGGCCTGGAGGACAGCTTGAAGCTTGGCGAGCACAAGCGCAAGCAGCTTGACGCTTGTTACGGCCGACAAGAGAGTCGAAAGTCACCTTGGGCTTGTTGATCTGCTGGATGTTGATCATTCCTCCCCAGGCATCGTTGGCATAGAGCTTGAACTCTTGCATGTCAAGCATAATCTCGGAATAGAGAGAGTTGATGTCATTGTAGATGTAGATGGCGCTGACCAAGGCCAAGACCACAGCGGCCGCTGACCCAACGGCCGCGGTTCCCACGATAAATCGGCTCATTATCTGTAAAATAAGATAATAGTTGGTTAATGAAGTGATCCTGGATGATAATATATATCGATGCTTACCTGTAGAAGACACAGATGCTTGGCTACGATCACCCTCACGTTTTCTATGCCTTAAATAGGGTAGCATTACAAAGAAGTTCAACCCATTTTACAGGTTCCAGAGGTCGTTGAATGTTTGGATTGTAATTTCCCTGTACCCTCTTCCTTTCCCTCGATCTTTATCTCGTTTTTCTTATCTTCCGTTAAATTTTTCGCGCTTCTTTCAGATTATTTTAAGTTTTACTATGGATAAAACGAGTTTTTTTTTGGTTTTCAGGCGACTCATTTGTCGATGACTTCTGGAACAAAAGAAAAAAGATGGGGTCGTGAGTCAAGCAGAGATCGGAGGTGAGGAAATGCACGGGCTCGTTGTAATTTTGACACGATTTTTGGCGTCTGAGTTTGTTTTTTGAAACCCTCGGCCAAAAAAAAACTGGTTCAGATCGCAATTTCTGGGTCATGGGTCGCATTCCGAAGATGGTTTGTAATATCGTGATTTCAGAAGAAGTTGCGAGATTACTGTAACCTAAATGGTTGATTGCTTTTCATATAAGTCTAAATTCAGTGAATCAAATCTGCCGTCATTCAATTTTATGGCTTTGCTTTATGACTTCAAATCCGCTGAAATGCATTAATATTGAACCCGTCACCCAAGGTGTGTCCACTCCTTAACCTTTTTTCTCTGCCTCTCTCTTAAATTTCCATTATTCCCGCGACTTTCACTCTTACTTTTTAGCGCGATTCCAACTTGTTTTCAAACTTTTTCCCTCAGCGATTTCAACTTTTTGTGGACATCGCCTGCGGATAAGGGATCCCTGAGTCTACCTATAAAAGGCTCCAAGTCATGGGCGAAAGTGTGAAATCCAGTTCGTTGGAGAGTCACTTCAAGGGTAAGACTTTCGTTTATATCTTCTTCACCAAAATATGTATCATATATCTTGTGTTTACGATTTCTTTTTAGAACAATGCCCACCAAATCCTTGGCCGTTGTAGCGGCATTTGGTTCAGCTTTGGTGGTGATCGCTTCCTTGTATAGCGCTGTAATCTTATTCCAAGACATCAACTCTCTTTATGATGAGATTATGGACGATATGGCTGAATTCAAGCTGTATGCGAATGATGCATGGAGTGGGATAATGCATGTGAGCAACCCCATCCAACGTCACAGTAAGGGCTCTTCATTCGTTGAATTGGTTGGTCGCAACAAGAGAGAAGCCACCTGTTGGTGTGCTCCTCGAGCCGTGAATTGTCCAGCTGGGGCCCCTGGAAAGCCAGGAGATCGAGGAGAACCTGGAGAACCCGGCCCACCAGGAAAGCCCGGAAACGATGGTGCTCCCGGAGAAGTGAAGCCAACTCCCCCTCCTAGCAGAAACTGCATTAAATGCCCTGCTGGAGAGGTTGGCCCGAAAGGACCACCTGGAGAAGCTGGCCCCGCTGGAAGAGACGGCATCCCCGGAGAAGATGGATTCCATGGAAACGACGGCCATCCTGGAGCTCCCGGACCTCGAGGAGATCAAGGACCGGCTGGTCCTGCCGGTTTGGTTGGTCAGCCTGGACATCCTGGACGCGATGGAAGGAAGGCCATCCCCACACCTGGCTCCAAAGGACCACCAGGATATCCAGGGCCTCGAGGAGAACCAGGAGAACCCGGAGAAACACCTCCACCCTCACCTCCAGGAGAGCCAGGGCCTCAAGGAAAAGTAGGACCTCCTGGCCCACCTGGACGTGTTGGATATGGCGGAAAAGTTGGAGCACCAGGTAAACCAGGCCCAGACTCCGGATACTGCCAATGCCCAAAGCGAGAGAATGCCCCGGCCCTTCCTGAGCCCACCAAACGGACAGCCCCTAAGGCAGTCGCCCCTCCTGGAGCTCTTCCCGGAACGTCTGCTGGGTATGATTCCCCTGCTCCTGCCGTTGTTAGTCCTGTCATCGCCGCTGCTCCACACACTCCTGAGGCCAACGCTGGAGTCCCCAATTATGCGAAGAGGATCAGATTGTAAATAATGACGTTGTGGTTATTTGTGATAGTAATGGATAGTAGATTTTATTGTATTCGAATGCAGAAATGATAATAAATGTATATATGTATCTGTTGAATTATTGGCTTTTTGCTCTATCACATAGGATCATATGGAGTAATACGAAAGTTTTTAACTTGTTGAATATCTACGACTCAAAAGAAGTTGTTATCACGAGAAGTATCATATGTGTGTCGTGTATATATCTTAAAGCAGGGAGTAAAACACTCCCAGTAAGAGCTCAGAGACACTTAGCAAGGAGAAATATCCAAATCCAATTTCATCTAAACATGACAAATGAAAGAATAATAAAAAACAAACAGTATGGGATACAAACAGTAAATTTTTCCAATTTCTTGAATTGCCAATACAAATACGGCCCTTGAAAACTGCTTATATACCTTTAAAGCTCGCCAACCATCTTCTCAGACAATAAAACACCTTTCCGAACATTACACCCGTTTCTAAACCACCTCAAATTATTTATTATCCACGGTGTCGAATGTCAAAATGAATTTGAAATTTTGCCCCGAGGGCACGACTAGCCAAATTCCAGCGCACGCGCGATTCCTTTGTTTGAAAGTGGAAAGTCGCAGCGATCAGAGTTTTTTCGCCGACCAGTGTGGAAAAGATGACATTCGGAGTGCAAAACGTCGGAGTGGAAACAAAAAATACCTGGAACGACCTCAAGAAGAGTATAAAAGATGGGTTTCGGGCCTGATTTAACAAGCCAGTTCGCTTCCTTGTTCATACACAAGCAACACAGGTAAGTCTTCATTAACTTCTGTTATCATGTTATATTATATATTGATCTATTATCTTATATAATCCTTTACAGTATGAGCACCAAATTCTTGGCCGGTCTCGCGGCCTGCACCTCCGCTCTCGTCGTGGTCATCTCTCTGATCACTGTCGGTGTTCTCTTCCAAGACATAAACTCCATGTACGACGAAGTCATGGAGGACATGCAGGAGTTCAAGTTCATGGCTAACGAGGCTTGGCAAGGAGTGATGATTGTCTCGGGAACCCAAGGAATCACCAAGGCGCGACCTTCTTTCGTCCAACTCATCGGTCGTAACAAGCGTCAAGCCTCTTGCAACTGTGCTCCAGTCGCAAACAGCTGCCCACCTGGACCTGCTGGAAAGCCCGGAAGTCGAGGAGAGCCCGGGATTGATGGAAAACCTGGCAAAGCAGGCAATCCAGGAGCCCCTGGAGAGGTCCCCAGCACAACCCCCAAGCCAAAAGCAGAGTGCATCAAGTGCCCAGCTGGAAGACCCGGTCCCCCAGGACCCCCAGGAACCGCTGGAGAAGCCGGAATTCAAGGACACCCAGGAGAGGCCGGATACCCAGGAAACGACGGATTCCCAGGCCCTCAAGGTCCACCCGGAGATCAAGGAGAACAAGGACCACCCGGAAACAAGGGACAGCCAGGACATCCAGGCCAAGACGGACGAAAGGCCACCTCCCCACCTGGCCCCAAGGGACCTCCAGGCCGTCAAGGAAACCGTGGCCATCCAGGAGCTCGAGGAGAAGCCCCACCACCCGGAGAACCAGGAGCGCCCGGACCACAGGGACCAATTGGACAGCCAGGAGAGCCAGGAAAGGACGGAGAGAACGGCAAACTCGGAGGTCCAGGTGCTCCCGGAAAGGACTCTGGATATTGCCCTTGCCCAACCAGAAACAGCGCCCCTCCTGCCCCACCACCACGCGCTTCTCCATCTGGACCTCGTCAGCCAGTCATCTCCCCAAGTGCCGGAGCTGGCCAGGGATACGATGCCCCTGCCACTTCTGGAGGAAACAAGAACGGTTACAGACGCCGTTTCAAGCAGATCTAACGTCATTTCCTATCTTATTTTACTATTCATGTCTTGTAAAAACCGTGAATAAATATTATTATTTGCATAAAATAGTGGCATGGTGTAACTTTGAATTTAGAGATTTGTAAATTTGAATTTCAAAATTCCGAAGAAACCGTTCTTGTTCTTACCACGAACTCAATGAATGCGAAAATCTCTGGCATTCCGTGGCACGTAGAGTTATTTTTGCGATACCAACGGAAATGGGTGTTATTCATAATAAAAACAGTCGTTATTGTGTTTGTTCCCTTTTCTTTCTTTCGGCCATTTTGTTTCTTTTAACCTTATTATATTGCTGTAGGGGTTAAACAGGAGCTATGCCTCCTCTGCAGAGTTCTCAAGTTCAAGATGGCCAACCGACTACGACAACAACAGAAACTGAGACGGATAAGAAGCTCAAGAATAAGCCAAATGGTACGTTTGTTTTGTGCTTTACGTTTGTTGTTCTAGATTCCAAATTACGCCAGCAAAAGTTGCCTGCTTGGCAGCCAATCTTAACTGCCTTCACTGCGATTCCGACTGTTTTCCTGATCGGGTTCCTTTTCATCCCGATTGGTGTGGTCCTATTTGTATATGCTAACAAAGGTAAGTGGTTTTTTCTTTGCGTTAACGGTTACCTCATTATCTTTTTAGTGTACGAGCAAGTGATCCCCTACGATAATTGCGGGCCTGGTCTTTGTGATGTCCCTTTTCAAATAGATGAAAGTCTTAATGAGAGGGTTTTCTTTTACTATCAGCTCAAGAATTATTTCCAAAATCATCGAAGATATGTGAAGAGTCGAAGCGATCGACAGCTGGCTGGAATTGACCTTGGTGATGTGGGAGAATGCTCGCCATACGACTTCGCCCAAGGAACTAGCACTAAGATATTGCCATGTGGAGCGATTGCCAATTCAATGTTCAATGGTAAGTGTTTCATTACGATAGTTGTTATTTTGATTTTAGATACCTTTCAAATATTACGAGAGGATGGAATTACTCCAGTTACATGGACTTATGAAGGCGTTGTTTGGAGTGTAGATCAGGATGTGAAGTTCCGGAATCCTCCAAACAGTGGGGTTGAGGATCTCTGCAATCAGTTTAGGCCCTACTCTCGGCCTCCGAATTGGAAAACCGACCTTTGTCGATTGGATCCATTGAATGCTAACAACACTGGACTCCAGAACGTTGATTTCATTGTTTGGATGAGAACGGCTGCTCTTCCGTCTTTTAGAAAGTTGTATCGGATAATGTATGATGGAATTCCTCAGGGCAGATACATCTTGAGGATACAGAATAGTAAGTTCGATATTACTTTATAAACCTTTCTTATTTGTGTTTATCCCAATTTAATTTTTAGATTATAATATCTCGATGTTCAATGGGAAGAAATCCTTTGTCATATCGACAACTTCTTGGGCCGGAGGAAAGAATACTTTTCTGGGGATCGCTTATATTGTAATTGGCAGTATTTGTGTCATTCTCGGATGTATTTTCACATTTATTCATCTAAAATTCGGACATTCGTAAGTTTTTTTAATTTTTCTCTCTGAAAGTTTAGCTGGCTTTGTTTTTAATAATATGTTTGATGACTTCTGTTACTACTTACAATTAATTTGTAACCTTTTTAGTTTTGCTGAGATGGCCGATGTGACATCAGGTGTTCGAGCTCAGTGATCATCTCCTTCAGATATGTACATTACATTCGCAATACCGTGACCGGTCTTCTTTGCCATTTCTGTGATTCCCTCCACATAAATTCAACTTTCAAATTCGCTTTGTAAATAGGATACCTTTCTGTCGCGGGGTTTATGTGGCTCCAGAATGTCGCTCTCCGTCCAGGGCTTCTCACTTTTTTGAATCGAATAAATGAATTTATAGTTCTTTCGAAAATGGCCATTTTAATGTCATGGTGAATGTAATGTGTGCCAACCATGTTTTTCTAGACCTCTTGCCCTTTTAAATTTCCAGTTTCCCTCCAAATTTCTGCCGGCCGAAAGGTCGCGCACGATTTATGGCATTTTGATGGGCTTTGTCCGCCTCTCATCGACTACCTACTTCCCGTCCCCACAGTTACTCCCTCCGAATGTTTTGGGTTTCCATTACTCATGAATCTGGAAAAGGGAAAGGAGAGTTTATGTTTTTTTATTCATTATGGTCAGTTCTGAGATTACTATATATACAGTAGAAAAAATGTTTTAAGATCAAAATAACGTTCAAAAAAAGTTATTTGCCGCCAGCAGGGGTCGAACCTGCGACCTTGGGCTTATTAGACCCACGCTCTAACCGACTGAGCTATGGCGGCACACTGGTCGTCCTGTTTTTGTGGTTTGTGTAAGTGATAAGGTGGGCTGGAGACCGGAAGAGGAACCACTTTGTTGACAGTTCCCCTTCACTATCTGTACGTCTTACTATCATTTCCTAAACTAACTTTCCTTACATGACGTCAACAAAAGAAACGATCTTTTTTGCAAAAAATGAAGGGATACGGTTAATTACCCATGTAAACCAAGGTTTCGGCTGTCCACCCCGATTAGTGTTGGTTGTTGTGTGTCGGCGCCATCGCATAAATCGTTTCTTGACCCATCCATCTTCTCGCTGTAACAATCTGTAAGCGCTGAGTAATTGCATAACCAGTCGATGTTCTTCTTGATTACTTTGATGTTCTTCTCGATGTTCTTTCTCTTCTTTCCACCCAAAAACATTTCAATCAATGTGATTTGATAAGAAATCACGCATCGCTGGGTCCCTCGGTCGCCCCCTCCCCTCCCAAAACCCAACTTTTCTTTTTTCCCCAATCAATTTAGTTGTAATTAATTACTGTGTAAGTAGTTGTTAATCAATTATCCTTCGGGTTGCAAGACCTCTCTTTTTTCGCGGATTTACCCAATTTTACAGAGGATTATGTTGTAATTGGCATACAGGTATTATGATTTTCAGCTCACTTGAAATCGTTGTCTGTAGTGTAAATGCGAATGAATGATAACTCCACACCGACCGAACAGGACGTTTTGTCTGGCGATTTTTGTTTTTCTTCCCGTTTCTTTTGATCTCAGCCACGCCAAACATGTACAAAGACGATTTCTCGATGAAATGCGTAAGTGTTTGAAGAATGCGAATTCTTTCTCGCGTCGGCGGAGAGACCATTTTTCGGCGGAGTCATTTTTGATGTCTTTTATAAAAATTACAGCATGTTACAAGGCCCAAAGTTCTTTACTACGGTGAAATTAGGCTTGTCACATATGATAAGTTGTAACCTGTTAGTCCCGGTAGCTAAAGAAAATTTTCCAATCGGATTCCCAAAAGCCGAGCCCCCAAAATGGCTTCCGCCGACAAAAGTCTTGCCGAGCCTTTGCCAATGTGTGAAACGTCAAACTATTGAGACTACCAGATTACATCTTATCAAATACAAAAAACCTTATTTCATCCGCAGTAAGGATGTCTGGGCTTTGTAAGAACAGAAAATTACAAAAAAATGCAATTGTGTTGTCTCCGCCGAAAAATGGTCTCTCCGCCGACGCGAGAAAATTTTTTTTTGTCTATTCTAAAAACGGTTTTTTGTAAATTAAATTCCAAAAATTTTTTTAGCTCCAGTCCACAAATTGCCCTATAATCACAACATAATCCATCTAGACAACTCTACGTACAAGAATTTATGTTACTGTAGCTATGGCGATGACTTTTGCGAGTACAATAAGACCTGTATAAAGCACGGAAAGGCTGCTTGTTATCATGCAGTGGAAGAAGTAAGACTTTCAGTTCGTATTTTATGTTTTTAGGTGTTTAATCAAGAACTGGGGAGGATGGAAACCTGGCATTCTTATGGATGCGCCCCTCTGGAGGGGGGGTCTGATGGCTCCGATCTTACTGTAAGTTGACAATCATAGCCTCCAAGTGGGTCTAAATATTTATTAAAAATTTTGTAATTTAATCTTAATTCAAGTGTCAATCGTGGAAGTTATCACACGCAGTTCCCCGAAGTATTGCGTGTTGTTATGAAGGGGCTTACTGTAACTTGAATATTACCCCACCGGAATATGTAAACGTGCCAATGACTGATGACGAAGGTGAGAATTTATTTTTGTATTTGTGTTATGCTTCTCTTGGCGCAATGAAACTTGTATTCAGAGAGCACATTCAAGCTGAGCAATCGGCGAAACGCCCTTTTGATCTTCATGGCGATCGGATCTCTGATTGGCGCGGTTCTCATAATTTGCGTGATTTTGATGCTCAAATGTCTTAAACGAAATGGTAAGGCAAATCAAAGCATATAATCGTATTACCTCTAATTATAATATTATGTAATGGATATTGTTTCAGGCAAGTTGAAGAAGTCTTTGCCCAATCAAACCGCTTTACTTGGTCTTGGAGACAATGAAAAGAGTTACTGTGGATCAGAGTGCACTTGGGAGTAAGTTGACTTCTTACAATAAGGTTCCTTTACCTTCGATTTTACATTTTGTCATTTCAGAAGCGGTTCAGGCTCCGGATCTGGATTAGTCACCCTGAATCAGCGAACGATTGCGTTGAATCTTACCATGTTAGAGCTAGTGGCCAGAGGAAGATACGGCGAGGTCCGAAGAGCTATTTACAGGGATTCCATTGTGGCTGTGAAGGTATGATATACCACATTTTGTATGCTAAATATTATCTTAGACCTTCTACACAACCGAAGAAGAATCCTGGAAAAATGAAAGGGATATTTACCAGACTCAGATGCTCAACCACGAAAATATATTACGTAAGTTTATTGTAGCGCCATCGTATGCTTACATTTTGTAGAATATGTGGCGTCCGACATTAGCAGTAATGTCGATGCTCTCACTCAGATGTTGTTGATCACAGATTATCATCCATTGGGATCCTTGTACGATTATTTGAGGAAAAGCGAGCCATTGACGTTGAAAGAAGCCTTAGGGCATATTCAGAGGTAAGAGTGAATCACCTGTTTATATTCATATTTATAGCTCTTTGATATTTACTTTAATCTTGCAGTATATGCGCTGGTCTTGAGCATCTTCATAATGCTGTTCATGGGACTGGAAGTCGCCGAAAGCCTCAGATTGCTCACAGGGATCTCAAGTCTAAGAATGTTATAGTCAAAAGAAGAGGAGTCTGCTGTATCGCTGATTTTGGACTGGCCGTTCGCTTGTGAGTTCCACCACACTCTGAAATGTTATTTTTTAGAGAAGAAGATGTGATTCTCCCTTCAAAATTGAATGTTCAAGTGGGAACGAAGCGATATATGGCGCCAGAGATTCTAAATAATTCCTTGAATGTCCGAAACTTTGATGAATTCAAGATGGCCGACGTTTATTCGTTTGCCTTGGTTATCTGGGAAATAATCAATAGGATACAGGTGAGATCAGTGGCTCATAAAAAGAACCCATTCCCTATTTTAGACTTCCAAAAGCCATGGAGCTCCTCGAACTCACAAAAGGATGATCAGTTTCTCATCAAGTTCGGGTATCGCGACAAGTTCCGGGGCTAGTTACGCGCCTCTAAGATATCGGCCTTCATTTGAGTTGCATCGATCAAGGGACTCTTGTAATACGGCGACAGTAAGAGACGCTAAGCCTTAGCTAAAATCAAATGTATTTTCTAGACGATAGAAGCGCGACCTCCAAGTCTGCCGTATCAAAATCTAGTGGACAGTGATCCCTCCTTCGATCAGATGAGACAATGTGTTTGTTACGAAAAGAAGAGGCCATTCCTGGAAGATGAATGGACCAATGGCTCCAATGTAAGGAACTAGCATTTTATTTTCACATAACTATTACTAAGTATTACATAAGCTGTTTTAGGAAGTCCTAAAAGAGCTGACGGACATGATGAAGGAGTGCTGGGCCGAGCGAGCAAAGAGTAGGCATACTGCTTATAAAATCAAGAAAGAAGTCAACGAATTGATGGAAATCGCGAATCTGATCGACGATGAGTCCATTCCGGAAGAGACCAAGGCCCTCCGATCTGATCTTAATTATTCCCAGTCAGTGCTAAATCCCAATGTCAACATCGTTTAGGCCAATATGTCCTTAAGATACGATCTTGACTTTAGGATTTCTTTGTGTACCAAAAATGATTTCGAATACCGGTAATAACTGCTCAATAATTGTAAATAGATGTGTTTATTTGGAGAAAAGAAAATTTTTTATTGTACAGGGTGTTTCAAGAAATTTGGCAGAAACTAGTTGCGAATATTTTTGAGCTCTTGCTAGTTATCGCGGAAATTCTTTTTGTTTCTAAAACATGACAGCGGGCGGTTTTGTAATGAACAAAAAAAAATTTTTTTTCGTCGGCGGAGGGGCCAGTTCTCGGCGGAGACATTTGGGGCCTTTTTTAAAAATCACACCTTATTACATGGCGGAAACTCTGTTACAGTGGCCGAAATCATGTTTACGTTACACCTCCGTGGATTTTACGGTATGCTTTTTTTGCGTTTTCGATTTTACGCAACATCCGCGGAGGCGCGGCGGAGACCTCAGATTTCGGCGGACTTTGTTTTGGGCCCTCGGTTTTTGCAAATCCATGTTGGAAAAAAGGTTGGGGCGATTTTTTGTTGTCATCCGATGCACAGATGGCAAAAATTTTGTACTTTTTTCCCCCGGCGGAGGATTCGGCGGAGGCTTTATCAAAGGGTCAAAACAAAAGTTTGACTCTTTTGATAAAGCCTCCGCCGAATCCTCCGCCGATGTGTCCGCCGGACCAAAAAATAAGAAAAATGGTGTTGCTGTGATGGATTCTTGTAGCTGAGTTTTTTTCCCGGACTCCTAAGACTGTTCTGACCCTTTGATAAAGCCTCCGCCGAATCCTCCGCCGGGGAAAAAAGTGCGAAATTTTTGCATCTGTGCATCGGATGACAACAAAAAATCACCCCACACTTTTTTCCAACCTGAATTGAATGATCCAAAGGCTCAAAACGACGTCCGCCGAAACCTGAGGTCTCCGCCGTGCCTCCGCGGATGAGCGAAAATCGAAAACAAAAAAAAGCATACCGCAAAATCCACGGAGGTTTAACGTAAACATGATTTTGGCCACTGTAACAGAGTTTCCACGATGTAATAAGGTGTGATTTTTAAAAAAGGCTCCAAATGCCTCCGCCGAGAACTGGCCTCTCCGCCGACGAAAAAATTTTTTTTTGTTCAGTACAAAACCGCCCGCTGTCAAGTTTTAGAAACAAAAAGAATTTCTGCGATAACTAGCAAGAGCTCAAAAATATTCGCAACTAGTTTCTGCCAAATTTCTTGAAACACCCTGTACTTAAAACTGATTACACAATGAAAAGATATTATGATTACGGTAGATGAAGAGTTTTAGACACCCGGAATGAAGAGGATCCACACGGAAAAGACGATTGGAAGAGATATTCTAGGCGGAATACTAAGCTAACAGTTAGACCCCGATGTTTTGAAGTTATGTAGGTTGTAAGCAGTCATCGCTTGGAGAAGCATAAATTTCTCGACCAAACCTTGATTGAGGAGCGGCACAGCACTTTGCTGAGGAAGCTGTAGAGCGGGGGTACCTGCAACGAAATCAGCGTTGACCCATATCATTTAAAAGTAATTAAACCGGCATCTTTAACATTATGAAATGTATAATATTATGCTTACCGTTCTGTGAATGCTCGGATTTTACTTCATTCCCATTTCTTTGAAAGGGCCGCCGTTTTGGCGTGTCAACTAAAGGAGAGGAGCTTTTGCTTGCCGACGAAGGGCCAGCCAAAGAAGTTCCTGAAAAAATATTATTACCTTGAAACTTACCTTCATCGCTGGTAATTTTGTCAATGCTAAAAGACCGACAATTTGATGATAAAGCTGAATTATCCAAAGAGCTGTTATTTGAAGAGCTGGTTGAAGAATTGGCAACTGAAGGGCTCCCTTCTGATGACTCTTCCACCGAATCTCCCCCAAAACTCATCTTGCTGTTGAGAACAAACCGGTAGACAAACTCCTTTCCCTTCACTTTCACCATAATATTCTTCTTGTAATAGGTCCTCAGAGCACGGGAAAGCTTATCATAATTCATCTTCTTCTTGTCCTTGCGGAGGCCCCAAAGACGAGCGACCGCTTCGGGATGGATAAGCTGAAAACATAGATATTTATGACTAAAAAAAATCCAGATGTATCTCGTTGTCTCCACTTTACTCGATTTTGTAAAACCACCAACAACGTACCTTAAACTCGGCTCTTTCCTTGTTGACCCACTGCACAACTTGGCCATATCTCTCATCTGCCAACAAATCCAACAAGAACTGCCATAAGGTAACCGAACGGGGACTCATTTCACCTTCCAGAAGACACCTCACTTCACTGAATGATATGTGAATTGCCCTGAAACCGGCACTGGTTATGATTTGCTTAGCATTTCTGTGTTTATCTTGAGAATTTCCTGTCTTTTTGATTCCGGATTTCATGGGAATGACCGGACAAGTGCTGGTTAATCAGCGATTTACGCAATCAGTAAGTGCTACCTGATTTCTCTGCCTTGTAAAAGTGCCAGTGAAAGAGCAGGTGGAAGGGAGAGACGCAGAAAATGTTATGGGATGATTTGAAAATGAGTTGGGAATGGGAGCGGAACGTGAGAATTCCCGCGGTAATTTGAATCAAGAGTCATTGACACCGGCCACACCGGAAGTGGCAGAAAGTTTCGACAATTTCAACCTTAACAGTGATATTATTATCTTTCCGTTATGAATTCTTGTTTCAAAGGAATAAGTACGAGTCAGTTTTGTAGACCATTTTCAATAATTCAAACAGTGAAATATGGATTCTCCTTAAAGATTTCACGTAACACACGTTTTACGTGGAACATGGGAACGGGAATGTTGTGTATAAATATTATCTTGGAAATGGATATTAAAGAAACCGACGCGGTAAATGATACATATCCCGAGAACATCCCAAAATGCCACCTGATATTCCCTCAGGGTTTCATCGATCGCTCTCAAGATAAAGAAATCCAAACACAACAAAGATGACAACTTTTAACTAAAAATGGAAATAATTTACTGGGCTGTCATACAGGGAATGCCCAGTAAGACACTGGCATTATCTTATGAGATGAGTTTGGCCATCTTCATGGGCCTCCCATCATTTCCTTCCCTTAGGTAACATTATGATCATTTCATTCCGTCGCCGCCAAAGACTGAAGGAAGCTTCTTCAATTAGGGATCAAAGGAGCGATCGGCCATCTTTTCGGCATCCAAATTCCATCCTGCTTTAGGTAATATGACCGGTCCACAATTTAGATACTGTAATGCATGTGAAATTTCATTGACAACCTTTTTAGAAGTATCTCAAAATAATAATGGATGGTTTATTTGCCGTGTGCATTTAACGTATTATTGTAAGTATTAGACTGCTTTATTTATGGGAAGGAACGTCATAATGTGAAATCTGCAAAGACGGTGACTTAAGAGTTTGGAAACGAGAAGGGACGGGCTCCTTTAGGAGGAAGCGCGGATCTCTCTTCTCTCCTCTGAACTTGTTTCAATCCGGATTTTGGTTTTTTATAACGATTCTCATCAAAAAATAAATTGCCATTAACGAACTCACAACTTTCCGATGACTTAACGTTGTCGCATTTGAGTTTAAACACTTTACTGACTTATTTCTTGACAATACTTTTTGCGTATTTTATAATTACTGTACTTTCAGATGGAGTCGGGGAAAGTGGCTACAGTGCTAGCCGTCACCATTTCTACTGGTGCCATTATGATCGCCCTTTGTACAACTTTCAGGATGTACAGTGAGATCACCGAGATGAGAGATGAACTTATGGCTGACATCTACGAGTTCAATGTAAAAAAATATCATTTTGAAGATATCGAGTATTTCAGAACTTGACAAAAGATGCGTGGAGTGAGATGATGGCGATGCAAAACTTGAGTCCGATCAAGCCTCAGGCAAATCCCTTGAAGAGAAATCCGTTTGAAAGTATTTTCAGAGGAAGCAGACAGTCGGGACTTCCTCCACAGTGCAGTAAGTCGTGCTGCCTTTATCTTATCTATCCATATCTATTCAAAGAAATTCTTCTTGTCATTTAGAATGCGGTCTTCAACCCAACAACTGTCCTCCAGGCCATCCTGGCCCTCCCGGTCGTCCAGGAATCCCCGGATCGCCTGGAATTCCTGGCCCAAGTGGTCGAAGTGGGATGTCCGGCAATGCCTTGGCTGATGTTCTCTACCAACAGCCTTGCATCAAGTGCCCTGCTGGGCCTCCTGGTGCACCTGGAGTCCCTGGCCGTCCTGGAATTCCCGGTGTTTCGGGCTCTGACGGCCCAGACGCCGTTCCCGTTCCTCCAGGCCCTCCTGGACCCCCTGGACCAGAAGGAGATCAAGGTGAAGGAGGAGCTGATGGAATCCCTGGAGAGCCCGGAGCTCCTGGGGCCTCTGGAGTCAAGTCAATCCCTGGCGTCGCCGGTCCTCAAGGAGCACCAGGAGCGCCCGGAGAGGCAGGAGAACCTGGAATTCCTGGCACCAGCGTCGATGGAGGAGTTGGAGAGGTTGGTGATGTTGGTGCTCCTGGTGCTCCAGGTATGCCTGGGCCAAGAGGAAGACCTGGCGTTCCTGGAACCGAAGGAATCCCCGGCCAAGACGGTCAATATTGTCCTTGTCCAGCTCGTGGTGCTTATATTCAGCCAGCTGAAGCAAAAGAAACCTACGAAGCCAATGGCCCTGAAGAGGGAAGTGGCGAACACTAAATCACTTTCAAAATAAAAGAATATATAATATAATTTATCTTCCAAAAAAGGGTGAGGTATCAATTAGTAACCGGCTTCGAGTTCTCTTGCCCGAACATGGTAGGCTTACTCCTGATCGCCCGTTTCCTTTTCCCCGTTTTGATTCCAATGACACTCAATTGCTCTGTGAAGGCTTTTCTGTAATCGGGATAAGTACTGTAGTAGATGAAAAAGTTGGCCGCAATGGCCACATTGGCAGGCCATCCAAAGTCCGTATGAACCAAAAACATATCGAAATCAGTTGCCCCCAACTTCTCGGCTGAAATGTTGACCAAAGTTGTGATAAACCACCCAAAAATGATTCCAGAGACAATGAAAGTTAAAGATCTTGTCAACTTTCGGGCATAGCGTTCTGAAAATCGAGCTGAAATAAAAGTTTTGTAGGGTTAGTATAGGTGAGGACAAGTACAAATTGTGAGTTACTTAGAACATTCCATCGAAAGGATGCACATGCTTACCTTTTTTGGAGCGAATTAACAGCCACACAATGCTGTAGCAAACGATTGTCGATGCAAATGTTGTCCATTGCGCGACATTCCAATATAATCCGAGATTTCCATTCAGTGGAGTTGTTACGAAGCACAAAACCAACTTGTTCTCATCACCTTGCATCGAATTTATTGATAGAAAAAGGAACGTCATCGAGTACATAAGAGGCAGACATAAGAGTCCACCGACATACAAAACGTGATTTATTGAGTTGTATCTAAAGCCAAACCCATTTTTATGATGCAATTAGAAGCCTACCGTAATGGAAAAGTAATGCAAATTAATCGATCGATACCCACGGTAAGGTAAGAAAAGGATCCAAAGTTCATGCCGCAAAAAGAGATTACTTGTTGATAAAAACAGTTGTTGAGGGTTGTAAATGTGTGCAATGAGAAGAAATTTATTGCAAATATGACGTGTGAAGATTGATGGAGAATATCCGAGAAGGCCGTGGCTGCGATCAGGATGTGGACTGATTGCCGGGTCTTCCTAAAATACGGACAATTATTTTTCTCATAATTTTTTAGATTACTGTAATCATTGCAATTTCATAAAGTAAAATTAATTTAATCTTAACTTTGATCATAACCTTCATTTTCTGGTTTGTATCAACAACTTTTCCTCGCTCTGGGAAAATTCTTTCGTTCCTATGAACCCGCACTAATCTAAGCCTACAATGTAACCCACGTCTGCTTTGGCATATTTTTGATATGCCCAAAAGTTGGTGTGGGAAAGGTGCTCAGAACAAACAGATTACAAATCATAAATACATATGTTTTAAGATATAAAAGTACCCTAATTAGCGAACAAGAAGACGCGAACTATTTTTCAAACTTTCCATTAATGATGGCCACGTACTTTTAACACAAACATCAAGAATCTATCTTTTCTGAGATCACTTACCCACTCCTAATTGTAGCCAACACGATATTTGAGTTCCCAAAGATACCAACGGCGACAGAACACAAGATAATGATTACACCCGGGACTGCCGCCCATATTAATCGATCATGGTATTCATTGTAAAAATCCATAAACTAAAAAAATGAAATTCAAAGAAATAAAGACGGATTTACCGTTACTTGGACAACGTTAATGTGTTTATGGCCCTACAGTAATTTTTGCAGCTTATTTTAAATCAGTTTCATTACAATTTTCCCACTGAACATTAAAGTATAACAAGTTTATCGCCTTCAAATTGACTTCCAAACCATGTTATTTCTAAAGTTATCGTATTAAAATAAATTTATGGATGATAAATAAGATCGCTATAGAAGTTAAGTATGGCAAAAAGTAGCGTGCTGGACCCAAGACTAACAATTGTAAAATGTTGTGCCAAATTCGGCATTAATAAAAGTTCTGAGAAATCTTTACACTAAGCACTTGAGGAGAATGTAGGACCTCGTGGGTTACAAATATGTGAGAAACATCGTAATACACGTCATGTATATAAGAGCTGAGGGGTTCTGTCTCCAGAAAATAATTGTTATTGCAAAGAACCAATTACTGTGAAGCTAGACAAGAAATTGGGATAATAATGATGTTGTGAAAACAGCAATATTAAATTACCAAAAAGCAACCCTAACTTGTCGACCAAAAAAATTGATCTTTTAAAATAATCACAGCCTAAGAACGACCAGTAAAATAAATAAAACGCTGCCCCAGCTCTGATATAATTTTCAGTTTCTGACTTCCGTGTTTTGAGAGCTAATACAGTAAACTCAAACTATTTGATTATTATTTAAATACCTGGAAAGGTGGTAAACAGGTGTAAAAGTTGATTACCTAGAGCAATGTAAAATTTAAGATATGCTTCGAATTACTCCATCCTTAGGATACAAAACAGAGAACACTCACCGCCATCGTATTTTATAGGACAAAATAATGAGCAGATGTAAATAAGAGTAATTAGTAATGCCACAAAGGACCTTTTTAATACATTCCATGCATCTTACCTATTAAGGACATGTTATACTCAGTCTGATATACTTTTGTTTACATCTTTTGAATTAACAGCAAGATTGTAAAAGGGCGTGACAACAAAGGAACACTGGTATATTGCCTGGTATTGATTCATAAAGTGCTTTGGTTTTCGTAGGAATTTTTTCATTACCTACGTACATAATCGTTTATAAATAAATTTTCTCAAGACCAAATTTGAAGACTCTCAGAATAAAAAAAAACAAAGCGGGAATTCATTCACATCTTGATGGTCTACCGGAAGGTTACGACAAACCCCATAGGCTTATGTCATCAGGCACAGAAAAATAAAAATTTGTATTGTAGTTCATCAAAGTTGAGGCAAAAATTTTAAAAAAAAAACTGCACGCGATGAGAATCCAAAGCCTTCTTCCTTGCCATATAACCGATGATCGCTTCTTAAACACAATTTGGTCATTTATCTCGAGCCTGCCCATCAAAATCCACAAGACCTACCGCGGTTTGTTTCCATCGTATAAAATGTCGCCGCAGTCTGCGTTCTCAAAAACCCGAGCTGCGCTTTTCCAATTTATTCTAATTTTTCGCGGAGGGCAATGTAAAAGGCTTTGTAGATTTGTTTCTCAAGCTTATTCTGATCTTTCTTTATGTATAGATGGGTTGGAGACCAAAAGATATCGCCCGAAAGTTGGCGGATAAAGAGAATCTCGGCCAGGACGAGATCAACGAGATCTTCGGGGATTTCGAGTTTTTGAGCAATAAAAATGTAAGTTCAATTGACGTATTTAACATTCTTTTATGTAGGGGTTCAATTTATGTTTGTATATCGCGCTCCATCGCTTGTCCGTCGAAGATATCTGGGCCAAAGTTTGTGATCTGGCTGTTAACAGCAACATGAACAGGTGATTTATTTTTCTCTGCTTTCAATTGATTGATTTCGATAATTCAATAATTTCCGTGGTTTTTAGAAAGCATTGCGAACTTCTTGGCCGCCTCATATTTGTATATTACATAAAATCTCCCGAATTTGAGGAGGATTCGATTCCAAATGGTCACAGAAAGGCATGGAAGGAGCTGATCGCAGAAGAATTGTTCAAACCCCTTATGGAGTGTTGTGTGTTGGGAAAGAAGGCGGCTTTAGCCGAGTCATTGCGAATGGTAAATGCTTTCTGATAAGTTTTTTTTTATTGTTTTAGGTATTCCGTTCTCTGGTTTTGGAGCAACGAGCAGATCTAAATCGGCGGTTGTTTAAAATAAGCAAAGGGCTTGTTTGGAGATATCTTGATGTGAGTTCCATTTTTGAGTTGCTGTTTGTTTACAAGGCTTTGGTTTTTTATATAATTTTAGTCTCCAAACGACACTATTCGAATGGGTGCCTTCTATGTACAGCAAAATCTATTTCCACCAACTTCGGAAGATTCTCTGGATGCCGAAAGATACTTTAGTTTCCATTTGAATGCTTTTATCTCTGCATTGGAAGATCTCTCACTACCAGTTCGATTGATGTCCCTAGAGAATGTGATGGAGAAATTTAGCTATTGGTTTGACGAAACTCCTCCGGAGTTCAGGAAACGAATGAGAGAAGTGCTGGACACTTTGGTTTCCGATGTTAACGTCAAAACAAGGGCTGCAATCTTCAAAGTATGATGGTTTATATAATTTGGTATCTAAATTTTAGGCTTTTCGATTTTTTGCTGCTCAAGTCTCCATTCCGGCCAAGAACTGGGCCAAGGAGGTTTTGAAGGTCTATGTTCCGAACGGTGTGGATGATGTCAAGGAGAAAGTTAGACTCAGCGCTTTCAAATTGTTGAATTCCCTTAACAGCGACCCAGAATTTGTAAGAATACTATAATTTGGACGGAATATTACCAATATTTTTAGGATGTATACTACCTTGTTGATCTCCCTGCCATCCTAAATAGATTGGATTTCGAAGAAAGTCGTGAAATCGAATTGGAAATCGGGAAATTACTTTGCGAAAAATGGTTTGGCTCAGTTTCTTATGTACAAAAGTTCTTGAACGTATCTCAATTATGTAAAATTAATCGAAATGCCGCTTTGGATTTGCATCGAGTGATAATTGGAGAGGAGATTATGAGTAAAGAGAAGTCTTGTAAGTTGCTTTGTTATTATTTTTATCTCACTTTAGTGTCGTATATCTGCGGTCTCTCCGAATTCCTTCCAATGATATTGAACAAATATTGTGGTGATAAAGTGGATCTGGATTTTGATCTCAGTCGAGAATTTAATAGTCAGAGTAATGATAAAAGTAAGTTTTGAGATGGTTCTGATATTGGTGATAATGCCCGATCTAGTGTAAGATAATTGTTTTGATTGTTTAGAATTGGAGTCCCTCAAAGATGTGATAGATTGTCTTGTAGTCAGTTACACGCTTCTTCAGCCTGATCTTAAGGAAATTTGTGGAACTCAGAGTTCGGATATTGAGTTAACCATAATCCAGAGAAGATTTTCCGAGGCCATTTCTATTATTTTCGACAAGTTCAGCGATAATGAAGGACTCATGGACACGGCTTTGACCTTGGCCACGATGTCCCCAAAAGTTGTCAATTGCATGCCAAAGTTTAAATTGGATACAGAGAGACAATTAAGGAGCGGGAGATTAGATGATAAGAGGTTACAGGTAAGAATTTGGTTATTTTACTCAATGTTTTAGGTATTTGCTATGGCTGATATGGATAAAGTGGTCCATTTGATGTGTGAAGGGTTGGATCAATGTAAACGGACCTCTGAGAAGTTCATTGTCGCCACTCCATCCCCTGCAAAACGTCCTCGTCTCTCCTCGGTGTTCCTGAACGAGGAAACGGTCATCGACGCGTTGAACTCTCTGATCTGTACTTCTGTCACCAAGGACTATTTATTTACTGTAAGATTTGATTAACCTTTTCCGTCCTTGAATTGTTTTTTAAAACCAACTGAATTTAAAAATGTTGTTTTCTGATGTAAAATTGTTTATTTCAGACCTTCATCACCTCCCTGAATAATATCGTTAGGACGTTGTGTGAGATCAGAGAGAACTATTTATTATCATTGAGACCAAAAAGAACGAGGTTTAATAGTCTGGGGATCCTCGTAAAAACAATCGATCTCCTCACAGTTCTCCTCGTTTTCAAATTCACGGATGAAAAGGAGCCCGAAGAAGAGAAAACAACTACTCCGAAGGGAAGGCGGAAGAAATCTTTGAATAATTCGGTCGGAACTCCAAAATCAGCCAACAGAAAGAGGAAATTGAGCGCTAGTTTGTCGCCGGAAAGGTATTTGCAATTGGATCCGTTGACAAAGGACGTGGACTTGTACAGTCTTCATTTCAAGTCATGCCCTGAGGCCATTTTGAAAAAGGTTGAGGTATCAGAAGCTATCTTGAGGTCGATTGGAATCATGGCCAAGTCATTTGTCCACGAAAAAAGAGTCTTGGAGGAAGCGTTGAGATTTGTGGAGGGTCTGAAACAATATAAAGTAAGTTGGAGTTGTTCTATAATATTTTGAATGTTTTTTAGACCTCCCATCCTCGAATTCCCTTTCCCGAGCCTGCTTACGATGATTGTTGCCAATCCATTGATCATGCCTTAGGGTTTGCTCTGGAGTCCGCCCCTTTTCGATCACCCAGGCTCTCTTTCAGCCCCGAATTGTAAATTTGTTTTTGTTAGCGTAATGTACAGTATTTAGTAGTTATGTATCCGTATTACCTTAACAAATCCATCTGGATCTCCGTTTGTGTCTTATTTTGTTTTACCTCGTCTAAAAGTGTAATTATTTCACAAAAAGTGTATCTGCTTTACTTAACACTTGGTTGCAAATTGAAGATTAACGTTTGTTTTTGGTAGACCTCACTCTTCCATCACTCAGGAAATAAATTATGGTTGCTAAGCTGTTCAGTTTGATTTGCAGTCTCAAAGTATGCAAAATTATATTTATTTGACTAGAAGTAATATCAAGAAGAAGATAATTTAGAGAATGGTACCAGTATTTGTGGTGATAATGCGGCTAACGCTGTTAAATCGGACAATTTAACGGATGAAACAGGCAATTATAGACCTCAATAGGCATAAGAAATGGAGTATTGTACCCAGTACAACATAAGTAATTCAACAATTGGTAATTGCAACGTATTGCTCAGAGTTTACTGACCAAAATTTCATCAGCAAACTTCTCGCACTCTTTTCTGTATAGTTCTGGATGTTTCCTGAAGTGATTCACATGAGGGGAATCATCAAATTTGAACCTCTTAATCTCCACCTCGGGCCCTTGACTCTCGATGAATTCGTCGATGGATTTTGCATCACAAACAAAATCTTTTTTGGAATAAAAATACATTTGTTTGGTGGGCAACTGCTTCTGAGCCGTCATCTCCTTCATCTTGTAGTAAGCGTACCATTCTGGATAGGTGTTCTTCCCCAGGAGATCTCTCAACCAAACCTTGAAGCGTTGAGCATTCAGTCGGGCAGTCAACATTCCATATAACAATGCTCTAGCTGCATTGCTGGCAACGTCTTTTTTGTTCGGAGGATAGACCGAGAGAGCGATGGCGAACGCGATTTTCTTGGGAAGAACGTCAGCTGGGCCAGAATCGACAACCATTCCCTTGATTGAGGAGAGAATCTTCTGTCCTTCAGGCGTTCGGTTGAGGAGGTCATAGAGAACTACAAACGCATTACACCCATTCATAGAGAAGAGATGGAGAAGAATGTCACGGTTCTGGAGATTCTGGGAGATCTCCGAATAAAGGGGATTTACAAATTGGGGGTAATCCAGGACGGATAACACCTTCTCCATGGGCGGTGAATAACGGACCACGGAGAAGCTGAAAATATTACTATTAGAAATCTGAGTATTAGACATCCGAGAAGTATTTTCGGGTGATTTTATATTACACTCGATCAAGTGTAATACCTACCCTTTCTCGAGCCACACATCACTGAACTTGGACAACTGTTTGTCAGTACATCCTCCCCATCCCAGCATCAGCACTAGCGGTTTCTTTTCCTGCACATTCGCACAGTCATCGACTACTGCAAAGTGTCCTTCGAGCTTCTTTTTGGTTTCGACTACTCGATCATTTGTTGGAAATTGAGCTGATAATGGAGGGATAACGGCTGTAGATTGACGACGAGTGGAAGCAGTGCTCTCTTGACGAAGAGAAGATACGATGGAGGCACTGGTAGAGGGGTAAAGATGAGGGAGAGATTTGGGGAGGTAAGTGGAGATAGAAGAGAGGCGCATGGTGACTAGAACAATCCAAATATTTGTAAATATTTCTGTAAACGACTCGCAACGTCAAACTAAAGTCCTCTTAAAAACTTGGGTTACTGTAAACAAATGTTTGTTTGACTTTATAGTGAGGCAAACAGAAAAATAAAAATCACCTTAATCTAATTAGTCGCAACTGACATAAATTGTTGTTATGAACGCCCTTCCCCGTTTATATAGAACTTGATGGGCCGCCCTTCATCCATCGTTTCATCCCATTTACGTACTTTGCTTTTCCTGAGGTCAGTTCATACGGCCAAAAGGGGCGGAGTTTAAAAAAGAACACTGAGCGTGAGAGGTGAAAAAAAGACAGTGAAACAATGTGAGGAGGAGGGGGCAATTGAAGCCAACTTCGAACCTGCGAACTCATCTCAGAAATTTGAACCCTACCTGTCGCTTAGGTGAAGGGGGCAGGAAAACGCCAAAGAAATCACAAAATGACATCAAATGTGCATGACAGGCTTTGAGAAATGGAGAAACTGTAGGTTGATCATTCTTGTCACATTGGAGATATCCTTTGGAGAAGTTGCCGATCTACGCACTGGAGATTTTCATTTAAAATTTAGTGATTATATAACAGGATCTAATTTTTAATTACATTCTGGGACCATCCTCGATAAGCAAATTTTTTTGGAATTGTGGTATTTCGGACTGTTTCTTTGATTGCACTTTTTGTTGTGACATCCTATAAGGAAGACATAGAAAGGACAACACGTTACAATCGGCATTTTTTATCGTCGTTATTTCGATCAAACAGTTGCTTTTTGTGTTTTTAAAAATCTATAGACTTCCCTTTACAAATTTTGTCAGAGGGAATTGAACTCTCGATTTTTTTTTCAATTTTACATTGAAAGTCTATATTGAAATTCAAGGGTTCAAACTTTGCAAAAAGTTTAGTCAAATAACTAAGACCGCCAAGTCAAAGATCAGTGTACTTACTGTCTATGTCAACACATTTCTCATTGAGCAAATTTTTGCAGGGTGCTTTTCTAGGGCGAAAGATTGCAGCCGTTGAAAAAAGACCTTCACAAAAAACCTCATGCTTTTTAAAATTTTGTAAAAATATTATTAAGCAGAAAACTACACTTTAATAAGCTCCATTTTTTACTTTAGTTGTTTCCCGTAGCCGTTTAGCTACTGTAATATAATGAGATTAGTATTTTTAGTTTTCCTCAACCTCTAAGTGATCTTTGTTCCAAGCATTATACGGCAGTCTGTCCATATGTAATTTTAAATCGGAAGGTAAATTGTCGTCATCTTGCACACTTCCCATTGTTATTAAAAGATTCCCTTTCCCCACACAAGTGGACTGGCCTGATAACATTCCGTCTTTTTCAGACAACTTTTTGCACAAAGCGAAAGAAACGTGTTGGATTCACGTTGGGTGGCCTCGGAGCCGGTGACTGAATTATTGATTGCAGCGCTACAAGAAGAGGATCATTCGATCAGCGCCATCGTTTTTATGGAGGAATAAATAAAAGTGCATTCAAAAAAGTGTTGGTTGCACTATTAAGTCATCTGGAGAGAAAGATTAAAAAAATGATAAAGAAGGGGTGATACGGTCATCTTTTGAAGGGGACCTTTAAAAATATTGGGAGGGAAGACGTTGCAGTGCAATTAAAAAGATGTAAACGTACTGGAACTCTTCTCTAGTAGCAGTTTTGGTACTCTGATCGTCGGTAGTCTTATTAATATTTGAACTCCAACTTGGAAGACCGTATGTGTCGCAAAGCCGCTCAGAGACGAGGAAGTCGCTGGCTCAATGTACGGCCTCTATTGCAAGCAGTTGCAAACCTTTGGTAAATTACCATGTAATTACTTTCAAGCTTTTGAGAAACTCTTACAACCTATTTCAGAACATTCTGACTTCATTTTGTGCCAGACTTCAACGGAATTCCCGACGTTAAACTTTACACTTTTCCCAGGCAAATCACCTTCCAGAACTCATTGACAGGCTATAAAAACAACGTCTTATTTTGCTGTCAAAATTTTACTTATCCAAAGTTTAAATTTACATATTCCATACGCTTTGCACTTGGCTAATCCTAGTCGCATTCCGTAAATGACAGTCTGTGGACCACACAAAAGCATGCGAACAAGATTAAAAAAGGCAGGAATCCAACAAAACGAAGACAAAAAAAACATTGAAGAAGGATAGCTTTTATGCGAGTAATTATAAATACCTCAAAATCTACAGAAGTTTTATCTACCGTTCTTGATTCATCGTTCTTTTCGTCTTTGAAACATTCTTTACCATGATTTAATTCGATTACAGAGTTTCCAATTTTCCGGTGCGTTGCCTTCAAATGACCTCGCAATTCCCAATGTAAAGTAAAAAGAAGACACTTGTCGATCTGAACACTGTACGTCACATCCCCCTCCTTTGAGTCCAGTCGGATCAAAGTTGTCAGGAAATTGACTCTTTCTATGAGAAATGTTTTTGTTTTTTTGAACTCAAAACATCGAGTACAAATATAAAAGAACTGTTATCTTCCCAATTCCCAAAAGTACGGATATTAAAAATAATAAATAAATCCCTTTTATAAACAAACTCCCCGCATTTATTTTTTATTTGGCAATGCATCAAGATGTGAATTGAAAGGCTGATTAATCACATTCTAAATTGGAACTACTGGAAAGACCACACAGAAGAGATCAGACGGGAGCGTGAGGTGGCAACGTGAGCCTAATAATGACAAATGATTGAATGTTTAGTGAGACATATTTTTCTGTCATCAACTAATCGATAAATGACAAGGCGGATATTTAATTTTGAGCATTTAAATCTATTGTGACCCAAATGAAATTACACTCTCCAACACTGGATCAGGTTTTCCTGGCTTTCTTTTGGAATGTTTGACTTTAGTTGTTTCGGGACGCCGTCAATTATCCTCTACAGCCAAAATCGCCCTAATTCCACGAGGTCTTGGCACAAACAACAATATTTGTAAATTTCTAGTCTTATTATTAAAACAACAAATTCCGAAATAGCTTCGAACAAAACGACAAATTGAATCGCTTTAGATTACTGTAGCTCTTCTTAACTTTGTTATTTTTATATTCACAAATAAATGTCTTTTTTTAAAATTATTCCGGCATTTTCATTTCCTTATTTACAATTATGTATTCAGTAGGTGTGAGACTAAATAAGTAATCGAATAAACAGTTTAAAGAGTAAGTTTCACATGCAAATTCAATAAATATTAGCGGCAATACCTGTAACACATGGCAAGAGCACAGAATTAATTCCTATTTCACTCGAAAATACAGATTCTGGAGATCCATAATCCAATCAATCCTTTGCGTAAATGGGGGAGTATGTTATAGCCATTTGACGTCGGAATTATTGATGTGCTGTCCTCCTTACTGTACTTATAAAGACATCAAATAAAGGGCGATGAATTCCAGACGTTCTGTCATCCAATTTATGCAAATTAATCACTTGTTTTTTCCACTTAATAATGCCCACTTTTATGACCTTGTATTGCATTTTACCTTGCATTTTAACTGTATTCTAACCGTTTAAAAGGCAGTCTATTTCGCCCTCAAATGCGAGATTTTTAACGATTCCTACTGTTGGTAAATCTTGAGATTTTTGCTCCATAATTTGTAGCTTGGGTATTTTTATTGGAGGTGAGAAAGGCTTAATTAATTGTAAATAGCCCCGTCAGGCAAAAATATTTTGTTAATAAACTCGAGGTTGATTTGTTTAAATATTTTTAGAAGTAACCGAAATAGTTTTGAGTGGTACGCAGAATCTATGAGATATTTGTAGATCGCCGGGTGTTACACAATTCAAAGGTCGTAGTCTAACATGGGCGATGAGAAAAGCGCCCACTTGTGGGTCATGACTGGGTCTCTATATAAGGTTTATAAGTTTGCATGGAGAGGTGTGCCTTCTTCTGATTCTGCTCTGTCTAACTTGAATTAAAATTTGTTTTAATGAGTTAGATAGTACGGTTCAGTCATTTAGAAAAAGATGACTAGTGATTATCACAATATTTGAGTAAACATATTTGCAAGATTCTCTCAGAAAGTATTGATTTTAGTCTAGGCCAAACTTCATAATATTCTATGTGTTACATTAAGGCTTTCTGTTTTCTTGTCTAAAGATTCGAATCCACGTGTTATTCATATGAAATAATATTACATATTCTCTGCAAACTGCAGCCATATATAATGTAACATGTTGCGTGATTTACTTGCCCTCTGGCACAGACTTGGTTGATTTCAAAAACAGGGGAACAGTAGTGTAATCGAAGGTATTTGCAACTGCTCTTAGAGCTTCCTAGAATAACGAAATTACATTCTTTTTTGCAAGGAATGAGGGAACCTTTCCCTTCCTTTGTTGCCACCGTCCTACATATAATCTACCATAGCATGTTTTTGTGTGTGATATTATCCTCATTGCGTCTTTCTGGGTAATCCGACTGACTCTCAGCTCATGAGGTTGAATAGATGTCATGTGACTTGTGATGGGAAGAAAGTATCTGGTAAGTAAAAGTTATATGTTTAATAGTATGTTTGTTCGTATGTCTTCTGACGCGTACGTTCTCCATTTCCAGGTAGGGGAAACTTATTTCCCAACGAGTTTCTTGTTATTTGGAGTAGAGTAGGAATTGGTCCTTTGTAATTCTGGAGCAATTTTTCTTTTTCTCGTAAATCAGTAAGTACTACTGCTTCGGCGACCTCTACTTCTTTACGTTTCGATGTCTCTTTCCCTTCCTTATGGCACATTGTCAAGAATACAACTGTGTTCTTGCAGTTTCCCACTTATTTTTAGCCGTAACAAACGTTTATGGACAAAGAATTTGGAATTCCGATGGGAATTACTACTTAGCGATTACTTAACAACTAGTTTTTATGATTTTGCGTCAGTCCAATTCCCAGTCCGATGCCTAAGGGGCTGCTGCAACTTCCGTCGAGTTCACGTCCTGGAGATGAAGAGGTTAATTGAGCGTTCTGGGCCTGCGTAGTCCAACTTTCCGTGGTTTATTTCTTACATTTTAACTATAAAGATTAAAAAAAAGTGTTGGGGATTGCATGGAGGCATTGCAGCACCAATTAGTTGGGTAACGAGTGACAGATGACGGTATATAAAGGGCAATAAAAATAGTTGTTAGGTATTCCCGATAACCCCTTATTATCACATAACCTACTATAATATAATATGAAATGCCTGCTCTTCTGACCCCTTTTATATGATGTGTCATGTTAATTATGGATTTAATTTTTGTTTACTCTCTCGATTGCTCCTTTATTATCATCGTGTGACCACCGACCAAGGCCATGTAGTCTTTTTTATTGTCATCTTTACCCGAAAAGGAACATCTCCCAGCCATCCGGGCTACCATCTCTGTCACGCAAATTGTGTCTTTGCAAATTCAAATTCTTTCTCGATTACTGTTAATCTCCACCCGCGATTACTCTTTCTCTCAGTACAATTTAGAGTCAAAAAGATTAATCCAGAAGGTTCGTGCCAAAAGAAGGTGGGGATAAATGGGCACTAACTAGTAGTTTTACATCGCAAACGGTTAGAAAGATGGGAATATAATCATGCAGTTTCTTACTCTTTACGTTTTCGAAACATTCTGAAAGGGAAAAGATGACCGATGGCTACTATTCGAGGCTCAACAAGATAAACAAAAGTTTCCTTGGGAGTTTATATTAGTTTGAGGATGCGAGCTCTTCTCTTCCTCTTATATTACTTTATTCTTTGAAGTACAATATCAGATAGCTATATAAAAAATGGTCATAAAAATGTAATGGCCACAGTAATCTCCTCATGTGAACTTCACAACATCCCTCCCTCCTACATGTTTAGCACCTTCTTAAACATATTTTCAACTTTTTGACTATTGTCGCCAATCTCGTCTCCGGTTACAGCCCGATTTACTCCGGAATAATTCATATCCCACTTGATCCCGAGGTTTATAAATGTGTTTGCTTTTTTGCATGAAATCATTTGCATATGTTCATGGGGAATGAGATATCAACTGAACCGGGAGAAGTATCCTAACGCGAGCAGGCGAGGCTGTCTGGGTTACTGTAACGTGAACGAAAAATTGACTTTTTTATTGGCTAATGATTCCACGATTTCTCTTTACTCATTTCCAAGTATAGCGTACATATAATACGTATAATGGGTTCTGTTGATTGATCTGATAGACCCATCTAATCGCTTTGTCTCACGACTACTATATGTATTATAATAAGTGCTTTTCCGGTCCCATTTTGACCCACTTTTTCCCTACATTTTACTCTTTTTTACTACCTTGCCCCTACTTTTTCACATCGGCGTGTCTAAATCCGGAGTGAATATAGCGTGGTATGTTTCTATCATGTCTTTCGTGGGCTGCCCGAGGGTATCAAATTTACCTGATTTGCGATTCCAGAGCCCGGTACGACGGCTTCAGCGTGAGTGTCGGGGATTCGTCATCGCGGACAGTAAATAGTGGGGAGATCCGCCTCTTTTGCCGCTTACTTCTTGGCAGCCAAAACCCTTTGGCGATTCGGGATTCGAGTGTATTTCCTTGGAGGAGAAAGCGGGAATGTCACGACTAACTGTTCTTCTTCTGATCGCCTTTATGTGCACAATGTTGATGGTCTCAGTCAGGCCATCGCCCATCCATCAACAGCCCCTCAACACCGACGTTTATCTTCGGTTCAGGCGGAATGCACAAAACAGCCGTAAGTTTTATTTTTTATTATCCCTGAGGGCAAATAAGACTAGTAATTAGCATAGTACTTTTATCATTAATGAATTAATTGGATTCTGAATTTGTAGATGACATCTTATCATCTTTAGTGTTGTACTTTTGGATGATTGAGAGAGTAAATACGGACTTCTTCAGTTAGAGCTCTGGCTTTTGTAATCTCAGAGAGACTAGTGATGTAATGCCGACAAGTGCAAAAAAGGGTTGTGTAATATAGTGTTTGCATTTTCCGTGATGCAATAAATCGAAATACGATGCCTTTGACGTTTTTCAAGGACATTCAAAATTCCAAATTTCCCACGGATCTGTTTAACATCTATAATAGGTATATACCTTAGCTGTACCGGAGAAAACAAAATCCAGAAATAGCACTAGGCATTACTTGCCAGTTTACATAATGCAACGTTTTACGTGATATATTATAGAATACATAAATGTTTAATCATCGTATTTCAGGGCCCACCCGAGCAGATGAGTATGTTCAGCCGTTCATCAGATTCCGTAAGAATTACCAGTTGCCGTATGACGTCTCATTCGACTACGTCCCATACATGACGCGGATCTAAGGAACTTGGACTTTTAATTGTTTTGTTAATTAAATATTTATGCTTAAGTGGTATTAAAAGATCTCAGACTCGACTTGTTCTCTGCTGTAATTACCTGTGCTATTGTCGGTTGTGATAACATGTCAAAGTGTAATAAAGGATTCAAACTTTTGGATTAATTGTCTCAATTATAATGTAGCTGTTTCATCAGTAATCTCAATTTACTTTTCTTCGTCTGCAGCAACATAAAAGGGAAGAATACCGGTTATTAGCGCAATTCCTTTCCTTGTTAAACTTACGAAAAGGAAGTTCTGGAGGCGTTGTTTAGTAAACACACTCCCCGCACTCTCTCGCCCCTCCATTACCGTCCCAACTATCTTTACAACCGGGCCAAACTCTCACCCCGAAACTATACGAAACTCAGCATTCCGGGGCCGTTGTAATGCGTTCACCGATGTTTTCCGGAGTCCCATTACAACATCTTTTTGGTTTCTAACCATCGTATATAAGCCCCTGGAAATGACGGTCTATCAAGGCACTGTTGAGTCCTCTTCGATTCAACCATGAGCCACAAGTCGTTCGTCCAGCTGGCAGCCGGCCTCTCCACCGTTGCTGTTGTCATCTCCCTCTTCAGTGCTGTCTATATCTTCAACGACATTAACTCGCTCTACGATGAGATCATGGATGACATGGCTGACTTTCGTGTCACTGCCAACGACGCCTGGACCGGAATGATCCGCCAGATGCCCAAACGTCCTCTCCCCGACTTCAACACCCTGGTCGGCCGTAACAAGCGTCAGGCTGGCTGTGGCTGCGCTCGTCAAGCCAGCCAATGCCCACCCGGACCTCCAGGACCACCAGGAACTCCAGGACTTCCCGGAGATGACGGTCATCCAGGAGAGCCTGGACGCCAAGGAGGAGCTGGTGTTGGCCAAGTTGGCGACTTCGCCACCTCTGGTGGTTGCATCAAGTGCCCTGCTGGCCCAGCTGGACCACCAGGACCAAGTGGACCACCCGGACCTGCTGGCAGCCCAGGAAACCAAGGACAGCCAGGAGCTCCAGGACAAGGAAGCGGCCCAGGCCCACAAGGACCACCCGGAGACGCTGGAGCCCCAGGACAACCAGGAGCGCCAGGACAGCCAGGACAGCCCGGACAACCAGGATCCCGCTCTAGGCCAGTTCCCGGACCAAAGGGACCAAGCGGACAACCAGGAGCTCCAGGACAGCCCGGACAGCCCGGCTCTCAGCAAGGACCCGGACAACCAGGCCCACCAGGACCACAAGGACCACCCGGCCAGCCAGGACAACCAGGAGGAGATGGACAACCGGGAGCCCCAGGAAACGGAGGAGCTCCAGGAAAGGACGCCGCCTATTGCCCATGCCCACCACGAGGAGGAGAGGCTCCAGTCACCGGAGGAAACTCTGGAAGCTACAACCCCGCTCCACCTGCTCCTGCTCCAGCTGCCGGAGGCTACCGCCGCCGTGCCTTCAGACACCGTCAACGTGCCGCCCACCGTACTCGTGCTGCTGTCCGATCCCGTGTGGCTGCTCGTCGTGTCGCTGTCCACAGACAGTAAGGACTGTGCCCGATTTTTTTAATTCGAATAAACTTTTGCAAGCATTTCTTTTGGACTCGTTGGCGCCTAACGATGACATTTGGAGGTTTCTGTTTTCCTCAATTAATTACCCAATTCAGGCAGATCGGCGTTTATAAGATGAAAAAAAAATATTTTTCCGAATCAAATTGTCCGTATGGAATCAAAACCAAGGTGAAATGACATTAAGACAAATCGGAATTACTCGAAAAAACTGCTTAAATGGTAGAGTTGGAAAGGAATTAATCGAACAAAGGCTGTTAATTAGACTCTAAATGTAATTGGAGGGCTTTCAAAGGGGCAGTGGCCCCTCAGATGTAATGGATAACATAAACTAATCGATAAAATCAAGTAAATATGACCTTTTTTGGAGGGCCGTTTAATGACCGTCGTCCTTTCGGCTGCCTGCAATTCCTTTGATGGGTACAGCTGCTTCTTGCCTTCTGGCATTTTTATTGCAAACCGTTTGTCTTCGCGGGTCAGATGTTTGGATTCAAAAGGGAAAGGTGGTGATAATTGCCGGTTGCACAAAGGACACGGTCTATTATAAGGTTATTTCCGGGATCTTGCAATTTACAGCGTGACGATACCGCTTTGGTTTTATCATTTTTCCATTTGCACAGCCTATCGGTTAAGGGAGGAAAGTTTGAGTGGTGGAGCCTATCGTTTTTAGAAATTCGGGGTCTCCTTCTACGGTACTATCATTTAGGTCCACATTTTTGTCAAGGTTTCACCCACACGTAAGCTCCAAAGACTTCCCTGTTACATTGTTTCTCCATTTCCCCCATTGCTTTCCCCAACCTTGACCCAAAACAAAGAATCTCCATCCATCCCCCATTTGCCTTAATTTCCGGTGGATTTTTTTCAAAAACGCCGTCCTAAAAGTCGTGGCCCGCTTTCTCTTTGTGACTTTTGTATTTTGGGGATCGAAGGCGCCAGAATTAAAAGGAAGATGGGGAAGCCGGCTGCGAAAAGTGTTTTCGGACATCAGATCTTATGGATCAAAGCCAAAAAGTCCTGATCTGGTCGTGAAACGTTGCGTAGCCCTCGATCCACGAGTACTTTCATGATTTAAAACGCGTTGTTTTGCCCTGATATGACCAGAAAAGATGTTTGCGTAAGTGTGTTTCCGTCCTCTGGCCTCCTTGTTTGCTCTTCTTATCACTGATTTTTTAATTATTTGGCGTCATCGTCCCTAAATTTTGTTTTTTTTTGGATGATCTCCACAACTAATATGCTAAATTTGGACGGTGAAGTCACGATTTTAAGCGACATTCCTCGAATGCCTGTACTAATTAGGATCCATAGTAAGGGAGTTATCTGTACTCATATCGTCCATTTCCGGTTCTTCGAATTCGAAATTTAATCTTGGGGAACAAACAGTTTGGGAGGGGTTTTGTGATAGATAAGTAGTCAAACGATCAGTTGCGGGGGCCGGGCCTATTAGTAATTGTAAAAGAAAGATGTTATGACGTCTGGATTCATCCATCTTTGTGTATAATATTACTTATCAACTGTTTTGATTGCTTATTTACTGGTTTCCATTAATCAATTTTGATTGGTTTGGCTAAAAAAATTATGTTTTGGACTTTTACTCTGCCATTATCATGTTTCGAACATGTATAATATTGTTCTTTCCGTTTCCTGAAAGTTTTCTATCCGATATCCGCAAGGTTTTGGAAATGATTTGGAAATCCAAACTTTTGCATTTTAGATTTAGAGCTGTGGACTTCTCCTTTTTACTTACTTTTCACTTTTTTACTTTTCATTTTCCGTTTATCAGGTATTTATTAAGGTTTTATCTTGTAGCGCCTTATTTTGCCCTTAAATTTACGTTATTTACCCTTCTTTGGGCATGACTCACAAACTTTCCTTTTAATCATCCGTTTTTTGAATAATGTTATTACTAGTCTTGTTAGGTCGGTCGCAACTCTTCTACCATCTATTTTGATCTTACAATCGTTTTTATAACAGTTCGTGGTGTACTTTTCCCATCGTCAGTTGTAATTCCACACCTCTTTTTCTTGGCTCCATTTTACAACGATTGAGAACACCGGAAATCACATTGCATGTTTCAACATGCCCTCAAGGAATCTGTGTTTGATGACGGTATTAGAAAAGTGAGTAATCGACCCAATCTGAACTTTTCCCTTCATTTTATCAACCTGTTGTAACCTTCAAAGGTTAATGTAAAATTAATGTAGCCCTAGGCTTAATGTCAGTTCCCCATTCTTAAGGTCGATTTCGAAATCTTCAAGGGTCCCTTAATCGATTAATTCCCTTTCTTTCCGCCAAAAGTTCGTTGCATTTGATTGCAATAAATTCTTTTAACCCATTCCCAAATATCTCGGGCTTATCAGATCTTTACTGTACTCCTCTCTGATGGATTAACTCTTCAAATATTTTCTTTTGTTATCAATTGGAGAGTGATTCCTCTCTCAGCGATGGCTGTCAATCGCCCATTCTTCTCTTTTCCCATTTTTGGGGCTAAAATGAGAGAATTGGAACGGCGGAGCGATGGGAATTATGAACATCAGATTAGGTATTATACTCGTTGCAGACCTTTTGGAGAATTTTGGGGAGGCTTTGGATTTTTGGCGTTCCGTGCACTTTATATTGATTTTTTGCATTTAATTATTATTTGACCTACTATGTATAAAATAAAGACGCCATCTTTTTGTCTATATATGACCATAAATTTGCCACTATTTTGCTCGAATTGAAATTCTTGCAATCCTGAGATAACCAGTTCTTTTGTAATTTCAATTTCCCTATCACTAACTCCATTTCTCTGCGCTCTCTTCGCTCTGCATACTCTCTAAACCCGTTTGCCTTTCCACAATTTTTTGTCGATTGATTCGTCAATTGACTTCAGAAGCCAGAAACTGGTGGCGGCGGTTGGGAGAAGCTTTTTTCGTCGATAAATTTCCCTTGATTACAACGATTTTTGCGGTGTTCGGAGAAGATCGAGAAGTTCTTTTTTGATTTTGAGGGGGATCTCAGTTATTAGCTGGGAATTGTTAAAGCAGTAATTCTTGTTTCTAAACGGTTTAAACTTTCAATGATTTTGCATTTTTTATTTTTTACAGTACCCGTTGAGTCGTTTTTTCTTTCATATTTTTGTGCCAAATTACCCGCTGACTTCTGATTTTGAATAATTATTCGATTGCATAAGCCTAAATCTTTGTATTACGCAACAAAAGTTAATCTCCACGACCTTTTCAAGTCAAATATTTTTTTTAATTGGATATCCAATTTAACTTGCCGCCTTAAAGAGTAATTACCTTGTTTTTATCCTTTGCCTTGTTATAAAGTTGTACTATAACAGTGTAAACTTACTCTTTTGAATTCACGGATTGTAAAGAAGTATCGCGCGATGTCGGTTTTGTTTATCGGCTCTTTACACGACCATTATTTACCTTGTTGTTTAGCTCAATGACAATACTGTTTTAACAACCTCAAGATTACTAAAACTGCGCCCTTAAATTGTTCTTGAATACCTCAGTTAAATTGTAAGTATTTTAATGTTTTTGCTTTATAATTTTTAATTTAGAAAGCTATTAAGATAGGATGAGACAAAGCAGTTTCCACTGTATGGAAACCGACTCCCAGTCTGGAGGAGTTCATCCACCGTTGCAACGAACTCAAGACGTTCACACCCAGGGATGTATGAATGGACAGGAGCAGCAACAGATGAATGGATATTATGGTAGGTTTGGATTTATTTTAGGATTTGTTTTGACATTATTCCATGCTCTGCTCTGAGCTTGTTAGGCAGTCACATTAGGGGTACCCTTTCGGCATCTTCTCCTTGATCCGGGTCATAGTTTCTATTTAAAATTCGTCGTTGAGATTGTCCAATCCATCTAGTTCAAGTTGAATATTAGGGATTGTAGATCTTGAGCACACATGATCCATTCCCGATGACATTCTCGGATATCAGATCTAGCCTTTCCCTTTTTCGCTGCGGTCATTTTGAAAGGCTCTGATTAAACAAATAATATTCCCCCTCCCTTTTCGGATGGGGAAATCGCCGGCGGAATAAAATTTGAACAGCCTTCGTACTTTAAATGGCCACTGAATCTATTTTTGCCAAAAAAACTTTACGATCATCTCCCGACTTTTGTACACACTGGGTGGGGGATGAGGAAACGGAGTTGGAGATGGGGTTGGAAGAGGGTTGGAGGAATGTTGGGGAAAGCATTGGCCAAGGGAAGTTTGGTTAGCCAAGGATTATATCAAGAGTTACTGTAGAGGCCACAGCCATATTATCGAATATTTCCGACTTATTAATCGCCCTCCTTCCCCTGACCTCCGCCATTTTCAACTTCCAGGAACTCTAATTCAAGGTTATCCTTAATTTCTTCCCTTTTCTTGCGTAATATGTTCCCGCATTGGTCCCATATTGAGGATGCCTCTTTTTTGATCTCATACCGTCCCGGCTTTTGTAACGGCGGAGAGTTTTCTTCTTGTTTCAAGGCCAAAATATCGCCCAAATCACATTCTTCATTTGAGGTTGGAGACATCTTCCTTCTCTTATTGTATCGAGCATGAAAAGAGAATTGGCCGGTAATTTTGGTATTTGGGGGACAAAGAGGTCAAAGCGATCTTTACAATTTAAATGCCAGTGAGTTGGTTGTTTTCGCATGGTCGAGATAACTGTTTTCTGAGTTAATCTGAAATGCCTGTTTACGTAAGATGAGCGGCAATTTGTCCGTGCTTCTGTTTTCTTGCGTCATAAAGTATCATCGTTGACCCTTAATCCCATTTTTACGGTTCGTAACGGATCTCTGAGGAAGTGCCGCACTAATATATCATAGTCTCTCCGACATCCGTAGTGCTTATCGTAGAGTCGGATAAACTTGAATTTCCTTGATCTCAGTCTATCAGCCAGGCCAGCCATCATATTTGTTTCAATTTTATTTGTCCAATACTTTACTGAGCCACCAAACTTTTGCGGATTACGGTACTTCCAACTAGTTCTTACTGCTAATATTTTCGTCCATTAAATCCCCATTATCGTCTGCAGAGACGGCCATCCAAGAACCTTGAAGCAAAGGAGATCTGATTTATTACCATAAGATCGGAGGCCGTGACAAATGACATGTTTTGAGATCAGAGCAGATGACCTCTTTATGTCGCCTTTCTCGACCAACTGATATGGATTTAGAGATCATTAGAATATTAGAAATTCAGAGAAAGATGAAAACGCGGGAGGAACATGAGATTAGAGATCATTCGGAGCGAGGAGACCGGGGAAAATGGGCGGAGTCGGATTACGGTAGCAACTTAATTTACGACGGCGAGCGATGAATTCCGTTCCTGCCATGCGAGCTGTGATCCTTACCTTGATTTGCCCATATGTTTTGTCCTTTTTGTGGTGAGGTTAGTTAGTAATGTGCAATGTAATGTTTTTAACCGTAAATTCAAATTTACTGCCCAAATTTGTTTTCCTTCCCCTTACCTGTTCCTGGCGCATCCTCCTTTGACTCATCGCGAACACGGTTTATTTGGGCATCTCACCCGTTTTATGTTCGTCATATTCAAATTCGGTGCGCAAATTCGATTATTCACTTTTTTGGAGGCAAAAAAGATTTGTTTGAAACAAGAAAACATTGATGGTGAAATGTCATAGTTCAACCATTACTCGAGTCTTGGCTGTGTTTGAATGCTATGATCAATTTTGTACCTGATATATCATGTCGCAGACTGCGTTACAAGGAAGTGTGATTTAATCTCATTAATGGCTCATAAACATTAAAAGGAGAGTGAAGGTCGCTGATTTGATCAACAAACTTTTATTCGTCCCCACTTATGCAATTTCGGTTATTTATGTGTTTTTTATCGGGCTTCGGCAAGGGATTACGGTAGGGGTTATGAGCCGAGGACCATGCCAAAAGTCTCTGTTTGTCTAAGATATTGTACATCGTATGTTGGACTTTTACCACGTCTGTCCTCCCTTATCCTAATAATGTCCCATTCCTTGGCCATAAACTCCCGAGACCTCTTGTTGAACCCATAAATCCCGTTTGTTGGAATGTCATCCGGTTCGTCTCGATATAATTTTATGACTTGGATATAAATAATTTTGGACAGGCCCTTATTGTAATGTCGATTAAACCAGGAGCGGAATCGGGCCCAATATTTCCTGCAAATATTAATTTTGAATTTTTTGTTTTTTGTGTAAAGTCAGAGTCCGGATGTCACCCGATCTGATGACGTTCGGCGGCGCTCTTCTGGCCATAATTTGTTTTTGATTTGGTTTTAGCAGAATTTTCCCAGATTCACAAATCATTAAAACCGCCAGCGATGGGATCGTTTTTCGACTTTAAACGGATTTATTACATGGCCCACAGAAGAATTCATATTTTAAACTCGAAAAAGGCAGATTTAATCACGTGAGAAAACACAAGTTTAAAGTGTAATATATATTATTTCGGTTTTGCATCGGCGAAAGAGGGCTTCGTATTTTACCTACCATCTCTCCCCTTCCAGTTACAGTAATCTTGTTTGCCATCGATTTGTTTTTTTTTACAATCTGCCGCTGATCCCTTTGATATCCCCTGTCCTCGATCATCGCTGATCCACTCTCGTTTCTTTTTGTATTCTCGATTCCCGACCAGTCGTCTTTTCGAATTGGGTAATGGGAAGAATCAAAAAAAGATTATGGCCCCGTTGTAAATGTTTTGTCGGCCTTTGTCCAAATTTTTTGGCAGAAAAAGATGTCTCTATATTTTTTGAATTTTGTGTACTTTTTAAAATTTTACAGCCGTTTACAGCTACGAGCAGGTCCTTTTAAATAATGGACTTCCATATTTCTTGAATGTCCAGATATGCAGATTACCGTAAAATAAAATAATCTCATAATTCCCTATTGTCTTTTTTCCTCGAAATCTGAAGTGGATTAAACGGAGGTCAGAGGTCAGAGAGGGCGAAGAGAGTGCGGGGATTGAGGAGGTTTAGAGATTTTAGGTTATTTGAGGGAAAAGGAAGCCTACGACCTCGATCTAATCTCTTCCTGAACTTGACTTTCTTAAGGACAAGCTGATCTAATGGGGGTTAATCGGTCGCTATTAGGAAGTGGAGAGCTTTCGAGGGGATTACTGTAGGACTGGCGATAAATACATGATCTTAGAAGATTTATTACGACACTGGCTCGGTCAGTTATCTTCGTTTTGAAGGCCATTTTTGGACTTCATTGCTTTGCAATAACAATTTCTCTAATCTTTATGCCAAGTCTTTAATCCGAGGCGATCTCCGAAGCCAAAATTCAAATTTTCACTGGTTTCGCTTTTCTTTTATTCTAAATAATTTTTGTTTTAAATGGCCGCCCCCGCTGGATCCCTTTTCTGAAGCCGACTTTTTTAAAAACAGAAATGTTTAGCGCCACTACAAAAGGAATTTCAAAGGAATTATGGATATCGAAATCCGCCAGCAGTCTAAATTAAGTTTTTTTTTGCTTTAATTTGGGATTTAATTCGAGTTAAACGGAAATATCCGAAAATTGAGATTTTCTGGATCAAAATTACTTGTGCTTTCTACCACTTTCACTCCTGTCATTTGAGGATAAAACAAATTTGTCCCGTATTTTAACCGTCATGTTTAGTTGCACAAGTTTTTTTCTCAAGTGTACTTTTTGCGTCATGATTGCATTCGATCACTTAATGTTTTTCTAAAATTTTTAATATTATTCTTCCGCTTAATCCACCATCTCCCTCTTTCCCCCCGTCACCACAATATTCTTTGATGATCCCTCTTTTTAACCTTGGCCTTCGGAATCAAAAAAATGGAAAACTTTTCAAACGGTGCGCGAATTCATGAAGTCGGAGCCTTCAAAAAGTGGCACCGCTTTGAATGCTCTTATAACAATACTTTCGGGACCGTAAAGGGAGTTATGAGCCTGCTGAAAGGTCTTTCTGTCTGCTATAATGTCCTCTACTACTGATTTGGTAATCGAGCATGGGTATCCGACACTTGTCTTAATTGAGGCCCATCTGTTCTTAATTTCTTTTGTCATTTGTGGGAAAAGCAGCGCCTCTTAAGGTCGAGGCTAACACCGGAAAACCACCGGATGCCCTCGAATCACGGCGGGAGTCCGAAAGCGATCATTTTGTTTTTAGACATTCGAATTTTAACTCTTCCTCCGAGTCGCCCCTTATTCCAGACAATATCTTTTTTGGCCTTTTAATGTCCTACAGTAGCAATTATTTACATTGTTCTCTTAGCCACAGTAATCTCGACTTGTTGTTTTGTCCCCAAATTAATCCATTTTATGCAAATGTTCGGCCAAGAACAAAACTCGGGCCTTTCTTTTGATTATGATTATTAATACGTTTGACCTTACAGTAAATCCATGCGCCAAAAGTGTAAAAAGGCCGCAAATGGGATAAGAGGGATCTGTTTGGAGGGGGCGGGGATTTGGGAAATCCGAGACGCTGAGGCCATTATGGGGAATTAAGGCGACACAACATGTTCGGAGGTTGTCGCTTGCAGTAAATAGGTCCTTTTACTGTAAGTTTTAATATTTAGTAATCTTGGAATTTCATATTTGATATTATCTTTTGGAAATCCCACACTGTCTTCCTTGTCACCTCCACCGTAATCACCAGCATCGCTCAGATTCCGCGATCCATATTTTCCCAAGTTTTTGAACCCGGAGGCGGATCTCCATCAAATTCCCGGGTGATAAACACCGTTTCCTTGAAACGATCAGCGTGGGATTGTGTCGCATTGCTGGTGGTAATGTAGATTGTCACCTTGAGGACTGCCCTTCGGACGCTCACTTTCCTCCGCTTATCGGCCGCATTAATCGCGCGTTCCCCGCGACACACGGAAGGAAAGGGCTGGAAGTTAGTGAAACAAAAATTTTGTCGAATTCCAAAAAAGGGCAACCCATCTTGGGAGTTGTTTTTTATCGCTCTGATAAGACTTTTGGTCATGTTTTGGGTTAATGACCGGGTCGGCGATCTGCAAGTGCGGTGTAAATGATGTCACTAATTCCGGGAAAGCCTATATTTGGTCATTATTTGATTGCCCTTTTATTACCAACCTACAATTCTTAAAACGGCGCTTTCTCTCCCCCATTCCAAGGCCTCCACAGTCTTGTCAATTGCAATTCTGTAGCCGCAAACCGGAAACTCGTTTCCCTCTCCGAATCGCGTAACACTATTTGCTGTCGTCGGAAGGTCAAGGCGGATGTCGACGTGCCTCGGTCGTTCTTCTTCCTTCCTGGCCTCGATAAATGGTCCTGGGCAGGTCCACAAATCACGGCCAAATGTCCCCGTTTATGGCATTTCGCGCATTTCACAATTGTCTGGACGTCTCTTCGATTCTTGCGTTCCCTATTCGGATCATTCCTTTCTTTGTTCTGGCTTTAAATTGCAATTTAAACGGGTGGGAATCTGCTGAAGGTGGCCGGAGACAAAGTTGGATTCCCATTTTCGGATAATTTGGCGCCAAAAATACAGATTTTGAATTCGAATCCGTGGCCTCTCGATCCATTTGTTGTTCTTTTAAATTGCCTCCGGATGCCCGCACTTTAATGGGATTTAGTGGCCCGATCTGACCACATTATTGACCACGTGTGACCCATCTTTTGCTCCGATTTCTGACTTTTACGGCTTTTACTTTCCAAGCCGGAAGTTGATCTGATATTTGCATTCGAAAACAGATTTTGCCTGCTTGAAGATCAACATAATACTTTCCCTTGTTTATCCGTCATGGATGCCTTCCGTCTGATCTCCCACAAGTGCCGTTACATTGGCTTTTATGATCGAAGAACCTCCGGAAATTTGCATAATTCTTTTGAGTTTAATTTCCGCCGCAGAGAACGTTATGCCTTCTCAGGTATTCCTCGGGGGAATCCCGAAAAAAACTTTGAAGATTCCGCCTTTTATGGGCAATAATGACCGTCTTATACGAAATTCACCTTCAGACTTGTCTGTTTTTATAATAAATTTTCCACACACCTTCGAAACGAACTGCCTGAGGGAACACTGACCATCAAGGCTGATCCAATTAATTATGTGGAAGGGCCCTCCCTTTTGAGTACCTTGTCTCGTGGATTCTTCGAAAAGCCAAAACAGCGGGGACAACTGGCCCCTTCCTCCCTCTTGAAACATGTGACGATCGGGGCCGATCAGGGTCTTATCCCCTCAGGGGTTTTGCTTTGATTAGAGGGGCAAAGGACGGCCCGGCTTTTTTTTACAACTTTACTTTTTTGTTTACCGTTTTTACATCCAAATTTTGCGATGAAATGAGTCATAATGAGTGTGGGGCTTATCAGCTCGGCTCTTGCGTCTACGCTCTTATCAGACTGCTATTATTGTAACACCTTAACTAAACCAAATCAATTAGATTTTGTCTTCACACGAATTCGGAACGCTGAAATCAAAAACGCTCTGTTATCTCTGGGGATTCTCGCAAGGTCCCCTTACTCTCGAGTGCGTCGCTTCATATGATCGCTCTGAGGTTTTCCGGGTACCCATCTCACCTGTCATTCCATCGACGGAACGACCCATTCATCGATTGAATTTGGTTCTTATCAGCGCTTTACGGGTTGATAAGCTGTTTTTTGGATTCGAATATTTCCAAACTAAGATGATGAATATAATACTAGATATTGATAAGACCTCAAAAGGGTCATTTCATCACTTTCGGTTTTGATGCCTGAGGGTCTGGAGAGTGTTAGTGAACGATCAACGGGTTTCGAAAAGGATTATGGATTCAGATTTGTGTTTTTTCGGTGAAAATCATTCCAAATTATTCGAATGCTCTCTACTCTCACATTTTTTGACTGTTTCCGCCAAGTTTCTGACAACGTGTTGTCTTGGTGTATTCAAATTAAGACCTTGGCATTTCCTTGGCCATCTCTACCTGGCACGTTCCAATTTACAAAAAAAAGTACAGTAATCGGAAAGGCTGCGCACTTTTTGCCCTTTCTTCGGGAGTTTCTTTTTTGTCCTCATCGCCATTCTCTCGCGCATCCAAAACAGCGACGGTCGGGAGGCGTTTCGCCCTTTCGGCGGGTCAAATGTCTTGGCCAAGTCATCGAGCAGGAACACCGTTGAGTCGGATGACTTATGGGGGAGGAAGGAAGAGGGCGGATACCGTAGTTTGACGGATTCATTTTTGCAGCGAATAATAGCTGCTCTAATCAGTGTTGTAGCACCAAAATGTACGTGATTCTGGTTGGAATCCTCGATGTTTTTTGGCCATGTTTTTATGCCGTGTTTGGTTCTTCCTTTATCCCTTCCTCGTCTGTTCCGAAACTCCCAAATGTAAGATCCAGATAAGCCAGGACTTCCTTTCGTTCCTCCTTTTTCCGAACAGATACCCACTTTGCATAAATTTCAAACAATCTTTTGTCACGTTTGGACAATAAGCCATGGAATTTGCGCGAGAACGGGATCGGAAAGAATAGGAAAAGGCCGGGACATTGTTCTGGACGAAAGGAAGGGCTTGGCCAGACGAAACCCGTTTCAGGGTACCCCCAAATACAGTAGACGGGCCCTCGATTAACCGGATCCGAACATGTTGCTTGAATCCACGTCCATTCTGTAGTCAAATTAAACATTTACTTTCCACTTTCCCTCCGTCGACGGCAGCGCCCATTTTCTGGTTAATTTTCACTTTTTTCCGATTTCTTGTTTTTTTGCGGATCGCAGCGCATCCTCAAATTAACGTGCCATCCTCGCCCGGAGGCAAAAAACGTGTGGTTGGAACATCTTTCGTCGCGGATTTAAGGATAGATTAACGGTAATTAGAGAGCCTTGTTGAAAGGTGACCACGGCTCTGATCATTCATCAAATATTTTTATTTCTGACTTCATTTCTACATTGATTACTACCTGAATTTTAAAAAAAAACAAGTTTTGTGGCGTTCCAAACTGTTTTCGAAGGCAGGCTTGATAACCGAAACCCTGAGGTTGTGGGCGCGTGATTGGGAGATTAGGCCCGGCTTAGGCCACCATTTCCCCCCAGGGCCCGGTGTTTACGGCATTCACGAAGTTATCTAATCTGGACGTCGATTCAGCGCCAATTAGGGATTACAGACTTAAACTGTGCACCTCCTCTCATCTCAAGGGCACTGTAGCGCCGCTCAAGACGATGAGATAATGGCGATGCCGTTCCTCATCCAACTTTCGTTTATTTTCTAGCCGGAATCCCCGCTCCGAGTCAGGAGAAGAGCAGAATCCTCCTCTTCTGGAGTTCAGAAGCATCACTTTCGGCTTGTTTTCACTTCTTCCGAAGCGCCAGCGACGAAACAAGATGCGTCGCGAGGGGCAAGGTAACGGATTCGGTGGCTAAGTGAGTGCGATTTGAAGGGGTTCGTCGCCGATCGTGGAGTGGCGCATCCTCAATTTGCTACAATGGCATCCGAACTCGTCTTCCTCATTATCGGCTCCTTTTGTGAGGAAGAAGGGAAGGCTCGGGAGGCGGATGCGCGGATCTTCTTCGCCGCGACGATGACAGCCTTCTGTTGTCGCAGTTATTGTCTCACTTTCACTTGTTTGCCGATGGATCTGCCGGTTAGTTGGTGCTCGTTGATAGGATAGGGAAAGGTGGGTAGAAAGCGAAGTCGTGAATCAGTCATGACTATCATGGTTGTTATGGCATTGTTATGTACAGAATATGTTGTTACCATCCAAAGGCTAACAACTCTACATCTAGACGTTAACAACCTTCTTGCATGCCATCTCTAATACCCATTTACTGCACTAGAGCCCCTTGTTCCGTCGCTCTTGCGGTTCGTTCGAGGCTTATCAGCAATCAGGCCGGACAGTGTTCCGTTTCCCTTCTCTAGTCAAATAATCGGCCTCTCACCTTCCGGGTTCTGTCCTTCCCGGAGCCGGAAACCTTCGGGAATGCCATCTTGCCCGGGTCGCTTTACTGGTAATCTTATCTTTATTTTGTTTGTCATCTCGAGTGCCACAACTTTTGCGCGTTTTTATCAACTGGAAATGGGACCGGACCTTCTCTTTATGCAAATATAGGCATGTAGATTGGCAAGTGTAGGTCTGGTCGATTTAATCGGTCTCTATGAAGTGTCCCCTGAATGGCATGAGCGTACAAAGATAATGTAAGCCGGAATGTTCTCAAGTCATCCTATACAAAAACAATTCATTAGTTCCCTAAAGCCCATCCACTTGATTTGCGTTACAAATGGCAGCCGAAGTTGCGTGTTCGTCTTTCCGTGGGCCCCATATCGGTACTTACCGGGAGTCAGGCAAGGTGTGGGCAGGGCGGCGGGGATTAAAGAAGGACGAAGAGAGCGGGGACCGGGGGCGTTTCAAAGCCCCTTTTGTGATGTTGTGATATGTTGTTATGCACTCGTAAGTGAGTGTGTGTGTATACTTTTTTGTGGCCTTTAATTCCAAACAAAAAATCTCCTGGCCATTTGCACATTTCCGTTCCGAGCATTTTCCAAACTTTTCGAAACCGTTTTGGCATAAATTTTGGATTCTGAACCAATTTTTCGACTCTCCAACGTGGCAGAAACTCGATGCAAAGGATCTAATGAGTCAAGGGATGCTGCCAAATGTTGCAGAAGCTTTGCAGAGATTTTTCCTTACTCCGGGCTGTTTATTGCGGGCGTTAAAATACCCGGAAATATGTGTTTACAGACAAAATTACCGTAATCATTTATTCTGAGCATCCGTTTGCTCAATTTTCTTTTCAAATTTACTTTTTTGGCACTTTTTGCCTACAAAATGAGCGTTTCAAAACGTTCTCGCTCATTCTCAAAACTCCAAATAGCAACACTCGATTACAAAGCCATCCCTGCACTCTTGCCCCGCTCACAATTACAAACCCATCTCTTTTCGAACTTTTTGTTATACTTTGGCGTCGTTCCTCTCTCCGTTCTCTGTTTCTCTCGCGAAACGCTCTTTTTAAATAATTAGTTTGTGGTATTTAGTTGTAATTTTATACGAGGCCATGATGTTTTGCTGTAATCCGGCGATTTTGGTGCATGTTTTTCGGTGCTAGTTAAAGAATAATAGTTGGAGTCTTGAACCGCTGTACTTTCAAAGCCGTTTTACTGCGTTTAATTGGCTTTACGGTTCGGTTGATGTGCGAACGTAAGCGACACTTAGCATGTAATCTTTATCTCTTAACAAATCCGCTGACTGAAAACGGTTTTCTCCCGGATTATCCTTCGCCTTTTTCTCATATTCGATATTAACTTTAAAGCGTTCATTTCTGGCGAGATTAGATGCCCCCAATTTCCAGTTTTCTTGAGGCCATGAAGCTGTTGAAATCGCTATGTATTATGGTTACAATAAAGATTGCGAATGTAGCTGCCAATTTCTTGCGACAGAATTATTGTATATAATTTTTCGAGCCGAATGCCGTCTCCCAAGTTTGCATCGTTTAAGCGAAGAATCCAATCGAATTCCACTCCCTTAAAACTGTTTTTTAATGCGCGACAGTTCCTCGTTGCCCCCTTCAGCCTCTCTTACCCTCTCGGATTAAAAAGACACGCGACAAAACGTGAAGGAGCAGATCGCGGGTCAGTTGGCCCCATCTTAACTTAAGGGGAGCGTGCTGCTTGCCGGGATGACGTAACGCCGTGGGGTCAGGATCACCGACTTTACCCGGGTATTCGGGTCGGATCGGAAGTGTAAATATTTGGATTTAGCCGAGAGATCTCTGGGAATCTTTAAAGAACAGTGCGGATGTAATTATTCTGACGATTTACCTAAAATAAAGAGAATCTAGACTTCCCGTAATTACTGTACCTTCATGAACAAACTCTTATGCTAATTTCGGAAGGGAGACGAAAAGTTGGGGCCATAAGTTCTTCAGAAATTAGCGATTCCCATGCCTGGCCACAACTTTTTTGTGCTTTGGAGGGGTTTTCTTTTATGAAAATGTCAGATTCAGCTGTTCGGCTTCGGAATCCGCTCTTGTTTCGAGGTTTTTTTTATAGTCTTCGGCTTTTCATGATCACCACTTCCGAACTGAAGATGTCTTCCTTTTCCATAAATTTGCATAATTTCAGTCTTTGTTATTTCTTCGAAAGATTAGCCTAATAAAAGATGTCCTGAACATCATCCTCCCTGGTCCTCAGCCCCCATCATAACTCTTATTCTTGAGTTGTTTCTCTGCCCTTCCGTTAACAGAATCTTTTCCTTCCGGTCGGGTGCATATCAAGAGTTTTGGCCGTTTAGACGACTCTTACCACGCTTACCGCTCTTCCGACGACTCTCCAAAAACTTTGTTCCCTTTTCTCGCCAACCGTTTGCCACTTAATTCTCTCTTTAAATTAACTCCCGGCAGTTTTAAATGCTCTGTTAACAGACGATGTCTTATGTATGTGTGAGTGTGTTTATTTGGCTTGTTCCAATTACTCCGTACGCAATGGTTATAGGGGTTTTGAATTTAAATATAAGTTTTAATTAATTTGGCTCTTCATTTGCGTGTCAATTGCCCGATCCCGGTCTCTGTGTTCCGTCCGCTCTCTCCCGCCGTGTGATAACAACCATTTCCCGGGGTTTTACACCTTTTGTTGCCATCCGGCTCATTAATGGCTAGCTGCGCTGGGAACATTTCCACGCTGCAGGGGGACCCCGTTTTCACCTGTTCACGTACTTTCTAGTGGAAAATAATTTTATTTGATATTAACCTTTGAAGGTTTCGTGTGGCTTGGAATGGTTCAACGTTCCCTGTTCCCACTGCTTGTTTTTGGGCGTTTAATCAGCTGGATTACTGTAATTAGGAGTTCCATTTTGACTCTTTTCTGGCTCTTTGTAGCGCGTAGAATATAATGCAAAGTATTTGCATATTTAATGCAGCGGATTGGAGAAACTTGGCCGAGAGTTTCGTTGACTCCCAGAAGTTTCGAATCCGTTATCATCCTGAGCTACAAATCCATCCTCCCCATACCTCCTCTTTTCGCACAAACAATGTACTCCATAGATGTTGGGGGATTAAGGCGATGAGTGGCACAGGCCCTCGAGGCGTAAAACCCCTCACCTGGGTGGAAGTGAGGGCTGTCTCGGCCCTTCTTTACCCTCGCCTATGACAGTTACTTTGCTGTAGAGAACCCTGAAGATGACTAATAATGTCATCGACATCATCCGGCCCTAAACTTTGTGTGCGCGACTTGTTGGCCGGGCGCTCTTTTAATGGAATTCCCCCACTTTCTCCTACTTTTCTGTGTCCCTTTTTAACACGCTCACGTTCGATGTTCTCGCGGCCCCCCAGAGGGCCGCCGGGGCCGCGGATTGCCCTGTTTCATGCCCTCGGGGGACACAATTAATTGGAACGCCGCGCCGTCAGGTGCTGATTACCCACGGATTTTTGGACTTTGTGGTTCGGATTGGGGGCAGGGGAATAATTCCCGGAAATAATCGGTCATCCTGACATGTTTTGTATTATCTTAAGTCTTCAATTTGTCCTTTTAAAAGCCGTTGAGCTTCTCCCAAAAAAGTGAAAAACCCCCCGAATTGCTTTTGACTAGAACAAAAGACATCAAACAGCACAAGTTGTAACTTTTTATTGCTCCAAACACTGCACAGTACACCCAAAAAGAGTTTGTTTTATTATACAGAGTTGTTCGGCTCTCTGCACTTTTGGCGTTTTCAACGAAATCCGTGAGTCCTGTGATCGGGAAACTCGTTATCCATGAGATTATGTCATATTCAATTGCATTGAGCAATGGATTCGAATTCCGAGTTTAAATTAAGGAATCGCGTGTCCGGAGACGCTAAAAACTCGAGCGATTTGCGTAAACCGTGGTATTTGAGGCTACTGTATGCCTGACAGCGAGATTTATTCAAATTTCCGGTTTCACAATCGAATGCCCGGAGGGCAAATCCCTCATTTCCGGCTTGAGGATCCTCAGGCCCTCGGGCGGTTAGTGGAATCGATGGCTTTAGTTTCTTTTTTGTAGGTGTTAATGTAGTTTTTTTGCACAATCTCCGTATCTTTTAGTTCCTCTGATATCATCCATCTGAATCTGGCATCTTTATATCATTTTAAATTCTTCTTATATCATTTTTTGGAGCCAGCCCTTACACAGACGCAACATTTCCTGTACTTTTCCGTCTTGTAAACGGTGAGCCCTGGGGCTATCGTTATTTTTACATCTAATTTGCGTGTAAACCCGTTACTTTTTGCCGTTTATCTATCTTTTTTTGGGTTAAATCATTACAACGAGCGCTTTTATGATAACCGGAAAGTGTTTCGTGGCCAGTATAATATTATATAAATAGGTGTAGCAGAAGGGATTAGTGTAAGCGGGCGGTCATTGCGCGGATGTAAAAGACCCGACGAAGGGCCATAAATCATGGCCGGACATACGGATCTGGACAATTAGAGGGCATCCGGGACTTAAAAGGATTTATACCCGGGCATCTTTATGAATACATTTGGCTTAATTATAAAGTTTTACTGCAGTAGATGGACTAATGTCATCAAAGTCTCACTTTTCCGAGCCTAATCTTCTTTTACCCGAAACTTTGCGTCATAAAGTTTACATCAAAAAGACACAATAGACTTGGCGTGTTATTTGTCCGTAATTTGAGTTCCCAAGATATTCCACCTCGTTTTTATTGAATTTCCATGGGCGAACACCGCCAGGTTACCTTATCATAGGCGAGCGATGTTTCTATTTCTCTGTGTTTATCGTTCCCAAAGATCCCACGTTTATATCGTGTTGTCGTAGACCAATTAAGACTAACCCTTTCGCTTTTAGCATACCCCCCATACAGCAGTTACGCCGGCTACGTCCCCAATCCATCGGTGGATCCCCAGTTTGCCTATCCCGGCTACAGTAACCCGTTTGGGGGCTACTTTGATCCCTCCCATCCCCGACTTCAACACTCCATCTCCCAGCCAACCGCAGCACGGCCTCATCGACCGGTCGGTGGAGCCCAATCGACTCCCGTTTCTCATCGCTCCACGCCCCAACCTCCACATCAACCTCAAGGTCAGATGGAGCTCATCCAAAGCCTGCCACATGAGATCAAGCAGGAGAACGGGATGATGCCAATGCTCAATATTCAGAACAACTTCAAACCCCTCACGATGAATGGAATGAACGGATCGACGAGTTCCTCGATGGACTCAAATATCCAGTTGTGGCAGTTCTTGTTGGAATTATTGACTCACAATGAACACCCGGACCTCATTCAGTGGACCAACAATGAAGGAGAATTCAAGGTAAGTGGATGAAACTTGCAAAGGCGAACAGTTTCTTCATATTTTGAAGAGATTTTACAACATGATTTATGTAACAAAATTTTATTTGCAGCTGATCGATGCCGAAGCCGTCGCTCGATTATGGGGACTCAGAAAAGGCAAAACCCAGATGAATTACGACAAACTCAGCCGAGCGCTTCGGTATTATTACGACAAAAACATAATCAAAAAAGTGAATGGACAGAAGTTTGTGTATCGTTTCGTGGTCTCCGGAGATGCTTGTACGAATGAAGCGATGACTTACGCTCTTCAACGACAGCAAATGCAACAGGCCGGCCTTCTCCAACCCAATCATATGGCCAGACCCACTCTCCCGAGCACCGATCTCAACTTTTTCCGCCGAAATTTGACTCCTTCAACAAGCTCGGCGTCAACGGAATTGGAGTTGTCGAAGCCTCTTCAAGTCCAGAATACCACCTCCACGCCTTCGCCAATGAATTCGACTTGTTCGCCAGGATCTGTAGGAAGCTCTTCGGGGGTCTCTTCAGCTGGGACATCAACTTCCAACCTCAGCGATGTCTATCATGGCCAACAACATCATCAACAGCATTCTTCTCGTCCTTCATCTACTGCCTCAACCAATCACAGCACTCCCCATCAAACATCGAGGAAACGGAAGGCGGAATCAGATGGATTCAGCCTGGATAAGATCAAGATCGAGCCCATGAGTATAAGTTCTTACAGTAACCAAGCGACACCCAACTCTGCAAATGATTTGAATGATCAATCGATGCATCACAACTCTCACAATGGTCCCAGAAAGTCCAAACCCAAGCCGATGCCTTTGGATTTGACTGGAGTTTCCAATGTGAATAGTGGAGATAACTCAACCAACAATGCCAGCGCTGCCCCATCGACGAACAGCAATCTGTCAGCGATGCAGGCTGCCAACAACTTGATCATGGCCTCCTCTCCTTTGTTGCTGCAGAACTCTCCTCTCCTTAATTTGTATGCAGTGGCATCCCTGTCCAATTCTTTGATGAACCCCGCCAGTCCTTTGGCGGCCTTCTCTCAAGTCCTGCCCAGTCCACTTCATTTGGCTGCCTTTGCCGCGAGTCCAACCTGTAAGTTATTCTATGGTAGTCCAACTTGTAAGTCATAAGGGTATTCTCTATGTTATCATAAGATAACTTGACTTGTCTCCGTATTACAATCGATAATCATAAATTATTTTCAGTCAACAACAACAACCATTTGTCGATGTTTGGCAATTCCCTCTCAGCATTGACCACCCCGATTCCCAGCAACACCCCGCAGCAGAATCGACTCAACGCTCAACAGCATTTCTTCCAATTCCCTCCTCCATCGGCCCAACAAACAGCAGTCGCAAATCTGGCAGCAATCCTCAAATCGCCCGGTCTCAACTCTCCATTCTTGAGTGCGATGGGACTGGGGACCCCTAACAACAACACCACCAAATTCAACTTGTCGCCTGATGCCCTCAAAACCCCCATCCCCCCAATTCGAGAGGGCTGAAAGTTCTGTATCTCATTGCAACTTGATGTCATAATGTTGTCCTTAATATGACTGACGTTATGGTTTTCGGTTCACCCTTCCACTCATGAGGATCTGGTCTTTTGTGCTGTTTAGGCGTCTTATCATACTGTACTTTCACTGCAACTCTTAGGTATTTTTTGGTAGATGTATATGTAATGTAAGTTATTCATTTTGAACTTGATCTTGCTCCGAAGGTCTACAGGGTCATTGTAATCTCTCCGATTGTGGTTATGGCACCCCCCTTTTGTCTCCGTTTTTGTTACAGTATCCCCAGCAGTACCGGTTTTGTGTTGTATTATAAAATTGTAGATCTGCACTCGAACATCTCTTTTTCTTGTTCCTCCCTATATATCTTCAGCATCACAATATCCGTGTTTTGTTCATAAAAAGAGTACTATTTATCAATCTTTAACAGTATTGTAATGTTTGTTTATTGTATAGCTAAAAGATCGAAAAAAAACTGAAATAAATATGTTAATCCTAAGGTGCACGATGATTCAAAAAAAAGTGTATTCTCGTTTGATTGTGGTTTATTTTGATTTCCTTTACTAATTACAACTATACTCTGTTAAATGCCCTAAGGGCCAAAGACGAGATTAATTAGGATTACATCTACTAACCGGGTAATCATAACATTTACACTGTAATACGCGTATCGCTGAGGACGGCGAGACATTATGGCTTTGGATAGAACAAAAAGAAAAGAGATGAATCAAAGACAAGAGAAAAGACCCGTTTTACACTACTCTTTGTACAACAGTTGTTACACCCACAACTTTATTAAGACTAAGGCTAAAGACTGTACAAGACACCAGAAACTAAGCCTAATGCACTCGGTTATACGGCCGGATGTTAACATAGTATCTGAGCAGGAAATTGCGGACCTTCCTCCGACTGAATTGCCCTCCGGCATGGCAGGTCGGGCAAAGGAAGAAGGGTGGAAATTGGTACTTGAGAAACTGCGGATCCTCTGTTACATCACCGTGCAGGCGATTGTTTACAATGTTATGAGCTCGCCACAAATACATGAACATATCATGAGAGTTCTTCACCTAAAACAATATAATCAATGTAAGGTTGGCCACAAAATAAATAATGAAAAAGCAGAAATCCAATTTTAAATAGAAACCACTTACTCGTTCCTCATTCATTGGGAATTTCTGTGTGGTCATCTCCATAAAGTGTTGCTTACAGTTTTCACACCCAAAGAAAGAGTTGACCCATCCTTGGATGTACTTCAATGGAGTGATGGGCTTGATTGTCTTGGCTAAACAGCAACTTTATTTAATTACAGAGCTAAGATACCTTTAATTGTGTCCATATAAGTGTGAATTGTTAATGTGTGGAAGGTCGTCCAAAGGCCACAAGTATAACCTCTAAATTGAGGTCCACTTCCTCGGCAATGTTGCCAGTCAGCATCGGTGGGGAAAGGCTTGCCGTAACGGTCCTGAAAGAACAATAAGAATTATAGAATATGATGTAAGGCTGTTCGATGTGATATATTGGAGCATAAAGGACAAACCTCTAGTCCTTCAAAGGTTGTTTTCCATTCTTTGATGGAGATCTGGCCAGGTTTTGTGTCTAACATCTTCCTCAGTTGATCGAAGACCTCCTTGGCGGCGGAGCTCTTTTTCAGCGCCTAAAATTTATATTATACCAGACATTAATTTTAAAAAATTTGTTTGATGATTTCGCTATTCAAAATAACCTTACCACACTAGTAGACCGTTTCAAAGCGCGTCGTTGAAGTCCGTTCGCATATGATACCGTTGGAAAATGCTAAAAGAATCAAATAAAAAAATTGCCTTCTCATTCTTACATCCGCCAATAACGACACAAAGTTCTGAAGATTGGTAAAGTTCTGTCCAGTAACAAAGTCATTGGCTCTGACTACTTCATCCAATAAAGCAGACCTCATCGCCTTCAACATGTCAGTTTCTGACGCAAAGAACATCTGTTGGCATCGCTCTGGCTGTTTGTCGCAATGGATAATGTTCGAGGGCTTGGGGGTGGTGGCCTGAATTACCGGAGGCCTCGTCACCCTCTCGTTAGGGTCAGCTCTTGCCATTACATCTTGTAGAGTTGTGTATCCATAGCTGGAATGAACATAATAATAAATTGACCAAAAGCAGAGCAATGATGTATAAAGAATAACTTACGGGCTCATGAAGATGCTCTGCTGATTTCCCCGTTTGAATAGCGCCACATAAGGGAAGCTGTTGATTTGAAGCATCTGGACCAAAGGAGAGTTGGCCATGGCTCTTCGAACGCCAACATGACCGCGATAAGGCCATAAATCGAGCATAGCCTGGGCAGCAACGCTGTCATACTGCTCAAAGACTATGGCCATGTACATTGCCTGAGGGAGGATTCCATTCCAGAGGTCTTCAAACTTGGTTTGACTGAAAACGAAAGTCATCTTCGATAAAAGTCAGTCCTTTTACATTCATTGTAAGTCCTTACCCAGTAACATCAACATAGCCGAAGTTGGGCCAGTCCGGGTATCGCCTAAGGCTATATTCATTTGTGACTTTTGAAGCCAACTGATCTCTCAGATTGGTGCCGGAGTGAGCTGGCTCTAGAAGTTGGCCTTCGGCATAATTGGTGGCTGTTCGAGGGAAATACTAAAGCAACTGTATAGATCTATAAACACAACCTTACCTTGAGCATGGGGAAGTGGCTGATTCCATTCTTCTTACAGATATCTGCATTAAAAGCGTCAGCACAATTGATGGCAGAGACTATGGTAACTTCCTTCCAATTAACCACCAAAGAAGCAAATTCCTTAAAGAAAGGAGCAAACGCGCGACAATGGCCGCACCAGTCAGCGTAGAACTCGACCAAAAATGAATTCTGTCTAGTCGGATCAAAGATCGTGTCATCGAACGTCAGCTATAACATAAATATAAGATTTATCACCTTCCTCATGACAATAAATTAAGTTTTCCGACCTACCTGATCCAAATGCAGGATCGGTTCCAATCCAGGGATGTAGAGGAGAGACTGCGAACCTTGTGGATGGTATGTAAAAGTGGATCGAAGAGCTGTCGAATCCATCAAAAGCAGTAGAAGAAAGATGCCACTAGACCACCGAGAGATCATCTCTAGTCTGAAAAGATGACTTTACTATAGTCATCAGCAAACAGGCATCGCAAAATCCACGTAATAAGAAATGAACAAGTTGAAAAAACAAAAGATTAAAAGGCATTTTGAGGATTTAAAGAGGGAAAGAGGAACGTCGACCGTCTCCATGGATCAATTTACCATTTATTTTGGGTCAAAACGTTTCGAACTTTTGCTTAAAACCTCCGCTGCCTACGTTCGAAATGTCAGAATGACTTGAAATCTGAAATGCAATCAAACAAAGCTATGAATCGTTGGAATACAATCGCATCGCAAGATTTCAGCCTTGGCGGATATTCAAAATCAGCTTTATCTTGATTTTCGGTCCCAAGAATTTTGATCTGACGTCATCCCGTTGGCGTTCCCAACAAATCCATTCAGAGACTGTGTAATATCGCTTATATCATATATTATATTATAGTCATATTACTAACAAAATCCCCCTCAAATGACGTCCAAACTCAGCTGCTTTTATCAAACTTTTTGGGCGTGGCCAATCGAAAAGGCCAAAGATTTTTTCAAAGACTTGGCCTCACGTAAAAGTTCTAGAATGACTCACTTGAAACAAATGTTTGACATCCGGATATACAAGTATAAAGTAGTGTATTTAAAAGGTAAATAAACCAAAAAAGAATAGAAAAGTGGGAGGGAACAGCTAGGGTAAATAAAATACGGTGAAAAGTATTTGAATTGAACTGAAATTAAACCGTCTGGGGGTGGAAAAGGCGGCTTGGAATGTCGTAGGATGATTGAGAAATGAAATAAAAGTAAAACAACAAAAGAAAGACGGCTCTAATCCTTTGATTACTATCCGGGAGACAGATTTAACATCTGAATTCGGCGGAATTCGGCTTGTTTACTTCCCAGGGGACTAAAATAAGTTATGAAAAAACTATTTCTGTTTCCTGCTTTAGTATCGTTTCAAAGTCGCTTTATTTTACCTCAACGTTCGTTTTGTAAATTCTGTTGTTACATTCTCTCTCCATTCATTTCTAATATTATACTTTCTCATTTCTCACCCAGAAATGTCTTTGACTCAAAAATGCAAAAAAATGATAAATGCCAGAGGGCATGATTGATTGGACCAGACGTCGACAAACATTTGACCTGCAAAAAATATTTTCCCACCTGTAAGCCCACAGTTGTTTTTTGTCATCCATGTTGCAAAGGATATCTTTAGAATGATAAATCATAACGTAAGAAAAGATAACGGGTATTTTTGGAATTTATAGTTAAAAAAATAAAAGTTGTATACAGTATTAGGTCATAATATCATGAAGAAGGTGCAGCTTTATGAATAAATGGAGAATTCTCTGATCTTTTTTGTAAATAATAAGAGTAACGAATACGAGAATTATCTTGAGAAGACGGTAAAAAACTTATGCTACTGACGACAATTTACTTTCATCAGCCTAACAATAACAGTATATCTCTTGCCTTTCCGCCTCGTTTTTCTTGAAGCCCCGCCCTTAGAAGTGGGTTAAACCACCTGAGCGAACCCTTAATTTCGGAAAAAGGTCGGTTTTCTGGTTTGGTTAAAAACAAAAAAAAATCAACAAAAGACGCCGCTAAACCGGTAGCCGGGAGTGTAAAGTGACCAGGGTTTTTTGAAGGTTATTACTATCAAATTACAACTCGATTTACAGACATCTTTGTTGTCTATCAGCAATTTTCAATCATAAAACTATTTCCAGATATGACGAAAACTAGCTCTACAACTGTGAAAAATCAAAAAAATCTCCAATTTTACACGGAAATGAGCCGAGCATTAATATTCCTCGACGGAAATAAATCGAGAATAAAACCCGTCCCTTACAAAGGGTTACTTTCATATGAATATTCAAGAAGAACACGATTGAAAATGTGTTCAGACAGGGTTTATGACATTTTTAGAAACCTCATAATAGAGGAACGCTCGTAAATCTAACCTCAGGTCTTTGACCCGCTTAGATTTCCTTTACCTCAAAGGCATGTAAATGAAAATTTGACTCGTTTTTTTCAAAAAATGTTTTCCGAATCCCGCGAACTTCCCCTATTGCATAAAACCCCTCCGGCCAAAGCTTTTAACGGCCGTTCTTCGGCCGTTCGAACGTCGTTTTCTCGAATTCCGGCTCTAAATTTATGTAAATACCATTACCACTTGTGTAAATAGTAGCAGTAAACCCTCCCGTTGATCGTTCAAAGATTAAAAAGGATTAGATTACTGTAATTCCAAGTGGTTGCCTAAAAAGAAAGTAACAAATCAAAGATCTTTCCGCTTCTTTACAATCACGGTAGGCATTAAAAACCACAAGTTTACATCTTTCTCAATAAAAAGTGACCAAACAAACAAAAACAAGATGGTCGCTGACTCCATCGATGGTTTTTGCAACTCTCGATGAAAAAGGGAAGCCGGGGAGCCCAAAAAAATTATTGAGAAACTGAAATCGGGTCAGGGCGACGTCGTTTCGTCGACGGGGAGCTGTCTTTTGTTGCCTGAACTACCGCCCAACGCGCCCGTTTAAGACCTCAGGCGGTCTTGTTCCGTAAAAACTTTTCCTGCGGCTAAGACAATGAAAATTTTACTCATTAAGGCGCCATCAAACTCGTCGCACCCATTCGGTAAGAGTTTAATGAAGCCGGCGCTTCTCGACTCACGCCCACTTCACAAAAGACACGTGAAGATGAGGTAAACGATAAGGAAAAACAAAAAGAAATAGGGTAAAAGGTGGTAGGAGAATAATTACAGGGCAATAACGGTATCCGTAGATCTGAAAGCAGCATGTTATTACATATATTACTCTCAAAAACTACAATAAACCCTTGTTTTCTTATAAAGCATGGTCCTCGTTAGGAAGAATACGACATTCTCAAAATCAGACATCATAAAAGTTGGCCTCCAGTAAATAAAAAAGACCTTCGAGACACAAATAAACTTGTATTGAAATCAGCTGTTGAATGAAAATAAGGATTGGACATCAAAACGAAATTAATGGGATCAAAAAGACAAGTGGAATGTCAGATACTGGGCATGTTCTCAATAGACGGATATCTGAGACTTTGTTTTTGACTGTGAAAAGTCATCATTGTGGAATCAATGGTATCTTGACGTTAGATGAGATGAATATTTTAATTTCGTCCCAAACTGAGCTCCCTCAAGCACTATCATCTGCAAACAAAAGTGACATGCACTGAGCCCCCTCTCGAGCGCCCCTGAATACGCAGACCTCACGTCAAATGGGTCCGTTCCTCCTTTCCTTCTTCTTTTTCTAGGTCTATCCACGATCACTTGACCGGAAATGCCCTCCAAACAACGTTCTTGATTGAAAACAGCTGAATTGTACAGAAAAATCGCCTTTTGTTTGGCTCCATTTCCTTTTCTAATCCCCCCTGGATGACGCTGAACCTAAAATAAATTTCCGGGCTTTTTGAATGAACTCCCTGCTTTTTACAAATCCCCAAGTCTCGAGGAAATTGAGGTCGAAGAACCCTCCAGAAGGATCAAGGATGACAAAAATAAAAAGGGAAAAAACATCAGGAAGTATACTGTAACAAAAAAGTAGAATTATCACAAAATAGGTTAATGTCAGAAAAGTATGTGGTTTACGCGACCATTTATACAATCGTCGTTACCATAAATATGTTTACAAAGTCTCAATTCAAACAAGGTTACGGTAATCCCCGTAACCTTAATTCCCTTGGACTAATACAAAACCATTTATTATACGTTCGATCTGCATATTTGTTACCCAAAATACGTGACCATGACATATACAAAAATTTGTTTTGTTTCAACCTTTTTTGAGTAAATAAAAAAGACAAAGTGAGCGATTCTCGAAAAGAATCCGAATCCGATGAAAAGAGGAGCCCCTTTTTTGAGATCCTCTTCTGCGTGAAGCAATCTATATCGGGAAATAATTACAAAAACTACAATGGGTTAGTTGCAACTCTTTCGGGGTTTATAGGTTATTTGTAATGTATAGTTAGAGGTCTCATGTGCAATATAAAAAAAAATGGTTCAGTCTGAGGCTTCGATAATAACAAACGACAGGCAAGAAATGAGCAAGACTTTAAACCTAGTTAAAATCATGAATTACGCAACTTCTTGACTCGTTTAAATGCCCAATCAGCTAAACCAACATCAGAGGAAAGGCCGGTTTTAGAGTCATCAGACTGGTATTTGTTTGCCAATTCTCAATTTTGCAGTTCACAGTTGAATTTCATCCCAAACACAAATATATTATCCGTTCAGGAGCTCTTTTCTACGTTTTGTTATTGTCATTTCGTCATCATTACAGTAATAGGTTCAAAACGAGAGTAGAGATTGGGAGGTGGGCGATTGTCATAACTCAAGGGTGTTGAAACGACAAGTTTGTGTTCGACGTTGTAGTCTAAACTTTGTGAACGCCATTTCGTCAGTCAACGTTTTAGTAAATTCAATGATGAATAAACGAAATTTTGTCAATTTTGTGTAGTTGACTTCACTTTTTTGGTGATAACAACTCTTCGAGAACTAAACAGAAGTCTATAACTTATAAAAATTCTCGTGAAATCCGAAAAGGTCTTTTCTCTTTCCTTTTTTAGCATTTGCCAACCTTTCCCAGTGTGAATTTCGTGGAGAATAAAATTTATTCGCGCAACCAGACTCTCGCACCTTCTCCTGTCTTTTCGTTTCTCTCTTTTCCCCGTTCCAAATGGGTCAAACAAACTGCAAAGCGAAGAGAGAGAGAGACAGAAAGTTTTTCATGCTCTCTCCACATCTCTCGCCCAAATTATTTTCGCATGTCTTCGGCCGCTCATTAAACCATGCCCTTTTTCAAATACTTGAACAGCCGAGGGCATCTTCGCCGTCTTTTTTTTTGTTGTTTTTATCAATAATTTATTTTCCGTTTTTTTCGATTTACGGCCTCGTATACGTATGTATACGAGGTCAGACCTGTTTTTTCTTGCTGATTTCAAGGAGAGTACGATTTTTTCTAAAGTATGTTTAGTCCTAAGTTGACCGATGAAAAAGTGCTAGACAAGTATTCCACGCGTTCAAAACATCGTATTACCTTTATATTCCACATGTATCAGTCTTTTTTCTCGAAAAATTCCTGCGGCGGCCACGTGGAAATAAAAATATATTCGAATTACAATATTTGTTGTTTATTTGATGGCCAATAAATTCTCCGAGCTGCAATTGTCTACAACAAACCACACTTTGTGCAGTAGATATCGTTTAGGTGTATTATTTATTCGCTCTGATATTATTATACATTTATCATACCTATTATTTCAGTTTGTAACCAACGATGGGGTTCGAGAGCCGACGGTTGGCAAGCAGAACCAAAAAACCTCCTCCTCCCATCCTCTCGCATGAATTCATCATCACCAATCATGGGGATATTACTAGTGTTATCCTTATGATAGTAGCTCTTGGATTCATGTTCCAATGGTCGGTTCCCTTCTCGCAATTTATGGTCCTCCCTCAATACAATGAAACCAGACCAGTTGCTGGGGAAGGCGGTGAGTATTTTACCTTTTTTTTTGGTTTTTAGGTACCTACTTAATATTACGACATCTTGCCGATTTCAGACAAGACCTTCTACCGTTCTGGAATCAACGATCTTGGTTGTATTGCTTATTATACTGTAGCTTGGATCACTTTCCATTGCATAATCCAGGAATATGTTATTGATAAGATCCAACGCCGTCTTCACATGAGTCGGTCTCGGCTGGCCAGATTTGCAGAGTCCGCTCATCTCGGTCCTATTGCTGCTCTTGCTTGTGGTTTTGCTGCCTATAATTTGTATGAGATCGGTGTTCACAAGAACTTCTCCCTTTTGTGGCAAGGATACCCATCGGAGCACCGATATCTGTCTCTCAATTTTAAATTGTTCTTCTTAATTCAGGTAAGCAGTTCGTTTTATTTTGTTTATTAAACGTTTAGATCTCTTATTGGATCCATCAATTCCCTGAATTCTATTTCCAAAAGCTGAAGAAAGAGGAAATGAAAGAAAGGAGTGGTTATTCCGTGTTGTTCTTGACTTTCATAGCCGTCGCCTACTTCACCAAGTAATTATTTTAAATTTGCTACCTAGAAAATGATTTTAGGTCTTAAAGTTTCTGATTTACACCAAGATGTCGCATTGTTATATAATAAGATACAATTTTTCAGCTTTGTTCGTCTGGCCGCAGTTCTTTTGGCCCTAGAATACGCATCGCTTTCCCTTCTCCACATTAGCCGTTTAGTTTATTTCTCAGGGAAGGTGTCCAACACCGGGAGAATCTTCAGACTCTGGAATCTTCTGTTCCCCATTGTCCGCCTGTCCAGCATTGTTATTGCTGTTTTGGTTCTCTGGGGTGGTCTGCGTTCTCACGAAACCCCGTACATCAACTTTGAAACTGGAAATTACAATACCCATGTCATCCGGTAAGCATTAAATTAACATACTAAAATGGAAGAAGTGACGGGAAACGTTTTGTAAATGTACCAAATGATAGCTAAAGCACTTTATACTTTTTCAAAATTTTGGACGTTTTGTCTAATACGGGCCTATCCGGGCCGAAGAAAATTTGGAACGGGCTGGGCCCTACTCTCTCCGGCCCGAGAGCCATGCCTTGTTTTGATATTCATTACAAATATATTCTAGTTTGGACGCCCTGATCTTCCTTCTGCTCACCCAAGTCTACTTGTTCTACAACTTTGCTCGTTTCCACTTTTCTCGATGGAATTCGCGGCCCAAAACGGTGGAGCCTCTTCCTCGCAAAAAGCAAAACTTTAAAGCCAAGAAGGAGGAAAAGAAGGTCCAGTAATGGAATTAGATTAACGATAAGTTATTATTTATTCACAATTTCATAGTTTAGTCTTCGTATTTATTTCGTATTCGGACTGGAATACGTCTCCTCCCGTATAATATTGTAATGGCGGTCTTATTTATTTTTTGGTAGCACTATTAAATTAGCTTTTTTTAGTCCATTTAGTCTGCGGAAGACCATAAATTCACTTTTTTTGTCCCAGGGTCTTTCTAATTTTTTCTAATAAACTATATTTTGTCAGTTAGATGATGGGCCTACAGTCGTCTGGATCACTCTAAAACGTTGTAAGAGAAACAAACTAGTAAACTTGCAATCTGGAGTTGGTTTCATCTTGAAACAGAATTCGGAGAGACCGTTTAAAGTAACAAAGGGAAGGTCAGAAGGAAACGCATCGCCTGTCTCCAGAATTGATCCTTGTTTTGTTTTTCATCGCGTAATTGATGGACAGACGTAATGCAATCTATTGACGAGGTTCCCAGACCGCAGACGTCGACTCCAGACATTATTGTAGACAGCTTGTGGTGGTAGTCAACTAACCGGTAATCAAAGATGGGATTTACCTGGGGGGTCGACTCAACGATCAGGATGTTTGAACGGATGCTTTTTCATGCCTTACCAAATGGTTCTGTGACGCCCACAAACAAGCTTGGCAAAGGTTTAGAAGCTACCGTCTGAATACTTTACAACTTTACAGCGATTTAATGACAGTCTTCTTAGAAACGATCGAGTTTACAGTTTAGCAATTAACGACTATTTATAAAGGTCACATTGAATTGCTGTTATCCAACTCAGATTTTACGCCTCTTGAAAAGGAAGAGAATCAATTCTGGGTTGTTTTCCACCCCTTATCTTTTATGTTATACTTTATACTCAAAGAAGTTTTATTTTTTTGTCAAAAAAATAAATAAGATGGGACTGGACATGGATCAGGTAAGTAATCTATTTTTTACTTTCTATTGGTCATTTTAAATTTATGTTTTATTGCGTTTCAGACTTTAATTTTGCACAGAAATTTTTACAATGCCGGTCACACGCGTTCCCTCAAATTTCGATTACACCAATTGGCCAATCTAAAAGATCTTATCCAACGCAACGAACAAGTCTTATGTCAAGCTGTATATGAAGATCTCAAAAGGGATCATGGCCTTACGAAACAATTGGAATTGGCCCAATGCCTGACCGAAATTGATTATTTTTCGAGGAATCTGAAACACTGGATGGAGCCTGAGAGAGTTGAGAAGACGTTATCTCAAGCCATGGATCAGCCGTTTATTGTCAAAGAACCTTATGGGACCGTATTGTTGATGACCACTTGGAATTTCCCCATTTTAATGTGCTTCTTCCCATTGATTCCAATCATCGCTGCGGGGAATACCGTAGTAATGAAATGCTCTGAACACTGCCCAGCCTCTGTTACTGTTGTGGAGAAATTGATGAGAGAGTACTTCGATCCGGTAAGCATCATTTCCCCTCCATTGCAATGCATATTTTCAGGATTACATCTCAGTTGTGACAGGAGGTCCTGAAGTCGCATCGGAAGTTCTAAAACACAAATTCGACAAGATTATGTACACTGGGAGTCCCAATGTAGGTAAAATAATCATGGAAGCCGCCTCCAAACATCTGACTCCATGTGTTCTCGAACTGGGAGGGAAATGGCAAGTATCATTGTATTGTTTCAGTTGATAACTTTTCCCTTTCAGTCCGGTCGTTGTTCTTCCAGATACTGATGTCTCAATAGCAGCTCGAAGAATTGTTTGGGCCAAATTGGTGAACAGTGGCCAAGTCTGCATCACGGCTGATTATCTTCTCGTCCATTCGGATATTCTTGATCAATTTATCGCGGAATGTCATAAAGTGATTACCGAATTTTATGGAGAACATGTTAAAAATAGCAAGGATTACTGTAGAATAATCAATGGATCCCATTTTAAGTAAGGAACTTAGCACTTTCAAGAGGAGTTAAAACAAATCTTGGTTCCAGATTATGATGATGTAATCTTTTGGTATTCTAGCCGTTTAAACAACCTTCTTCTTGCCAGTAAAGGCCACGTTGTCCTTCAATATGGCCAACCAGACCTCGAGGATCTGTTTTTTCCTCCGACACTCGTTCAAATTGGCCTTAATGATCCATTGATGGCCGATGAGATCTTCGGTCCCATTCTTCCGATCCTGTCAATCCAGTCTCTTGAAGATGGAATCAAATTCATCAATGCCCGAAACACCCCTCTGGCTGCTTATATCTTCTCTAAATGCCATAAAAGCATTGATAAATTTATCCATCAGGTTCCCTCGGGGGGAATTGTCGCCAATGATCTCCTAGTCCACTTTTTCTGTGAGTTTATAATACTGTTAGTTTATTTATAATCCATACCAGCATTTGTAATGTAATTTTCATGTTTTTTTAGCCGACACTCTGCCTTTCGGAGGATGCGGGACATCTGGTATGGGGGTTTACAGAGGAAAGCATGGATTCGACGAGTTCACCCACCAAAAAGCCGTAATCAAAAAGGGATACTTTGGAGAGGTCTTGGCAGAGTAAGAAACACCGCTGAATGTTTGTTATCTTCATTTCAGAAGTCGGTATCCACCATTCAGTCAGGCCAAATACTCGAGATTGGCCTTCCTTTTGACTCGTCGAGATTTTCCTCCAAAAATACTCCGATTCATCGGAAATCACTGGTGTGGAATCTTGTTTGGAATTGCTATTAGTGCGTTACTGCAGGCGATCAGACATCGGATTCCATTTCTGAAATATTAGAAATTAGCTGTAAATTAAGTGACATGACGTCATTGGCAAAATTCTTTTTTCTATTCCATCTTATGATTCAATTGCATATTTATTTCCAATAAGATCCAAAGTCCTGATTTCAAATATATTTTTGAGCAACTTCTCGTATGTACAATGAAAGTGTAAGTGGCGAGTGAATGGTGAGATTGTGATAAAACAATAAAAAATAAAAGACCGGTAAATTAAATGTATTAACATAAAGTATGAGGTTTTAGAACTGGAATAAATGGTGTTTGTGAGGTCCTAATGAAAGTTTGGAATGGAAAAGATCAGCAGAAGTACTCTTTTGAGTAGGGATGCTCATGAACCAAGGGTTCCACCGACTTCGAAGAGTAAGGGACCACGTTCTCGTTAGTTTTGTAGACTCCATCTGGTCTTGATCTGATGTAACATATCACAATGCAAAGCAAGACGGCCAAGAAAATCGCGGTTATTATACCAATCGCCGCTAAAATAATATACTATCAAACACCTATCTTCCCGGTGAAAGACAATTTTACTTTTATTACTTACGTGTAATGATCAGCAATTTCTGTTGGTTCTTTATCACAGAACTAATCTGAATCTCGGAAGGCTTCTCATCCGGCTCTTCGATTGGTTGATATTGTCTAAAATGACGTCATCGAAATAAATTTTAGACTTACAAAGGATCGAAAGGACAGGACCCGAACTTGATCTTCCCTGAATATTTCATTCTTGAGCCATTTGGATTCTTCAACGGAAAACTAGAGCCGATTTGAAGGCGCGAAATGCATCCAGTAAAGTCTAAAAGGATGTTATGTTAAATGCAAGTAAACTTACTCGTACTGATAAGCCTCCATTGATTTAGGTTAATGAAGAAAGTGAAATTCCCCTCGAGGGAAAAGATTTGTTCGGCATTTACGGAGAGATTGAAATGCTGTCGATTGGCACAGAACTCAATGTCTTTGGTTTTGTCATCCGAAATTATAATTTTCTGATCAGTCAAGTTCTTGGAGTAAAAGAATCCATCAAATATCCGAATATTCAGATGACCAGTGATATCAATACTCATGTTGAAAGCCGATTCGGCAAAGAGAGCACGGGCTCTGATCAACGAGACATTGGAAATGGCGGTCTGGACATTAATCCGGTAACAAGTGGCGACTTGAGCTGGATGTTGCCAAGGAATTTGGAGTGAGGAACCGGTCGGAATCCACATTCCGACTTCTGTAAGTAAAACATTTAATAGTTAGGAGCAATTTATGGGCAAAATTTTATATTACACTTGCCTTGGTCACATTGTTCCCCACTGAACGGAGTCATCGAACAATTACACTTGTAATTGTCGTAATACTCCACACAATTGGCCCCATTTGCACATCTATTCATCCTGCAATAACCCGTATCGCCGATTTGAACACCCATTGGATTCAATTTCCGAACCAATTGGGCGATCTGAATCTCTTTGCCACAAAGATATAAGCCGCGTATTTGACCTTAAAGAAGGGTTTATAAGTCATCTTAAAGTAATAGAACCCAATACAGTATACTATCAAAATAAATTTAGACTTACCCGCATATCCAGCATTTCCTCGGCCAGTTCTACTTCCCAAAATGAATGTAAATGTATCAGGCAGAATAAAGAACGCGGATACCGTCTTCTCGTGCCTATCCACCACCAATTTGGCTGTTTGAGGATCAGCCTCCCAATATATGGTATGCCATTCGTTGTCGTTTATATTGACATCGCTCACAATTTCATGGGATCTGCCAGCATTTACTATTTGGCCCACCACTTTACCATCTAAAAGTCATACTCATATATGTACGTAGTTCAAGGCGCGGAAAGTCTGAAATAAAAGTCAAACCGACCTCTCACAAACAGTTGATACCATCTTTCCCCATTCGCAGACTCCCATGTAAAAATTGTCATTTGAGAATGGGAAAAGCGGACTTGAAGGTAGATGTCGAATACAGTACCCAGTCCAAAGGATTGGGTTCCGACAACATTCTGATTACGATCGATAAAAGTTACTGTCTCATACACTTCTAAACCAATATCATAAATATTGTAAATCTTTTCCTTACGTCTTCTCTGACATCTCAAAGGTCCCACACTGATGTTAACAGAGCTCGACTGTTGTGTTCCGCCAACATATAGCTGCATAATTGGTAACAACTGAGAGTGAGTGTTGTATCCCTCATCGATCCCATCTCTTCCACTGTCACAATTACACATCTTATTATGACTACAAGAAGAGTTGATGGCACAGGAACACATCCTCGAGAAGGGCGGGGCATCTGCCCATTGCAGTCCATGTTGCCCATTTCTAGTCGCATACCAAGTAGAAGGCCGTCTTTCTTGTCCATAGGACATCAACTTGGCTCCGCCTTGACATTCAAACCTCATGAATTGCTTGCAACTTTCAAATCCATCAATAAACCGGTCCAATTCTTCTCCATCAACACCATAATCGAGGCCTCGGCGGACAGCTCCGGGCTCTGTTGGACCTGTCACATACACTCCTTGGACTACATTGTGCTCAAGAACTGTAGATTCAGCTTGGGAATTGTCATTGAAATGGGAACACAGGACATTCAACGGCTTTAAAGGGCCTCCACCATCAAGATCGATGGTGATATTGTTGATTGGACCGGAATAATGAGGCCGCAGTTTGCCAAACAGAGATGGCAATCCACTAGATTGGGCCTTCTTTCGATTGTAATGGTCTTCACAAGACCTTGGAAGAAGAGCTGAAACAGATTTACAAAATAATTGAATATATCGTTGTACTTACAAGTATGGCAATAAGTTCCTGTATATTGTGAAGTACATTCACATTTGAACTTATCCAAATCCACCTGCAGACATTTCCCATTATTTTCGCATGGATTTGGCAGACATTTGTCACTGTATCCGCATTTATCTCGGATAATGTCACCCATCACAAGCGATGCACTCTTCAAGTCAACTGTGGCTGATCGAAAACAACCAGCCGCCGAAATTCGGAATGACGTCATTTTGAGGCCGATCTTACGGACAAGCGAACCTTCCAACCATAGGACGGTGTAACCATCCACATCAACATCAAGACGACCACCTCGGAGTTTGACGGATAAAGCATGCCAACTTCCATCGGTCACATCGACAGCTATAAGTAAAAAAGGATGACAAATAAAAAAATTACATAATTTCAAAATGTAATTCTTGTAGTTTACCTGGAGTGGACAGTTGTTTGAGTTGTTTTGCATCAGCCTCCAATATAAGATGACTGTGTTCATCTACTCGTAATTCCAGCAAAGTTCCATTCATCGAATCCAAAATTGACAAAACTGGAGTCGGTCCTGATAAAATTCTGAATTCCAAAGCAAAAGGTAAAAAGGAGTACGGTATCTGAACAGAGCCCGATCTGATGGATAAAATCTGAGGTTTCGGCATTTGACAATCTCTGGCTGTCTTCGGCGCCATCGAAAGTAGATCGACATTGTTCAACATTACCTAAAATGTAGGTGTCAGCATTACTAAGGTCACACAATGCAATTATCTCTTCTTAATTTGGCTAACCTTAGCCAGGCATCCATGAAAACTGGTCTCAATCTCGGCCGAATACTGATCTTCCGGCCGTCCTCCGACCTCAACTTGGAAGTTAAAGTCAAGCTTTCGATAGAGCCCTGAGGGCACTGTGGAATTTACAAGAACTCCATCGATGAATAACTGGACGGAATCAAATTGATGAGTCCATCGGAGTTCGTGCCATTCCCCGTCATTTAATGCGCGGCCACCGGTAATTGAGGCGCTAGAAATTGAAAGTCATCTAATGAAAAAAGCAAGTCTTACCGTGAAAGTGATCCAAAATCGAAAAGACATTCGACCCGACCAGAAACAAGCTGAGCCACCAGCATATCCCCTTGATCGGCCATGGAAAAGAAGAAAATTCCATCTTCGAATGTCCGAAAGACGATGGCCAATTCGTTTTCATACATGGACACAAGCCCGACTCGATATGCGTCCACGGCAAAAGGTTGGGCATCCAGATATACCGGTCGAGTTCCTGCAGTAATAAATAATATTTTGAGTAAGTCATCTAATATTTTTCGTTTTAATCAACTTACGATATGGACAAGCAGTGACGATGATGACAGGAGAAATGTCATCCTTGTCATCAAAGACTGACACAACCCGCACAGCCCTTGCGAGTACATTTAATGATTGCCAATCGATAGAAGCTGATGATATGGAGGAGTAGACAATCAAGGGTTCCCCGTTCTCTCGTTTGACAACTTGTTCTGCCCCATCAGTTATCTCCACGTGAACATAAAATGCAGATAATGGAGCGACCACAGCTATCCTCTGGATGGTGTGCAACGCTCGGAAGTCGGCTATATGATTTGAATATTGCTGGTCAAAGCATTCGGATGACGCTGGAAGGTATTTTTATTCATTTTATGCAACATTTTGGCTTTTTAAACACTTGTTCATCTTTTTCCAAATATTTTTATATTGCAGAAGAGAGCTCCTCCTTCGCAAATAATCCTCCCTTCCGTCCTCTGCATACTTGTACTCTCAAATTAGCCTCTTTTCTCTCCAATTGTCACATAAGCGTACTTCCCCTTCCCCTCCTTCTTATTGGTCACTCTTTTTACAATTACTTTCTCTTACTTTTTTTATTTCTCCTGAGGCAAAAAAGTGGGAGAGAATCAGATTATGGAGTATCAGAGGCTTTTCGGCATTATCTATGAAGTGTCTCCAAAGAATGGGCGTTAAAAGAGTAAAGTCGGTCGGTCAGAAATGGATTATTGGCCGTGCTATGGCCATAAAACTTTGTAAAAACTACTTCAAATATTTGAAAATTTAAGTAAATAACTTACAATCTGCAGTGACCGGTGTTACAGTAAGAAAAACTGTGAAAAATGAGAGAAATTGAAGAGAAATCATAGCTCAGACCATCTTACATTACAGTATACTGATGTTTTTATGTAATTCCTGAAAGCATAAAGAGGTAAAATTAACAAAAATATTTGAATTTGGAGATGCATAGTCACGTTATTTCCAAAAAAAAGTAAATTAGTCATCGGAAAACGAGCTTGCCCCCAAATCCGTTACCACTTTTCTTTCCAATGCCATCTTCCTACTATTTTTTGCGCTTCAAAAACAATGCCGTTCCCATAATAACCACATTCATATACCTGGATATTCGGAGCTAATAAAATTATAAAAAAGAAACAAAGTGAAAGTCCAGCAAAGCCCCCTTCCTCTAATCCAATTTGAATTTAAAATTCGTTCGGAAGGGAAAACTTGAACGCTTTATAAAAAAACCTTCGGCCCGGAAACTCGCATACAATTTAACTGTTACTTTGGACGCAATTCAAGTGTTTTAGGCATTCGGAAGGGACTTGTTTTAAAATTCAAAATCCCGGCCCATTTGACAGTCAAATTCCGCGGTTTCGGCCACGCCTTTCTAGTGGTCGCACCTGGCCACAAACAAAGGGACGTCCAGAAAGTCCTGGCCTACCGGGATTCCAATCAAAAACAAAGGATTTGGCCACAAATTTGCGGCCCAAAAAGGTGGAAAAGCGAACTTCCGACCAGCCGTTTTTTGTTTGGCCTAAAGACTTTCGGACCAATGTTTTATGCCCTGAAGGGAAGAGGGGCGTCGCGCAAAAAATGACGCCTCCTTAAGTAAGTAACAAGGACCAGAAGTTCGGCTTCAGAAGCCGTTCTTTCACGATTCCATACAAGGGAACGGAGACGCTAACAATTGGGCGGATTTGGATGGGGGAAGGGCCACAAAAACGGAGGAATCAAGTGTGAAATGGATATAAACTAGCACATCATAAAAAAATCTTTTATCCTCCAAAATATTAAGTTACAGAGAGCACGATTACACAATTGTTGCGTGCCAAAAGAACTGCGGTGAATGTAACTAGAAAGTCCAATAAGGATTTACTTCGAACTCTTTTAGCTCCGCATTAAATAGTAATACCATGAAACTAAAGACTTTATACTTTGGAAAACAAAAGTAGTAGCGGCACCCGTCTTTCTGATGGACTGAATGATATAATAACCAACATCATGATGCTATTACTCCCACCAAATCCCATAAAACTCTTTTTCGGACCCCCGAATTCCCGCGATTTCCCCAAAAAACGAGCCCAAACGGAAACCCAGATTGGGAGCCCAAAAAAGGAGAGATTTCCAGCACTTTTTGTTTCCGCTAAATCGACGAAAAATGCCCATAGGTGTGAATAACCATGCCGCCGAAGACAAATGGGATTTTCGGATAAAGTGTTGGCCATAAAAAGAGGACTTGGATTATTGGAGGACACTAAACTCAATTTATGACACAAGAAGAGGACCTCATCGCGATGACTCGAGGGACATTGTTGTAGGTACGAAAAGGGATAAGTAGGTCAGGGCGAGGAACCCAGGAAGAGATGGACTAACAGCTCTAAAGCGAAAGGGAAATGATAAAGAAGTCGCTAGGACAAAAGTAAAACAAAAAGAATAAGCAAAGGCATGGTACTTTAATTACCCCCTACTTCTTGCTCTCCCAGCCCCATTCACTTCCCATTAACGCATCTGTTGAACTTCTGCAATCCCCTCCCCGCACTTGGTGACCTCTCATCCGTCGCCTCCAATCCCAAACTTAAACTCCGCGGCCCAAATGAGGTCGAGAGGGCCAACTAATGAAGGCGGCCGTTTAGCGCGGGCGTTATGCAAATTTGGAACTCTTTTCTTAAGTCAAAAGTTTCAGAATCCTCTTGAGGGCGCATTTTGCCCGGAGGCTAAGGAAACGGATACGCAAAAAGAAAGAAATTGGATTAAAATACAAATAAAAAATAGGATTAGTCAGTAACGAGGGCTGCAGTGCAACACGAAAGATCGGATGTCATCAGGAAACAACAAAATTTATACCTTAAGATGATGCAAAGGTAAACAAAAATAATTGCGCCAATGCTAAACAACGAATCCGGAGTGCATTATGAGAAAAATTAATTGAATGCGGGAAATGCCTTTCCTCCAAAATTTAGACCTCCGATATTCGCCCCCCCCCCCCTGAAACCAATAATTAACTCAAAGAGAAATAACCCAGTCGATCAGCTGCCAATCTCCTAACCTCGCGGCCTCCAAAACTGGTGTCCGGATTCGGAAACAAACCTTTTGGCACAGCGCTATGCATAAAAGACGAGCGGCCCAGCTAATTTGTCATGGCGCGACTTTTCGCGCAATAATTCTTGGTCTTTCTTCTTAGAGCCGAAAAGAATCTGTTTCAAAAAATGTCATAAATATGGAAATGGGAGTGAGAAGCATATGAAAAACGGGACCCGATACCTGAAATCCCGGTAATCCGTATCCAAAAAACTCCCCGCAGTCTGACCTTTTATGAAAGGGACCCCATAAATCGAGGGCCCGGATCGGTGACGGTTTTAATATGTGACAGAGATTACATTCGCCTCCCCGACAGGGGATTAACATGCATTCGATGAGACCTATTAATTACAAAATTAATTTCTGCTTGGCGGTTCCTTTTGACCCTTTAGTGGGACCTCTTGGCCCCTCGATATCCCCGACCCAATCCAATCTATTGACCTATCGAGAAATTGAAGACGCCCCAGTCAGCTCCAGCAGCCCTCTTTCGGACTCCAAAAAATGCACCGCGCCGGTTTTCACCTGTCAAAACGAGCCGCATTTGCATAAAAAACGGATCGAATTTCAGCGCTGTTTACAATTTGAATGTCCTTTCAAAAACGCATTGTCCCGCTCCCAAGCTGGTGCTAAATAAATAGATACTTCAGGACGAGTGTTGCGCAAGAGTAACGGGTCTTCTTGTTGAAAGGATAAGCTCAAGGAGCTGTTAAAAATTATTCGAAATCCAACGAACTTCATGGCCGACTAAAGTTGGTCGGAAATTTCGTTAAAGTAACTCGCAAGACATCCAGAAAACAACCGCAAATAGTACGAAAAGAAGGATTGCTGTATAAAACGACTGTATGTTTGAGAACAAAATCCTAAAAAGAGCGCAGTCGTCGTTGCGTTATGTTATACCAGGTATAATATAAAATATATAATAGCGGAACTTTTATGGTCACTGCCCATCAAATCCTTAATTGAATGAAAGTACTCGGATGAACGTGATCGGATTAGGGAGTCAACAAAACCAAAACGAAGATGGATCCGTCCTCGCGCAACAAATTTAAATATTCTCTCACTGGCACATCTGCTTGGTTCGTTTATTCAGCCCATTTATGCGATTTTTACGAGCTCCTATTGCTCGCACCCACATAAACTTGATTAATGAACTGTCTATCGTGTATGTTTTTTTTACTGTAACATGAAAATGCATTTTTCTAACAATATAAAACTCGCCAATCCATTAAAAGTCCCACAACGAAAACAAGTGCTAGCGAAAATTTATGAAACAAAATGCCAAAAAGAAATTTGAGAAAAATGTGCGAACGAAATAGGTATCAAATACAAGGAATCTTTAGTTCTTTGGGTTGTATTGGCCAGAATGAAGTTGCTCACCCACAACTTTTTGTCTACGCAGTTTATCAAAGGAGTCAAGGAAGGATATCCGCTCAATTTGAAGTCCAACTCGACAGAAGTAGGTCTATATCAGCTATTAGGTTCTTGACGCTTATGAAGTACTGGTTTTCTTTGATATCTACATAATTATACGTTTTATGTATGTTTTTTTAGAAGAAGGAATTTGAGTTTGATCCTGTGATGATGGTCAAGCTGTTGCCTAAAATGCAATATCCAGTTCTATTATCGACGGCGCAGAACATAGGAATTGATGTCTCCGGGTTACCAAGTCAATTGCCAGATAATTGGAAAGAGGACCATGACTTTTTAAAGAAGGTAAGTGTCTTATTTATATCTTATTTACACTTTAGGCTGCTGAATTAGCCCTTGGATACGAAATAATAGATGGAGAATTGGAGTGCCCTGAGAGTGGGAAGGTCTTTAAGATCAAAGAAGGAATTCCAAACATGCTTATTGATAGAGAGGACGACGATTAAGCTGACAGGTGTAGTTGTGATCCATTTTTCCATTAGTTTTTCAATCATATATTGTACTAAAAAAGATCTCTGTATCATTTCATCATGATTTCCTTGCAAAGGTGTTGGATTCTTTCGATTCAGATCATGGTGAATATATTGTCATATCCAATTTTTTCAGTTTATTATAAAGTAAACACAGTTTGGAGAAGGTACCCGTTGTTGACGCTTATAGATGAAGTTATGTGTAATCGATGGTAATACCATAAAATCTAACAGCTGGATGTGTGAACAGAATAAATATAATTAAATATCTCCTAGGGAAGCTGTCTAACGAAAGGTAAGTTCGGAAAAGACGGCAGTAGGGCGAAGTCTGAATTCGTGGTATTGTACAGAAAAATAGAATTATGTTGTACTTTAGCAGGATTGAGAGGATAACTAAGCTTGTCTACATCATGCTGGAGAATAAAATCTTGGATCTGGCAGCGGAGATCCTCTTGCTTTGCCGTCTATTGCCCTCTTCGTTGTCTTCCTCATTGTTATTGGAAGCTGCAGATTCATTTAGATCACTTTTCCGTTTCCGCGGAGCGGGTTTCTTGACCGGTGTTGAGGCTCTACGACTTCCAGCTCGAGAGTTGACTGACGGGGATGGATCTAGTCGAGTAGTCTGTCTTCGACCTCTTCGTTTTGCAACTGGACTTGGACTTTTAGAGTTCTGATCCGACTCCTGGGCTGCAGATTCGTCCAGTTCCTCCGTCTTTTCGTAATTGGTCAGCCGTTTCTTCAGCGATTCATTCTCTTCTCTGTAAAAACAGTTATTACAAACTGTATTCATATTGATATTATTTTATCTAGTATGTTCTTACCTTAATTTTTCCATTTGCTCTCTAAGTGTGATGTTATCAGTCTTCTGGCAAGCATAGTCAATCTTGGCAGTTTGCAATTCGTCATCTTTTTTCTTAAGTTTATCTCGCATGGTGTCCATCCGTTTCTTTTGAGCTGTGAATTTCTGTTTTTCAGCTGTTAGATTCTCTTCCAACTCCTGGATTCGTTCTTCCATGGATTCAATCTTCTTTTGAAGTTCAGTCGTCTTCCTTTCCTCGTCTTTATCCTTCTTGGTATAGAACTTTCTTGCTGACTTCAACGGTCTTTCTGGTTCCGGCTCTGGAGTTGGTGTTTTGTCAACAGGCTTTGTCTGTTCCTTTTCTTCTTTCGATTCTTCTGACTTCTTGGGTTCTGATTTGGGTGTTTTTCTACCAGTTGATTTCTCGGGTTCAGGCGGTGTTTCTTTTGTCTTTGATTTCTCACTTGGAGTAGCACATTGATCAGAACTTGTTTCCTGAGGCTGTGAAGTTGTTGGTTGAGAAACGACAATCTCAGCTGCTTTCTTCGGCTCTTTGTGTTCTATTTGACTGACTACTGGCTGAATTGGCTGGGCCCAGTTTGTAATCGGAACGGTATGAACCTGATGAGGTTGTGGGATTTGGAGCGCACGAATCAACGAGGCTGTTCCTAGACCGGGACCAGCAAACGGAAACGGATGCCCGTTGATTGAAGGGGTCGGTTGAGGTGTTGGTGGGAGGAACATTTGGGCTGCTGTTTGCTCTACAAAATGGCCAGGAGTATTCTGGAAGAAGAATCGGGAAGAATTCTGGTTCAGAGCCATCGATGCCGCTGGTGATATGAGAGGTGGGGCTGCCTGAAATTTGAATTTATATAAAGGCACTGGGGTTTTTCGCTTACTCTAGAAGTTGGGTTCAAAGTAGTTGTCGTTAGTAAGCTTTGAATCGGGAAACCATGTGGTGGAAGACTAGCAAAGAGACTCGAGTTCTGTCGGTACATTTCCTGTATTTGTTCCATTGAAAGTTGTGGCAGCTGGGAGGGATTTATTTGAAGTGTAGGCCCGGTGGTGGGGATTGTTACCGATGGGAGGGTTGGTTCATTTTTTGCGACACTTGTTGCTGCCGTTACAATCGGCGCCGTTGTATTTACATGAGTCGAGCTCGCAGTTGCGTTACCCGCCGTAGACATGACCCGGTCGATAACATTTGTAACGATTTCATCGATCCGCTTGTTCAAAACACCGTCAGAAGGCGGTCCCGAACTTGAGACCTGAGGCGTGATCCCGATTGTCAAAGGGGCGTTTAATGGCACACCTTGATCTAAAATGATTACATTTGATATGGGAATTGTCGTACCTTTCTTCGTATCTTTCTTTGGTTTCCGTTGTCTTTTTGCCGGAGGTGTAGGATCAGTTGGGATGGTGACATTAACGTCGCCGTTTGGTTTGTTTGCGTTCACAGATGCTGATTGATCTGCAAAAGGCAAGAAGTAGTGCTGACAATTAAAGCAAAGAGCCATACCTTCTTCATTTTCCACCGGCTTTCCATTGGCCTTTCTTTTGGCTGGCGTTGGACTTTCTGGCTTCTCTTCTTCTCCATTCCCTTTCAATTCGATTACAAAGTCCCGAGTCATGAAGGGATCTGTGTCCTGGCCTTCGTCTCTATACTGATTAAAGGTTTCCCTGACATTTCTGATCTTCCTTCTGAATCTTTTAAGGGCTTGTACGTGTTCCGGCGGTTGAGGTATGGATTTATCGTATGGTATCTTGTATCCTCGTAGTTTTAGGAAGGCTCCTAAAGTATTCGAATACTTTGTAACGGTATGAACTTACCCCAGGCATTATTCAATCCAAACCGATTCACCAACTCCAAAGCCATTGCATTAGATACGGATACCGGCGGTCCGTTGTAATCAAAGTCGAATGTCTGTTGCGCATTGGTCTTCGGTTTGGGTTTTGGCTTTGTCTTTTCTGTTGACGATTCTGCATTTGAGGGACCTGGCTGTGGATCGTTTGATGGACTCGCCTGAACTGCAGGACTTGGCTGACTTCGCGCTGAAGGGGCCGGATTAGTGGCCTTAGGGTCCATTCCATCCAATTGATGTCCATTGTTAGGGGATTTAGAGACCAAAAGGGGCGGGGCTTCCAGATTCTTGGAGGCCTGGGCATTTGAGGGAGCCGGTTCCGTCGATGGTTTCTCTTCCTCCGGCTCCTCGGCTATAATCAGATTACCATCGTCGGAGGACATGCCTGCAATTAATGCGGCTAGGTCAATCGGTTTGCGTCACATGAGACGGAACGCGGTAAACACGTTAGGAGTTAAAAAAGAACTGCTTATGATAAATTGGCCATGGGATCGCTGCCATCTCTTAAAGGTTTTTTTGGTAAAATAAATTTCAAGCAATCCGGGAAAGGAATTAAACCTCGAATTACTTGACGAAATTGTAAAAGTTTAAAAGAATGACAGTGCTCACGTTCCCATTAAGCGAGCCGAACAGCCTCCGATTCAGGTGTTCCGATTTTTGACAGAAAATGAATCAAAAAAAAAGAAAACAACGAGAAAAAGCGTTGGAGACTGTTCGGAAGGTGTGGAATGGGGGTCGGGGGAGGGCTGCAAGGGTTCGAATCGATCCAACAAAATGTTTAAAGTAAAGTAAAAACAAAAAATGGACTCTTCTCCAGCCGAATGGCCAATCGATAAGCGGCGCGCTTCCCTTTGATAAGACTGAGCGCGTGGTGACAATAGAAAGTTCGTGCTGATAAAGAATTGAGGAAAAGAGAATGGGATGTTCAGGACGTTAGGGTGGTCTTACTGTACCTTCGGCTTCGCATAACAGAAGATAATGTAAGTCTCAGATTGGAATTTGTTATTAAAGTTCTTGAGAGGCACGATTAGGTTCAAATTCTACCTGACTTGCTTCAATTACAGTAAAATTATTTCAAAGGAAAGTTTTATTGATAAAGGAAATAAAAATAAAGCCTCGGGGTTTGATTTAATTGCCTCCATGAATAATTTAGGGAAAGCGATTCAAATTCAAACAACCCTTCAGAGTCCAATGAATACTTCCAAGAATGTGGGCCCAAAACAAAACGAGCCGGTTTCACGGATATAATAATCATAAAAAGGGTTCGAAAAACAAATTGGGAGGCGATTGCGACAGAAAAACTGGGTGGAAACGAGGCGATGGGCATCGCCGGGGATGGAAGACGCCTTCTCCACCCCTCCAAACACCAAACCTTTCCCTTTTTGGGGCGAGAGGGCGGGGCCTAATCGCTTCTCACCAAAAACCGATTGATCTTTGAAGAGATCAGCGGGAAATGAGAGACATTCGAGAGCGAGAGACCGTCACTTCCGAAGACAGTGGCAGACGAAGAGCGTGCGCGTGAAAGTCGGTTTCGGGGTTACCTCAGGGCATAACAGATAACGCTCCTAGACTCCGCCCACTTTTGATGCGAAAATCTCTTGGAACGAAACTTTTGTCACTGTTTTTCCCGAAAAAAACTACTGGAAATTACATAACGGGCACGAAAGGGTGTAAAGAGTAAAGTAAGCGAGAAGACGAAGACTGTTAGGTGGATAAAAAGTGCAAATTGGAGGGAAAGAAAAGGAGTGGACCGACCCTCACTAGACATGAATAAGGTCCTTCTGCTGCTTAATGCAGGTTGTTGTCGAAACAGTTTGAAGAATAGAGTAGGATGGAATAAATCCGGCTATAATCGAGAGATCACGCTCTTCGCAAGGTCTTTGCTTCCTTACATCGGCGAAATCAGATGTGTTTTTGTAAACAAATAAACTTTTCTGATGGATAAAGGTCGTCTCCTAATTTCAAAACAAACCCCGCCCTTGCATAACAATGCTAATCCGGAGACGAAAATCGCCTGCGGGTCGGGGCGGGTTTGTAAACGAGACCGAAAAAATAGCTGCGCCGTATGAATTTAGGAAAAACAAAACCACATAAATAATATGGGGCAGAACACCAGAGGGGAGGGGAGGTCGGGAGAAAAAGGTCCACCAGCTGACTGGAAAGACGTCTTGATTTGAACTTTTGTCCCCCTCGCTTTCTCTGCATTCCCTCCGCAAATCAAGCGGTCCTTCGGCCGTCGTTTCGGCCGCCTCGGAAATTATTTGTTTGGCCTTTAGCGGTGATTCTTTGGGACTCTGATTGTGAAAAGTGATCATAAGGAGGGATGGAGGTTGTTCAACATGATTAATCAGGGCGAAATCGATGACATCAGAGAGTGGAATAGGAAGGCGAAGCAGGATTACCGTAATTACACCGCTTTGTTGTGTTATCTCAAAAATATTAGACTAACTTTTAAAACTGCAAATTTCTCTAAAAAAGAGCTGTTTTCCAAGCACTGCAACCTTTGGCATCTTCCTCTTTCTCTCTTTTGTAACAGTAATCTCCTTAATCTCCACCTTCCAACGTAATCCCGCTATAAATCAGCTTACTAATTTCCGTTCACTGTTATTAATAGCTAGAGAAGTTATGACTTTCTTTGGGAATCATAAGTTTGGAAATGACATTCGAAAAGAGGGCGGTGAAACACGGCAGGATTACTTCGAAGGCTACGAACAAAATACAGTGATTAAAGGTTTGTATTCTCATTCGACAAAGAGCCGTGTTCAAAGTTGCGACACGCGGAGTCATGTAAAGTGGAGCCACACGCAACAGGGAAAGATTAGAATTTGTATCACAAAATGGGCGTCAAAATAATAAAAAAACGGCGAGGAAAGGAATCTCGTTGGACGCAGGAATATGGCCAAGAGATTGGAGAGCGGCCAGAGAGTGGGAAAGGGGCGGAAGCGACAGAGAAAAATAGAATCTAAACAATTCCACGGAGTTTTAGCAAAAACATTTGGAAATTACCGCCCTCCAGAGAGCGGGAGGCAACAGAAACATGGCGAGGGAGGTAGCGCGGACGTTGAAATGCAACTCTATGGTCCAGAGTTTCCCAGATTCCCACCCCTTTCAACGCGGACTTGGACGTTTGCCCGGTTAAGCGCGCAATAAATACATATATGGCCGGGTGGAGGGAGTGTGTGCGGCGCGGAGAGCGCACAGACAACATGTGTTCGTAATAGAGGGAAAACTGAAAGTCCATTCCTGGTCTGCGGCCCCGTCTCTCTCGGCTTTGGCCCTCTTTTCGGCGCCGCTCTGGCCATTTTGTCGGCCCCGCCCACATTTTTAGCCCAGTGTTCCTCTTTTTCGGCTAAAGGAAAATAAGCGGAAAGGGGGATCGATAGTCAAGTCCGACTGATAAATAAGTAATAACTCTGCAGCTGGACTTAATGAGATGTCGATTGCGTTCGTTGGAGATGCGGGTGATATCGCAACATTACAATTACTCGGTATTCCAAATATTTTAAAACCAATCCATTAAAACAACACTATTAAAATCTAAAAAGGAAGACAAAATAATATAGATTTATGAAATTGCCACGAGGTTCTTGAGCTAATCCTTAATCCAGCTAACCTCTTAAACTAATTTACATAAGGTCCATAAATATTCCTTTAATTAATGATGACGCAACTTCTGAACCACCAGATTGATCGTTCTGAGAATCTTTCAGATTGCCACAAAATTAATATGTATGTAATGAGTAATCTACGAGATATTGCGCTATGCGTGAAGACAGTTAAATCGCAGAGTCATGATTTAAAATGCCATGTGTATTTCCTTGCATATAATATAATACGATAATCGGGCACGCTTAAGGCTGTATTGGCAGACTCCCAATTAAATAAAGCATGAGGGGGAGGAAAGGGAATGCAACCTTTCAGAAGGAATTGTAAGAATTATACGAAAGGACTGAGAAAGATGCTCTTGGGACAAATTTTATTATTAATTTTGCAAAATAAGGTGACTATCTGAATCTTTAGTCGTTTAAGACGTCCTATACTATTGTAATTTCTGAATATTAACTTCAAATTAATTTTAGAATAACCTCTTGATCTGTACGTTCTTTATTATGCATCTTTTTTGATATTATCAACTTTTAAATTTAACTTGTAGACATAAATACGCTTGAAATGGAAGGCTTAATATTGCGACGCCCAGATTTTTTTTTATTTCGCAGGTTTTGCTACATATCAATTTCTAAAAGTTTCAGCTCATGCTTGTTAGAGAGGGTCATCTTGGCGCCGATAGAGTATGCGAAACGCGGAGAGCTGTCGGAGAGAAAAACACTTTCTGGCAATCTATGTGCCAGTTTTGGCCGAAAAAATATTTTTCCAAAAATCTGGGTCGTTTCTGCAAAGCGCGAGGTAGGAGTCCCGCATTTATATTAGAATTTGAAAAAAATCATCAAAATATTTAGTCTCATCAAAACTGAGCGTCGCACTTGGAGTGTTTCCCGTGTTAGTATACGTATATTAATTTCTATACTATAGTATGGCTAGAGAACCGGAAGATAAAAAATTATTCAAAATTGGAAAAACTTCTTTCCCTCCTGCATTTTCCAGGACCAGAAATATTGGAGAGGAAGGAACGATGGGGCAGAACGCCCAGAAAAACCACAAGAACTCAATTTGAGGGGAAAAGGCCTCGAGAAATGGCCAAGTCCGCTGTTTTTTGGGGCCACCAGCCAGGAGGGCGGAGCCTGTGTTTTTGGGAAGCCAAAGAATTTAACAGAAAAAGACACCAAGAGCGGAAAGAGTTGTTTAATACAATTAAAAGATATATTTTTTTTTGTACCTTTGGGGGAAGAGCGATGTTGATCCGCGCTTGGAAGTGTGAGATCTTGCTTGATCGTGGTAGATGTTGCTGTGAAATTACATCAGATTACACAAAGATCCATATTTTCGGCTTTTATGTCATAAACCAGAGCATTCGGAAGTTCGGAGGGAGCTTTAATGAAAGGCCATTCATTATTGTTCCCCTTGTTTATAACCCATATCACATGTTGAGGTCATTGTAAACAGCAGAAAATAGGAGAAATCATGACGCGATTTCGAAAACTATATGTAACACTAGTCAGATCTTACACTTGAAGTTTGGTTGTTACAAGTTAGGTTTCGTATTCGATCATAGGTGCTCTCGATGTTTTGTGGAGCCAATCCAAAGTCCCCGGTTGTTAACGGCACGCCGTTTTGGCACGCTCCGTAAATCTAAGCAGTAGTTTACGCTAAAAATGAAACTTATCCCATTTTGTGAGTTTAAAGGGGTAAAATCAGCGACGAAAACATTGGCTTTCGTTCTGAGAATACCAGTAAAAAGAACGTCTTCCAAGAACATGGTGAAGGTAGATGGAGTCTGAGACAATATTGCATTTACCGCTTGTCGATTCATAATATAGGTAGCACCATTTACATAATCAGGAAACGTCTTGTTTGGGTATTTTTCAAGAGGAACACTCCTGAATCCAGATATTATTCTGGGGATCTTTTGCTTACCATCTTTTCGTTTGATCTCGCTCAACTTTTCCATTGCGGATTAATCGTCCCCAAATCATCATTTCTTGATTCTTTTCCAAATCCTTCATATAATGCTCGTCCAACCTTTCTAGATCGATGACTGTATCATCATCTGATTTTATTAGATACTCAGTATTCGTGCAGAATTTCTGAAACCACTGAAAAAGAACTCCAGTTTTCAAGAATAAGTTGTTGTAAGTGTCCGGGAGATTGTAAAACAACATGTCGTGGAACTGATCTCGCTCATCTTTTAGAGCCATCTTCAGATGAAGTAGTCGATTTGTAGAATTTAATTTAGGAATTCCGATGACAAACTTGTAAACGTAGCCTTTTGGTCGGTTCTAAAAAGCTCAAATGATGTTATTTCTGCACTAGTAAAACGCTTACTTGTTCCTTTAACCATGAATACCTCATAGCCAATCTGTTGACCATTCCACCAAAAGCAGATCTCGACGGGATCAGGATCAAGGCCTTTTTATTTTTGCAAAACTCTTTGTCAGGGATGTTGATCGAGTAATTAAAAGTAATATCTTTAAATTTTAATTCGAAAGCCTCCTTTAAAATCTTTGCAGTATTTGTTGTAGTTACTGGTAGTTCCGGCAGTTTAGGGAGTTCTTTATGGCGTTCCTTTTGGGACGTTTTAAAAACCAAAAAAATAACTGAAACATTTTTGAATTATCAAAATTACTTACGTAAAATGACAATAGAAATACGCACAACATTAATACGTTTAAACCGAAAAGGTAGTTGATTTTTAAGGCCAAGTGGGTAGTTCATTTATTCGGGTTTCAAATATTGGACTGAGCCTTCACATGGAGACCGGAGAAGATGGGGAACAAAACATATTCTTCGGTTCTAAAACAATCAAAAAAGGTGGATAAACAAAATCCACGGGTTTGCTTTAATCAAGGCCGTGTTACAAACTACATGACAATTATTTATGAGATTACGTTGCACTGTTTACAAAATTTTTCTCAATTCTTCTCTGGAATTCACGTGTGTTTCTTCCCTCCGCCTTCTCTTTGTGTTTTTCATCAATGAAAACATTTTTGGGTGGAATTTGAGAAAAGAAAAAAGTTTTTTTTACTAGGGAGCCGTTGGAATTCTTCTTTTTTTGGGCGCCGCAGGGGAAATTCGCCACTTTAGGGATGGGGGAGTGGGAGAGAGGTGCGGTTATCAGATTCAGACAACCCCTTCTTCATAAAGCTCCCTTGTTGTCGATGGAAAAAAGGACATTGGTCACTTTGGATCAGTTTTCTTACACTTGTTTACCTTGCTGAAAGTAAACAAAGGAAAAAAAATTTTTTTTTTGATTATATTGTATATTATTTTATTTTGCGATAATATATAAAAGTATGGCATGACTTTTCCGAAGTGTTTGCTGAAAGTTACAGTACTCCTCTGCCTTTCCTTTGCCTTGTTTCTTGTTTTCTTTTCGCCTTTGTAACACCAATTATTTTTCTTTTTTTTTCCACGCTCTTCGGCATTACGAAACCATAAATAATAGGTGATCCTGCCTCTTTTATAATTTTAAATCACCAGCCCATCATATGGAGAAGGATCGCGTAACTTGGAGGGAAGTTTTTTCTAGTATAAATTCGTCTGTAATATCGGATAAGCCCCGTGTTGGGAGACCGTTTTTCCCTCGGGCGATTGGTCATCATGGAATTTGAATGGATGTCAAAAAGATTATGGGCGGCTGTTTATAACTGCTCGTTTAGTCATCACCAGTGGTTTATATCATTCTGTTATTGTAGCAGCCTTATGTACATTATGTTTAGACGTTTTTATTTGATCTTCTGAAGTGTCTTATATATGACGCCATCTTGCAGTCGCCTTTCTGAGGTTTCCTTCAATTGTTCTTCGTCGATTATCCCCCTGATCTCGCTCGAATCCTCTTCGATTCGGGTTGAGTTCAGTCAGTTTTCTCTTTCGCCGTTGACCTGAAGTCAGACTCTGTCAAAAAAAAGTTTTTTTTATTGCAATTTTGGGTTATTGAGGCGTGTTCAAAAGTTTTTATTGGTCTTGCAGATGTACGAAACAAAGTTTTTGTTATCCATGTTGCCTTTTAATACCCCTGATGAGCTCAAATTTAACACTGCTGTTTGAGCGCTTTACAAATTATAATTTGTCGAAATTAGCCTACAAAACCAGTTACAAGTGACTTGAGCATCGCTCTCTTGTCGAAACGTTTACTTTTAATATGAAATCTCATTTAACTTTATTCAAATTCCCCGCTTTCCCTTTAATTTGTCCCCCACCGAGTTTCCAACCAAAGAGGATTTACAGTTCTGGAACGAGTTTTTCTGGGCGGATTAATGAATTCCCTCCGCTGGGTCAGCGCCTGAGGTTCTGTGACTTGATTCGAATGGCTATTTAATATAGTTGAGTTAACATTCCTCATTTATTCGTTTTGATTTTGAAAGTAATCGCTAAATAGTAATCTAACAATAAGGTGAGGTCATTTCGAACAGACGGAATTGCAATTAGTCGGGAAAGGAAGGCAGGGGCTTAGGCTTAAGTTTCTCATAGGTGAAGTACTCAAGGTATGACGCCTTGGCTCTCTTCAAATTTTGTTCAAATTTTGGGGGCTAAGGTAGTACAGCCCCCCAGTCCAGTTTAGCCCCCCATAACCCAGTCCAACCCCCCTCGTCCATTCTGAACCCCAAAATTTATTTCAAAGAATTAATCCAAGTTGTATGGTCCAGCACAAGCCCCCTACGTTTTAGATGAAGCCCCCTACGTTTTAGATCAAGCCCCCTCCGTTTTAGAAAAAGCCCCCTACGTTTTAGGTCAAGCCCCCTACGTTTTAGATCAAACCCCCAACGTAGTAGATCAAACCCCCACTTAGATGTTTTGTATTATTCTAATATGTTCATTATGTGGGGTGTGAAACGGGCAAAACAGTGGGGGTTTGAACTAGCTTTCGTGGGGGGCTCAACTACCGAAGCCCCAAATTTTGCAGACTGGCGATTTTTCCGCTTCCAAACTTTCTTTCCTATGCTTTGTAATGCCTGCCGAAATTTTAAAAAAATCCTAGGACTACGTAAAATAGGAGGAGACGGGCAGAGAGAAAAATTACTCTGGGAGTGGCTATCGGGATTTTCTGGGAAAAAATAAATTTAATTAATTTTTTTAACAAAGTACACACTTTTTGTGTTCTTTTTTAATTCATCCAGAAATCCAAAGTTTATGTTTCTTTCACTTACTATTTTATTACTATCCATCCAAAGTTATTTTCCCAGCTCTCCCTACTTCCTACTCCATTTTCAAACTTACAAAACGAAACCAATGGAGAATAAAAAAGTTTGCGGATATTGCTTCGGCACTCTTTCATAAGCGCCGGAGGCGATTCAAGAGCAGCGCTGAAGTGAGGATCATCCGAAAAGAAGACGATGCTCGAATTGTCTCGGGATTCCAGAAGAATGGGGGATTTGAAGGCTTTTTAATTGATTATTCCTGCGATTGTCGCGTTCAGAGCTATTGTTTGTGACTTTTGTCTATGTTAAGTTTCCTGTTTTCTGACTCTTCCTGTTTTAAAATTACGTTTATTTTAAACAAATTTTTAACAATTGAAAGTGTCCAAAGATTTACTTTGTTTCTCTATGCAGTACAATGCAAAATGAACTTTCACAAACTTCTCGAAATTTTATTTTACACAAAGTTTTTGCACTTTCCGGTCAGCTCCCCCTCTCCCTGACCACCCATTGATTACTAAATCAACCGCGTAATCCTCTTCCGATTACTTCTTACCTTTGACAATTAGCCTAATTTCTTGCGAAATCCTCAAATAATTGACTGCCCCAGGCGATGACTGAACTGACTCACTCCATCGACCTTCACAAGACTTTCTTTCAACGCTTTTACTTTTCTCGCTTCGTAAATTTTGAGGAAGATGTGAGTGTTTTCGTAGAGAGTAATCTTCAGTGATGCGTTGATGTGACGAGAATGAGGCTCTAATTAGACGGGGATCAGCGTGACTTCCTCAGATTCCTCTACTTGTAAACTCTAATGAATGCTTTCTCATTTTTCATCTTTCATGGTTTTCTTCACGTTTCGTGTATATAGATCTTACGAGATCCAGACCGGTTTAATCAAAGGGTCGTGAACTTTTATCGATAACTTGAAAGTATAAAAAATGGCTGATTACAAAACATTCTCTGCATTTGACGGATCTTTTGATCGCCTATTATTTCTGGAAACATTGAGGTTCTAGTAGCCCCATAAAGATTTTTAATTGTGAAACGTTTGTGACCTTGTAAATAATAATTTGAGGTCAGAAAAAAAGCTAAAGCGTTTCTAGGGCATCGTTTGAGATGTTCTATTCATCTTTTATTGTTCTGCCGTCCTTTTCCACATCTCAAAATTTGTCATCATGTATAATGTCTTTGGGTAGATAGTGAATGTAACGATATTATTTATTGATTGATAACCCACTTATCACCCCTTAGAAGTGCTTGAGGATTAATTGAGTTTCTCCTCGGACTTCCGGTTTATCCGAATTCGATTAACGATTCTTTTTCTTTGCGTAACTTGTCGCTGTTTCGTTCGAAGGCTCGGGCTAATCAAGGATGGGAGATCTTTCTTTAACTCTTCTTTTTCAGAGAGAAAATCGATTCCGTCGACGAGGTTTCCATCGACAAACTTGGGCTGATTCCCTCCACGGCTTCTTCTTTTTTGTTTCTGTTTACAATCTATGATGTCAGAGTAGTTTCTTCGACCGATTTTCGATCCTTTTTTTGATTTTTGCAATGTCTTCCCAACATTTCTGTACTCCTTCGACCTCAACGTTAACGAATTCACCAACTCAAACTCATTCATCGACTGAATCATCGACGGAATTCAGAGGTGGTAGTTACTCATCGACCCTTCCTCAGAATTCATCGACCTTATCCGATGATTCAACGACTTCTACTTGTTCTGAATTGGATATCGAGGATGATCAGACAAGGACCTGGGCATTGTGTCCCATAGGATACGATAAGGCCATCATGATTGCCTCCTTTATCGCGATCTATGCCTCGTTGTTTTTATTCTACGCGCAACATCATATTGTGGTACTATTGGTCATGACAGCGTAAGTTTTAACTGTTAATTCTTTCAAGACTTGAGTTTTAAATTTTTGATCTACTAGAATTTAAATTTTAGATTGATAATGTTCTGGGTGGTGTGTTTGTTTACGTCGGGCATGTTGTGTGTGATCTACTTGATGCTCCGGATCTCCAAGATGGAGCTGGGAGATGTCCCAGAAGTAGAAACCATCGTATCTTCGATTACCGTACTCGAAACCGTGGTTATCCGGCAGGATTCGATGGACGAACCGGTGGAAGTGAAGGTGTAGTTGTACATAAATGTAGCCCTTTTTGTTGTGATTTCATTGTTTTCGGATTCAGAATCGGGTTGGCATCAGAAATCTTCGCAATTACAGTATTCCATGTGAATCAATGATAATCAATAAAAGTTTTCTTTTCCCTGGGAAAATTTTATTCAAAATCATTTCAAAAATCTCATTCTCAGCTGAAGAGCGACGAGGCCAATGGTTCTGGCGATGAGCATAATGAGGAACATGGCTCCAAAGTCGAGATAAAGGTTGTTTTCGTCCATATCTCGGCGATGGAGAAGGTCGATTCCGTCGGTGGCGGGACAGAAATCATCACCAGATTGATTTAGAAGATCGGCCGCACTGCGATGGGCACAATCTGAATTGTTAAAAAAGCATTATGAAATTTTTTCAACAGTATTAAGTATCTACGATGACTATCCCACCTCCAATTTCTCCGAAATCACTCCATTGATTGATCTGTAGACCTTCGAATCCATATCTAAACCAAGAAGCAAAGGAGAGCCATTTGAAGTAGACTGGAATCGATCCAAAGTTAATGTAGAAACCACCAAAAACAAGTAGTGGGAGAATAATTATTGGCATGTAAGTTTGAGCGACGTCTTCTACTCCGAATAAACAGGCTCCAGCATAAGCTGAAAAAAATGTCAAAGTATCAAGTGTAATATAAAAAGAAAGCTTTACAATGGATCCAGCACTCCAAACTCCTCACCAATAGAGATCGCTGTCCAAGCCAGTAATGTGTTCATTGCTGAGAATATCATGAACTTGACCCCCTGTCTGACCAATCCACTCATCCAATAAACGATGATCGAATAAAGCACCGGCAGCGCTGTGTATTGAGGAAGTTCGGCCAAGCTCTTGGCCATATAGTAAGCACTGACACTGTAGATTCCACCTCGATGTTCCCTTTTCATAATCGGCAATTCACTTGTGATCACATTAATGGATGGAAAAAGAAACATAAAGTTCATGTCTCTAGGGCAATTATACAGTATACCCTCCAGATTGGTGACTGTCGATCCGGTCACTTCCGTTTGCCAGTTCACGATGCCAATCACTGTGGCCGTAACCTAATATTAGTTTATCAATTCATGCTATCCACGACCTAAAATCATGTTTTTTGTCCTTACCAAAACTTGAAAGAGCCTGACTTTCAACAGAATGGGATCTCTCAGAGTTGTAAGGAATGACCGTTGGAATAAGACAAAGACTTGGGTAAACCAACTCGCTGCATAACTGAAAATGCGATATTGTCCATCTGGACACCGTAACCCTCACCTATGTCCATCATGAATCTCTCGACTCTTGTCTCCTTCCAATTCTCCAGCTTCTTTCGCCCTTTTCTTCAACTTTTTTCCCACATCTGTAGCTTCAAATCTCTCCCGAATATACTGTAATAAAATAATTATCAGCAATTACATCATCATCCGTCAATACTTACATTAATTCTGATGTCATTGAGTTCCTGATCATCACAGAGTTTGGACAGCATTCTGATGGAGTGTTCTGCAGGCCCATGGAAGTCAGGACATAAGAGTTCTTCTTCCCCTTGCACCAAATCACACACGGCAGCCTTTAATTGTCGCTCTCGCTTCAACTTTTCAAACCCTGGTGCAATTGAAACCCAAAATTTGCATACTTGGCTAGGCTCCCCAAAGAATGCGACTTGTCCTAGGGCCATGAAACAAACTCTGAAAAAGAAAACATAGAAATTACATCATCAACTTACTTATCAAAAAGTTTGAAAACCTCATCGGATGGCTGATGGATCGTCAAGACGACTGTTTTATGTGTTTCCGAGGTAAACTTCCTGAGGGCAGAGATGACTTGTTCGGACATAAAAGAGTCCAACCCAGAGGTCGGCTCGTCGCAAAACAAGATGGAAGGATCGTTCAGAAGTTCGCAGGCAAACGCCAATCTTTTCTTTTCTCCCACCGAGATCCCCTTCACTTGGCCGGGGATTCCGATCACTGTATTTTGACAATCGATCAAGTTCAACTGAAACAAGAGTCCTAAATTCTCATCGGTTGATTACGACAATATAAAAACCGGGAATAACTGTAACTCACATCATGAATAAGTTGATCGACCTTTTCCTGCCGGTCAACCTTACTTTTTGTCTTTCCCATTCTCAATCTGGCTGAGAACATTAGCTGTTCTTTTACCGTAAGACTCCCCACAAACACGTCATGTTGTTGGACATAAGCGCTGATTCGACGCATCTGACTGGCAGATAGGACCTGCCCATTTACTCTGATCTCCCCAGATCTCTCGATATCCTTCTGCTCGATATTCACAAATTGATTCATCAGAGTTGTCTTGCCCGCACCACTAAAGCAATACTATCCATGTTTAATAGAGACCCGTACCTCCCTCCCATTATGGCGACCATTTCTCCAGCTTTGGCCACTCCGTAAACTAAAATACGGGTGACTTTTAATTCAACTTTATATCAGATATAAGATATGGCAGTGATTAAACTCACCATCTCTGAGGACCGTCCTATACTGCAGATCTTTTTTCCCTCGTTTGAAACAATCCAATAACCCGCCCTTTTTCCCCTTCAGATCAGGTACTCGTACTGTAATCCCATTCCATGATAAGGTCCGACCTTTTTCGATGGACTGGAGGACTGAAAATATACAAAATTAAATTAATGAAAAAGCGATTCTTTGAAATATCAGTTTTAAAATATTCCAAGCACGCCCTTACAACTATCCGACTCCGGGTTTTGAGAGGGATTCCCATCATCATTTGATGACAATAAAGGTTCTTTCGACATGGGGATGGAAAGACTGAACCTTAGCTGGACAGAGAATAGAAATGAGTGTTAAATTGAACAAAAATACTCAAGATGGTTGCTTTAGCCTTATTATTATTCAAATTTCGGTCTTTTTATAAATCTTCAGGAATTTTGAAAATTTTTCTTTTTGGCACAGAAACACAGAATGCCAAAGAAAATAAATAAAATTGGAAAAAAATTGAGCTCGCAAGGAGTAAACAAATTGCAAAGCAGTATGGAAGAAGACTTGGACTCAACAGACGAGGAATTCGAAATGCATTCATTTGGGGAATCAGATTCTAGTTCTTCCGATTTAGAAGTTGAGAGGGAACCCTTTGACCAGAATGCTCCAGCACAACATTTATATCTCTCTTCCGGGGGAAACACGACAAGTATGGCGCTTCCAGATCTTGTAGAACCTGGTATGTTTGCTTCTTTTGTGTGTTTGCTTTTAGAACCTTATTTATGGTTTAATTTATCTTGTACTACCTGATTTACCCGGAAGCTTTGTAGACTCCGAGATCTCAGTGTTGGTCTTCCTTTTGCCAACTCCGGTTGTTCCCTTTGAAACTGTGCCCATTAATGCAAATGAAACTCGGTTTGAGGAGATCGAGGATCACCTTAAAAATGGTTTAGTGGGTTGTTCGTATATAGACTGCAGGCATGAGGTACATCCACCTCAGATATTAGAGATCGGCACATTAGCAAGTGTGGAACAGGTTATTAGAAGAGCGACGGGATTTGGACTAGTTTGCAAGACACGGCAGAGATTTATACTCGTAAACAAAGTCCGGATGCATCAAATACATTACAGTGGAGACTATAACACAATCTGGGTGACAAATGTTAAGGTGAGGGCCTTGAGAGATGCCCAACCAGGCCCTTTGTGCAGAGACTACAGCGCGGTCCTAAGTAGAATCAGTAACACCACGGTAAGGCGTTCGCCTTCTTCCGGTTAGTCGTTTGGTTGTTACCTAATTCATGCAGTTTTAGAGACAACAATACTTGCGGGAGCTGACAAGTTTGTCTCAAGTTGCTCTTCAATACTCAGACGTTGTAAGTACTGTCAGTGTCTAATGGAAATGGTGTTGCAGAATAATTACACTAAGAACTTGACTCAATGGCTTTTGAGATGGTTTGATGAAGCCAAATTGAAGAAAGAACTTGGAAAAGTAAATTATATTCTTTCTCGTGTGTTTAGTATCTTTTTTAGGGTTTATTGTCGTTCAGTTTTTGGGTCGCAACTGCCCTTCCAACCGATGCCATGGCCAAAATTGGATTCCTTCGAGAGAATTCAGCTGTCAACAGATTGGTCCTTGAATGGAAGGCCGCCAAGCAGTTGAGTCTCCTTTGTTGCAGAACTTGCGGAAAGGTCATAGCAGACATGAAGGACTTGTTTAATATTATGGCGGATGGAATGAGTTCAAATTTTGTGAATCCTCGTGAGTTATCCATTATGTATAATAAAAGTTGCAGATGGTTACATCCACAATATGTTTACATGTACCAATTTACGAAGTGTCGCGTACACCGGTCCTGCGCAAGACAAGGATTCTTGGTTTCCAGGGTAAGGTCACCTTTCCCATTCATTTTTATTGTATTAGATATTCTTGGAGAATCGCCAATTGTGAGGCTTGCGGTCTGCATCTTGGTTGGCGATTTCACAGCAACAAAAAACAGCCCAAATCGTTTTTTGGCCTAGTGAGGAGTTCCATAACGGTAAGGGAAGAAGAAGAAGCAAGGGAAGATCCATAACAGTTCTAACGGTTTGAATATTATTGTACATAAGATGTATCCAAAGCCTTACATAAAATTATTTGGTATACGCAATTAAGAAGTCTGTAAGCTTACTTTTATTTATATGAATTACAATAAAAAGACAAAGAAACGAATAAAAACCCTTAGTATAATATTAGGAGGGTGAAAGATGATGGAAATGGGTTCAAAATGAATGTCACAAATGGAAAAATAATAGAAACCGATCAGAAAACGGGGCATGATGACATAAGCCGATATATAATTGGGTTGAGCAGCAAAGCGGGACACTTTGAGACAAGGGATGGACAAGTTGTCATCATAATTAATTTGGTGGATAAGGTTAATATAAATTAAAGGGTCCTACAGAATTAATGGCCTAGAAAGAGGATAACATACTAATTGAGAGGATTAAACGAATAGAATACCAGTTTATTGGGATTTATAGACATTTGACGAGCGTGAACTCACCAGTAACTCCTTTGACAATCAAGATCACTAGCAGTACTGGAGACAGGCCCATACAACCCCGGACCGGATCATGTGGCAAAAATGCACCTCAACACGTTCTAGAAGACAAACCCTCCTAAGACGGTGTTTCCCGTGTTTTTATTCAAAACGGAGCGCTATTTCGGTCAAATAAAGATGCATGTCGTTTGCGTTCTAGAACGCATTGAGATTTTGGGATACTATTCGGTCCGGGACTGTATTATAAGAGTGGATTAACAATGTCAAGGAAGCGAGCACTCTATAAATTCATTAAATTAATATTACATAATAAAAATTATTCATTCCTTCTTTTTCTCGTTAGAACTTTTTGATGCCGTCTTATCCTTCAGATCATCACCTTTCTCAGATCCTTCGTCAGTCTTCTGACTTTCATCGGTTAATGTCTTTCCAGTTCCATCAATAGCCTGATTGCCATATCCAATCCAACGGTTGACGTAATTTCCAGCCACATTGAACGGATAAAGAAGCCAAGCCAAAATCAGAGCTAATGGGAGAACCGAGTAGATAAGATATTCTGCTTCCTGATCTCGATTTCGACTTCCCTGCGATTCATTCGGATTGCCTGAGGAAACAGAAGAAGAGTCAGCAGTAGTAGAGCTGGAAGTGTTGAAGACGTCTTCAGTTTGAACCTGAGCTTCTTGATAAAAGACAGGAGGCTTCAAGAGGGCGGTCGCCGGTTTGGCATCGGTCAGAGAACAAAGCTCGGTCTGGTCATCTGGGGATGGAGATTTGGCCTTATCGTTAGAGCTTTCTGAAACCAAATGAATCAATATTCCCTTACGTAAACATAGAACAAATAAGACATAATAAAACTTTTATAACTTACCATTAACACGGCTGTTTTCTTTGTGTTCCTGACTGTCCACTTTACTGACCATAAACAATGGTTTTGAAGTGGAAGCTAACTGATTCTCTGCCTTTACGGCTTCATTCTCCTTGATCAACTGCTTAACATGGCTGGTGAGATTGCTATTCTCTTCTCTCTGATTACTGACTTCACCTTCAAAGTCGGCACATCGCTTTTTGAGATATTGATTCTCCTCTTCCAGGTTCATCACAACATTTTCCATTTCATGAACTCTCATCGATGTCTCGTATAATTGTTCCTCAGCCCGACTGAAATGTAAATCGTACACATTTACAAACAAGTAAATAAATATCTAAAACCAATCCCTACCGAATGGAGTCCTTGGCTGCAAGTTCGGCCTTGATTCGATCGTCAAACGCTTGCTTGATTTCATCACGGACCTCGGATATTGATGAAACTGTGGATCCCTTGGTGGATAAAACAGCTAACTGTGACTCCAGGATTTCAATTCTGGAGAGCAGTCTCTCTTCATTGATCAAGGCTTGCCATCCAGTTTCGGCGGCTTCCCGTGTCGTGGCCAGCACGTTTTCCAGAGTTTTCAATTTGTTTTTAAGTAACTAAATCAATATAAAAAAACTATAAAATCTCTCACTTTCTCTCTGAAGTTGATCTCCTTCATATACTGGGACAATAAGAATAACTTTTCATTGCTGATAAGAGTATGATTTGGAGGGATTTCCTCATGAGCGACTGAGACCGAAGGACGGGTGAGGACGCCATTGGGAATGTCCGGGAGAAGCTCTTTGCCTTTGTCGTCGATCAATTTGATCACACATGTTATACAGCCACTGGCCACTAAAAATACATTAATCTTATGCAAATTTTCTTGCCATTCTTAGAACTGTCCACAATCTCCACGCCCAGCTGAAGGACATCTCCGGAAAAAAGTATTCTGGGAGCTGACTCTTCGCCGGAACTGGACAAACGAAGATTATTTACGAAAGTTCCGTTCGAACTGCGCGTGTCCTTGATATAAAAGTGGCCATCATCAAACCATAGAAGTGCATGGTTTCGGGACAAGACCTGCAATAATTACAGGGTCTTTCAAGAAATGAGCAGGAAAGTAGGAGGCTATAACTTTAGGCGGAGGCGGCGCAGAGAGTTCGTTTTTGGAATATGTATTTTTCAGTGACATTATTTTTTGCCTACGAAATAACAAGCTTTTCGAGTGCAAACTGAGGTCGCTACGACCTTCTGAAGTAAAGGCATCTCTACCCCGAAAACCAGGTTTTTTCGGTTGAAAATGATCGAGAAATTTCGGTCTTTTTCGGTTGAAAATCACCAAGAAATGTCGGATTTTTTCAGGGGTTCCGATAGAGTTGACGTTGAAAAAAGGAAAGGATGTTGCCAACACGTTGGAAATTTAGCAAATATTCGGCTAGCCTCAACTTGGGGCAGATTTCGAGTTTATTTTTCGGTATCTTCCGCGAAGAAGCGTGACATCATTTAGGGATTTGAGGAACCTGGAATCGGCTAGCCAAGGCACCAGAATGGCTGTAAAGTCTTATAAAAAATAGTCAAAGGGTGTAATGGGCGTCAAAGGACAGGAATGACAACCAAACTTTTAAACTGCTAACAAAAACTGGTTGGCTAGCCAAAGTGTCAGAATGAAGAGCAGCCGAATATTTGCTTAATTTTCAACGTGTTGGCAATTCCCTTCCCTGTTTTCAACGTCAGCTCTATCGAAACCCCCCAAATTTCTCGGTGATTTTGGACCGAAAAACTCTGAAATTTCTCGACCATTTTCAACCGAAAAACCCTGGCTTTCGGGGTAGAGATGCCTTTACTTCAGAAGGTCGTAGCGACCTCAGTTTGCACTCTAAAAGCTTGTTATTTTGTAGGCAAAAAATAATGTCACTGAAAAATACATATTTCAAAAACGAACTCTCTGCGCCGCCTCCGCCGAAAGTTATAGCCTCCTACTTTCCTGCACATTTCTTGAAAGACCCTGTATGTAATTGAATCATCCGCCAACATACACAATATCATCGGAAATGTAAAATAAACTTACTTTGCAATCGAAGATGGCATTGTTGAGACTCGGTTGGATTCTGGCAACCGCTCGTCCTATTTTGACAGCATGATCTTCTCCTCTGCTTACTGGCACTCTTCTCTCTTCAAAGTAATGGGAATTCGAAGATGGACTCAAAATAGCCAGGGGGCCTTGCACTGTGGTTGTGGCCGACTTGTTGTTCTTCACTCCATTCGAATTCTGATTCTGAAGATTCTGTTTCTGAGGCTTGTTTGGAGGAGCCAAGAAGTCCAGGTTAGAATCATCAATCAACGTTGAAGTAGATCCAAAGGGTGAATTCAAAGAATTCAGATTGTTTGTGAAGAAACTGGATGTCGCTATACTCATCTTCGCAGACGAACTACAACACCATTCCTAAACGCTAAATTAAAAAGTCAAAAATTGTTATCAGATATGCACAAGTATCAAACATGTAACCAAAACGGCAAATAAAAATAAACACCCAGTATTATTTAATTAGATATCAAAAAAAGATGTTGAAAATGAAGAACCGTATGAAACTATAAGTGAAAGAGGTCAGAAAAGTTCTAATGAATCGAATTGAGATCGATCTTCCCATCTTTAGGATAATATGTCATGAACTTGAAAGGTTCGATTGAGAAAACTCCCGGATTCACAATCTTCGGCTCGTTTTCCTCATTTCCTGGGGGTCTCCATCTGTATGGTTGGAATTGATCGGCTAGTACAAGAAGGTCAGGCATAATCTTGAAATCATGGACATCTCCAAATCTGATGGCAGATCCTTTTGGATGGACGGGAAGGGCATTTCGTTGAGACCAGATGGTGCGGGAGAACTGGAATCACGAGTTATTAGTTACATCTGCATAAATATCACCCTTTCCCACATCGAAACTTCAATGAATTTGCAAATTTACGGTACGATGAATATAACTAAAACAACAAAATGCAAAGTAAAGCACTCACTGCTGTTCCGACATCGGCATTCTCACTGAGATAAAAGGTATGCTGGGACAATTTCTCGACAACATCATCCCGAGTCAGTTGAATAACCTTGTTTTTGAATAGAATCTTAGATGGATTTGCGGCGAAATGCACATTCGACCAGCTTGCAAAGACAGATTTTGCGCTCTCCATCAACAAACTAAAACAATAAATATATTGATACAAATAAAGAGTCCATTTCATTATTCAGAAATCAACATAAACATAAAAAAGAAAATCGTCAAAGACCAGCCTTACCTCGGTAATCTCCCATTACAAGGTGGATCCTTAGGGCCTGCAATAAATACAAACTGCGTACTCTTGTACACTCCTCGATAGGTTGACATCGCCTTTTCCAGTTTTTGAAAGTCCCTTTCTGTGTCGTCAATCTTGCTCAAGTCGAGTACAACGGAACGGAAAGATCCACAGAATATAAACATAGTCGGAGGGGCTTCCGAATAACCAATAAATAGCTGAGTCAGGGAGTCAATTACCTGCAAAAAAACTCAAATGATCAAAGCATTGTTTTGCCAGAAAAACACCCTTTCTCACACTCACATTCTGGTTATCCAAGAAGATGTCGCTCAGAATAACAATACAATCCGAGTTCTTCGGTGCATCAAAAGGTTTTCTGTTGAGTACATCAGTCGGAATTATCGATGGCAGCTCTTCCTCGTCCTTCAAAACCGGCAATGATACCTTCCTTGCAGTAAACGTTCCATCATTATATTCTCCTTCACATAAAAATATTCCTCCATAAAAGAAAAAGGCATCTTCCTCGTATTTAGTGGTATCTGTTATCTCAAATATCACTTGTCCCGTCGTGTCTTGAGCATAAATTGTGTCCTCAAGATCCTTAAAAATGGTTGCCAGGATCCTTGATTTCTTTGAGTGTTCGCAAAGCAATGCCTCGATTTTGTCGATGCCTTTGGTGTCGCAACTTTTCCAGATAAATTCCAATCTTTCCCTTTGGACAGCATTTATCGTATGTATCTCATATTCTTCGTGATCTTTCCGGTTTTTTGGAACCATCGCCTTTGATGCGAGATCGTAAACATAATTCGGCCAATCCAAGCTCTCAAACACTTCGAAATCAGCACCTCTAAACACAGATCCAATAAGAAAACATCAAACTTACGATCTCAATTGAGTCTTCTTGGCAACGAGCAGATCCTTCAAGGTTTCTAAGTCGAGATCATCCACTGAAACAATAAAATGCTTATAATTACAAATAAAAATGCAACTTTTAAACAGACTACACATACCTCCTGAAATGCAGATTCTTTCAATTAAGTTACTGATGTACTTCCTTCGACTTCCATGATCCATATCTTTACAGTAATCGGTAAGTTGATTGAGGGCATCTCTAAACATTTTTTAGAAATATTATCAAGGTTTACGTTCTAATTGAGATCATAGCCTGTTCGAAGCAGCGTCTTATCTGTATCCGACCCGAGTCGGACATCGCGCAAACAAGTTGTAAACAGTACTAAGCACAACACAAAACAAACGCAAGTCCAACTAAAAATTACACTTTAGAAAACGAAATAAACAAAACAAGAAAATAAATAACAACAACAATTCGATGCATGTTATTTAAGAAATGTCAGTGAGCGAATAAACTCGAGCGAAGTACTCATTTCAGATATAATAAGGACCAGTAACCTTTACGATGGCGTAATTTGACCGCTCAATGAATAATTTATTACGTATAACAGAAATGAAATGAGATACATCATGTCTTTCAAACAAAACAGCGAAACTTCCAGAAAAAATGTCATATAAACGGCAGAAGTAGACTTCATTCAATGCTTACTGTATTACGACGTCGGTGGTAATCTTTGTGCCATCATACTCTGAAGTTGCGCATTTACTTGAGCAGGCATTTGTCCAGGCATAGTTCCAGGTATGGGAACCTGACCAGGAACAGGGATTTGGCCTGGAACGGGGATCTGACCGGGCACTGGGATTTGTCCAGGGAAATGGGCAGCATTGGGAGGGAGACCTGGTCTAATTCCCATGGGGAGACCTTGAGGTATATACGGGAATTGCACTGGAGGACGGATCATGGCCGTAGGTGGGAGAACTGGAGGTCGGCCGGGCTAAAATTCGAAATAATCCAAACAAAAATTCGACTTACCATAGGTATTTGCGCGGCCATCTGAGCATTATTGGCGAGCATTCTCTGCTGGGTAAAGGCCCTAGCAGTGGCGTCAACCAACTTCTGTGCTTGTTGTTCCATCCACGCTTGGTAATACATCCTCACATTTTCCTTGTGTTTCCTTCCTCCATTGTGTGTCTTCCTTACTGACGGAGAGTCATGGGTTAGGAAAGTATCACAGTAATCGCAGTAATATTTGGGCATCTAAATAAAGAAGAACCGTTAATAAATAAAATATTTTAAAATATTATGCCGTTATATCGCACGGATAATCAAAAAAAATTAACAAAAGAATTAAGCTCTTTATCTTATGATACGTCGATTGTGACAGTGGAACCCGTAGAAACAAAATGGCAGATCTAATGTAGTATAAAAAACAATAACAATATCCTAAAAAACATAACTGGTTATCACGCAATAAATATGCATCACTTTAAAAAGTATGGCAATTTAGACTTAAAATGAGTGAGAAGCAGCTTGAGATCCCGATTATGGTATCTGAACTCATTTTCCAAGAGGTTTCTCGTTTCTTCGTCCATTTTGTCGTATTTTCTGCCCTTTGAAGAGCCAAGGCACTTCGTTTTGTCTTTGAAATCGATGCAGAAATACCCTTTCTTTTCGTTATACTTGAGTATTCTGCGATAATCCATAAAAGGCAGATGAAGATCCCTCAAGAGTTGATTCATGACTTTGCTCGGCTCTTCTTTCAACTGTTTTCCGTCGATAAAGATGAACTGATCAAAATTGAATAACTCCAGCCATCGATGTAAATGCACCGCATATTCTCCCGGGTTCAGACATCTTCGTCTTAGCCTCTTAATCGAGTTGTCATTCTTCTCCTTTAAAATGTAAGACAAATTGAATTGAGATGCAATGGAGTCATTGTGGGCTTTCATGTGCTAAAATGGACAAATAAAGATATCAAATAACACTTGAAAAGACGATTGAAAAAGGAAATAGAAATTATTCTTACCTGATACCAAGAGTACGCTCGATCGACCGGATCCATCAGGATAACGATGAATTTGGACTTTGGTAGAAGGTGGAAAACTTGCTCTGCTACCTTAGGATTATCAAAGTAATTGGCGGACTTCTCAAACACGACCTTCTGACCTTGATTAAACAACTTCTTATACCAATTAACCCCTTTTAGGTAATTATTTTGGCCGAAGAACTGAGGTTCTTCGAAAGATCCAATCACATCAATGTTACTCGAAACATTTGCATGGATCTTGAGGAATTCAGCAAGAGCAGTTGTACCTAAAGACAAAATACAATATAATCGACCACGCACCTGTCTTCTGAGGTCCCAGTATCAGCAAATTGGGTAAAGTTGAAGAGTTGTCGCATTTCCTCAAATAAGATAAACCTTGAACATGTCTTTTGTCACTACATTCGTCGGTATACAAGAGGGATTCTGAAGATCCAGTACGCTTAAAGTATCTGACAGCCATTTCTGTCGGTGGAATCCACTTCAGCCGAAGATTTGTGAAACACTTTATAAATGTGAAGGTGTTTTCAAACAAATAAATTGCCAGACGGTCATTTCCCCAATTCTGTTGATGTGTCATGAAGATGTTGAACTAAAGCTTCAGGTTCAAAAACAAATGAGATCAATTTACCTGATTAAAAAGGATATCATTGAAGACAGAGCCTCCTTCGATGTTATCTTTGAATGCTTTGAATCCATTTGGAAGAGCATGGAAGTACATAGTATGAGTGTACAATCCACAAGTTTGTCTGGGCAGCACTCTTATCCCATTAAATGCGAATCCTCTCCTTTTTGAACTTGGCTGAAAATGAGGATACTCTTCCGTCGAAGTCACTTTCACATTCCATATCTCTTTCCAAGCCTTGTATAAAGGTTGATGGATTGGATAAACCCCAGTATGCTGAGGAGAAACCGCGTAATTGAGAGATACATTTAGACCATTCGAAAGAGCGAATTGTTTGTTGAGATCCATCAGACTTGTAAGATTGTCATATGAATATTCATGGGCATGGTTGTGTTTCCACATGTGAGGGAACCATAAGAAATGATGAGCTTGCTCTAAAAAACAATTAAAATTAAAAAAATCTAATTACTTAGAAGTTCCTCATCACCATCGAGTTCTTCAGATGTTCCTCGTCCAAAAAAAGACCCTGAGAATCCCAATGTAAATGTAAATCCATCGATAAAACTATCCCTCCATGTTTTCTGAGCTTTAATCAATCTAGTGACGTCCTCCTTGACAATGCGAGTACCAACTTGCCCAACAAAAACATCGTCGATATCAATTTGAATAAACCTAAAGAAAGAATAAACACAAAACAGTATAGAAGTACTTACCTCTCATTTCCACCAGTCCATTTCTCACCGAGTAAGAAGGAAAGCGCATCCAAGAAGGCCACTTTTGTTACCCAATTTGTTAGATTATGTCCGATGACAACATGATCGAAAGGAGAATCTCTTCTCACCGCCACATTGATCGATGTACCATTTTTGTCCTCCGCTACTATCACACTGCTCCATCCTTGTTTAATGTCGATCCTGTACCACGCAGAGATATCTGGTAGAAGTTCAGGTATCTTTGTACCGACTTTAGCGATTCGCGTGAAATTTCCATCAATGAATTTGAAATTAACCGGCTTCACAACTTGGACAACATCAATATCATGGTAGGACCCAGTTCGTTTGGTAAATGAAATAATACCAATCTTGTATTTGGAACAAGCATTCTCCAAGAGAACCTTATCTTCAGCTGATAATGAGTAGAAGATGTTGAGGTCAGTAAAAATTATAACTTCATACAAAATTCCAGAAGTAAATTCTAATAACAATCCAGATATCTCTTCAATATTCTCCACAAAAACAGGAATCTTCAGGTAATCAAGGGAGTTAATGATCGCCCTCTTTTCCAACTTATCATTTTTTAAACCAATAACCAGAACCCTCGCTGTTTCTCTTGACCATTTTGGGGTCAAATCCACAGCCGAAACATTACTAATGTAATTACTCGGGCACGAAAATCCATCTTGCGGGACAGCCGGATATCTCAAACGCCTCACGTTTTGGGTTCGCGGGTATAAAAAGTAGGAAAGAACAAAGAATACCAGCAAGAATAATATTCGATGCAAATATCGACGGAAATGTAACATTAAGTTGACATCGCAATGCCCAAAAACAACAAATACTATTTTATACTCACACTCGAAACGCAAATTGACGGCTCTCCGCTGTTTTCTGTTTGAAAACCACGAAATGTCGGAGAAACCATAGGAAACGGCAAGCTGCGCCCTTGTATGCAGTTGATCTCACAGAATTACAGTAACTTACAAATATGGACAGTGTAAAACATACCTTTATGGTGCCTTACAAGTGTTTCCAATACTCAACACACCAAGTAATGACTTTTACATGCCATGCTTATAACCCCAGGTATCGTGTATTGTTTCATCGGAAATATATTCCTTATATAAGGATTAGAGACAAACATTTGTTTTTTTTTAGTCATGCATTTTTATTATTAATATTAGTAGCCAGTGTAGATATTTTTTACAAATTTGCAAGACGTTTCGTGCCAAAATTCGCAAAAAAGCGTCACATTTTTTCCAACCTTGGTCCTAAAAATCTCGGTTGTTTCTGCAAGGCGCGAGCTAGGAATCTCGTATGTCTAAAAAAGAATTATTCTAAATTTACCCATGTTTCTTCTAAATCTAAGCGTCGTACTTGGGAGTACATCTCCTGTTATCTGTTTACAGTTTGCCTGCTAGGTTGTATCAATCTGGGCGCAGCCTGTGGAGAAATCGTTCAAACTCTGTGGGCCCGTGGCGTATCCCGTATAAAATGTAACCCGCCAGTTGCAAATTGTTATTTTATACGCAAAAAGTTGTTTACCTCATAGCTCACAGAGCTAGAACATTCTTTGCAATTCTTTGCTTTGGACTTTGCGTCGAGTATAACCGTTGATTAGTTGTTGAATATATCCGTTCGATCTTTCTACATCCCTGCAAGACTGTTGTTCGTACAATAATTCGTTGTGGGCATCACCTTTCTTGACGTATTTCGAAACAAAAGCGACGTATAAATACGAGGAAATGGCGAGATTCCACCTGTTCGAGGGGCCGTTGTTGCTTTTGAAGCCTTTCGAATTACAACGGCGGTTTTTCAACTTTATTACAGAATGGAGGTTACAGAGGATTGATACCACATATTCGAGGGAGGGATTGAAAGAAGGGATTAGAATGGTGAGTCAAACATTAGGGTTTTTTGACTGTATTTTATGTTCTTTTAGGGAATTCACAGGTTGGCTAGAGACCTTCGGGAAGAAAATACGCATGAACTTTTAAAATACACAGGAGTTGATCTCCAGACGAAACTAAAGATGCGGCTTCCCGAAATTCCCCGAGAAGAACTGAAGCAAAAGTTAAACTTCGAATTGGAGAACGTCCGCAGGGTAGATATCCACTCCATGGTTATTTCTTTGGAGGGAAAAGTTTTGGGTGAGATTTTACTTGTTTTTTAAAAATATTTAGATGGCCAAGCATGCTGTTAGTCGTTTGAAATTGATTATACTGATTTTATTTTGTTTTTTCTCAACCCTTGCGGGTTTCATGGATTTCTAATGCCCAAATTCAGCAAAACAAAAACATTTCGAAAGCGGGGCCTCGCGGGGTTTTATTTTGACCTAGTTATTTTTTCGAAGGTGATTTCACTGGCATTATTGTATTTATATATACGTCATCTTAGCATGCCTTTCGTTTCACCCGAGATTAATGCCAAGCGCTCACCCTCTGAACGCCGCCCGTCTTTTGTCGACCTTGGAATGAATCACAATTCTTTTCTCGACTTCACCCAAAAAAGTTCTGATTTCTTCCTAACCCTATTTGAAAGGCTGATTAATTGCAATTTATCTATGGAAACGACATCTGTAGTTCTTAGTATCAGACAATTCAAATTTTAGTTATGGCTGTTATTCCTATTTTCAGATGAAAGTTCGCGATTCTCAGCTTTCGTAACAGCCATTGGTTTCATCGACCCTAAAGGAACTGGGCCAATTTCACAGTTTGAGGTTGGCCGGAGGATAAATGATCTCTTGGTGTGCAATATAACGTAAGATGGGCAAGAGATACACGTTTAGATACTTTCAGATTCTCCCGAATGATTTCGCCCATGGGGAGATGGCGAATATCAGATGTAAACTACTTTGATCCTGCTGTTGTCTCGGAGAAGGCACCTGTTCTTGTTTGACCCTTCTGGCTCTAGGCTTATTTCTTGTTGATTTTTGTCACATAAATGACGAGGATATAAAACTCGGGGCGGTTTTTTGCGGTTGTTTTACCATTGTATACCTATATCGTTTGCGTTCAATTTTATTTCGTGGCCATTCAGATGAGCTGAGTTTAATTATATTTTCCAGAAAATGACTCTTCAGTGGACCGTTGTTGCGGGTATTCTCTACCTGGAGATTGGAGTTGTTCTGACTCTTCTCTTGCCTTGGATCAGACCTCATCAGTACGTTTAGCGTCAATTTAGTTTATATATTTTCATCACTCTCAAATACCGTTTGATTTTAGCTGGAGGAAGTTGTTCAACAGCCGATTGGCGAGCTCGATCAGTAAATTTGCATCGGTCTACTTTTATGCGGTCGTTGCCGTCTTGATGCTGTTGTTGTTGGGTAAGTCACCTGATTTATTCCTATTCTTTTAATTTAGATGCCGTTCGCGAAGTTCGCAAATATTCTGATGCTGATATTACCACCGAAGTCAGAAGAGCCTTGGAGAGCGATGCCATGATCCACATGCGTTTATTCCGTTCCCAGAGAAACTTGTACATCTCTGGATTTGCTCTTCTTTTGTTTATCATCATCAACAGATTGGTCACTCTCATCTCCCGCACCGCCGCCCTTCAGGCTAGTGCTGATGCTGCCCTCAAACAAGCTCAGAGTGCTAACCAAGCCGCCAAGACTCTGATGGAAGCTGTAAGTTATTTTATTCTTATGAACGGTGAGGTTTACAATATAATATTACTCATTTAGGGAGATGATGAAGCCCTTCAGAAGACCACCAAGGAAGTCGAGGACTTGAAGAAGAAGCTCCGCCAAGCCGAAAAGGACCGTGATGCCATGAAGAAGCAATCCGAGAATCTCCAGAATGAATATGAACGTGTCAGCACCCTGTTGAATAAGAAGGAGGCCGCCGGCGGTGATAAGAAGTCTGATTAAGAAGATCTTTCTCAAATCTAATCTAATTGAAACGTTCAAAAAATAGTAACCGTATATCTTGTAATAAATGTAGATCTATTTTTCTTGATTCAATTTCTTTATTACATAACATTCGTTGTGAAACTACCGGGTAACAACTAGGATGTAACTTACACTAACCAATCAACATGAATAAGTGAATAAGAGAGATCTGTAAATGGCAAGCGGATCTGAATAGTGTCTTAGTGATCTGTTATGCCTTATAATAGTGGTTTAATTAGCTTTTTCCCTGAGGGCTTGATCGTGCTCAACAACAGTCTGAGAAGCAGTGATGAGATGGACGACCGAGATTCCCGACTTGATAAGAGCGACAACACAAAATGGAGCGATCAGAATCTTCATGGGAGTGATGCCGAGGACAATATTGGGGCCAGTCCAGAAAGCATTCAAGTATAATAATCCATAGAAGGCCTCATTTCCAAAACACATGAAAAATAAGAAGGGTCTGGAAAGGAAGGTTATCAGAGTGTAGTGCGATTACCTTGAAGTGTAATAGTAATGAAGAAGAGGGTTGTCGGAGGATTTGTGAGAAACCTTTCCAGTGAGATCCCCAGCATGTAAATGAAGCCAATGAGAAGCGATGTCGATGATGACAACCAGCTGGAAGAAGAACATCCAACGAGGATATAGGGCACATAAGGCCATCAAAAGACCCACAAAGGCCAAACGATCAGTCAATTGGTCTAACATAGCACCAAAACGGGAACCTGTAAAAATTGCGCAAGCCATTAAAGCGATCGCCTTCAATTCATAATTAGCTACTACAGAGTGGGCAGATAAGACGTATGTTGTTAACTTTTGCAGGTAATAAAAAAATTCAACAGTAAATTAATTCCAAACTCTTCCAGAAAACCAAATGCCCACTTTCGGCCCCTCGACTTTTTAAAATTATTTAATACAACCTTGGACTTACTCTGATTGTATAACCTCGCCAAATATCCATCAAAAGCATCCAGGAAAGCACTCAGGCCGTAGCAAAATGCCGCTGTTAAAGGAGAATCGAGCATCAAGAAGCAGGAAATGATGGCCAATACTATCCTTGCATATCCGATCAGATTCGGGTAGAATAAAAACACGTTTTCTTCTGCCATAATCCCTGCAAATAGGGCTTTGAATTTTAAAATAAATTCAAAATAAGTCTTACAAATCTGGAAATAAGAGCGAAAAGAGAAGCAAGAAACGCGTCATGATAAACATCTCTTCGCATGTAAAATACGTATCACCCTCTCACAAATAATAAGTTCAAGTCTCTACAAAAGTATCCTTGGCAACAGGAGATCCCCCAAGTGTCCCCAAAAATGGTGTCCCCGAAAGGGAATTAAATTAGGAGCGCTTAGAAGATGCATTCGGAAGGTAAATATTGACGTATTTCTTTTCTCAAACTTTCCCCCGAGGAATGTGAGTCACGTTCTTGCATGATTGGGGACTGAAATTCACAAATTATGTTGTATAAAATACTGTCTGATAGTTTAAAAGAAGGGGGATGAATAGGAGAATATACATTCAAAACTTGAATGCCTATTTTTACAATAAACGGCTCCCTCTTCCAACCGATGAAATACCTGAAGGTAGGTCTTCCGTTATTCATTTCGCCGCCATTCCTGTGCACCCATCCATTTTAATTAAGGGCCAAGTAGAAAAAGAGTTCCCCTCTATCTTTTTTCTCCCTTATGAGGGAAAAGGTTAGAGAAAAAAGAGTTCCCTCCCCTTCCACATTTTCCACGATCCCTCGCTTATAAATAAAACGATCCAAAGAAACGTTCTGATCATGAGGGACAACACAGTTCGAGTACTTCTTTGGAAAAAACGAAAAAGTTTATTCGAATTTCTCCTGTGGGAGATTAAAGCGAACAAAAAGAAACAATTAGAGGCGATGGAAAAATATTCTTACGAGGGAATGGTCTGAACTTCCCCCAGCGTTTGGGAAAATGACTAGTACAGATGGATAGAGCAAGTCGACTTTGGTAAAAAGAGCCATTTTCCAGCTGCGGAATAAGCCCGGCCGACGAGAAAAATCGACCGAAAGTTCCACAAAAATTTCCTCTTTCTCTTCTCTCGGAAAAGAAGAGCGGCGTTCAGTGGTTCGGTTAGCCGAGTGGATAAAGCATCCGCTCGATATTCTTTTGGGGGTGGGTTCGATTCCGGGGTCTCGCGAAGGACCGTGATAAGGCTTTGATGAGCAAGATCAAACTCTAACAACCCAAAAAAAAAATATTTTGCCTTTTTCAAAGCCAAGTAAATCACCAAACAAGTATAACTTCGATGGACCATCGTTTTAAAGGTTCGGAAGCACCCAAAAAATTCCTATTTTGACGATTATTTTTTTGGTATAATGCCCCTATAAAACGTATAAAAATGGCAAAATATTTTTTTTTGTTTGTTAGAGCTTGATCTTACTCATCAAAGCCTTATCATGGTCCTTCGCGAGACCCCGGAATCGAACCCGCCCCAAAAAGAATATCGAGCGGAAGCTTTATCCACTCGGCTAACCGAACCACTGAACGCCGCTCTTCTTTTCCGAGGGAAGAGAAAGAGGAAATTTTTGTGGAACTTTCGGTCGATTTTTCTCGTCGGCCGGGCTTATTCCGCAGCTGGAAAATGGCTCTTTTTACCAAAGTTGACTTGCTCTATCCACCTGTACTAGTCATTTTCCCAAACGCTGGGGGAAGTTCAGACCATTCCCTCGTTAGCATTTGATTACAAAAATATTTACAAAGATCTCCGGAGACGAGGACAGACGTAATATACACGTAAATCAACAAAATGCAGGGTACTGTAAACCAAAATCTGCATCCATCATGACCGAGAGACAACGAAATGGAATTAAAAAAATTTAAAATTCTCAACTTCTGATAGAATATTATTTTTGAGAGGACTCGTATTTGTTTGTTGGGATCAGAGGAAAGAATTGAGGAAACGATGGCTATGTACATTATACGGGGCCCGAAGTGGGGCCACACTAGATCTCCATTCCATAGGTTTCATCTGAAAAGGATAAATAGTTCTCTAAGGACCAGCAAATAGCTAATACAGAATGTTGACGTGGCAATATTAACTTTCTCAAAATCCAACACAATGGTTTACACCTTTAGTCTACATTCTGCATATAGTCATCATCACATCCTTACCTTCTGAATAATCCGAGATCGTGGAATCGGAATCATGCCCATCGTCACTCATCTCTGAGTCTTCCTTCAGAACCGCGGCTAATGCATCTTCGTTCGCATACTTCCTTACATATTCTGAAACCAGCTTAAACCTTTAAATGACTTGTACTTACCTGAACAAATCTCTTTGAACTCATCGGGCTTATGCAAATACAATTTGGCAGCCTCGCTGTTCAAAGGATCCTGAGGGTTGGGGTAAGTGAGAAGTTGAGGTAGGAATGATTCGAAGATGTTGGCGAGATCATAGAGGGCAGTCCAGGCTTGGTTGATCACATCCAAACAGACGGTCCCACTGCTCTCATCGATGTTCGGATGGAAGATGCGGTTCATAAAGCCGATCGACGGAGACTTGAATGGGTATTTGTCGGGGAGATCCACTCGAACTCTCCATACACCTCCTTCGTAGGCAGCTGAAACATGACATCAAGGATCACAAAACCGACACTCACTTCCTTTTGGACCATGGAATTTGACTGAAAATTCATTGACGGAGCCAGTAACCAGAACTTCGTGCTTCGCTTCAATCCTAAAAACATTAAATTTTGACGTTTTTTGTAATTCTGTTATCCTGAAATTGTTTTGCATTTATTTTTTAAAATTCATCCAACCTGCAACCCTCATGACATGTTCTGTAGTAACAACTATTTTTGCCCGAGACATGGTCGGAAAATTTGTGAGAGTTCGTGTCACTTTTAAATAATAATAACACTATTGCTATGAAAAACAAGCTTCTTTACTGTATAAATCTGCCAATCGCATAAATCATTTCCCAAACCATTAGCAATCCTCTAAAATACATGAATCCCCCTTTTCCCCATGACGCTATCCTTGTTTGGAGCGACGGATTACCGCGATTTAATAGTGCATTTCGAAAGGACTTTAGATTTAGACGGAGAAGTTAGTTTTTTTCAGACCCAATGTCTCACTCTTCGCTTATCACATTTTTGTGATACCCCCTTTTCTTTATTCCGTATGAAAATCATCAGCTGTTTTTCCAATTGTTTCTTCGACCAAATAGCCTTCTCGAAGGCTAAATTCATTAGATTAAATAAACGCTAAGATTTCAGGCCGAACATCAAGTATCTTACATTGATACATTGCCTCATCTGTTTGAAAAAAGTTTTAGAAATACTTTTCATAATCACTTATATTAAGCTTGCCCCCAATTTAATTTAATTATCAGGCACTTACAGTTTGAGCAGATCGGTGTCCATCCGACGCTTACCGGCACTAGGAGAGGACATGCTGAAGGTGTTGTGAAAGAGGACAAGACCAGAGAATGGGCGAGGAAGGCCGTCTGTTTGAAAGGCGGAGAATGCAAGGAGACGAAAGCTCTTTCTTCTTCGCCTCTAAGACCAACAAGGATGGATCTTGATCAGAAAACGAGAGATCTTCTTTCACGGCAGTCTATAAAGGCAGATGTCAGTTTGAAGGCGCCAAGGCCGGCGTACGGCGACACGCGTATGAAGACGAACAGAAAATTAATCAACAAGCCCAATTAGTCAAATACATCGTCCTAGTGCACAAAATATTGAGTAAACAAACGGAGGAAGGTTATATTATCCACGCCTTGGATAACATGAAATGCATTGGGTGGTGGACAAAGCTCAACACAAAAAATAAAGCCCAGTCAACACCCGGGAAAAGAGATGAAAATGAAAAGAGCGACCAAAAAATTTACTAGAAGTAGTCTTTACTGTAAGAATACAGTGCAATTTGGATGAAAACAACTTGGAAACCTCCTTCTCTCTCAGAAAATTGTCCGATAAGCCGTCGAAAGGCCCTTTTATTCTAATTTCCCTCAATAACCGAGCTTTTCGCAATGAATGATTTAGGGCGCTTTGGAAGGACTCTCCATTATGTACATTATATTATGTTCTCTTACCCATTGCATCTGATTTGACCCAAACTTTTGGCGATTACGTATCATTTATCATGATTTCCCCTATCAAGTCCCATAGCTATTCGCAAGATTTCTGCTTCAACTATTACCTCCATCATGGCCTAGGCCGGGCACCCTTGGCTAGGCTGATCGCTCAACCGACCCCGTCTTGCCACATATGACTTTAAAGATCATGCGACCCAAAATAATGACTGAATTCGAAGCGGGGAGAGCGAGACTGAAGCGAAAAAGTCTCCTGACCGACGTTTTCTGAGCCCCGTTGGGCTTGCACGTGCTCTCTCTCTCCCCTCCCCTTCTTCAACTACCACAATTCAGTGGTTGTTGAGGCAGTCGGGACTCTCCCCCCTTCCCTTCGCTCCCCGCTCTAATCTCCGAAGCGATGCGAACCACCAGTCCAGGCAGTAGATCACGTGTACCCAAAAAACAACAACAACCAGCCCATCTCGCAGGCGACTTCAGACTGATCCAAACACAACTTTCCCGATTATAGAAACAAAATTAACCTTGAGAACCCTATTATCCATAGATAACATCGTAAAGATTACAGGCAACTGGATACAAGAACCAGTAACGTCCATCGATAATACCCATGACAACAAATGAAAATCATTTTGAAAATACTAAAAGTGAGGAAATAGAAATATGAGAATACAGAATAAACAAATTCCACAGATAGAATCGTGACCATACTCCTTGTTTATGGCCTCAAAAACCATAACACACCAACCGCACTAGAAAGGTCACATTGTAACAACAGCCCAGAGATCCTCGTCCTGCAAATCTTCGAAGTAAACAAAAATAGACCCTTTCCCTCTCCCGATTTGTCAATCCAAGCCCAAAACAGCGTCAGACTCCTGATGAAAGCACATAAAACAACATTTGCTGGGCTTATTGCGCAAGTCAGCAATAAAGATCACAAATTAGAAAGCGCATACGAACATACATCTTATATTATTCATGAGAAAAGCAGCTCGCAAGACGGAGAAACCAAAAGTAAAAGTGGAATAATAACAAAGGACGACCGGGAGAAAGTAGAAAACTTTTTATCGGAAAAAGAAACACAAATGTCGTCGCGAACGAACAAAAAAAACAGAAAGGTATACTCAGGGGTGGTCAGCAGACCCTATTTTTCCGATTTTCGGCCCGCGGCCCGGCCCGTCTAATCACCGGCCCGGCCCGTCTAGTCTTTTTCCAGGCCCGGCCCGGCCCGGCCCGTGACGGGCCTGGCCCGGCCCGGCCCGTGCAGGCCCGTCTATAGAGGGTTCTGCGAACTGCGCCCACACGGGTTGATGATGAATTAGTATGGTTTATAGACGAGCGAATCACCTGGTTATCACGACAACCTCACGCGAAACATTTTCATACCTAAAATGTGGAAGTTTGACATTACTTTAATACAGTCATTAAAAATTTTGAAGGCACGATCGGATTACGGTGTTCGAGCTTAGAAACAATACGAGCATGTTAGAGATGTCTCTGTCAAACAGATATGGCAGCCATTATCTGATGATCAAATTTTTTATGTAGAATATTCGAATACTTCCGCTTTTACCATCTGTTTAGGTTCTATTTACGTTTACAAAATCCGAATACAATGGATCTCTGTTGTGCTTTTCAAAGTTCGATCGGAGGTTCCGGAAAATCACTGGAAAAAAATCACCATTCTTACTCGCCTAAAAGATGACGACCGGTCTAACTTTGTACAGTTACTACAAGAGTTCTTGTACCTGGAGAGTTCGGGCCGCCCTCGCCTACAAGAAGCTCGAGTACACTACCAAGATTGTCAATGTCGCTGAAGGGGACCATGTATTTTTTAGAACATTATATGCATTGCTTTCGAAACTAGTCAGTTTGTAATGGTATTACTTCAGATGAAGCCGGACTACCTCAAACTCAATCCATCTGGGAACTTGCCAACTCTCATCCATAATGGGCATGTCCTTACCGAAAGTATGGCCATTTTGGAATATTTGGAAGAGGTTTTCCCCGACAAGGGACGTCTTCTTCCAGAAAATGATCCGGTGAAAAAAGCCCTGGTCAGAACGGTCTGTATGATGGTAAGGGTACTGTAGTAACTGTTTCGGATGTAAATCTTTTTTTTCCAGGTTATTGTTGGCATTCAACCGATGCAAACCCCCAAAGTGTACAATCGGGCTGGCCGAAGAGAGAAATTTGCGGCCGAAATGACAATCGAAGGACTTTATGCCCTCGAGGAGAAACTCAAAAAAGTGGCTGGTACCCATTGCATCGGGAATGAAATGTCTTTGGCGGACATGGTTCTGGTCCCGCAGTTGTACAACGCGGTTACGTAAGTCCTGGCATTTGTGTTACAACGAACATCCAGAAAATTCGCCATTAATCTGGACTTTTTCCCGACACTGAAGAAACTGTATACGGAATTGCTGGTAACCGATTGCTTCTTGGCATCCCAACCCCATTGTCAACCAGATTGCGAGTTGAGTGCCACAAAATGTACCTCACTGAAGGTCGCAAAGTCCCCCTCGCTGAGTGCATTCCCAAGGAACATGGTCAGCAAGGACGAAGATCATCTTCATGATCGTTTCGGAAAGGAGTAGATACTTATCTTTTTCTGATTTTATGAACTAATATTACACATAAACTACTGATACTCATGCTGTCATTTTTGTCTACCACTGTACATGTATGTATAATAATAAAGTCTGGACCAGGTGGCAAACGGGCCTCTTTTTGAATGTTTCAGGCCTAGCCCTTCAAAAACCAGACCCGGCCCGTTTCAAAATTCGCCAGGCCGGGCCGGCCTGGTGCACTCGTGGCCGCGGTTGCGACCCCTGGTCTGGATCTACTGCAGGGGTGGCCACCCGGGCCCGTTCAGGCCCGTTTCGGCCCGTCTTACTTATCCCGAACTTTTTTCTGAGTAACCGGATGGCTTTGAAACTTCGGCTAGCCCTAGGTTTAGAAGGGTGCTGACCCTTCAAAATGTTGTCAGATTTTTGATATCTCTTCACCAAAACGAGATATCGCAATTGCGGGAAAAGTAAGACGGGCCGAAACGGGCCTGAACGGGCCTAAACGAGCCCGGGTGGCCACCCCTGATCTACTGATTTACAAGCAACAGTTGACCCTGATGTGTCAACTCTCTCCCTGATATTTTATTTCCAATTTTTTTCGACAAACATTTTATTCGCGGTACCGATGAAGGTGTATCGATACAAAGCAAAGTAAACGATATTGTATACTTTGTTTTGAAGATTTTACAACTAGATGTTGTTTTTTTGCGTTTTTTCATGTATTGAAATTATGTTTTATTTTTTCAGGGTTTATGTCTGTTACAGATTTGAGGAATGCATTTTCTACATTTCCGCATCAAATCTGGGTTCTCTCGGAGTTTGGAAAGCCAATATTCTCAAGGTGTGTTTTAACTTCGTTTATCTCGTTTCATTTATAGATGAAGATAACCTTTTTGATTTAGTTGTGGAAGCGAATCAGACCTTGCAGCAACCTTCGCAGTGATACAAGTACTTGTGCGGACCTTTGAATCATGGAAAGATACCTTACTGTGCATTCAAATGAAAGGTCTACACATTCAATTTTCCTACAGGAGTCCTTTGATTCTCTGTGTTGTCTCCAAAGCTCCGGCCAATTTGAGTCTTCAACTAGATATGATCTATAATCAGGTTATCTCCATCTTATCCAAGAGTGTGCTAAAGAAGACTTTCGTGGAGAAGGGCGACAATTTTGATTTGAGAAGATGGTTGAGTGATTTGGATAAGAGGGTGGACGTCTGTTTGAATAGTTTCGTCGAGGATCCAGTCGTTTATCTGACTGGTTTCAGAATCCTCCCATTGAATCCGAGTGATCGAGAGTTTCTGGTGAGCACGATGGGAAGTTGTATTGTAGAAGCTACTGACAGTGTAAGTCTCTTTTCGTCATTGGTTGTGATTTTAGGTTGCCTTTGCTGTTCTTATCGCCCATCGACAACTTGTATCCATGGTTAGAATGAAGAGGCTCGATCTAAAGGCCTCTGATTTCAATATTTTGGCTAACCTTGTAGAATGCCATTCATCGTTGCGGGACGGAGAGACTTGGGTACCAATTTGCTTACCTCATTTTAATCAAAAGTAGGCGCACTTTTCTGTATGATATTACATTTTTAGTGCTTGTTGGGCTTTTATTTCGTATTTATGGGAAGACAATGGACCGTGTTTGATCATGCTAAGTACCGATAAGAACTCCTTCTTCACGCTTAGGGATGTAAAATTAAAGATTTTGGATAAATTGGATGTATATAAGAGGAAGAACGAACTGAAAACTTCTATCTCAATTCCCGAACAAATGCTTAGGACTCAGGTAATTATATATTGTAGAAAGTATACTGGTTACATGTTTAGAGGCCTAATCCAGAGCTATGGCATTTTATGTACAAGAATATCTTGTCCTCCCAAGTCTGCTGTTCGTCGCCTGCCAAGCCTTTTATTGCCTTAGATGAGCAAAAAGAATTATATAAAGGTTACTTTGAAGTGACGGATGCGATGAGGAAATCTAAGATTGGACGAATATTGTTCGTTCAGAAAGACGAGTACACAATTTTTGCTTGGGTAGGTATTATGTATCTTATATTTAATGTTTTTGTCCTGGTTAATTTAATACTGATTCCAGATAACGGGTAGTTTCGAGTTGTATGCTGCATTCTCCCCGCTGGTGTCACAAGTGTCGGTGATGGAAACCGCTGAGAGATTACTGCGAATCCTCCGAAAGGAAGAGAAGCGGGTCTTCTTCAATATTAACCCGGGTGTCTTAAACGGGCCATAGCTTAAGCCAGACTGATTGTTATTTCGATTGCTGCTGAGTGTGCAGATTGTTACGACTGCCTAAACCCTGGCGAACATGACCTCGGACGCATTTAGTTGTTAATGTAGATACTTAATCCATTATTGTTGAACATAAAATTTTTATTTAATTAAAACAATCTATACGATAAAGCTTTTTTTCTTTCCGTCTCGGATGTGAAAGAACCTTGGAAGTCTATTAAACAGTCCTCGACCTAATGTCATTTTCAGACTAAGTTTATATAATCAACGAAAATAAGATGTGGGAAGCGAAATCAAACGCCTGAATTGGGATTTTTGTAATCGAGAGAGTAATAACATTATTATACATCAACAAAACCAAGAAAGATAAGGACAAAACGAGAGAATGGAAAAGAAAAAAAACCAGGAGTAAAAGAAGGGACCTTTCCGGGGTCCCTAGTACCATTAGAAATACGACAGCAGATCTGGTGGGTCAGATTGTGGTTTACCTAAACCGATGGCACTGCGTATGATATACCGCATATTCTGGCCATCCAGATCTGATATCATGTGACTAGGAAAGAGTGATAAAAGAACCAAAATAACATAATGATGGTATTTAAATTAAATTTATTTACGGAAAGTGACACGGCCACAGTTCTACTGGAAGCTGGTCTGACGTGGCGGGGGAGGGTCCCCGCTGCGGTGGAAGTGGACGCAAACCCATCCCCGGTTCCTTTTGTGCCATACCCGTGTCTCCTGGGCCTGTCGCGTGCGGGCCTCACCGTATCTGTAATTGTGAAACTGGATTGTTTTAGTAATTGCCTTTGTAAATATTTTTCCCGTTACACTCTCTTGCTATAGACTATAGAGATAATACAACAACATACTTATCGACGTATTGTGTCAGCCTCACATAGGCAATGCAGGCGCCATCATCACCCATCAGATGGACATTCGGATTCAGAAGCGTCGTGTGGATCTGGGAATTGAGCTGATTCGCACCAAACGCATTATTCACCGCCTTGGTGGGTCCGGATGGAGTCCCTGGAACAGCTGTAAATCTCTTAATAACTTAAGCAACAAGCGAGAGGCATTCCTTCCGGAAGAAATAAAATTTGATGACTCTTGATTCCAACATAAAAAAGTGTTCCTTTTTGTTTCCGATTTTTGAAAATAGCAGAAACAGCAAAGCTAATTACTTACTGGTATCGAAATAAAACCGATGGAAGTCCATTCCCTCGATCAGATTCCCCAAAGTCTCCGGCTCGAAGCACGTCATGGACGGATCACAGAGGCGTCTAAAACTAGATGTAAAGGGGGAAGCAACACTTACGAGTACGCATCAAAGTCTTTACATGATATGGCATCCAGAAGTTGCTGAGTCACTCGGACAATCTCTTGTTTTTGCACTGGAATTGGATTAATTTAGCCGCCGAGAGAGGGCGAAAGTCGGGAGGATGCAGAGAAAGAGAGGGAAAGCAGAAAGTAATGTTAAGAATTTAGGCGAAAGTAATTTTAAGCAGGCGAGAAAATCAGAAGTTGGGAGAGTTACTGAACTCAGGAAATGGCTGTAAAGGGACAAATTAGGCTGGCCAAACCGAGAGGCAACAAAAAGCAAGAAGCCGAAGCAAATGCGAGATCAGAGGGAGACAAGATTTGAGGGATTACTTCTACCCGGATCCGATTGACTTGTTCTCTTCCCATTTACCAGGTGTGAGTGGGGTGACAGATGGGGTAGGGGAGATTTGAACACTGGATCGTACATTTGGTTCTACCCTTAGAACACTCTAGACGTTCGTATTCTCTAGAGGAAACGCTCAACTAAAGTAAATCCGCAATTAGCAGAACATTCGGAATTTAAATGTGAATCAAAAATCACGCGTTCTGTACGCCGGGCTTACTTTGCAAAAGGTAAACGTAGTACTAAAAAAGTTCTTTACTTCTTAAGACCAAAATTGAGATGAATAGCATGGAACAAATAAAAACAAAACAAAATACACAACCTCCTCCCCTTCCCTCTTCGATTGCTCCTTTCCAGCCCTGAGTCAAACGACGGGGCGAAACCGAAGGGGCTTGAAATAATGGCCTTTGCTCATCCCCTGAGGGCCAGAACGGCGCCGAACAGGCTTACGTTTTCGAATCAGAAACGAACCCCGGCCTTCCTTGACTCGTTTACATCCGCCACCTTCTTCCCGGGTTTCATTCTTTATTATCCCGAGACGAAAAATGTAAAAAACAAGGGTAGCATGTGCAGAGAGGGGGCACATCAAGGCCGGGAAACGAAGCGTTTCTCGGGATATTTGGCAACGCAAAGGGTCCAAAGAATGAGTAATCACACGGATTCTGAAGTCGGATGACAAAGCCTGTTGAATAATGGCGGCCGAACGCCGGCCCAAGTCCACTGGCAGATGGAATGACTTGTTTACATTCTTATCACGAAGCTGTCTCCCACACACCTTAACCCCCGAAGAGAGGCCAAACGTGCCTCTTGTTGTTATTTGTAAACAAACAAACTCTTGAGACTGCCGTGTGTACAAGAATGAAGGGGTTAGTTTAATTTGAATATCACCTGAGGTGAAACTCATATTAAAGATGAAGAGAAAGCTGATAGAACTAAACTAGGCGGGAAAAGGAACCATTATCCTCCAACAATACCTTCCATTCCTGGACGGAAGAGAGATTTGCACCAAATTAAATTGAGAGGGAAGAGAGAAGAGAACACAGGGAATGGCGAGGGAGGCAGAGAAAGAGAGGGAACGACGCCGGAATCTCGCTAGCGTGAGGATGGTGCAGATGGAAAGAAGACGTTGGGATAAGCTCACCTGGCAAGCTGTTGGCCTGGCGCGGTGTGGCGGTGGCGGGGGTGGGCGAGGCGGGCACGGTCGAGTTGACACAGTTGACCACATTGTTTTTGGGCAGTCCAGTCGTTGTGTCCACTCGGACCACCGTGTTTTCGTGCTTTAAGAAGGTCGAAGAAGAACCAGCTGCAGAATGGAGAAAAGTAAGCAAAATTGGCCGAAGGGTCCCTCACTCAGACACCTCGAGGGACCGTGCAATTAACCATCAATTAACGTCAAACTTGTTACAGAATAGAAAAAGAGGTGCGCAATAGACGAAAAAGTGCTCCTTGCGGACAATACGAACAGCTACAGTAAGTCGAGACGTTGGGAACATCCGCTTTTACTCTAGCTATATTGTCCATCTACTGCTAACCAAACACAAAGTAAAATAGCCACCGAATGTACTGACAGATCGATGAATGGAAAAGAAAATACAGTAGGAAAACGGGACCAAAAATAATCGTTTTGCCGTACATTTCGATTTATTGATATCAAAAGACTATGTGTAATCAGATTATGTTGTAAAAATGGACATGTCCGTACATTCGGCTACAGAAGAAAGGAAACGGGAAATGACACTCAGAGACCGAGATCGACGCTATATTGCACCATAACCACAAATTACTCCAAAAACGGGGCACCGGTGACGCCATCCTTCGACGGGGGACATTTTATACGAGAGATTTTGGCGTAAAGTTTGCATCACCGTGCCCCTCGAAAAACGGTTTCCAAACACGGGGAAAACAGATAAATATAAAAAGGAATTAAAGCCGGAGAATATGAGAAGAAGGGATTAACAAGCACACGGCAATCAGGTAAACAAAAACAATCTCGTTAGTAGTCCAGAAGTCGTAATTAAAAAGCGCGCTCACACACGGCATCGCGGACGCTTAAAAATCACCTTTATCACCATCGTTGTCGTCGATGGTCTGGCTGGATTCACTCGACTCCTTGATCGTCGATGGGGGCGCTTCTTTCTTGTTCAGCAAGTTACGGCCTGAAATTACAATGTTAGAAAGAAAAATAAGATTACAAAAATGAGGTTAGAAAAGGAGAGGAGAACACCAACTGAAGTCATCTTGAATCTCTTTAGCTTGATCGTTTGCTTCGAATTCGTCTGTGAAACTCAAAAAAGTCGAGAAATCTGGAAGATCCACGGACACTTCGGTCGACTCCAGAAGGCTCACATGACCGGAATCTGCGACAGATGGTGTTTCTGAAGCCCTGTGCCCCGACTCCAAAGGAATCACACCAGAAATAGTCCTGTCGTTCTCTGGATCCGCGAGATCTCTCGTTGTGACCCTTCTGAATCTTCGTTGGACTTTATCAAAAATCACGGGCCGAAGATCCAAAGGCTGCGCAGCACTAATGGCCGCTTCCGCCATCGCTTGTTCATGCTGAACGATGGTCCGTTGATGAACACGGCCATGGATGAGGCAATGGATAGCGGCACAAACGGAAGCCGCGAGAACAAAAGGTCCCAGAGAACGAATCCAGGAGACCAACGCCTCAACAAAAGGGTCCGATCCAGAAGTCATCAATGCCTAGATGGACATTGTCCAATGCTTTGACAGCCACAATGTGAAGGCCATATAGAGGACAGGCTCTGGTTTTTTTGTGATCGAGAAGAAAGGAATTGGAAGAGCTGGATTAAGGCCGGAAACAAAAAGTCTGATGGGAGAGGACAGGCACACTCGGCCTTGGCCCCACTCGAAATTAACAACCATCCCCCTGATCCCTCCCGGGCCCGGATCTGCAGAAAAACTCGGCTCGGACTCAGAAAAATCTCTATTTCAAATAAATGTTCGGCAATAACGAGCTGCATTGTTCACTTTAAATACCAAGTGTCAGAGAATGGGGTTCGTAAAGAATAAGGAAGCTAATTGGATAATATATAATATTATCAAACAATACGAATTCTGAGACTACTGCAACCTTAAGGAACACTTAAAATCCCTTACAATCGATGTTATTGTTGTTATAAGTCCATGCCACCATCTCGGCCAACTGAGTCATATCCAGTAACAACCTGGCCGTAGCCGACTCTATGGACTTGGATCGGCGCCGAACCAGGACCGGGGACCGTCTACAAAACAGACTGAACCCGGTGTCGTCCAGATCATTCTGTTGGGAAGCGGCCCTTCTTATAGGGTAAATTGATTGTGACATTCACGGCATAGCCTCCGGGCAAAGCACCTGTCTTGGAAGCCGACCACGAATGAAATACTGTGCCGAAACTGGCCTCCTACCTTGGGTCTGACTCTCTTGCTGGGCTAATACCTTCGGGGTCTACTACAACATCCCGCAGTGTGGCCATAAAAGCCCATTAGAGGGCCGGCGGGCCCGTCTTCGTCGCCTTTTTTCCGCGAGGTTTAATCGACGGCCAGGATCTTGACAGCCACAAAAAATGGCTATTCTCTCTATGGCCCTCAAGGGATTATATCACAACTTTGGGGGTGGGGTTGACAGGCATCTGATTCATCTATTTAACTTGACTAGACAATTTGGAAGGAGTCTTGAATCACGATTTACCTTCTATGTTTAAAGTGTCCTGCTCTCTTCTCGGATGTTCAGCAGATAGAGGACAACTCCCTCTTGAAGAGACCGTCAACTTTTCTAGAGTCAACGTCGATTGTTGTTTGTTGGTTGGTTTGATTCCGTAATTAGAAACCGAAATGACAGGTTCCGAGGTCTTTCGTCGCTGGGTCGTTGTCTCTCTGAGAGCATATCATAATCATTATATAATATACCTGCTGACCGACGACTTCTTTCTCGTGGAGACCAGGTCCATTAACCCGGACATCACCGATCTCATTGCAGATTTTTTTGATTTCTTTCTCGAGTTAATACTCAAATCCGCAATGGAATCGGAGATGGTCAGATCGCCCGATGAGGAGGCCGCGGCCGAACAAATGGCCGAATCCGCGGCCGAACCGATCGGTGAATGCACCTGAGCAGAATTCTGGGAAATATCATCGTTGGAGATGGAGCGCTGAGGTGTGCGGGCCTTCGACTTCATCCCGAGCCTATGGAAAGATGATAATTCGAATAAAATCGCTTTTAGAAGCTATTTAGATATTCCGACGCGAGCAACACGCGATGACAATCACCAAATAATGCGGGACTGATAAACCTTCCTTCTTTAGGGGAATTAGATGCTGTAAAAAATTCTAGGAACAAATCGAGAGCAAATTATCAAAAAGAATGGCAACGAAAAGTCAGGAACATGTAATTTCCTGCCATGTCCTAATAAACTTCGGAGCGTGCTCTCCAATTCCGAGTACTTTTGGGCACGACCCGGACGTGCTCGAACATGCTCCCGCGAGCGGATGGAATAGATTCCCAGGCTGATCAATACCAACACGCCTTTAAAAGAACCTCCAAACACCGGGACCGCACAGAAAAAGCGCTCACGCCGGACCTTTTTTGGGAGCGGCACGTCGAAGAAAAGGGAACGTGGAAAACGCCTTGGGGCGATCGGAAATTGAATAAAGACCGGGTTCCGCTCTCGTCTCCTGTTATCGGTGCGCGGGAATTATGAGACTTCGATAAGAGACACGGGGACCGCCCCCGCCCCTCCCCACGCGACCCGATCCCCGGCTAATTGTGTGCGTCGAATCGTCGTATTGGGGGGCCTCTTTAAGGGCCGCGCTTTCGGTCTGTTTGAACAATTTAAGAACGTCTGTCTACATGCACAAACGAAGGAGACTCTCTCCATCGCTCTGGGGGACCCGATCCCCGGATTAGAACAACGGAAACCATAAATGCTCGGACAAACCACTCGGGAGAATTTGCACCTTGACAACAGGCCCCAAGGGCTAAGTTAATTACATATTCAAATCCCCCCTCGCCGCCCGCATGCAACCCTCCTGCCATCTGAATCTCTTATGACACGCCAGATGACCTGAAGACCTCATGAAAATAAGGCATGTCAAAGGAATCGGAGGAAGCTGTTTGGTCATTTTGATGACGAAAACACACCCGAGATGAGCGTGGCCATAACAATCACTCATACGAAGGGCTATAACCTTTACAACACAAAAGAATCCACAATTCAGTGTCCGACAAAGAGTCTCCCTAACGATTAGTGTTCGATATCCAGAGCAAAACAATTACCAGACTCTGATTGAGATTGACAAATGAAATCTCATCAATATAATCGAAAACAAACACTTACTGGACAGATTGCGAGTGGCGATCATGGTGGTGAGGATAGCGCCCTGAAATTAAAATACGGTAACCTCCATCCCTTCGGAAAAGGCGAGACGAGCGAAGCGGAATCAAAAGGTCGTTGAGGACCGTGAGGTTTCCGATTTTTGGATGTGGCATCTTCAACGAAACCTCAATGCCCTCGCCGTTAAATAAAGGCACAAAAGGAGTGCAAAGCTGGGAAATGTGTAAGCGAACAACAGAAGCACAACGGTTATACCAGCTACAACAACTACCTCGGGAGTCAGCGCTTTCGAGGGCTGCACCGATGTCGTCGATTCAACGTGCACGACCGTTGGCTGGGGCTCCGAGTGCGCGGGCACAGCGCGTTTCTTGGGCGTGGTGGAGGGAGGGGACGACGCCGACGACGAACCCGAATCCGCACTGTTCGTCTGGGCACTCCGGAAGGCGCTGCTCATCCTGTTGATCACCGTCACAGCCGAGATGGCCGCCTATACCAAATGAAAAAACGAAACAACATCAAAAAAATAAACAACAACAACACAACCACAGAGGTGTGAAGATGGAAGTGGGAGATGAGGGGAGACAGTCGAGAAGAAGACCCTCGGGGAATCTCAGGAAACAGCCGGGGGAAGAAGCCCTGGGGCGATGAAGCCTTGAAGCCGGGACAATCAAACAAGGCAGAAGCCCGGAAAATTAATATTGACTACATGGAAGGGATGAATCAACCAATGACGGGACACTAGGGGACTCAAGCGCCACAAGATCGGCAAGTGTCAGATGGACGGAGGTGTGTTGGCTTCCGGGTACAAGGAGTTGCCCTTCAAATGTCCTCGGAAAATTCTCCAAGAACACGTTTAAACAAGAATTTGACGATAGCCAATAATCGTATCGACGAAAAACATTAAAAAAGCTTCCGAAATCCCATTGGCACACACATCACGACCAAGAAATAAGTGGTACTCGAAAGACGAAACAACATTTACAAACACCAGTGGGGAAGAAACAACACGGCAACATAGGTGAGAGACCGGAGGAGATAATCAAGTCTACCATGTCATAACGGCATGAATATAAGACGAGGAGGGAGAGAGGAAGATGCCACTCACCTTCAGTTTGCGACGAGCGTTGAATTGACGCAAGCATTCCACGGTCTCCTGACGATGCACCATCGACGCGACACGTTCACGGTTCTGAAATATTCATGATTATATATGTTGATCACATAAAAGTTGCTCTATCCAAGTGCAACATACGCAGATCCATGGGACTTTGAGGGCCTCATCTGCGGTTATTCTCTTCTTGGGGTTCAGAGTGAGCATACTATCGATCAGACCCTTTGCCTCGGGTGTTACGGTATCCCATTCAGGGCTTGGATAGTCATAAGCACCATTCTTGATCTGACTGTACAACTTGTTCTGTTCATCATCCCAAAACGGTGGATATCCAACAAGAAGGATGTAAAGGATTACACCTAAAAAAGGCTTCTTTAATGACGAAGAACGAGGAAGCGAGGCATATTTGTAAACTTGGCCAAGCATCTTACCACACGCCCAGATATCGACCGGTTTCCCATAGGGATCTTTGTTCAAAACCTCAGGCGATAAGTAGCCCGGAGTTCCTGCAAATCCATACCAGGCTTCTTGATCGTTCTGAAGCTCGATGGCCAAGCCAAAGTCGGCCAATTTAACGGCAGCACCCTTGGCCCTACTGGCCAACAAAAGATTCTCTGGCTTCAGATCACGATGGACAACGCCATTGGAATGACAGTAAGCGATGGACTCGAGGATCTGTTGGATGCAATGACTGGCGTCTGATTCCGAATAGAATTCTCGCCTGACAATGTCTTCGAACAGTTCACCACCCGTGACGCTGAAATTTGGGGACAACGCAATATTAAATATTGGAGCACTTACAGATCAAAAACAAGATAATGGAAGCCCTCTTCCTGGATATTATCGTGTAGACGGACAATGTTGGGATGCTTTAAACGCCGGCATATCCTCGCTTCGCGTTCCAATTTCTGGAAATCTGCACGAAAAGAGATGTCATCACATATTTTGTCCTACCTCTGCTGTTCAATTTGCGAGTGTTGATGATCTTGGCGGCAAATTCCATATTAGTGGACTTCTGAACGCATCTTCGCACAACGGAAAAGGCACCCCTGCAACAGACAATACGTACATATATTAGCAAACACGAATTTAACATTTCCACACCCTCGCACTTACTTTCCCAGCTCCTCCTTAACTTCATAGTTGTCGCTGAACTTGGTGGATGTGGCGTTCATGTTGATTACCATACCTTGGAGGGCCTTTTCCAGCGAGTTGATGGTTGGTTCGGCCACTTTGACTTTACCCAAAGCAAAGTGATCCTTTCGAAGGTGTAAGGTGCAGCTTTTCGTTTACTTATCACTCAAACCTTCATCTCACGGGCCAAACACTATACAATTTACAAGTTGGGAACGGTTCTTTCCTAAAATTAGATCTTTTATTGCACTCGCAATCAGTATAAACATACAAAACACGGCAGACAATTACGGAATACGAAACATGCAAACGGATGCAGGTAAATAAATGGATTTTGACACGAATCTCGCGACTAAAATGGCTGGCCGAAAGAGGCCTCGACCAAGCCGGAAATGACGAAAAGCAGCGGCCGAAGAGATAAGCGAGTGTCGGCCCATAAACCTCGAAGATAATGCCGATGTAGTTGTGGCGCCAAATGTTAAACCCAAAGAAATTTGGGGGTTTAAACATTTCTTGACAAAAGTCACATAAAAGAATCGGGCCCTCAGGCAGGGAACGAGAGACACCTGTGCCCATCCGCTCGCGATCAGCCGGCCATGATTGCAGTATGCGTAAAATAAAAGGTATAATGCGTTCAGGCCCTCAGGGAAAACAAATAAAATAATCTCTGGTATCATATTCGGGGGAAATCCGATAGCCATAATGCCGATTAAATCGTGACACGTGAGCCGGATATAAAGGTCAGAAAATACAACGGGTTGTCACAATAAGAGCACGCTGCGAAGGAAGGGCCGGTAAAGTCGAGGTCTCAAGGCCCTAGGTCTCGCTTAAAGCCAATTTGGCGGACCTCCAAGGCCGACTAATAAAGCCGTCAAACCAGAACGACTCTTTCAAATGACAAGAAAGGAGCGCGTTTATGCAATTCAAATGAAGTCTCGATATATTAAAAAGTAAAAATTCCCATCTCCATTTTCGCACCAACCTTCTGGAGATCAGAGAGGAGGAGGGAGTGTATTCCACTGCCCCATTTCTTCCTATTCCGGCCATAAGACCCTCAAAGAGCATTTATCACGGACTGGAATAAAGGGGAAGAGGGTAATGGACAGCAGATTCGGGCCGCCCAGTGTAATGGACAGGACTTTTTTGGGCCGCGAAACCTTTCGATTCTGTGGCCTCAAGGCCAAAGAGCTCACAGAGCACGTTACAAACAGGGAGAAAGAACATCCATCACTCATTAATTTACAGCCATATTTAGCGTCCTATCCGGAGGCCCAAGCGGATGGTGGAGGATTGAATTTTGGGCGATTTATCTTCCCAAATCCCGTTACCACAGTGTCGCCTAAGGCCAAAGATTTCCGGGTATTTATAGACCCTAAGGCGTTAACACGAAAGATCATAAATACATGGAGAACGGAAACGAGTAATTCCGTTTCAGCAAAGATTACTTTTGGGAGGAAAACATATAAATGTAGTGATAACGGAAGAAGATACGAAGGGATTGCAGATTTAATGAATGTGCGTAAGAGGAGAATCGTCTTTGGCAGTGTTTCCAACAACCCACAGAAGCCATGTAAAGAAATGTGAGCCCTGTAAAAGAGGCATCAGAAATTTGTGAAGTATGAAAAATAAATTTTGGGTTACAACAAAGCAAACTAATCACTAATTATTATACAATTAACAAAATTACGAAAAAAGTCGTTAATCGTGAGAGGGCGGGAGTTAATTACTTTTTTGTTGTGGCTTTTCAAATATTCGATTATCAAAAAATTGTACACGGAAGGCAATGGAAAGGTATAAAAACAAAAGAAATTACACAAAAGGAATGGCTAATTAGGTTTGTAAAGGATTAGAAACTTGGAAAAAATATCTGATCTATGAGCCGAAAAACTTAATCCGAAATACCTCATACGAATATCTTCCGTCAAAGTCGTGAGTTCACGACCCGCGCTCTTCCGGCACGACTTAAATTCCAATTAATTTTTCGAAAATTAATTAAAAGGCCCGTAGATCTGAGGGGGGAATGAGAGGTCCAAATGGAATCACTAATCGCTTTCATCTGGCACCCATTTCTCTTTGCCCTGAGGGCGCAAAAAAGAGTTGTGAAGAGACCAAGAAGGAAGGCCCGGGGCCACGTTCTCTCAAGCGCATTAACGCAATTGCAATTGGCACATCGAGCAGGGCGGGGCCCTCCGGCATCGTCCCCTTCTCCTTTCTGCGTCGTCTTGGCGTGCTGGAGTTACAATACTACTCGGGGCTTGCACCGTGATTAAATGTACGTTTACAACTGAAAGGGGGGGCTTTACATCGGAAATGTGTAATCAACGACTTTTAGCGGGGGAAATAATTCTTTATAAGCAGGAACAGCAAAAAAAGAAAATGAAAGATAAGCGAGAATTAATAATGAGAATTCATATTAAGAAGGTGCATTAGACCCCTAAACAACCAGATGTCATAATAACGCACGATCCGAAAGGTGATGAGCGAATTTTTAGCATAAGATCCCATGTCGATTTTTCCCCTTTCATCACTCGTGGTACAAAATTCTCCAATATTTTGACGCAATCACATTTCCAGAATGTTTCTCGGAAATGATTACAATAACTGCAACTCGTTTACTGCCACAAAATTGCCAAAAGTAACGCCTCCAAAAAATTAATATCACGCAGAATTAACATTTCAGCTGCCGTAAAAACGGATTATTTACAACCGAAAGCCGTACACAGTAGAATCTCCCTAATTAGAACATTACCCCGGGCATTATTAGCTGAATATTAGTGTAAACAAGGGAAGGAAAAATAATTCGGAGGCCGGAAAAAATAAAAGGGCAGCAAATATTAAGTTCAGCCGATATTTACACCAAAATAAGGGCGGCAAACATATCAGGAGCTACCAGTCACAATAAATTCACTATCATCGATTATAACCCCTCACACTCCACGTAGTTTTTTTATTTAATTTTAATTACTGTTTTTGTAATTAATTTCCATAAAACAATTTGAGGATTCTCCAGAAAATTGTCAGGGAAAGCGATGTTATTCTTACAAAAAATACTTATATTGATGACTTCATAGCAAAGAATCATATTCTTTGTCAATTTACTTGTTCAATCGCACTGACGAAATAAGCAAATATTCAAATGGCACAGCCATAGTTAGGATCCCATAGCATGCACCAAAAACTTGTACAAAAACTCTCTTAAGATTTTTAAACAGGGTAAAAGAATTAAACTAACAACTGCTAGACTACAATTAGGAATTCAATCAAAATTAAACCACGATAATTGTGTTGGAAGAGCAAAGGAAAAAGTGGTATTTACAATCGAGTAAGAGTCGAAAGCCCTAAGGCAACATCTGCCGTAACGTTCGACTCGAATTACATCACTCTCATAATGGTATGCAAATTCGGGAAACAAGGAAAGACGGCCGTTTTCTGAGGCATCACGACGCTTATGCCCGCAAGGGATTAACTTGGAATCAATTGGAAAAAAATTTCCCGGACCAGGTGCGCCCGTCTCGAAAAAGGCGTGACTCTCCGCACGGAGAGAGTAAAGCTGTTCAAATTCCTCACCAAAGAAATCCAAACCATTATTTCGGCGTTATGTACCCGGCTTTGTCACATAAAATATGCTTTTACTGGGCCTTTGTTAGAGCGGCCCAAAAAGGGAATTTGAATAAAGACGTGGCCAAGCGGAGAGAGCGAAGATAGATCGCCGCTAATTGTACCCTACCACAACTGCCATGTTCAATCTACAAATTACGGGCCGAAAACGGTGAAAAAATCTCTTTCTGAAGGAACCCGGCCCAAACTTATACATACATTTTATCTGACATATTTTGGTCGACATTAAACGCATAAAACACTTTTTTTCAATGCCCTAATTACATCTTTTCATTTACAATTTATCGAAAGGAAAAAAACTTTTGTTTTGCTCCGAAACACGCCAGAGGCCATGACTTATCAGAGGCACTGTTACAAGAGGCAACGCAAAAAAGAATCCATTTCCAGAAGCCTTTGTCCGCCGAAAGCAATAAGAGCCAGGGATAATACGTAAATATGAGGAACAAAAAAAAAAGACAAACATCGTCGATTTTGTAACTGCAAAACATCGTTTACAAACACGGCCTGTTCTGCACGGGACGTCTCGGATGAAGAAAGAAAGAACGGAATTCAGAAGGCCCGACTTTGGAAGTTTGAGGGAAAGAAGGCGGTAGCAAATTCTCACTTAATTAGTGGCCGAAAATGAGCCTGCGAAAAGGCAAAGAAGCGGCCGAACGAAAAAAACAAACCGCCCCCCCCCTGCCAAGCATGGACCTGGAAATACGGCCAAAGGGGGAATTAGCACGCGAAAGGAAAATTAGTGGAAACAACACGCGCCTCCGAGATCGCCCCGATACTGAACGCCGGGATGCCCGCAGGGCAAAATCCCAACTGAAAATCCGGTTCGGGGCTGGCCAAGTGTAAAAGATATATAGGTCAGAGGCACAAAACCTTGGGGCTTCCTTCCTTCGTCGCTTGTTTGTATGTCTGCACAAAAATTGCTCTCTCATCCCCTCTGGCCGCTTTCCCACTTCTTTAGCCTCCGGGGTTTTCGCGTCCCCCTTGGCTCGGATATCAATGCCAGTCGGCGGGGCGAAAGCGAAACAAAAAACGGATTTCCAGGAAAAGCGTCAGCATTACGGGTCGCGGCGGCCGAGCATTCAGCCGCGCGCCGTGTCCGCCCTCAGGCAACACCACATTGGAGATATTGCATGCAAAAAACCCCACGGACCCGCAGGCCACCGCTCACACTGACACCTTTTGTGGAAGAGATAAAGCGAGTGCCCGAGGGCCTTTTACTAGTCTCTTTCACCTCTCTTCAGCCCCCCAAAATGCTTTCCAAACGGGCTCTCGAGACGGGGCGCTGAAGAGACGGCATTCCCCGGGCGAGAGTGCACTAAGCAAAAAGAACGGAAGCAAACGGAAAGTCTTGATCGAAAATAAAAATAAAACCAGGGGTTTTGCGCGAATTGGAAGGTAATCTCGGGCTGTAAGAAACACCTGATTCGGGGAAAACAAACAAAAAAAATAAGAAGCAATCAGGAGAAAGGGAGCGGTCTCTAGACTCAAAAACAGATCACAGCCTTAGAAGCATTCTTTTATTACCTTCGAATTCAACTCATCACTAATATTAGACTCCATTCCCGCTTTAAAACAAGTCTTCCGACGCGATCAAGGTGTGGTTGTTAGGCAAGTCAAACATTACACATTTCAAAAAAAAAAGATACCCACATCACTCTTCCTTAAGGCTCTTACTTGCTCTTCTCGAAAACTTTTAGGATTCCGATTTACATCATCGACTTTAGGGAACATGTCAAAACAAGATGACAATGGGATTGACGTGTTTTGTCTGGGTAAAATACATTTAAGATACTTTATTGGCATACTTATCTTGTATTGGTTCTTCGGATGGCTAAACCCCGCGATTTACAAAGCAAGAAAAAATAAAAAGTAATACTTTAATTGGAGACTATAATCTCGGCTTGACGTCAACTCTCCCCCTTCCACTTCACCTTTATTTATACGCCGGTGTCAAACGCAAAAGGAACAAACCCTGAGGGTTTGCATTCGAAATTCGAACAATTTCTTTGTCCCCAGGTGTTTTGACTAACAATTTTCGTGTCTCTTTCACGGCCACCTGGCCGGATGGGCAAAGTAATCACGAGTCGAGCAAATTTGTACAACCCAGGAATGTCAGCCCGGAGGGCATCCGCGGGTCGGGAGCAAAACAAGCCATCCGGCAGTTATTTTTGGGTAAATCATCAAGATTACGTCATTGATGACATAAAAAAGGGAATAACAATACGGATTAACGAACTTATTGAAGGGAATCGACAAAATGGAAAAACGGACGAGCCTAGAACTTTCTCAACAATAACTACGGATGATAATAATACATACCTTCACTCGGCCCTGGCCTACGCCCTGCGAAGACAATTCCAAAAGTTTTGGGCCGTTTTTTGGCCAAAAACGAAGAGACTTTTGAATAAAAGGAATGCCATTCTTGGCCTTTCCCAAAACTCGCAAAAGGCCCGACTTTTACCTGTGCCTTCCGGCTTCAGAGTATACGTCTTTTCCGGAGGAATCAGGCCCCAAAACGGAAAAAAATAAAGGCCGTCTCGGGCCGAACAAAAGGCATTTCGAGCACGGAAAAGTAACTAATTAGGCATGGAATAACTACTTTCGAAGACGGCTCCTAATAGCTAAAATATTGGAGAAATTCAGAACAACAATAATGCAGAAAATTAACGAACAAAATTTAAGACCAAAATCATCTAGTTTTATTTATTATTACTAGTAAAAAATAGCCAAACATTAATGTACACCGAGATCAATTAAATTTCAAGGTTAAAAGGGGAGATACAAAACTCGAAATTTAAAATCATTTGATATTAAAATGATATATACAATAAGTCTATCGATGACTTTTCTGCACTTCCTTATCTTTCCCATCCCAATTTTCTTCCGGATTTCCATTTATCCCATGCTTGTCATCATAGCCATCTTCAGTAAAGGTCAATGGATCCAATCCCTCGTCAGCTTCATTTGCGAATTCATCGACCGGGTTCCTATTCCATTCCTCGCATTGTCTCATGCACTCATCCAACCTCTCCAATGGATGAACCATATACATCTCCACCCAACAGGGCGTGGTTGTTACTGTGCGCCGTCTGTATGAACTTCCCCATCCCTTGACGAAGCTAATTCGGACATGGCACATATTCTGGAAGGAATATTTAGATTATTTTAGATATTTAGGTAATTGGACTAATTAGAAAAGACCTTTAAAATCGAATCCGACAGCCATACAACGAATGAAATAGAGTAAAATAGCATAGTAGAGAAAACAAATAGAATGCTCATGAATTATTATTTATACACACCTGAAGGTCTCTCAATTGCTTGTAAGTCGAATTGTTTTTGAGATAAATGTCCAAAAGCTCTTCAAACCTCGTATCATTGAAGATCTGAATAACTTGTGCTAAAAACACAGTACTCGAAAAACAGAGTCGACTTACGTTGGGCTAATCGATAGACAGTAGCTTGGTCATCTCCAATTGAAACGGCATATAAAGGACATTGTAAGAAGAGAGGAGAGTCAGTAAGACATTGGAGATAAACTTCGGGCCCTCGGCGAGTCAAGCGGCAGCCATCGCCTGAAAAATACCAATACAATCACAATAGCGGACAAAATTCTGGGTTTGTTCTGGGCTTTGCCGATTTTGGTCAAATTAGACGGCGTCATCATAAGTAAAAGTAGTGAGTGGCATGCCTTACAGTAGCGTTTTACAAACGCAAGCATCGAAAGAAAAGCATAGTTTTTTTCGGCCCTCGGATAGGTTCCGTCGCATAACTTTGGCTGTGACCTTTAGAGCAGGGCCCGGAGTACCGAAAGACAACAATCTTTTGTCTCGACAAAATTTTTTTTTTTCAACATGGCATATAACTTTTCAACGTATTGCCATCAGTAGTCAACGTATTGCCATCGCCTGGGACAGTAGCTCTTCATCGTAATGGATTTCAAGTTCATACTGTCAATGTTAGATCAATCCAAACCGAGGGAAAATTGAAGCAATTCAAGAAATCGTTGGAAACGAAAGTGATCAGCATGAATTCGACATCCCCCTATACACGACCGTTTGGGCGCTTCAGGATGAGATGGATCGTCGATGCTGGCAAGAATCATGGCCTCCGGTGGAGCGATCTTACACTGACCGGACAATAGAAACCATTATGATACACTCCATGACTTTTTGCATGTGATTAGCGTAAATAAATTGAAATTGAAATTTCCATCAGTAATTCCAAATATGGTAGCCATTGGGCAAAAACTGGTGGCCACAGTATCTTACGATGGCCATCGTAACTATCTTTGACCGTGTACAAGATAAAAATAGGTAATATCGCATACCTATTTGCCTCCTCGCCTTCTCTGCCACTTCATTTCCCCCCACACATCCCTTGATTCCCAAGGAAAATCGCGTAGAATTTGCCGGTGTACATAATCCATCAATTATGATCTCATTTGTATACGCCCGATAGGAGTTCAGCTGAAAATAAAGCGTCACTCATCGAGGAACAAACCCATGAATTCATCATGCCTGTCGAAATTAAACAACGTCGCACATTCATTAAGAAGAGCTCACCTTGTAGTCGAATTGATAATAATACATCTGACACCAGAAAGGCGAAGGTTCTTCTTCCATCAGCTCTCCTAATTCATCTCCAAAAATGTAACCTTCCTAAAAAAAGATATCCACAACAATAAAAGCAACTTACATTTAGATGACAGATTGTTGGACACTTAAAGTTGGACGGCATTCTGGCCGCAACTTCGGCCGGGACAAACGAAGCTTCGGCCTTGGCCATCTTACCCAATTCGGTGATCCCGTTTTTCGGCCCATCATATTCTTTGTCCTCATGCTCAAAGCTAGAGGTTTTCGACAACATCAACGTTGCATGCAGCGAAATCTTTAAAAATATCGTTTACTTTTCACGGCTGTTTTTCACCCAGAAGAAAAGCGCCCCTTCATCTTTTTATTTTTTGAAATGGGGGCGCAGCTCGCGGAGGCCACAAATTATCTGCTACTACAATAGTAAGTAAGCAAACGAACTGTTAACTCATTCGATGGTTTTAGGTGCTTTAATGTGCCTTCTAAGATAATTACTGGCCTGAAAAAGTTTTCTATTTTTAATATCAGTTACATCACACTTCTGGAGATACGGTACAATTTCTTCCTAAACATGTTCTGTCGTATAACTTGCCCCGCACTTTGCGCGCGTTTCATTCTTTTCTTCGAAAATTTTCACTTTTTGAAACGCGATGTTTGAGCTTTACAACCAGCTGGCTGGCAGAAAAGTTGAAACGTTATGCCAATTATGCCAATTTTGTAGAAAAAAACAAAAAATAACTGAAAAAATAAAAGATTCTAACAAAATTTTGATAACGGTTGGAAAAACAACACTTTTTGACCAACATGTCGGGGAAGGTGTGGGCCTCCCACATAAACCATGCCGTGCGAGGTCTCAGTCAGCCCACCGCTTATGGAAAACGAATGGATCGACTCTCAAATCGAATCTTCAATGAGGTAAACTTATTTTGTATTTTTTTTTTGTGATTTAGGTTTCAATAACATGTACAACTGGCCAAACAATTATGAAATTAATCAAATTTTGTAATTGTTTGTCTGGTGATATAAACATGTTTTAATTATCCAATTTCGGTCCAAACGTAACCAATGTCTATTTGATTATAGGTGGTTCGACCAACAGACACGAAATCTATGAAGGTGGTTCGAGTAATGTCAGCGCTGCCTCGCGAACAACATCCCGAAAAGGATACCGAATATCACCCCAACTTGCCTATGTTTCACTATCTCACAAAAATGCTCCGGTTTCACGGTCTTTTCTTCGATGAACATGTTGTTTGGAGAGAAGTCCAGAACCAGTTGAAGATCCTTAGAGGAAAGACGGTCTTTCCTGTAATAGGACAGGGAAAGAGGGCCCAGATTCGATCCAAGAAATAGGACTTTAGACATAATTTCGTTGTTTTGATTCTTTTTTCATAGTAAATTTGTTGATGTTTGAAATGATTTGCGATTCCGTGTTGGATTTCCAGAGAACTATTTTGCTGATGTCACGTAGAACGTGAATTGCATTGTTTTGACATTATAATTCTTTAGAATAATGTCAGGGTCTCCACCGAAAAAGATTGCAAAGACGGAGGAGCTTGCTCCCATATTCTCCAAGCCAATGTCCTCGAAAGGTACATGGACAGAGTTGGGAAAGGAATTGCTGTTCTTCACGCCAGATGGTATTGAAAACCGTGAGAAGATTGCTGGATTTGACATGGGTAAGAATCCGTTTCCAGTGTGATTCTAAAGTCTAGATGGAACGCTAATAAAAACAAAATCTGGAAATGTGTTTCCTAAGAATCCAGAGGACTGGCAATTGTGGGATCACTCAGTTTCAAAGAAGATAAGGCAGGCTCATCAAGATGGATTCAAGATTTGTATCTTTACCAACCAAAAAGGGCTGGAGGTATGTCACCATTCTTTAACTAGCATTGTTTAGACGAAGAAGGTTAATCCTGCAGACCTTAAAAAGAAAATCCAGAAGATTTGTGGAGCAATTGGAGTGCCCATCCAAGCTTTTGTTTCTCCCGGGTCCAGCAAATTCCGGAAGCCGTCCATTGGAATGTGGGAGTTCTTGGAAAATGAAGGGAATGGAGGAGTAAAGGTGAATCGAGGTGACTCCGTTTACGTTGGGGACGCGGCCGGACGAATAAAGACTCCAGTAAGAAATTTATGCACTCGACGATACATGTTTTAGGAAAGACCGAAGGCAGATCATTCATCCGCTGATCGTTTATTTGCTTTAAATCTGGGCGTACGATTCCAAACTCCTGAACAGTTCTTTTTGGATCAGAAAAGTGACGAACCGTACAAAATGCCACCTTTCGATCCCAAGTTTCTGTTGGAAAACAGTAAACCCCAGTTTGAGCCAGGTATCGAAAGGAGTAATAATGTTTTGACATGACTTTAGAACTGGAATTAAACAATCAAATAACTCAGATCCTCCTTCTGGTCGGATCTCCAGCTTCCGGTAAGAGCCATCTCAGTAAATGGCTTCAAGACGAATACGGCTTTACAATTGTCAACCAGGATACCTTGGGAACGAAAGAAAAGTGTTTGAAAAAATGCAAAGAGTTAATCGAGGAGGGAGAGAAAGTGGTGGTTGATAACACAAACAGAGACAAGGCTACAAGGTAGGGGATGTCTGAAGTGCACCAGCCCAAACAGATGGTGCTAACCCTGTGTTTTCAGGAAGAACTACATCGATTTGGCTCGAAGACTGTCAGTTCCGATCAGATGTGTCAAGATGAACATTGACTATCCCCAGGCCGCTCATTTGAATACATTCCGAACTGTGATTGGAGCCGGTAAAGTGCACAAAGGAGTCAATAGCTTCGTCTTGAAGCAGTATTTCAATGCTTATCAGGTTACGAACGGTCGTCTACGTTAACTTTCTTTGGTTTAGGAGCCCAAAGAAGAGGAGGGGTTCGAAAAGGTTGTCACCTGTAACTTCGTCCCCAAATTTGAGAAGAAGGAACACGAAGAGATCTTCTTCCGCTATCTGAACGAGTAAATGGCATTCACTGCAGTGCCGGTGGTACTGACTAAACTGTGAACCGGCAAATGTAAATTATACTAACTTATGAATAAACGAGACATAACAGGTCTTGAAACAATTCAGTCGCACTACGATACGATTTACTTAAGCACATAATAAGAAACGGCATATAATAGTTAATCACAATATAATTAGTTGTAGAAGGCCTGCCATTCTTCGAAGAGAGCTTCGGCATCCCCTCCCTTCTGAGCGACCTCTGTACGGGCATCTTGAACAACAACTGTCCCATCGGGTTTAACCACCTTCAATGCGGGGATGGTCTTGACTTCATACTTGGTTAGGAATTCCCTAAAAATTTTAAAGGTTAGCAACAGAATTACACTTACTGGATATGAGGATCACCGAATGGAAGATACACCCATTTGGCGTGGTGGTCTCTGTAATACTCAAGGAGATCTTCTTCAGAGCGGTCACGTGAAACCCACACAACTTCAAAGTCTTTCCCTAACTCCTGGAGCTTTTCGTAATAGGCCTAAAAATAAAAAATATATATGATTTTAGGTACTAACTTCCAGAAATTTACTCAGAGACCTTAAAAAATTTGCACATACTAACCTTCAATTTAGGGGTGAAAGCACGGCATGGAGGGCACCATCCAGCCGAGAAGTAAAGGGCGACAACCTTCCCCTTGAGATGTTCTTCGCCATTGACCTTTTTTCCATCTGGCAACACAACTTGGACACCTTTCAAAAGCTCGGACATTCTGTTGGCTGAGAAATGGAACTGAGATTTGATATGAAAGAGGGATTGAGAACGGCGGAGTAAGGAAAACATTTCACGAAATGATCAAACGGACGCAAAAAAGAGTGGACACAAGACCAAAGGGCGAAAGTTTAGACAAGTATGAGGAAACCGACTTCTGCTACACCTAGAAATACAGCTGTACAAAAAATGTATTCCAGGCAATAAAAAATCAAACACCAACACCAAAAACGGAGCGCAAAAACAGTTTTTAGTGGGAAAATATAAATTTTTTGATGACAAATAAAAAAGACAAAGGGAATCGTGGAGAACCAAGAGAAGAAGGCCGTAAACGCTGGGAACCGTTTTCCGTACCCGTAAGAGTGTCCTTTTACCGAGCTATAAACATCAAAATATGTGTCAGATCCTAGGATTAAGGCCTATAATAAGCGCAACCTGTGCACATGTGTCTACGCCGCACGGCAGAGAAAAAAGGGCGCCCAATTTCCAAGCAGGCGGAACATTCCAGCGAATACTAAATTCGGAGGGAGATTGACCACGCCCCCCACTCTGGGCGCGCGGATAACAGCGGAGAATTCAGAATTCAAAAATCGAGGTTTTATATAAACCACCGGTGCACCTTGAAGGCATATCACCAAGGCAGCCGAATTCGAAAGCCTAGTTTTCCATGTTAAATTGTAGCGAACTCTTACCACCTTCTTTTCAACCATAAAGTGGCGCCTTTTATAAACCTCGGAGGATGATGAAAGGGGGACCGGTTATAACAACAAAAAGTGTTGTCTCTCATGCGGAGAACCACCTTCCCAGCAAGCTCTGAGTGCTTTATTGGAACCAAATTACGAATTGCGTCATGTTATACTTTGTAGTTTGTAGTTCCGACCTCAGCCTTGAGTCAGTTGAGATGAATCAGATTGTAACAAGCCAGCGGATGTTTGTAAAAAAAATCTCAGAGCTGTCGGAAATGCAATCGGATCGTTTTACAATGGTTACAGCAGCAAAGTAGCGATAAAACAAACAAGAAAGATCTCCGAGAAAGCAGCCGTTACATTATACTGTGAAGTTTTTTCCAGCGTAAATTCAAATCGAAAATTTTCGATTTGGCAAAATTCTGTGCATAATCGGTAGCTCGTGGCAATAGTCGGTCATTAATTAAAAAAATAAATAAAATGGTTAAACGGTGACAGAATTTGCCAAAATGACGTCAAATTTTCGTCATTTTGGATAAATTGAAAATTCAGATACACGAAGCTTTCATACCGGAATTTAACATAGAGTACGATGATTAGTCGTAACCAGTTTTGCTTCTTATTTCATCGGTCGTTTTGAGAAGAAAATTTAATTGAAATTTTAAATTATTGCAATCTTTTAGCAAAAATCTGTAAAATTTGCCCTAGGGGCATAGATACGACCTTTTTATAAAAGGGGTCATAAGCGGCCAAAAACGCCGGTTCCTTATGTTACGGTAATTCTGGCGGCATGAAATCGTCTTCATTGATTTCCTCGTATCCAAAATCGTTTACCACGGTCGTTTTTTTGGCTTTGCCAATCCTCGGCCATGAGTATTATTCGACGTTTCTCTTAGTTTACAAAAAATAGTAAATAAAACTAGAGAATTCGAAAAATTGGAGGAAAAAGCTTTGGGAATACATTTACGTGATGGTCGTGGTCATTCACAAACGAATATCTCGAAATCGAAAATCACATATGCCCTAGTCTTACCACGATGGTTGGTTGTATGGGTCAGAAATATCAGTCTGTCGGGAAAATAACGGCGGGTCGGGTCACCTTGGAATCGCCCATCATCGCGGCTAGCCGTGGCTGGGGATTTGGTGCGCGACTGCACCCTTTTTTCGACGAGGCGAAACATTTTGCTACGACGACCGCCAACATTTTCCCCGGCAGACTGATCGTGTTTTTAGCCGATTTTACAATTTTCTCTTTTTAAAGATCATCGTAATATGGTCTTTGTATTTATTTTGTCGAAAAAATCATACTGTAGGCCCTGGTAAATTAGAAGAACGGCATTACCCTAAAAAAATTTGGCTGGGCATTAACCATGAATAACATCATCCACTTTGACCGATGCCTGAGGGCTTGTGCTTAAAGTAAAAACTAGTAATGTTGATGTGTGTTGGCATAGTTAAACTACAGGGTGTCCAGAGAAATTCCGCGGAAAGTGTTTGCCGATTTCTCGGCGCTCAGGCAAGATATCCAAAAAATTCTTTTTGCATTAGAAAGAAGACTATGGGCGGTTTTTTGTCTAAAAAAGTTTTTTTGTCCGCCGACGCGGAACATACTGTATTCGGCGGAGACTTTTGGTAGCTTTTTTAGTCATCACACCAATCTTAAGCGCTTTACTATGATCCTGAAACTATCGGGAAGCCTCCAGTTTTTTCCACAGAGGATCAGGGGACCGACGACAACGCTATGCAATCGCATTTAGCGACTGCACCGCACTGTGTAGTTGCGTCAACAGCGATGAAGTCCGACCGCATCGTGCGAAGGTTTGAAACAGCGGGGCAAAGAGAAGTTCAACCAAAAAATATCTTGTTGTTTTCTGGTACACCAAGTCGTTTACTGATGGCTAAGCTGCTGCCAAGGCTTCGCGACAAAATTTTGGAGAGCATATGGGATCAGCAAAGAATGCTAGCCACATAATGTTTGGGACATCTCCTATCCGAAGCTGAGTTGTGGCCTCCGCCGATACGGAAAGCTCGCCATTCCATTGCCGAACGTTTGGTAAACATAAAAATAAGATAACATTCTCTTTTTAACCATCAGAAATCGTACTGCAGCTTTTAAGATTGGTGTGATGACCAAAAAAGCTACCAAAAGTCTCCGCCGAATACAGTATGCTCCGCGTCGGCGGACAAAAAAACTTTTTTAGAAAAAAAACCGCCCATAGTCTTCTTTCTAATGCAAAAAGATTTTTTTGGATATCTTGCCTGAGCGCCGAGAAATCGGCAAACACTTTCCGCGGAATTTCTCTGGACACCCTGTAGTTCAGTTATCTACTGAAGGAATTTCCCACATTAACCGCGTTTAAAGTAAAAAAATTGTGGGTGGCCATTCTTTGCAGCTAATTTTTTGCGTTGTAAACTATATTTAATGGGTTTTTAAAATGATACAGGTTTCGTTAAGAAACCATGTGGCAACAGGTTTGATGTCTTGACGCTGGGAACAAATTCCGCCCTAGGCAATAACGGCCCGGATTTTGACGGTATTCGATAATAGCGGATGCTCCTCGACACTCAAGAGTCCAAACCTTGTCATTCTGATGGCTGTCAGGCCGGTCGACGTTGAACAATTTCTCATCCGTGAACATGATCTTCCCCCATCCCTGACCCGCGACGCGTCGCTTGATTTTCCACATCTTTCCGGCAGAAAATTTGAGCGGCGCACTTGGGCCCAAGCTTGGGTTTCTTCCCCAAGTGTGGCTCGGATGCAATTCGAGTAAGGCTGCGTTCGTGGCCGATGATTCCTTTCTGGACTTCAACTACAGTTCTCGGTTCCCTTAGGTGTTCATGATCTTTGATATACCAAAGTGTCATATTACAGTCTACAATGATTTAGACTTCCCAACACGATGGATAAGTGTACGTCATGCCAAAAAAATGAGCTGACTAATGTTGCCAGAATACATGTGTTGAATGATTGACAAGAAAAGTCAGAGCTGCAAGGTGACGTCATCATTTTTAATTCTTGCTTCTTTTTTATAAAATTCAATGTTGCACCCCTCCTTGCGCGGTGAAGACCACATTTCCAGGTTCGCGTTCCCTGCGAGTCTGGCCTTGTCTTCCGAGATCTTTCCAAGACCGCCTTAAAAAAGGCCGTCGTTTGAACTAATTTTTGTGTACCCAAGGTTTAAAAAAATCATGGCCGAGGGAGGCCAAATTAGCCGCTCTCCATCACGGGGCCTGATATATCACGTCGAAGGTAAACACTCTTGACTTGTTGTATTGTTCTTCTAATCTCCGGCATTGTTTGTTTACCTTGTCATTCCGTCTTTTTGATACCTCCATTTCGCTTAGTTTAACTTGTTCCAACTTCATAAAATGTTGGGCCTAGCTTTGGCGGCGTTGGTTACGGTGGCAGTGGATGCCCAACGATTACCTCAGCAACAGAGCCAGATGAGACCCATCCAATGTTACTCTTGTCTGTCAGGAACCCTCTCTGATCAATCCCGAGCCATGTTCGAACAGAACGGCCATGGTTCTAATGTGCCGGTCGATGTTTGTGATGATCCTTTCAGAACTGTCGGTCAACAAATGCAGCCTTGTATGACTAGTTGTGTTAAGAGTGTCTCAGAAAACCAATGTGAGTAAAACTGAGTACTGCCATAATCTTGTTTTAGTTACTCGGGTTGTGATCCGGGGATGTCTGACTGATGTTGCGCAACAATTGACTGGTCGAAGCCCAAACCTTCGAATTGTAAGCGATATTTTTATTCTTCGAAATGTATTAAAAGACTGCTATGTATGTAAATGAATTTACTTTCAGCCAGCCCCCGGTCAATGTATTGAAGAGAATCTGGAAAATGTGAACTTGGGAATGGTCAAGACTCGGACTTGTCTCTGCGATCAGAACGGGTGCAACGTCGCAGTTGGACTCAAAATCTCCGGTTTTGTTATGGGATTGCTTTTATTCTTTGTCGCCGTCATTTACTGAAGAGATTTGTAATTGTATAGAGGAAATAAACGGGAATGTATCGGAATAAATTTTATTCTTAAACTTTTACCAGGCTTAAAATATTGAAAAAAGTATAAAACAAAATTTCAAGTCATCACAGCGCCATCAGTTATATCCTCTCGAATCAGTAGGTCCGAATGGGTAGGTAGGCTGACCAATGCTGGCCCCAGAGCCAACTGGACCACCACCAACATTTGGGTTGTAAGGTGGCTGATATCCAGGATCAGAAGGATAAGGACGAATCTGATCGGGATAAGCCGCCGGTGGTGGAGGATACGAAGATCGCGGGTCAGGATAAGAGGAAGGAGGTTGGTATCCAGGATTGGGGGTTGGGTAAGATGGCTGAGGATATGAAGGAGGCTGGGGATATCCTCCACCTTGTCCTGGGATGTAGAGATGATCTCCGAATCCAGTATAATTGATACGATTCACTCGGATGTCACCCCGCACTTCGAAACGTTGAACAGAATCTTTGGGAAGCCTGTGTCTGAATGAGAATTCACGACCATTAATGTCAACCTGAATAACAAGGAAGTTGATCATGATCGTCATATTAGAAAGTTTTTAATTAGTATTCCTCTTACTTCATATTCCTTATCTTTGACCACAATCTTGGCGTAAACGGAGCCCCCAACACTAACACTCTGACGGTAGAACTGTTCCTTTCCCCAATCACGATCAAAAGCGTTCACACATATTTCATTCCGTCCATTCAAAGATCCCAAGCGGATGTTAATATGAAGTGGTATCTCCCCTCCATGACCTCTGAACTCAAACCAAATGGCACGATCTCCACCTGAGACAGCTTCTCCTTCAACCTCGATTTGACCATACGCTGGAAGGCCATGGTTTATCGGCTGGGAATACGGCACAGACTAAAGAAATTAGTGGTTAGCATAAGGACTGAATAATCAACCCATAAAGACAAAACCATACCACGTTTCTAACTTCTCCCATTCTTCCTCAAGCTCGGCGATGTGGAACTCGGAAATAAGGAATCTTTGTTTCTTTTAAGAGAGAATTATCAGTATTGGAACTGTTCTGCGTGACTCATTTATGGTCTTTTGTGGGTGTGTTCTATTTATGCCTTTCTGTTGTTGTGATGAAATTGTTTACCCTTTCAAAACGATAAAGCCTGCATCAAAGGCGAGCGGGAGTCTTTGACAAAAATATACAAAAAATATACGCTTTTACACAACATGTTGCAATAATAAAACCACACTCAACGGACAAGACTTGGAATATCCAGTTCCCGAGCTTTAAGACAGGGCCTCGTTTTTATCTCTCCCCTCCCTCTTTAAACTCCCGACTGATGGCTTGGATCTCGGACATTCGACCGAGCTCGAGAGTTTTTTGCGGCCTAAAAATACTCTCAATCTTGTTTTTGGAATAATGGTCGAAATCAAGGAACTCCCAGACGAACCCCCAGCGGCACCCAAAGAAGCGGCCGAGAAGCCGACAACCAAGCCGACCGTTATTCATACAACAGGAGAGAAGATCCGGGTATTCCGAAGGCCTTATGCTCATCATCTCTTCAACCAAAAAGTCGACAGCTACTGCTCAGAATGCCTCAAGGAACCCGAACTTCAAGGAAAACTGTTCCAATGTTCTGGATGCAATTTCGTCAAATATTGCAGTAAGGAGTGCCAGAAGATGGGATGGACGCTTCATAAAAGCGAGTGTAAGAGACTTCAGAAAGTCTTCCCGAACCTTCCATTGAGTGATGTCTTATTCTTGAGTAAAGTTATCGACCGTAAGGACCATATTGAGAAACATGGTGACAAATATGGATACGAAATCGCAAGACCGATAAGCAAGTAAGCAGTTTTAATTTATGGAGACTACGTTCCACAAACCGATTTAAATTTTAAGGCTTGTTGGACATGAGAATGAAGTCCGCAAGGACACCCAGCGCATGGAAAAGTTCGCAAAGATCTTCCAGAAGATCCAAATCTTCCGCGATGAACATATAAATGGAGACCAATTCTTCGATCTCTACTGCAAAGCCATGGTTAACTCTCTGACGGTACAATCCATCAAAGGAACCGAGGTTGGAATTCTATTGGATCTCGGGGTTTCAGTGTATAACCACTCATGTCGACCAAACTGCTCCATATTCTTTGATGGATATTATATTTTGGTCCGACCACTTACATCTGATGTGGATACCAATGACACTACAAAAGCGACGATTAGTTACACTGATGTGGGACGGTCTAGATACCAAAGGAGGAAAGAGCTCAAAGCAAAATGGTACTTCGACTGTCACTGTGAACGTTGCGAAGACCCATCTGATGACATACTCACTGCCATTAGATGCAAGAACATTCTTTGTGACGCTCCAATTCTTATCAGCGAAGACATGGAACCTCGAGCAGTAGAGTGTGAGAAATGCCATACTGTGGCTGACGTAGAATATGTAATCAGAGGACAGCAAACCATGCTTGAGCTACCTGTCCGATATTCTACTAACGACAAGGTCGATGACCTTAAGGGATATCTCGAGAGAGCCCGACCAATCTTACACGAGAAGAATGTCTATCTGAACAGATTGGAAGCAGCCCTCATGCAAATCAGTGGGAAGCTTGGAGTAAGTTCTACGACCAAATTTATTTATTCTGTTTAGGATAACATTGCTTCACTCTACTCAAAAGTTCAACAGACGTTCTCTGCGTGCTTCCCTGCTACCGAAAAGGGAAAGGTGCAGGAATTGATAGAAAAATGTGCGGAGCTGATCAAGAAAGGTCACAGAAAAGAAGCGCTACCTTATGCATTCGATGCAATGTGCATTTTGGAAGCACAAGCAGGATTGGGACACCCAAACTACCTCAAAGTTCTTGCTTTATGGACCTTTTTGGATAAGAACCCAGACAAAACTGATAAGGAATTACTCGAGCTAACCCAATTGGACGACAATGACAAAGTTAAGCCCATTGATATCACTCATCTGCTCAATGAAGGCGTCGCCTGAAAATCCACTACAAATGAGTCACGGTTACAGAACAAACTCGGGATTTATTGTTTTCGACCTTTTCGACCACAATTTCCCAATAAAGTTGTTGACATTTCGCGTGGGTAAAACTTCCGCGTTCCACCACTCACAAAAAAGTTTTTCCGAGCTGCGCCCAGCTTTAAAGCAATAGTGTTTTATTGATGCTGACGGTATTGTATGTAAAGTAGACCTTTTAAACTAAACATTAAAATGCATTAAGCTTAATGATTATTGGAGATAGATTACAAGAAAATAAAACACCAATGGTACAACAAATTTTTTGATACTTGTGGTAAGATAAAAGAAAACGGTAAAAGTTCGTTTTATACGATGAAACTCTTCCAGAACTGAACTTATTGCATCCGTATAGAATAGGTTGGGTAACTTGACGCGTCATTCACGTTGTCAAATTGCCGTCATTTCATCATGCAGAAACGCGTGTCTGAGCATCATGGCCGAAAAAAATTTAATTTACCTCATATATTACCTTATACTCTAAAGATAGAAACATTTCATCGTACAAAATGTCTCTAATTTTCCCTTTGACGTCTTTTTCGCCATTTTGGGCGCGACGAAAAAAGAAAACGAATTGTTTTCGCGATTTTAGTTGCGCATCCCAGCGGATATTTTTCGAGCGGCGCAAAATTAAAGTTTGCAGCTGAAAAACGTGTCAGGCCTTTATTTTTTTCCATCGTTGGCTAAATGCCGGAAAATGGATCAGATAATTTTGAGGAATACAATGAGCTCGTTGCGGAAGCTAAACAAAAGATATTAGAGAAGGTAGGGATCGTTATTCTTTTTCTTATATAAATTCTATTAGTTTAGTTACACCGTGTACAAATCAAACATGACAAGGTGAACGAAGCGCTTAGAGGAGTTAAGGGATTCAGTGAGAGGGTTTTGACTACTGGAGCTAATAAAATGAGCCAAGGATCAAAGTCGAAACTTATCGCTCTGTATAATACGGCATTAAAACAATGCGAAGGAGAAGCCGATAGCATTCGGAAAGTTCTTGACGAAATTCAGAAACTACGGAAGACTGAATTTGACATGATTCTCGATGGAAAGATGTCTAGGGGACAGATGATTTCCCTACTGAATGATCAAAGCAGGACCTTACCTTTATTTGTTGGAGGAGTTACTGGACATCCACCGCCTGGAGTCGGGGCTATCGCTTGGAGTGACAGCGATGAACTTCCCAATGGCAGTATTGTTGCAGCGTTTGTAGATGATGTGTGGATCCTAGCAAAAATTATGGTAAGTGTCCCTGTTATATTTTTTCATATTTTAGTCAACAAGCGGAAACGGAAAGTATGATATTCGGGATATCGACGATGAAGGAAGTCGTCGAATAGCAATACGGAGACAAAGGTTGATTCCTCTGCCTATTTATCGTGCTGATCCTCATCGTGATGCTCATGCTTTATTCCCAATTAATGCCATTGTATTAGCTCTGTATCCTCAGACCACTTGTTTTTACAAAGGCGTCGTAGAAAGGACTCCACAAAATGAGTTCGACGACTATCTAATTGCTTTTGAGGATAACTCTTTTGATTCCGGGTACTCTCCTCCATTCGAAGTTGCCCAACGTTATGTTATAACCTTCAAATACATAAAGCCTAAGGGAAAACCAGAGGAATAGTTCTCGTAACATAACATGTAGTAATAATACTCATAATCTCTTATGAATTTTTGTATATACAGCACAACGTCTCTCATATCGAATCTCATGCAATGATCGCAACTTTACGTCATTTTGCGTATGCAATTAACCATTATAATAAACTTTAATAGTAACAAAACAAGGGCCTATTTGGACAATAACAATAATCTACCCAGTCTAACTACGCCGTTACCGACATCTTCTTCAAAGATGTTTCGTAGGCTGCTTCGACTGCCATTTTAGCTGCTGTAACCAAGTTCTGGGCGGTTTGCAGGGGTAACTTAGACTCCTTTAACATTTTGTGAGCTTCTTCGGCATTGGTACCCTCTAATCGCACAACTAAGGGAACTTGAAGACCGGCCTTCTTTACGGCAGCGATGATTCCAGATGCAATTGTTTTGCAATTCACAATCCCTCCAAAGATGTTAACTAGAACAGCCTTTGTGTCAGGACTTGAGGTTAGAATTTGGAAAGCTTCGAAAACCTAAGTCAAAATGATATTAAAAATTTATCAACAAATTATGACACACCTGTTTTTCTGTAACCGCACCTCCAACATCAAGGAAGTTAGCGGGTTCCCCACCACTTAGCTTGATCATGTCCATGGTAGCCATCGCCAGGCCTGCGCCATTTACAAGACAGGCAATATCTCCATCCAGACCAATAAAATTGAGATTGCAAGCTTTGGCTTTCACCTCACGAGGATCCTACTAACATAATTAGGTGTTTAGGTAATACTTACATGACTTTGGTCATCTTCGGCGGCCGAATCAAATATTTCCTTTTGTCTAAATTCGGCATTATCATCAAAATTCAGTTTTGCATCAATGCAGAACACTAAATTAAGCTCTAATGCAAGGGAAAAAAACTACCTCTTTTATCACTGGTTTCTGCCAACGGATTGATCTCAATTTGTGTTGCATCAATCTTCAACATCAATTTATACAATCTTTCAATCTCATCGGCAGTCTTCTCTTTAAGTTCTCCTTTGAATTCCAAGGCAGTCGCCAATTTTAAGCTCTGTTCTCGAGTAATTCCCTTCCGTATATCAATCGATTCCTAAAGAAATACAGAAAAAAATTTTTTTTATTACCTTTATAATCTTCTCTGGATGTTTCTCGGCCACTTCTTCGATGTCCATTCCACCAGCAGCGCTCACAACAACGACTGGGGCATTTGATTCCCGATCCAGAAGCAAAGCTAAATAGGTTTCTCGACAAATATGAACAGAATCTGCTACCATGACCTTATTGACAAGAGTTCCGTCCTTCCCAGTTTGTGCAGTAACTAATCGTTTGCCAATCATCTCTGAGCAAGCTTTCTTGGCAGCTGATTTGCTAAAAATACAAAAATAGTTTTCTCAAAGTTGACCTACTCTTTTGTAATAAAAACTCCACCGAGATCTTTAGGTCCACCAATAAACCGTCCCTTTCCTCGCCCTCCGGCTAATATCTGCGCTTTCACAGCATACTCGTCGTACCCTAAACGTCCAATAGATCACAAAATTAACGTTGCCTTACCATTTTCGTCGAACTTCCGTTCAGCATCCTTGAAATTTTCGACGACAAAGAATTTCTGGACCGTACATCCATTCTTATCCAGTATTTCTTTGCTCTGGAACTCCTGAAGGTTCAGGTAACGCTTTCCAACCAGGGAGTACGTCCTGGAGACCTTATGTAAAGCATTTCGCAACATCTCGGTTTCACGGCTAGCCGCGGCCGTTTCACGCAGAGGTAAAGAGGATCCTTCATTTTGTTTGTTTGAAGCGAGGGCGCAGCTCGCGCAAAATGACTGTTTTATACTGTAACTTTTAAACTATCATTCGAAATAAAAATCACCCATTCCACGGCAACTACAATTTGTCTTTAACCTAATTACGTATTAAACAGATTGCAGAAATGAGTCGGAGATCACTTATCCGTGAAATTTACTATGTTGGGGATATTTTACCTGAACCAAAATTCAAAAGAGACTTTATATGAAGACGTGGATATGTAAACACATGATTTCATGAAAGACGACGGAGTTCATAGACGCCGAACGTCAAAAAAAAGGTTGACCGAGCGTGAAGTTCCGAAAGACACGGCAACAAGTTTCCTGACTGCTTACATGTTAGATGATTCTCCCACTAGGTAACGATAAATAATACATGAATTCGCAAATACCATCCTCTTATGTACTTTAGCATCACTCAAAAATAAACGATAGGTTTTCCTAGTCCATTGCCGAGTTATGAGTACTAAAGTTCGATAAAACTACTGTACCCGCTAATTTGGCAGAAGCAACATTTTTCTGGCATTCCGCAACAAGTTAGCTCGTAGATGTCAAATTTACTAAACATGGCACCAAAAGTAATAAAAATAAAGGTAAAGTGCAAAGAAAAATATCAGATTTATTGCTTTTTACGCCAAGATTTTTTTTGATATTAGCTAAGTACCAGTTTTACTAACTTTTCCAAAAAATTAAAAAATTGGCCTGGCAGTAAGTCAAGTATTTTTGTTTTCGTGGCGTGACAATAGTTGAGAAACAATGTTGTGCAATTTTCGTAGCGCCAAAAATTTTGTTCGCGCCAAAAAATTTAATTTTTCAGAAGCTATCCAGACGACGGTTAGCGAATTGGATAACCTGATATACTAGTATTAGATCGAATTCGGGGGCTAAAACATTGTGAGTATATCAGGTCTACGGGTATGGCAAAATCGACTGTTTCAACGAAGTTCAGAGATCTCTTTTCATCTCGGAAAGTCGTTTTCACACCTTACCGAGAGTCCGGACTACTGGTTCTGGACTGTAAAAGCCTTGTATTCCTATCGGTAGATCCTCCATCTGATGTACACGATGTTCCCAGTTACACAAAGGTTTCGGTAAGGAACTTGTATTTATTATTTATATTCCTTAGACTACATTGATTATTGGAATTCGAACGTTTTTGTGACCAAACAATATTTTTAGACCATTAAAATTATCCGGAATATTCCCGGACTCAGCGAAATCTGTGAAATAATCCCGTCCGAAAACGGGAAATATGTGGTTTTGTGTGGAATTCGTTTTATTTTCATCGTAGAGATGCCCAAGGATTTCTGGAGTTGTCAATCCATCACAAGTTCGAGGACTTTCTCTCACTTTCGACCAACTTATAACGCAGAGTACGTTTTGATTTAGATGTATAGTTGTGTTTTTAGTTTTTTCATGATCAATCCCAACCTTGTTCTTGCTGATAATGGAACACCGATTCGAAAGTGCGAATGGTTGACTTCTGCCAGTTTGAGGATCCCATTCTCAATGTTGGGAGTTTTATACGAGGACAACAGTCTCAGGTGTGGAAGACTTTTGAAGTTTATTTTTCTTTAGAGTGTATAAAGTATCGGATAGCAAAAGTCAACCTGTCGTTGGAGTGAACTTTGAGACGGTGATTCGTGTTGGAGAGGAGGTCTCCCACACGAGAGGACTTGGGAATGCACCTAAGATGGGTATGAACAACTAAAATTACTAATTTCGTTTTTAGTATCCTTTGTATTTGGACCTCAAGTGGAAGACGCAAATGATGATCAGGATTGGGTATCAGTTCTTGCAGTCGACAGCGAAGGAGAGATCTATTATACCGAGTTTCACTTTAATTTTGACACGTAAGCTCTTAAAGCATCATGGGTTATATTTACTTTTATCTTATCTTTAGTGATGCTCAACCTATTGGTCCAATAAACCTTGTTGGAATCAACCCATCAGAAGCCCATTTATACAGACAGACGGAAGATTTGGTTTACATAAAACATTCCGAGCGATGCAAATTACCAACTTTCGCGTTTTGTTCAGACAGCGGACAACTCTTCCATGCCGTTCTCAATCGAAAATCAAGTGATGTAGGTGTTAACAAAATACTTATCACTTTGTTAACAAAGATAACATCGATACTGTTTTCCAGGATGTTGAATTGATAGTCGTGGATTCATTGGAGATTGAAGATTGGGATCCAAAGAATCTAGTAGTGGTTTTGAGGAGAGGTGAGTTAATTTTTGAATTGTGGATATTTTTCTAGATCCAATTGAATTGGGACAGTATCTGATTACCACCGACAAGCAAGTACTTTCGGTTGACTTGAATCCAACGATAGAATCGATAGCGTCGAACAGAGGTGCCAATGTTGAACCATCCACCATTAGAGCCCTTTTCAAATGCATTTCGGCCGAAGAAGTCCATCTGACCAGCATTGGTCTAGTCCTGTTGGCCAAAGAGAATGATTTTGTTACACTTCTGGCCGTAATGGACTCTGAAGACAACTACTGGGCTAATATCATATATCGAACTGTAAAAGGAAACAATTTTAAACTAGAATCCATTCGTAATGTTCAACCACCTCCCAGAAAGTTGAAAACCATTCTCAGCGAGAAAATGACTGGGAGTATTGGAATTCCTCAGATCTCCATAAAAGCTGTCAGCAAAGAAGACCGTAATAAAGTGATCAACGATGCAGCTGATAGACTTCTCGCTCAAGTAACACATCAGAAGGAAATATCGGAGACTGTTCTAGTTTTGTAAGTGGGACGCTCCATTTTTAAATATTAGTGTTTTAGTCTCGCTGAAGTTGAGAAACGAGCGAAAGCGCTAATCGACAGCAAAGAAGAGGCCGACCGACGCCTTTCAATCATATTCGATAACATTCAAGAAAGCAAAATGAAACTGGCATGCCAAAGAGATGAATATAAGACGTTAGATGATAGATTTGGAAGGGTGTGTTTGTTTCAATGCTGTTAAATCCTTTTTGCAGATTATTGATGCGGTTGAGAAAAAAGCATACAACTTGAAAGATGACCGGCAGGCCAGAACAAGCTTAGATGCCATACAAAAACAATGTTGTGATTTTTCAAGAGAATTAGCGTCAGCCAACAACAATATGCTGAAGGTACAAGCAAAACTCAAGGCCCCAGTCAAACCATTCCAGGCTTCGGTTAATGCCCAAAAATTCATGTTGTCAAAGAAGTAAGTTGCGTTCGGAATGCATATTTTTTATTTTCAGCACGGTGGAAATTGCTGAACTTGAGAACCTTTTGAGGAAACTACAACGGAAACTCGTTAGGATCGAAACCGAATACTGATCGGTAACTCGAGTGTAAATTATAAATGACCTTGTTGAAAATTAAATTTCCTTGTAGTACATTACAAGATGAAATAAATCGGTAACTTTACGTTATTTACACTTGAACAACAATTTTTATTTCATTAACAAAAGAAATGTAAACAAAAGGTAAAAACAAGCCGGTACAGTGACACTTAATGACGGACTGCCTTCTGGGTGATGAACTCGTGGTGGACTTGGTAGGGGGACTTCTCGAGGGCGTTCTCGTTCCAGAGGTCAGGGGTAAGGTAGGAGTATGTACGCTGGATGGCGTAGTAGGTAGCCTTGGCAAAGTTTCCGAGAGTGGCGGTCTGTCCAACGGCACTGGTGTAACAATCTTCGATACCGGCCATACCGAGCAGTTTCTTTGGGATGGGAGCACCGACAATACCGGTTCCACGGGGGGCGGGGATGAGGCGAACAAGGACGGAGGCACATTTTCCGGTAACCTGAAGGAAAAATAGTGTACGTATACATTGCCCAAAAAAGTGAATCCACGTTTCTTATCTTACCTTGCAAGGGACAGTGTGGGGTTTTCCCATCTTGGATCCCCAGTATCCCCTTCGGACAGGGACAATGGAGAGCTTGGCGGCGACGATGGCTCCGCGAATAGCGGTGGCGACTTCCTTGGAGCATTTAACTCCCAATCCAACATGTCCATCGTTGTCTCCAATGGCGACAAAAGCCTTGAAGCGAGTACGTTGACCAGCGCGGGTCTGCTTCTGCACAGGGGTGATCTTGAGGACCTCGTCTTTCAATCCGGAGAGCAAATGGTCGATGATCTCGAACTCCTAAACACAAAATCATCTCATTCAAATTAAAAATTACCTTAATAGGAAGGGAGTGAAGGTAAATTTCTTCGATGGAAGTAATCTTTCCCTCTTTGACCAACCGTCCGAGTTTGGTGACGGGAGTCCACCCACCTTCTTCGCGACCTCCACGGCCACCACGGCGGGGTCCGCGGGGACCACCGCGTCCGCGGCCTCCTGGCCCTCCGCGACCTCCTGGACCACTTCGTCCACCGGCTGGAGCAGCACCTCCAGCTGGAGCAGGAGCGCCAGCTCCAAATCCACCGGCAAAACCAGCACGATCAGCCATTGCGTTTAACTGTTTTGACCCTGAAAAAAATAAATACATAAAAAGAGACAAACTAATATACAGGACCATATACTCGGCAAAAATAAATGTAACTTATATACTCGTAAAACAAAATTTCACGTAGAAAATGGAAATAAACGAAAAAAATGTTTTCTATTTCTACCGTACGTCCTTTTGTTTTCGTTACGGGACGCATGGGTCACGGAGGCGGATGGAATCAGGCGGGAAGCACCGAATTCAGACTTTGTCGCAATTGCGTTGCGCAACCATTTTTGTCATTACGCTTTCTGGACTTGCCAGTTTGCCAAAAAATTTACATCTTCTCATCGCTTTGAGCTCCGTACACTAACTAAATCAGCCATGGTCCTTGCTGAAGTCCAAAATGAAGTACAGACGGTGTCTGACTCCCCTGTATTGAAGAAACAAAAGCTTGAAGAACTTTCTCGAGTAAGTTTTGAACATGATCACGAAAACCTAAATTCAGTTCCGATGTAAGGTCGCTCTGACAAATTCCGAGGCCCGGATTCCGACATATGGGTCAGCGAAAGCTGCTGGTATGGATTTGTACAGCTGCGAGGAAGTCGTGATTCCAGCAAGGGGTAAGCATATTCGGTCGTAATTGAATATTCGACCAGGAAAATCGTTGGTTTCGACTGGAATCAAGATGGAATTCCCAGCTGAGCATTATGGCTGGGTTGCCCCTCGTTCTGGACTAGCGGTAAAGAATGGTATTCACATTGGTGCAGGTGTGATCGACGAAGACTATCGAGGAGAGATCAAAATATGTCTGTACAACTTTTCGAATAATGAATTCAAAGTTAACATTGGCGATAGGATCGCTCAGCAAGTCTTGATCAAGTACACTCAAAACCATAGTGAAGATCCGGAAATCAGAACTGTAATATTCATTCTCTAAATAACGGCCTAAAACCAATACTCTTCAGGATCATGTAACTAAGGTCACCTTGATCGACGGAAAGGCAAAGACTCCTGAGAAGAAGGACAATTCCCCAGCTTTTATCATCTACAGCAGCACTGAGGTGGTTATTCCACCGCGAGGACAATCCCTCGTTTCGACTGGACTGAAGATGGAAATTCCGGAAGGATTTTATGTTCGTATTGCTGCTTTGTATGGACTGGCTTCTGAACATCATATCCAGGCGGGAGCTGGAGTTATTGATGAAGATTACCGAGGAGAAATCAAAGTTTGTCTGTTCAATCATGGCGAGGAAGAGTTTAAAATCAATGTTGGAGATTCGATTGCACAGTTTGTTCTTGAGGAGTACACTCAGACAAGATTTGAGAAGGTGGAAGAAAGTGAATTGGAGGCTACCGAGCGTGGGACGGGTGGCTTTGGGTCTACTGGAGTCGCCACTGAAGAGAAGAAGTCTCTTTATGGATCTCCTAAAGCTGCGGGATTGGATCTGGTTAGCTCCCAGGAGACTGTTGTCCCTGCTAAAGGTAAGATAATCGGCATCGTCAAACTCTACTGTCTTCAGGAAAAGCAGTTGCTGTTACTGACTTCAAGACCAGTTTCCCTTCTGGATACTACGGTCGGATCTGTCCTCGTTCTGGATTGGCTGTCAAAAATTTTATTGATGTTGGAGCTGGTGTTCTTCATCTTACCGAGGAGCCAATCAATGTTGTTCTATTCAATCATGGTGACACCGAGTTCAAGGTCAATGTAGGGGATCGCATTGCTCAATTGGTGATGATCAAGACTTGCCAATCCAAGCTTGTCAATGTTTCGGAGGAGGATTTGGGGAAAACCGATAGAGGAGAAGGTGGATTTGGATCAACCGGTGTTTCTTCCAACGTTTAATTGTGAAAGCGAATGTATGTATCAACAAGAGAGATGTAATTATGCACTATCATCCTGTAATTTATAATTAACAAACTCATTTGACATCGATAAAGATCTCACTGTGTCTTCACCCGTATGGGACGTTTTTTCCCCAGAATATTTCTGTTCATTTTTTCGGGCCTTGTCCCCACAGCGGTTTTGCCGCCAAGCCACAATCGGCTGGGGGACAAACGTATGGCTAGAAAAACGGGCCCAATCGACTTCACCCGTGTACCAAAAGAAACAAAATAAACGTCAGATAATTTATTACAGTAACCGTTAATCTAAAATCCGTATTTTTGTCTTGTTTGCCTCTTCTGGGCCTTGCTGTCTGCCCATTGTTGTTGCAGTTGACTCTCTCTGGCAACGGCAACCTTCGCCAAATGGGTAATTTGGTGTTTGGACTTGGCCATTCTTTCTCCTGGAGCTTTGACTACAGGTAATGGAGCGGCAACAGCATTCTTCTGATCGAGATTCCGCAAAAGAGTCTCACGGACATTGGGTCCCAGTGCCTAAAAAATATACACACTTGTTGTACACACTTACCTCATCTACACTGACGTCCACAATATTCAGGACGGCTTCACGCGCATTCCGATCCGTCGCGCCCCAAGGTGCCAATTCCTTATTGTATATAAGCGCTTGAGCTTCCTAAAACAGTGAATTAGCGTAAAAGCTGATTAACACTTGGCAGTGAATCAAACCAAATTAGAAATGCTCTCACAAAGGACTCACCTGATCTGATATATTCCTCTGTCCTAACAGCTTAGCTTCAATGTCAGCAATCGATTGGTAATCCCCGATGGACTTAGGAAGTGGTAACGAGGGTCCTGGTGCCACTTCATCGATATAAACTCTTGCCCGCGGCGCTGACGGCTCATCGACTGCAATACATGATGTGGTTGGCAATTCAACCTTGGAGTTAAGGCCAAAGAAATCGTCAGATTCCCCGTCATTATCTGAATCCGAATATCCTTCAACGGCTTCTGTTCTGGTTGCAGCTGGGACTGCTTCTAGAGGCCGTTTCGTCGGCTTTTTGTTCATTATTGAACTTGGTAAGAGGACAGAAGCTGCTTTCTGGGCAGGAGCTGCTTTCTTTATTGGATTTTTGGGTTGAGGTAGAAGATTCAAGAGCTCTGAACTGAACTTTGTTCGATTTTTATGACTTGCTACCTAAAATATACTCCGTTTTCGCAACAACCTCTTGCATCGTACTACCAAATTCACACAATACTTACCGGTAAATCCTCATCATCAGAGTCATTATCTGCAGACTTGGCCTTTAAATCGTTTCCAAATGCCAAAATGATCTTCTTTTTACTTTTTTCGGAGACTGTTTTCTGCACAAACTTCTTGTCCTTTTGCATCTGCTCTGCCACTTTCTTCTCCCAATCCTGTTTCTCTGGCAACTCTGAATCTTCACCCACAAATATCTTCTTCTTAATCTTAGGTTTTGCAACCACTGGTGGTAGATTTAACCCGCCTGCTTCTAAACAACAAAAATCAGAAGGTTAAAAGTAAACTTACTGGCCGGTTTTTGCAAATTATCTTCCATTTCAACATCACTACCTTCAGAGGAACTCCCATAGTCGACAACACCCAGCATGCTTCAGTTGGGAAAATAGAAACACAACTCCGTTGAGAAATTAAAAGTGAGAAATTCAACGAAATGTACCGGATTTATTGGAATTTCTTCTCTTGCGCGAAGCGGAATGTCCTCATATGTTATTGATTCTTCGCACAAAATTCTTTTTTTCTCAAAGCAGAGTAGAGCTCGAGCTTGATGTCCCAGTCCTCTGATTCTGAATTTGATGAGCCAATAGGGCTTGATGAGGAAGATTTCGACCTAAAGGAAGCGGAAGAGGATTATGTTCATGGAGAGTTTGATGGATTTCCTGACGAATCTGATTCCAAGAATAATTCAAATCAAAGTGCGGTCCATGAATGGGATACAGACGTTGCCGAGCACCAGGGGGACGTGAATTTGGACGAGTTGCATCGATTGAAAGAGCTTTATAAAAGGCAAAAGGAAGAAAAGGTGGATGAAGAAGAAGAATTTCTTAATTCTCTGGGCGCTGATAACGAGTTGCAAACTCTACGTAATGTCACTGAAGTCCTGAGGGAGTTTGAGCAAACAAATGAGCTTCAGAAGGATGAACATGAGGATATACAACCTTCTGAAGGTAAGGATATCGTTGATTTCTAATATTTGGTTTTAACCTTTTGCTGCCATAATAATGTTTATGAAGATTACATGATGTTAATTTTTTTGACAATTGAGTGGGTTCTCCCGGGAAATGGGGGATTATTTAAAATACAAACTCAACCCCTGAAGCGCCTTTTTGAATCAAGTCTCCATCCAAAATGTTTAAAAAACGCTTTGTTTGAATTATAATTTGATTCTTTAGGGCGTGTGAGACCACAACGTTTTTTGGCTGTGCTCAGAAGACAGGTGCAGAATATTGAACTTGAGGGGAGCGACAAAGAACTTGATCAGGAAGGAGCTGGCAGTGATCGAGAAGAAGAAGTTGGGGATAAAGATGAGTATAACGAAGAGAAATCTTCTCAAGAACTTGAGCTAGATGATTCAGCATTGGATAAGGATGAGGATAGTCAAGATAAAGTGGAGCAAGAAGGAGAGTATGATCGGGATTGTGAGGATAGCGATAAAAGTGAAGATAAGAAGTCGGATCAAGATTATGAAAGACAACTGGCAGAGGCGTTGGGAGGAAAAACCGAGATCAGTAAGTACTTTGCACTACAATTCGACCATGTTATGTAAATCGAATGTGGGAGATGGTTTATAAACTTTTTTTCTCAATCCAGTCAAATGCGGCAAATTCAGTCCATAGTTCCACGGTTTGAACTTAATTTGTCTTTTTTGAGTTGATTGAAACAGAATTTATAAATCCTGTATACGATTATGCTGACCCCTTTCAGAGAGACATGTTCGCATTTCAAGGGAAGTGCAACGTTTAATGTTCTCAAACCCTGGAGCGGCAATAGTCGACCAATTTCAGTACTCAAGGTCAACTAGAGCTCAGAGAAAGGCATCATGTAAGTTTAATATATTTAATATGAAGCGTCAATATAGAATTTGATTATTTTGTTGCAACTCCCCAATTTGCTCTTAATTTGAAGTTTTACTAGACCAGCGCCTTAATCGTCCATTTTCATCTCCAATTTTGCCGTTATTTTTCCTCCTTAGACGGGAAGCTTCCTTTTTTGTTTATCTTGATCTCTCCCATGGTTGGGCTTGAAAGCAATCACCATTGCTATTACATTTATGTCTATAGTGTACTAACTAGATATATGAAATTAATAAATCGTTTTTTAGCTAATCGACCAGAAGACTCTACTCCCGCGTCATCACCTCAAAAAGAAAAGAAACTGTACGTAATTGTATAAAACCTTTTTTTGATTTTGTGTTCATGGATCTAATTTATTGTTATTTTAGTCGTCCAAGAGCCCCGAAGAAGTCAAAAGAAAAGGAGGGATATTCTTACGACTCGTCGGGCCGTTTACTTTATAAGGGGACGATAATAGGAGATCAATGTGATTGTATAAGACCAGATTGTGGCGGATGTTTCTTCCCCTGTCCAGTCTGTGATTCCCCCAGATGTGGCCCCATTTGTCGTTCTCAGAGATCTTCTCTTATATATTGTACTGCCCTGATTGAAGCCCCCAAAGAGCCTCAAATTACTAGGTTCAATCCTCTGAGGAATCCTCGAGATTTGAATATTTGAATTTTCACTTTTTTGCGGGTTATATTGTACATAATAACTTTAGTTGTTACTAAGATTTTACTGTTAAAAAGTAAAGGTGAATATTATTACGAATTGCTTTTTTTACAAGACGTTTTGTCGTGACTTTTATTGGTATTCCAATTCCTTTTGATCTTGTGCCCTTTCAGACGGACATGTTATAGATCCAGGAACAGTTGAAACTTGGGTTCTACACATATCATGAAGATTTCCGATCCTCTAATAGCCGATGCTGGGGAACAAAAGAAGACCACCGACCTTTTACCAGTGAGTTTTTTGTTTGATATGTCACTAGCCTTAGAATTAATGGGCTTATGTTGCCAGTTAGAGTAAAGCTTTCCGCTACATATTTCTCTTTTCTTACGTCTTTTCCACGGATGACTCGCAGATTCCGAGGCCGATAGCCTCGACGGACTCATTTCGTCGTGGAATTTGAGTCTTTTATAATTGCTGGGAGTTTTTTGTCGGGAAATTCATCGCCACGGGGCATCTATGAGTATCTAAGAGATGTTACGAAGTCGTTCGGTAGGTGCCGAGATTGGACAAGTCGCTTCCATTCCGGTTCGTTTTAGGAGACTGGTGTTACAGTAGAACTAAAGGATTTTTATAATGAAGTAATGCTTCCTTTTAGCTTCATGTCGAGATCAGAAGAGAACGCTCCGAGAGTTCGTCGTCCATCAAAATCGCTGTTCTCATATGGTTGACCCTTCAGAATTCCGTCCACACTCTTCTTCTCAGATATAGTAGGGCTCGAGATGTCCCCGAAATGTATTTCTCATCGGTGGCGGTCTTTTTCACCGAGGTGATCAAGGTATTTGTGTGTCTGTACATGGTTTTCAATGAATCTCATGGCCCGTTTGGGTGAGTTATCTTCTTGAGTATGACTTCTGATTTCTAGAGGATTCCGAGCTCTCAAAAAACAAGTTTTTAACCAGCCATGGGACACATTGAAGGTCTGTGTACCAGCAATATTATACACCTTCCAAAACAACCTGTTTTACTGTGCGGCGTCACATTTGGAGGCTGCAACTTTTATGGTAATTTGTTATTTTATATTGAATTTTGTTTAGAACGAAGATGTTAATAGTGGTATGTTGCTTTAGATTGTTTCCCAGTCCAAGATCTTCACAACCGCAGTGTTTTCGATCATCTTGATGAAGCGACGTCTTTCTGGAATTCAATGGTTCTCTTTGGCCGTCTTGACCACAGGTGTCTGCTTAGTTCAGATGCAAACAACGGCATCGAAAAGAAGGCCTGGAGACGAACAGAATCCGCTAATTGGTAAGGGTCGTATTTTTCATTGAGTTTTTACGTAATGTTATGCAACTTTTATATAATTCTGATCTCCAAAACCATTATGATTTCAGGGTTTATGGCTGCTTTGACCGCTTGCACGATCTCTGGATTCGCCGGCGTCTACTTTGAGAAGATTCTAAAGGGTGCATCACCAGTCTCGATTTGGATGAGGAACATCCAGATGAGTGTCTTCGCCATTCCAGCTTCCTTTGTGGCGATCTGGCTGACTGATGGCTCGGCAGTAATGGAAAAGGGACTTCTTTATGGGTTTGATGGAGTTGTTTGGCTGACCTCTTTCTGGTATTGTGTTGGAGGTCTCTCCGTCGCGATCTGCATAAAATATGCTGACAATATTGCCAAGAACTTTGCTACATCAGTCGCCATCATCATCGCCACGGTGGTCTCGATCTATCTGTTCGACTTCCGACCCAATCTGATGTTCCTTTTGGGTGGAACTCTTGTCATTTCGAGTATCTTCTTATATTCTTCCAAAAGTTTCGTCTCGCAGCCAAAGAAGGTTGATGAATCGAGAGTATGATTATTATTCTCAGTGATTCACTTATCCATGCCTTTCATTGGATACGGATACGTCAAAAATCGCCAATTTGGACACGGATCTGTTTACGGATATTATCCGGATATTTTGGCTAAAAATTTGGAAATTCTTGACTCTTTTTCTCTCGATTACATATAAAAATTAGTAAGACATTGTTTTAAGAAAATCTTAAGAACTCGTTTTATCAACTTTTTGAATAGTCAACGAATTTTTGTGAACTTGGGTCGAATTTGGCCCCAAAAGTGGGATATTCGAAGGATTTTTCAATATTTGGACACGGCATATCCGGTGATTTTTTAATCGTATACGGTTTTTTAGGCTAAAAATATCCGCATGAGTATCCGGAAAGGAATCCTTGATTATTCTGAGTTTGTTTGCTTTAGTTCTTATTCCTCTTTACATATCACATAGATTGAAGATGCCTTTGGTCTTTGCAAGTGCGATCCTAGAGTTTTATTTCCCCGGATTTCTTTCAAATTTCCACGTTCATATTACACTAATGGTATGTTTGTCTTGGGTCTCCATCATTGTTTCAAATTTATTCAGGGGGTTCGGAGTCGGCCAGCCGCCTGGCTCGCTCCGATCGGCCCATTTCTCGCTTCTTACCAGTGTCCCGTCACTCTCTTATGGTCTTCCTGACTTTCGGTTCGAACATGGACCCCATCCCCTGTTCCCATTTTCATATCGGGTCTGAATTATTTATTTTAATTTATCGAGGGGTCAATCCCGCAAGTTGCATGTCTCTTTGCAGTAGCGACAGTGGTAATTTATATTCTTTTTTAACAGCTAATTACAACAAGAAATAAAGTTCTGGTCTTATCGTTTTGTTTTATGAACTTCCGGTTATCAGGTTAGGGTCCTTTACTTTTCGCGAAAAGGTGGTTTGTAATACAGATTACAGTAGTCTTCGTAAAGGGGTTTATCGTGGTGTCGCTTGATGTTGTTGTGTCCGTTATAATAAGATCGGTTGTCAAATACCGTTACTAAAATGAGAGTTCAGCTCGATGGCTCAAAATGGAGATGCCAAGGAAATTGAAGCCCTCACGGGTGGAAAACAGATTGAAGATGGAGAAGATGAGAAGCCCAACGAGAAAACAAAGCGAGGATGGGGTAGGATAATGTTGTGAGGAGTTAATCTGGTCAGAGTATTACCTTAGATACGTCAGTCTAGTCGTGTTGGTGGTGCAGAATACGGGTCAAGTGTTGTTAACAAGATATGCGACGAGAAGAGATCAGGAACAGTTCATAAAGACTGTAGCCGTGTTCTTCAACGAGGTCATCAAACTGATTGCCGGAACTATATTGTTTTTGCTCTCCACTGGGGACATTAAAAAGTAAGCGGTGTTTTAGACATGTCATCTTCAAAATTTTTGATAAAGTTTTGTTTATGGTTGCCTATAATTTTATAAAAATTATTTTAGAGCTGCTTCCGAATTGAAACTTCATTTCTGCACCCACTGGTTGGAGACATTGAAAGTCGGAGTCCCAGCGTTTATTTACACAATTCAGAACTTCTTGTTATACTTGTCAATTGAACATCTCGATGCGGGAACTTATATGGTATATTCCTTCTTCGTTTGCAATACTTTTGCAGGTCACATACCAACTCAAAATCTTGACAACGGCGTTATTCACAGTGCTGATGCTCAAAAGGAAACTCTCGTTAGTCCAATGGGGAGCTCTGGCCACTTTGGCCATTGGAGTTGCCGTTGTTCAAACTGTATGCGCATTTTTTTATAAACTGGTCATTCGACTGTAACTATAAGAATATTTTAGAGTGCTGGAAAAGGGGCAAGTCCTGCTGCGGTCCTAAACGGAACTCTCATAACAACCACTGCCAAGCCAATAAATAAGGCCGCAGAACAACAACCTTTGATTGGATTTACAGCTGTCGTTGCAGCGGCGATTATGTCAGGGTTTGCTGGAATCTACTTTGAAAAAATTCTCAAAGGGTCAGAAGTCTCGATCTGGCTTCGGAACATTCAACTGTCAGTCCTGTCGATTCCAATTTCATTGGTGGTCATTGCAGTAAGTGCGACTTTTACGTTACTTAAGATCCTTTTGTTAGCCAGATAATGTAAAAACGATTTGCAGATAAAAGATCGCGAGAAAGTGCTTAATCGAGGATTCCTGGCCGGCTTTGATTACGTCGTCTGGTCGGTTGTTCTTTGCCAAGCCTTGGGTGGTTTAATCGTCGCTGTTGTCATTAAATACGCAGACAATATCCTAAAGGCTTTCGCCACTTCCATAGCCATCATTGTTGCCTGTTTGGCATCGATCGTTCTCTTCAACACATTCCCAACAGCCCTGTTCTTAGTCGGCGCTTTTCTAGTCATTGGTGCTGTTGTTTTATACAGTGTTTTTCCATATAAACCAAAGTATCACATGCCCGCAGAAGATGTCAAAATGGATGCTTTGGGAGAACAAGATGAAACGAAGAAAGAAGAGAAGTCACAGCCTTGAACAACGTGCCATATATTCAATGAAAGGGTTACTGTAATTACAGTAATTGCTTATTCTTGCCATCTCATTCTCAGATTTGTTGTTAGTCGGTCACTTATCCCATTAATCAAGCATATTCTTTCATAGTATTTAATACTTTCGGTTATTTTATTACTAACTCAGGTTATAAAACTTTTATCCTCGAATAAATCGAATTCATTTTTTTTTCTTGCCATTCGTCCGAAATAAGACCACAAAGATTCAGATATATGCTAACTAGCAAAAAATATAACCCCAGTAATCGTGGAGCTATAAATAATAGCGAGGTGTTTTTCTCCCACAATTTCAAAAAGTTGTATTATCCCTTCATTTGAACTACAGATTTGTTCAGTGCCGTACTTCGCCTACTACGATTGCCTTGAGTGTCCCGACAGATACGCTTATAAGCCTTGTCTTACATATTAATGTAAAACTCAAATGCGAGTTTAACGAAGAGTATGATAAATACCGTTAATATTTGTCGTAATCCGTTTTACTACTTATTTCATCGGTCGTCTTGACAAGGGGCAATTTAGTTCCTAAAAATTTTAAATTCCCATGGTTTGTTAGTAAAAATCTAAAAACTCTTCGAAAAAAGTTCAATTTGAAAATCAAAATGACAGAAAACTTTGACACGACGGAAACGACGCCAATTTGACATCGTGACAAAATCAAATTGCTTTGCACTTCAGCAACACGACATTGCACTCACTATTTTCCCGACAGAGTGATACATAAATCATCGCAAGCCGACCTTCCAACGCACTTAATCACCAGATTATCACGAGAAATCTATTCTTAATATCCTAATTGTGACCTTGACGTACAGGTTTACAAAGGGCAGGCCTGTGGTTTTGTTAATCTCTCTTTTCCGGTACGAAAAAGCAGGGAATGCCTCCGAATACGGGACTGACCCGCCCTTCCTTGCAGGTAAACCAACATTTCTGCACCACAAAATGCGGAATGAGGATAAAATTAAAGTCGGTTGCCATGCGATTATAAAAGTACAAAGTTAGATACTTTCCAGCGATCCCGTAACGAGCTTCTTGTTATTCATCCCAATTTCCCCCGGCGGTGCTTTCTTTTATTTCTTGAAAAACCTCAGCCTCTACCTCCTCATCTTTCAATCCCTCGTCTCAAGAAAACCTCCACGCAACTTTTTTTAAAACTTCCTTGCATCTCTAACTTTTTCTGCCCTCGGGCCAGATGTTTTTTGCAAGTATAATATAACACCTGTCTCTTCTGTCGCAAATGCACATATTTTTGGACTTACAACCCCAACGAAAGTCGGCAAAAAATGAAAGGGGTAAAGGGGGAGAAAGGTAAATTTCCGCGTGAATTTTTTTCCACGGCTACCTGTGCACAGGCCTGTGGTCAATCTTCCAAAGTATGTATTTATACTATTCTGGCCGAATTCTGGTTTTTGAGGGGGAATTCCGAAGGCGCCGAGGGAAATAATCGCTCAGAAGAGCGGAATTCGAATTACAACGACTCCGAAAAAAGCTTTCCACGCTTTGACTGACGCTACGCGAAATTTTGCGGGCCTCGTTTTCCATTTTTTGCCTTTTGGAGGAAATTCCATCAGCGCGATTTATTTTTTGGAAGGTAAAATTATTTTTCAGGTTTTTTTCGGGCATCTGGCCTGGAATGGCCAAGGAGTATTATGGCCGTGTGATCCAGACCGATGGGACATTATTTATTGATGAGGTTGTGCTGGTCAGCCAAAATGGAGGAGATTTGTAGGTTTCTTTGGTTTTTTTGTCTTGTTTTAGGTATCAAATGAAGAAAATGAATATTTTTTGTTTTAGATGTAACTGCGAACGGTTAGATGGAAACAAACATGCCATTGCTGAAAAAAATCTTACAAAGATTGTTATTCCAAGGAACTTTATTGAAGTGCGGGTAGCTTTTGCCGCCTTTGATTGTCCAGAAAGCCAGGGAGATCTTCAGTTTCCGGCATTCGCTTTGATCGGGGTGGTTGAACGGATAGATAATAATTGGGCAAAGGGCCAGATCTTCTTGGATAATGGGAAGTGCATCGGAATAGAAGGAATGTTCCCATTGAATTACACGTATCCGTTGAAGGTAAACTTAGTATTCGTTTTTAAAGTTTGTTTGTTTAGCGTTTGGAGTCTTCATTCGAACCGGAAGTTGGATGTTCAGAATGTGAAGTGGTCTCGGACTTCGAACCTCTGGACGACGAGATTCGCTTGCGGAAGGGAGAAATCGTCAAAGTTCTGAGGTCTTCCGACGATTGGGCTGAGGTGCGGACTGCAGACGGACGCGAAGGAAAGTGTCCACAGAGGTTTTTGGCCCCTATAACTAGTCGAGAGCGAACTTCGTCGAGGATAAGCCCGAGCGAACCACTTTGCAGAGCTATTTTTGATTTTGAGTAAGTGTTTTAGGTAACAAAACTGTGATACAGAGGTTGATTTTTTCATGGTTGTCTTACTTTAGCGCGGATTATGAAGGTGAATTGAGTTTAAAGGAAGGGCAAATAGTGAAGTTGGTGAAGAAATGGAATGCCGACTGGTATGAAGGAGAATATGAAATGGACGGAGTTACCAAAAAAGGAGTCTTTCCATCAAATCATGTGGAAATTGTGGTAGACATCGAGGGCTCTAGTCCTGTGAACGCTTCAGATGCCGAGATTGAGTCGAAACGATTTGGCGTCTCTGATTATTCGGAACCAGACACTATTGGGTAAGTGTAGTGTTATCAGTTGATTCTGTTACTTTCTTTAGGTTTGCTACTGTACTTTATGACTTTCAAGCCCGGTTTCAAGACGAACTGTCTGTCCAAGCAGGCTTTAGTGTCAGAATTATCGAATTGCCGGATTCAGAATGGGCGAGATGTTTTAATCCGATGACTTTTGAAACGGGTCTTATCCCTCAAACATTCCTCCAGATCTTCCTCGACGACGAGACTGAACTCAACACTCAAGATATTCAAATACCTTCTGTGGATTGTTTTAATGGATCAAGTCGGGTTTCCGATTATTCGTGGGAAACTCCGTTTTCGACGAACATGGAAGATCCAAAGAAGGATTCCGGAAATGTTTCTTTGAATTCGGATCAGGAGAGGCAAGAGGATGCAAAAGCATTGGTTGATCCCGAATTTGATCAGTTATTTGGACTGAAACCGATTAAACACGCTCCACCAGAAAGACCCCCACCTCCCCAAGTTGCTAGTAATGGAAGAAAGGCGGTCCGGACGGCCCCACCACCGCCATCTTTACCTACTCCCACCTTCGAACAATTTCCAACTTCATTTTCGTCCAGCTTATCCACTTTCCCAACAACGCCGTCAACCCCAGTGGATTGGAGAATACAGTTTATGAAAGTTGTAGAGGAGTTATTGGCATCAGAAACCAATTACAACTTGGAGCTGCATGCTTGGGAAGAGGTAAGAACGAAATTACTATTATTCTTGCTGTTTTTAGTGTATAAAATCTTCAAATCGACTCTCCGAACAAAGAAAATGCGTGTTGATTAATGGATTTCCCATGTTGAAAGATCTATCCCAACGTTTGATTAGATTAATATCAAATGAAATGGATAAGCCTGTGGAAAAGCAGAGTTATGGCCTCCTTTTTATGGATTTGAGAGAGAAGATCTCCAAAACATATGCATATCATTTTAGATGTGTAGAGGAAATGGCGCAGATTGTAGAGAATGTAAGAAATTTTATAGTTTTTACATCTTTTTAGAAGAACGACGGCGAATTACAAAGGGCTTTGAAAGAATGCCTTGAGGAGATGAACAAGATGGGAGTTTTTGTGTTTGACGTGCCAACAGCAGTTGCCCGCCCTATTCAGAGGGTTCTAAAGTACCCTTTGTTCATCAATGAGCTCCTTAAAATCCTCCCATTAACCCATGTTGATCATCCAAAGCTTCTAGAGGCCAATAAACAAATGGCTCAACTGGTCAGTAAAATGAATGAAAGTAAAAGAAAGAAGGAGCTGAGTAAGTTACGTGATAATAATAATTATTTTTTGGGTTTAGTGATCAAATACTCGGATTCGAAGAAAGATACAATCACAGACAAGTTGTCCAAGATCAATCTACACACCTTTGTCAAGAAAAGTAATCGCTTCAAGTATCGGATTGCTTCTTCCATGGGATTAACAAGTGTAAGGAGACATAGTTTAGTTTGGAATTATATTTGTTTCTTATTCGTATTAATATTTTGATTTTAGAAACCGGATCCGGAGTTCAGCGTGATGGTTTCAGAATTGGATTCTGCGGAACGAAGATTGTGCAAATTCTTATATCATGTACAAGTTTACCGAGCCCGATTGACCTTTATGATCAAAAAATATATTGGGAGAAACACGGTGGAGAAGAGTAAGTTGGTTTAGATTGTTGATTTATGTGTTCAGACAAAGCATTCAGTTATATGGAAGATGGCTTGAGGAAAGAATTTAACTCGTATCTGAAAAGAGTCGGCACTTTGCTGAAGGAGCATATGAGAGCAATACAAAACGCGTAAGTAGTTTTATACTCTAATTTTTACTTTTCTGGGTTTAGAATTGTAATCCCCTCCCAGCAACTTCAAAAGTGTGAATATGCCAAATTAATCGAAAAACGATGTGATAAATTGGCTGACTTCGAATTGGCGAAAGCAGCAGCCCGACCATTTGAAGAGATTGAGAAGAAGAGGTGCGAATTCGAAGCTTTGAATCAACATATGAAGAATAATTTACCTAAAATTTGGATGTCGATCAATGACAAAGTCCGAAAGATGACGGAATTGATGGTAGATCTGGATCTAACATTCTTTGCGAGAGTAGAAGAAGTGATTAAAATGATTCCATCCAAACTCTCGAGGTTCAGTCTAACCGATTTCACTAATTTTGTAGACCCCGGAGGGCAAAGATTGATGAATCTTCAAAAGTTTTTACTCCTACCGTCGGAGAAACACAAGGACAAGCGACAGAGAAAGAGCTTTAGTAAGTTTAAAGGTTAATGTATATATCGTGTTAGGAGAAGTATTTGCAGAGAATAAGAGGCACATGGAGAAGGAATATTCACTGAGACCTCAGAACGACAGGGAAAGAGATGCCTTGATTAAGATGCTCAAAGCGCAGAATAGAATTCCCGATTTGAGGAAAGTTATTTGTGATTATTCGTCACCAAGAATGCTGTTAAAGAAAGGAGATATCGTGGTCATCATCAAGTTCGAGAATGGTTTCTGGTAAGGTCTTGTCACTCGATTATAAATGATTAATGTTTTAGTCATTGCGATAACAGTGTCAATACGGACAAGGTCCCTCTGAATATTCTGATCCCGTTTGATGACTTCAACAACTATTCTTCAGTTCCAATGACCTCTGAATTGGAGCCGGTAAGAACTGTTCGACCTCCAGTTTCACTTCCAACCGAGGATAAGGGACATGCGAAACCTGTCCGACAAAAGTCTCAAAATCTGATCGATCTGGATGCCGTCACTCCGCCCGCCCAGAATAGACCTTCTGTCGATGAAATTCTCGATTTCTCGGCTCCAGTTAAGATGCCTGCGGCTGTTCCAACACAAGTAACCAGGAATTCGGTAGCCCCTCCATTGCCTGCTAGAGGGTCGACGACTTCCCCATTGGAGTTAGTCATGTACGAGAAGGAGCCAACACGGTCTGGAAATGGAACAGGTAGAATTGCTGACAACTTTTTTGTTTATTTTGGTTTAGGCCCCTCATTCGCTGATTTGGCGGCCCAATCACGCCCTTTCCAAAGGTCTGATAATGAAAGTTTTCTCAACGACCAACCGGTCGATCCCTTTGCCAGTTTCTCACCGACTCCAAACTCCTCAATCTCCCCAAGTTATCAGATCCCACAAAGGAATCAACTTAACAGAACACCTCTTCCCAATCCGGTCCCAATTATTTCTCCAAGGAATGAGAAGAACGCTGATCCAATTTATGACACGGTTCCTGCCTCCGCCTTGCCTCCGGCACCTCACAGAATTGCCCCGGCTCCACCAATAAAGAAACGACCGACTGATCTTGGATTGGTGAGTAAACCCAAGTGTAATAGTGAATAGAACTTTCTTGTTTATTTTTGTATTTATTCTGTTATTTTAATGTCGTTACTTATAGGACAACAAGAAGGTGTTTGTTTGTGAATTTGACTTCTCTCCATCGTCAGACGACTCTAATCAACTCAGAATCCGGGAGAATGAGAAGGTGCTCTTGCTCCGAGATTCGGATGAAGTCGGAAACTCTGAATGGTATCTAGTTCAGAAGCCCGGAGACCTCTCCAAAGGCTATGTCCCCGGTGTTTATCTCCGCGAAGCCACCCAAACCGAGTTATTAGCCATATAAGTGTCTTTTTTACATTCCATAATATTCAGATATTCCCTTTTTATATTGTGATACTCCATGTGTAAAACGATGGTATCAATCGCAATTCTCTTTGTACAATACTCTTCCGTCTGAACGGGTACCCGATCTATTCTTTCTAACGCATAATTCCTCCGAACGTATCCAAAAATATTGGTTACGTAACCTAATCAATATTATTATGTAAACTCTGTAGTGCATAGTTATTACCTTACAGTCTTAAGAGATAATGTTGTGTAAGAGTGTAATTATTTTTCGTTTGTCTCAACCTCCGCCTAATTCCTATTTCGAAAACATGACATAATATATATATCGTCAGTATGACGTGTGATGTAAAATCTTCGCAATTTTGAGTAACAGTTGATATTTGTTTATACTTGTATTAGAGGAGATCATTGTTATTTACGTGTTTTATGGATTATTATATCTTCTTTTGTCCGTCCTTTAATGAAGCTGTCGTTCCTCGCGAATCTGATACAAATGGAATGGGATCTGTAGCCATGCCTTCAAGGAAGAATGTCTCCATGACTCCTTTTCCCTAAAATGACACCAATTAGAAGAAGATAATTCCTCACTTTGATGATAAGTTCTCCTCTGGACAGGGTGGCAAATCCTCCGATTTGCTGTAAAAGTTTGTTGGAATCGGATGATAAATGAATTCGATCGGCTGAAGTGGATATGGATGATTGCTTTAGGACTTACGCCTCCCATTTGAGCACATTCTACTGGCCGTGTTGATAGTGTCCCCAAACAAACAATATCTCGGCATAGCTAATCCAACAACTCCAGCGACACAAGGGCCAGAATGGAATCCGATTCGAAGCTGGACTTTCTCATGAGGCAGATGGGGGATTCTAAAGACAGCCACGCCATTCATAAAGGCCAAAGAAAGGTTGGCGATTTCCTTGACATGTCGATTTCCATTCCGAACTGGGAGGCCACTAACCACTAAAGTGTCATCTCCAACACTCTCCACCTGAAAGATACTTTGATTTACTCGCCTTTCAAAATCACATATATGATGTACTTGCTTTGTAACAATCATAAGTCTCGATGACCCCATCAAACATGGTGAACAAATCATTGAGCAGGGTTATTGCTTGTATTGCAGTGCTCTTTGCTGCTAATTCTCCAAAACGAACCACATCCGAGAAGAATACTGTAACCTGATCAAAACTCTCGGGTTCGATAACACTTCCCGCCTTCAATTTATCAGCGATCTGCCTAAAAATGATGACAATAAACATTTAATGAGATTCTAAACTACAATGTGTAGCCTTTGAAAAGGGAAACAGCTATATTTTTGATTATAAAATGTGACGAAAAGTGCTTATCTTGGGAGAAGGCGATAAAGTAGAACATCTGATCGTTTCTTTTCCTCCATCAAGGCCTTCGTCCTGCTTTCCACCTCTTCTTGAAGAGTATTCATATAGTTTTGGAGGACTTGGAATACATGATCCATCAGGCTTTGGTTCTTATTTACCATGTTTTTTAAGATTGTTTGGATTTGGCCAGTTGTTGGTCGAACAGTGGGATCTTCATTCCAACAATCTTGAATTAGAGTAGGCTGAAATACAAAACAAACCAAATAAAAAAAAAACAAAAATTCGGTTACAATGTTATGGGAGAGATCCGTGATCGACGAAATGTCAATGATCGGTCTGATGGGGACATCTCGCCGTCTCTTCAGCAGATACACTATCTCGTCCGGATCTTCCACTTGATTGTTGTTGGTGTCCCATGGCGGATGCCTGTTTATGATCTCAGTAGCCACCATGGAGAAGCTGTAGATATCCGCAGATCGATGGACCCCATCTTTTAACGGATGAAGCGGCTTTCGGAGTTGTTCTGGTGCAAGGTACAAAAGTTCTGAAGGGATAAAAAACATTAAACATAAGGGTTGGGCTTGCCAAACAGGGCCAGACTACAGGCTCTCACAACCTATAGTCCGGCCCGCCTGTTATCAAATTATAGTATGCGTCGGTCAAGCCTACTTTTGCTGCTAATTGGTTCCTGCTGAAGCAAATCTAAGATACCGTAATCCGAGATCTTCACAACCCATCTCTCATCGACCAAGCAGTTGGAAGAATTGAGATGACCATGGCAATGGAGACTGCTATGATGGATGAAATGAAGACCAGTGATGATATCCCTCACCAATGACGTCATAAATACCCCGTCAATGGCAAAACTGCCCGCAGCAATAATATCCTTAATAGATCCACGGTGATAGAATCTCCAGATGGAGAGAAATTGAGATCCGTCGGTGCAGAGACCCAGGAACTTGGCCAGATTGTTGTTGTCGATTTGGCGCATCTATATTATTTTTATATTGCTTTATTATTTGTATGTATGATTTTTATAACATGTTGGTAACATACCATTCTGAACTCCGCACGATTTCGTGCTTGGATCACGATTTTAGACTTGAACTTTCGCGCAGCTACTGGTTCATTGTTATGCAAAAAGAAGGCGTAATATTCGCTCTCCGGTTTTCGAATAATCGATGGATTTGAATGTGAATGGATGGACTGAGGGAGGGACCGAGTATCCGAACTCTTCTCGTCTGGGGAATATAATTCCTCTGTCTTGATTTGCCAGGCTGCATTCAAACGTTTGTACTCGAGGTATTGACCTCTGGAAAGGAATAATATGTATGAATTTTACGTTGTGTTAATTGTCATCACTGACCTTATGAGATATGTTGTTGTCCCGATGGCTGCTGCTGCTATAATTGCAATCGCCGCATAAATATATCCCCCATAAGTTGCTAAAACAGACGCAGGACAAAGTAATCCATCGAATCCACATTTGGGAATTGCCAGAGGCTGTTTATTCCCCCACTTTTCCCAGGCGTAGACAGTGTTATTAGTCTCCATTACTGTCTAAAAATCAAGTTAAAGCGGATGAAAGGGGACTGCTCACTGCATTCTCAGTACTGGCAATGATTTGATAGTAACTTCTCATCGTATAATTATCAGTAAGACTTGTGAATGCAAAGATATTAATTCTCCTTGAGTAGTTGTCCATCATGACTTTGCCTGTGGCTCCATCGAACGTCTTATTGGCTGCAGCCCGAGTTATTTGCTCTCCGAGACGCATGTTTGGAGGAGCAAAGATGTTAGAATTATTGTGGAGATCAACATTTGGATCACTTAAGGTTGCATTAAGAGCAATCGCGTATAAATATAGAGCGTCTGACAGGGAGGCAGCCCCACTTCCGACCTAAAAATTAAACAATCAACGAGTAATCAAAATAATATTACTTACAGCCTCACAAGTAGTGCAATAAAAAGGGAATCCAGCAACTTTTTCTTTGACTGATTCTTCAAATTGATCCCTCAAAGTAACGGGAATCGCGAGATCGAAAAAGAATATCCGGCTCAGATATTCCTTCATTCTCTGTTGATCCGTCACATTTGGGTGTTGATACAAGGGAATGTAACTGTCGTACGAAGCATTATTTCCAAGGTCATAAGCAGGCATATCTAAAAATAAAAAACTACAGTAATCCAAGCAAATATCTAAAAAGTTCAGTAATCAAAAAAGTTTCGGACGAATAACAAACTTGTGTATCAAAGTTTCAATAATTACCGTAACCCAAAAAAATTCTATATCAAAATTATATCCCGGCTTACAGAATCCATTTCCTCTTTGTTCGACGATCACAAAAACAAAGTCGGGATTAGTAATAAGCCCGTGATTGCCTAAGGCGTCCAGCATTGTGATCTTGTCCAGATCGCTGGTGAAGCAAAGGAATGTCACTAAAAAGTATATACATTTTTTTAAAATAATCACCTCTGGCGGTGTTCTCCAGCTGAGTAAATGTCTGATTCAACGAGACTACATCAGATGTATTGACTTCTCGGTAATAAGATAAGGAAATATCGATATCGGGTTGAGCCAAAATGGACAAGACATCATCCCTCAGGTATCCACACCTCTTTGTTTGGCTCTCCGCGTACAGAAAAGCAAATCGATTCCAATTTAACTCGATGAGTAGCTGAATAAATCCTTGGGCAACACTGAAATCTTGTTACTCATACCAACTGAACCTTTGGAAAGCGAACAACACAAGTGTTGCAATGTTTATTTTGTAGTTACATACGTCATTGTGGGTCCCACAACGTTGAGGGAGGTGGTGAAACGATAGGTTGTGTTGGCCAGAACAGTCGCTGACGCCGCACCCCAGTTAATCATCGGGACGTTGTAAAACTTTGATAAAGCGCCAACGATTATTGCAGCTGGAAAAGGAAAGGAATGATGTCATTCCGTGAAGAAGTTTATTCCTTTGTTATGATAGTATCAATATTGGTCTCGAGATTGTCTTTTAGGCAAATCGATGGAGGTGCGGCTTTGAGAGTCTACTTTAGTTATTTTAACTTGCAGGTACGATACAGTGGCTGTCAAAAAAAGTCACCTCTTTCATTTGTGTGATATTGCAGGTTGTGTCAAAATTCGAAAGGTAAGTTATATGTCATATTAAAGCTATTTAGTAGAACGTATTGTGGCAATTTCGAATAAAATTAACTGTTGCATAAATAATACAACAAAACATGCTACAGTCATGGTCAAAAAAACTGCCAGTCTGAAAGAATTTTTTTATACATATTATATACTGTACATCGATTACATAACACGGCATTCTGTACTTTTGGGACACAACCGGTCTCCGCGACATTTTCAATTTTTTTCGAAGTGCGCTTGCTTTTTATCTCCATATCTCGCTAGCCGTTTGCGCTAGAAGGCTGAAATTTGGTATGGCAGTAGAGTAAAAAGCTGGCTTTCAGAAAATATAAATATTGTAAGGAACCCCGCAGCATAAACTTCCCAATGACAATTGAAAAAATCTCATTTTTAAAACTTCTGCAACCCAGAAGTGCAGGTTGCATGATCGTATTGACAAATTTCTTCATGTCTATGTGTGTCAAATTCGATTCTCTACAAGATGGCCAAATTTCATCTTATTCGTTACGTTACGAGCTGAGTTATGATTAACATCACAGTGCTTTTTTTGGTACTTTAAGGATAATTCGGCCCTTAGGGCATCTACAAACCAAATCCGCCAGCCGAATTATTCAATATACTCGTAAGTATGATCCTACCAAGTTTTGTTCTTCTAGCTCGAAAAATGGCAACGTTATTCGCATAGTTCTTCTTTCAATGGCTAAGCCCCGGGTGTTTAAATTTTCTACTTGACAATAATGTTCAAGGTATGAATACCACTTAGAAACCTGACGCTTGGCGGAGAAACTCGCAATGAAGACTTCCAAGCCTTCTTCCGACCCAGACTCAAGGTTTAACCATTGAAGGAAGAATTATGCGAATAACGTTGCCATTTTTCGAGCTAGAAGAACGAAACTTGGTAGGATCATACTTACGAGCATATTGAATAATTCGGCTGGCGGATTTGGTTTGTAGATGCCCTAAGGGCCGAATTATCCTTAAAGTACCAAAAAAAGCACTGTGATGTTAATCATAACTCAGCTCGTAACGTAACGAATAAGATGAAATTTGGCCATCTTGTAGAGAATCGAATTTGACACACATAGACATGAAGAAATTTGTCAATACGATCATGCAACCTGCACTTCTGGGTTGCAGAAGTTTTAAAAATGAGATTTTTTCAATTGTCATTGGGAAGTTTATGCTGCGGGGTTCCTTACAATATTTATATTTTCTGAAAGCCAGCTTTTTACTCTACTGCCATACCAAATTTCAGCCTTCTAGCGCAAACGGCTAGCGAGATATGCAACCGAGATCAGTAGAAATGTGCATGGCCATTCTAATAAAGTGTCGATGAGTTATGCACGGCATTCTGTACTTTTGGGACACAACCGGTCTCCGCGACTTTTTCAATTTTTTTCGAAGTGCGCTTGCTTTTTATCTCCATATATGGGAGGTGCTTTATAAATTTCAGCGCGCTAGTCCATCCCAACCCTGCGGATTTAGTCCAAAGTTAAAAGTTGCGCAATCTTACATAACGTTGCGCAATTTCTCTCTTTGTAAAAATTTCTGCCTTTCCCTGTCGGCTCCTCCTCCCCTCCCCCTTTTTCGTGAACTTTTAACTTTGGACTAAATCCGCGGGGTTGGGATGGACTAGCGCGCTGAAATTTATAAAGCACCTCCCATATATGGAGATAAAAAGCAAGCGCACTTCGAAAAAAATTGAAAAAGTCGCGGAGACCGGTTGTGTCCCAAAAGTACAGAATGCCGTGCATAACTCATCGACACTTTATTAGAATGGCCATGCACATTTCTACTGATCTCGGTTTGCAGACCTAACAGATTAATCTCAGAAACGCTTGCAAATAATTTGATTTTCTGTGAATTTTGCAAACTCTTGACAATGATGACTTTCTAGCGTTAACAGAGAAAGTGACCTCCATGCCGAAATTGCAAGAAAATTCGAATGGTTTCTTCAAAAATTATACTATTAAATCGACCGGGCATTCAGTCACACGCGGAAGCTACGGAAGTTTCCCAATTTCCCTTCCCGTGATATTCCGAGTTTGCATTTGACTCTGCTGGTTTTCTCATGAAAAACGATGTGATTTGCAAAAAAGTCGAGCAAAAAAACACGTGTCTGATCAAACTCTAACCTAACAATAAGTATTGTCTAAAATAAGGTCTAATCGTCACACCTTGAGCACATCTTGGTAACTGCAGACGCAAAGATACTTACGCTCACTGCAAATAGGGCCTATGATGACATCAACTTGATCATTTTCGATTAATTCGGCCGCTCTTCCCGCGGCCAACGTTTCTTTACAATCATCGTCTTTTATGGTGAACGTAAAGTTATAATTTGGCAGCAATTTCTCTTGCACAATCCGATCTAATGCAACATTTAATCCGCCAATGCATCGATCATAACCTGGAAATAGACCGGAGAAAAAGAAAGTTAAATCATTTTACACATGACATCTGAATTAAAGAAAAAAAAATTATAGTTTGACTAAGCCTGTTCTTACTGTAATAATTGTAATACTTATCAGTATTCGTCATCAATAAACCGACTTTGATGTGAGTTTGTATAAGCAATTGGCCTGACACGCATTTAAAAATAATAAAATAACAGAGTAAGGGCAATGTAAAAGTCATGGCCGTCATGTACTGAGAGTATTTCTACTTGTAAAAGGATCAAAATGGCTTCTTGGATTTAAATTTTGTTTCAAAAATAGACCAAGGGGTTACGGTAAGCAGAGATAAGAAAAAGTCAAAGGGTCGTAATAAAAGGTACAAAAGAAAGGTAAAACTTACTGAAATAGGGATAAAACGCACCTCCACTCGTCATTAACAACCCCACTTTGATGGGTGTTTGGAGTAATAGCTGATTGTGACAAAGTGACGTGAGCATGGAAAAAGTCAGCATTATGTAAAACATTCTTGTAATATTTTTGTGGCATAAGAAATTTGGGAGTCGAATTTATAAAAACAAAAAGAATAATCAAGAAAATAAAGTCCTTCCCTAAGGCTATGTTTAATGTTATGGCTTCAACTCTTACCTTTAGGGTTTCACTGCTAAATTGCCTGAGGCAGTAAGTAAACTTCTGACAGTTTACAGCACATGCAAACAATTGCATTCTGCTTTTCACATCTCCTTAAGCCTTATCACTCAAATTTGTAGTTCATATTAACTAAAATACATATTCCGAGCAACAAGTCATCATGGGCAATATTTATTTGTTCATTCTCTGGTTTCTGCGTTGATCCTTACACCAAGAACTTAAGTTATGATTAAACACATTAGTTTAATTGTTCTTTGACATCCTAAAGGCCCTTTGATTTGCTTAAATTACAATCTGAAAGTACAGTAACTCGCGTCTCCTCCCTCTCTCTCGCCCTGCGGCGCTTATCTTAGACAACACTTTCATAACCACACCTTTTCTGGACAATTTCTGAATTTTTTAAAGGAATTATTACAAGCTGTTTCCTCTCTCCAGGATAAGTTCTTCCACCTAATATTCTCGTTGTCTTCGGATATGACAAATAAAGGTCGATTATTAAACTGTCGAAAGTGCGAGGGGCATGGGAAGATGGTCCAATTGAAGGGACATACGGCCTTTTGTCCCTACAATAACTGCGAATGCAGATCGGTGAGTATTTTACAACAACTTTTGAATTTTATTACACTTGACGACTAATCTAGAACGCTTGCTTGAATCATGTTTTTGAGATCTTTAGTTGAATTTAAAGCAAATATAAGAACGTTTTATTTGAGATAAGAGACGGTCACATTCATGCTGAATTGTTGTCTTACTATTTGTAATCATATGGTGACTTAACGAAGTTTTTTTGAAATTGCAATCTGTCAGGAAAATATGCACATATGTGGGAGTCTTCGTTATAATCAAAAATGAATGAATCTGTAGAAACAGTTTGAGTCTATTACAGGTAATAATAAATTTCTGATTTCCTTGAAATTTGGCGTAACGCTTCTAGTAATGTTCCGAATCCACGTCTAAACTTTGTGTTATGCTGACCTAAGATACGGCAATGCACAAAAACTTGCAATAAAAAATTTGGAAAGATAGAAAAAATTATCCTGATATGTATAGCTCGGGACTTCTAAATCTCTCCGCAAGAGTCCACCCGAACCCTGCAAATTTAGTACAAAGTTAAAAGTTGCGCAATCTGACATAACATTGCGCAATTTCTCTCTTTGTAAGAATTTCTGCCTTTCTCTGTCGTCTCCTCCTTTTTTGTCAACTTTTAACTTTGGACTAAATTTGCAGGGTTCGGATGGACTCTCGCGGAGAGATTTAGAAGTTCCGAGCCATATATAAATGCACATCGCAATGTACTTTATGCGGTCTTCATTTTGAAAAATCGCAGTGTTTTGCTATTTTCTTTCTCAACGGCCTAAATCTACAACACATGACTTTGAAGAATAAAGAATTGTAAGATTAGTTTTCCGCAAAATCCCGGAACAAAAGAATTGCATTCTCCACTCCTTACTTAGCAAACAAAAATGACGGTGTCAGTACTGTAACAAAGCTAAGCACAAGATAAATGTTTTTTCCACCAACAATTACTCATCATAACAAATGATGTTGGCCATTCCCATCCCGAATTATCAAATGAGATCATTCTCTCGCCTCAGGCAATAATAATAATCTTAGTAGACTTATCGTGACATTTCCTTTTCATTTCAATAACATTTGTAGTTTTGGTTTCTTATCAGCCCCATTCTATTCTATGCCTTTTTTATCGCTTTGCATCAAAAAGCCATCAAAACAAAAGTTGCAGCATCTTTTGTAGGCTTACATAGCCTCAGGGCAAACATTTTGTAAACACTGTAAATAACAAATAAGATAGCTGTCGTTGCTTGCGTTGTGAATTACCTACTTGCAATAATGGTATAATTACAGTAATCTATAAAAATATTTATTTTTTGTGGATAATATGTAGTTTGGAAACTGTAACAGGCTTAAAAAATGATTTGGTGTTCTTAGGATCGCAAGAAAAACCCCGACATTACCTTTAGTAACAATTGTAGTATGGAAATCAAAAGCGAATTAAAAAATGATGTCAGGGCTGTAAAAAGAAGCCTACTCTTGCCTCAATAAAAGTCCCATTTCTTATCAACAGGACAAAACAAACGATATTTGTTGTAATTTGAATATAAAACACAAGTTGTGTATGCCGGATAATCACGAATTAATTACTCCTTTCAGTGTGTCCGGCTGATGAGAATGAGAAAACGCGCATTTTATCGACGATACAAGGAGTCCATCGACCAAAATAAACTGGACGAGACAGTCATCTTCAACAGATTGCATCAAAACAAATTCCAGATTGTCTCGCCGGAGGTAGAGTTTAGACAACATGTTTTTGTGTCGGCTTACCAATGTCGCTTGCTGTGATGATTGCTGTTCTGAGCCTGAAGTTGTATCAGAGAAGTGCTTGATGTGCTGTGCAGAAATTTTAATGACAAGAATTAGATGAAATCTCCCCCAGGGTAACGGGGTTTCCGTTTTTGGAATCTAAATTTTACAAATTGTTCGGAAAGTTGCCAGAAAATTTTTATGTGAAGGGCAAACCTCTCAATTTAAACTCTCAACGATACAGTAACCCTTTAAAATCTTTGGGAATTATTTTGTCGCGCAGATAAACCAACAATTTTGAAGTCTGAAGTAACCATATTTGTTCCGTGGTTTTTATTTCACAACTCTATAGAATCCTTTGATTCGCACTACACTTCCATCCTTTTCCTTGATTTTGCTCACCCTTTCATTGTTTAAAAATTTTATTTTCGTCTTATGTAAAATACGATCTCTAATGCCTTTACAGTCCAATGTCTTCCATAGCGAACAGACATTCGGTGTTTGCAACGCGACTTTTCCAATTATTCATGGTGTTTACACCCTTTGATTAATTAGTTTCCGATTTTACTTGATTTGTTGAGTAATTTTGTTACAATTCTTCCACATTCTTCCTTATTCTTTCTAATTCGACTTAACCAAGGGTTCAAACATTCCCTTTAATTTAAAATACTTTTAGAAAAGGTTTTAAAGACAACGTAATTACTTTGTGCGGCCCTTAAAAGTAGTGTTGTAGGCCACAATTGAAGGAGATTTAGAACCCGGAAATGGTTGTGAAATAGTGCAAGATTACTACAATTTGTTTTGTAAATGTTTTCATCCTTTCGTTTTTTTGTATTTTAGATATTTTGGGGTAGTGGGCTTGTGAGAGGATGAAGATGTTATGGAAAAGAAAATATTTTTAATGGTAAAAAGCGTATCAGTAACATTAAACTTTTATTGGATGACGTATTTTTGAGCTTAATATAAACCAATTTTTTGTATGTCAGTGTTTTTATGCGATAGTAATACCACGTGCCCTCTAACGTATCCCCCCAAATGCTGTTTATTACTTGATATTGTGTTCGAACACAAAAAACAGTGACATTTATTTTTTGTCACTCCCAAAGGCCATTACTACTTTAACAACTAAAAACAGCCGTTGGAAGACAGCTGAATTTCATAATGTTCTCCATCAGGGATTCAAAACCAATTCAATTCGAATATAAATAATGCAAGAGGCGCTAAAAAGGTCGCTTCTGACCGCTGCATCGCAAATCGAATATCCATGGTCACGGCGGTCTCCACAATGGTCATTGTACTGCATTCATTCGCTTAGCAATTCCACCATTTGCATATTTCTTTTGCCAAAATGTATATGTTGATGGGGTCCGCGAAAAGATCGTGTTTTTGGTCAACTGTTGGATATTGTAACCGAGTAGGCATTATTCAGAGGGAAAGGTTTATAGTGCAATACGCAGATTTTGGCTAAACTTGGACCAAATCTGGGATCGATTTTACATACATGTGTATTATATGGAAATTTACAGACTCTTTCGCGTTTTGCAAAAACAACCGGGATCTTTAGGGCGACAGTAACTTGAATTTTTTCCTAGCCGTACTATCTCTTCATTTCCGCAGTCCCTCGCAAAGAAAAAACTTTTTATTTGAGCGCTCGGTCTGAAATTTTCAGTAATTGTTTTGTGGTCTATAAACTCTTCGAAATTTACATAACTTCATCTCTAACGATTAGGAAATATTCTGCACAATTTCCCGGCGTTCTGATTCCAACACGAGTGGTTTTTGACGATCCCTTGATTACAACATCCTGGATGACGTCGAGCCTTCCAAATCAGACCTCAAATATATATTTATGTTGTCCATCCCAAGTTTGGCCATCTGTCATTCAAATTAGACCTATTTGATTACCTGCCCTTAGGGTCTGATTACATTTTTCGATAACTTTGTTGGCCCAGCTGCACCCGGCTTTCGAAATCTCGCTGACTTAACGCTCATTTGGTTTTTAATTATCTGATTTTGGGATATATTAATGGCCCATTTGAATAATCGATCACGGGAATGTTGTTATTCACCATTTCATCATTCGTATTTGGCCTTTTTTCATTTTACGAAACCTATTATAGACACTGTGAATCATGGCAACATGTAGTCGGGTTCGTATAAAAAACGTTGCCGAGTTGTAATGTAAGTCGTAAGATAGTTAGTTTTAGAATTGTTTTTATATTTTGAGTATTATGTATTTATTTCCTACTATGACTATCTAAAGGGGAGATACGATGCCTCTTGTTATTAGTAATCGCTGACTTCTGTTGTATTCCAAAAAGGGCCGTATTGTAAAAAATGGATATGAATCGACGATATTTAAGAGGAAAAGGTCACTAAAAAGTATTTGAAAGTGGTCGTATCTTCCACATTACAATAGTATTATACTCTCTTTTATAAAAGTCGTTGAAACAAACCATATTGTAAC